AGCCGTGATTTTCTGTCTTTGTTTTACACACGAGCAACATAGGAATTTAGAAGTATTGTTTGGTGTAGAGAAGCGATTAGAAATTCTAAAACAGATTTAAGTTTTCCATTAAGTCTATTCGAATTTAATACATTTTTGATTTTATCTCCCCAAATCCTAAAAAAGTAACAATATAAAAGAGGTGATTAAAATAATGAAATATTTTAATTTTTGGAGAAGTTAAAATAAAAAATAAAAAAGTGAGAAAATCGATCTCAAGTATACTTGACGACAAATTCAAATCTCCTTTCAGAATTTTTATCGCTTCACTAGACAAATCGGTACATTGGATATAGAACACTTTTAAATTCTAGTGTTGCACGTGTGTAAGACAAAGACAGAAAATCACAGTTTCCAATCCTCTTAAAATAATTATGTACATTGGTACCTAATATTGGTGTTGCTATTTCAATAGCCTGCTAGAGAAATGCTTATTACACTGCCGATTATACGAGATAAAAAATTATCATTGAATATATGCACGTTTAAAATATAATATTTATTATGCATACATTATATTATCTAATATGTACTATTAAAATATTAATGACATGTTATAAACTTATAAATAATCCCGTTTATTCATTTTTTTTTTTTTTCAAGAATTATCTATCAGGTTTTTTAGCCATGTTTTTGAAGTGGTAATTAATATTATTATTAAGTTTATTGGTATTGACATGGCATAATAGGTAGGTATAATATTAGTGTCCTAAATAATTGATATTATAATTATAATAAATATAGGTAGTACCTAAGTGTATTCTTTATTTTGATTTTTTATACGGTTTACTTAAATAGAAGATAGAAAAAATGTTATAAGCCGAAAACAAAAATTCGAATAACCATCTGGCTCCCTGAAACTCATCTCGTATTTGTATTACTTTTGGCCAAGAACATCTAATTAAAATAGAAAATATATTTATATACATAGCGTACGACTTGTATTTTTACTAGACTGTGCGTAGGTAGGTACGCGTGGACTGTGATTATTAAATACACTTTTATTTAAGTTGAAACAAAAAAAAATCAACGTAATAAACAATTCCTACTTACTATTTAGCTAGTTATACGAGTAGGTATTATAATTATTAAAATATAGTATAGTTGTCGGTTATTGGTTTGAAAATCTTATTTTTATTTGAACATGAAAAATACCGGAATACAAATTTCAATTTCAGGCACCGGATATTATATTAAAGCCCCAATCCCATTGTGCTATAAACATCATACACACATGTTAATAGGTTAATTTAAATAATTTCATTGATATGACCTTTAGCGTATAAATTAATATGTATATATTAATATTATACATAGTTTTCATAAAAAAAAAAAAATATATTAAGCCTCATTCGTACGACTGAATACTGAAATAAAAAATTATTGATTTAAAATTAATATATATCAGAGAACACGTGACACGTGTTAATATTAAAAACTAAATAATGTTAATATTATTAATAAAAGTCAAATCAACAAAACAAATACCGTTGACACATTTTATACATAGTATTTTAGAGAATCATTTCAATATAACATTTTTGTAAATATAAAAAAAATTCTTGAATACCATTATATTCACGGGATGCGTGAAAAAAATTTTCTATTTTTATTAGGAGACTTGAGAAAAAAACATTGAGAACCGTTGAATAACAGAATTTTTACAACGCTTTAAAATTATAACCTATAATATTATAATATGCTGTGCTACTGTATTATATGATTTTCATTATGACGTTAAAAAAAAGTCCATGTATTCCTTAATTTATCTGTGATGGTATCGGTGTTGTTCCTTTTTAAATCCGAAAATCTCTGATGGCATTAAGATGGCTTTATTACTCGCCGTGTTTCCAAGTCGGTTGATGAGAATATGTGGTGGACTAATAATTATTATTATTATTCTAGATTTAGGTTTCATAATATCACTGCTTAAAAAGATGTTTCTTTAATAATTCATGGTGCTATCAGTAATGCAACCGTCGATGCCATCACAGATGAATTAAAGAACACATGGAGTGTATCGTCAAACAAATCATTACCTACGTTTGTAAAGTATCTTATACTAGATGTTTGACAACGTATCGGTTTGTGTGTGGCAGACCCTTAAGTACCTATCCTTATATAAATAGTTATGTTACATAAACATAATATCATTAATATATTACAATTCATATTTTGAAAATTATTTTTAGAAATATTTAAAAATCAAAAACATCAATTAATTGACACTAGTTATTAATATTACCTAAATGTGTATAATTTCATCCAAGGAAATGGTTTTACTATTGCTATTCATTTTGTAGTATTATCCACCATTGTTAATAAAATATTATTTTTCTAGTGGTCTTTACACGCTTCCGCCAATCGTCTCTATCAATTCCGATCCATTGTGTCATCTAAACTCTTTACTTCGTCGGTATCTGAAATATCCTTCTTCACTCTTTCCATCCATCACTGGTGAGGTCTAAATGTGTTCTTCTCTTATGCTGGGTTCCTGATCAAAACATTTCATACCTATAAGATGTTCACTGGCTCGTCAAACCTATTACCAACTCACTCGTTTTGATCAACACATTATATCGTTTTTCTTTCAGGAAAGATTTGATATTTGCCTTGTTGTATAACCTTTCTGTATCATTGATTTTTTGTTTCTCATATTCCCCAATTTGATATTAGATAAGTCCGTACATTTTGCGTAAAACTTTCCTTTCGAAGGTGGGCAGTTTCTCTTCGTTTACCTGTGTTGTGAACCATATCTCATATGCACATACATTGCTATTAGGCTCAGAAGGAAATGTACAGTTTCTCTTTTTTCGCTTCGGATAGTAGTCTAGAACTGATCATTTTATATATGACAAATTAAGCTTTGTTTGCACTACTTTGTTAGGCGGCAAACGCTTAAATTTGTTCAATACCTTAAAAAAATGCGAAATTTCTGCCCAGCGATATTTAAGTATTTTATATCTAACATTTATCTTAATTTCTGTATCCTAGGTTCTTCAATTTTGTTTGTAAATTACTGGGTTACCTTGGTAACAACAGGAAATACTCGACGAATACTCTTCCGCTCAGAATCAATTTTCGTTTGCAATGATTTATCCTTGCATACAATAAATAAACTAAATTACCTTGTTTATCCTACCTTCCCATCTATACCCACCTATAATAGGAACTAATCTTTAAATAATATTAAAATTTGTTGTTTTGTTAATCAAATGATAAATAGGACATTGTTAGTTGTTGATCATAGAGTAAAATAACTTTGTCAAAGATTTCTATTGTTAAGTAAAATTTTGTACTAATATAACATAAATAAACTCGAAGTATTAGGTACTCATGTTTGTTGAATAAGAACTATTTTCACAAATTAACTATGATGATATTGTAATTGATAAATTCAAAAATATTATGTTCCTTATGATAGACGTTTATAATAATAAATTGGAATAGATATCCATATACATTTCAAAATATTAATATATTGATGTTTATTTTATTATTTTGCATATATATTATTGGAAAGGTCTCCTTTAGATAGCTTAGATAGTAACAGCTGTTAAAATTTTGTTACACAGAGGCCCGAGCCAAGAACGCAACTCAGAAAATGGCGCAAAATTCAGAATTCATACATAATTTATTAAAGCGGGAATTTTTGTGCGGCGATGAAATGTTTTGTTACAGTTCTGCGCTTCACGATAATATTGAAATTATGTTAACAAAACGACCAAATAATAATATATAGGTAGGTACTTACAACCTACACATTTAAGTGAATGTCAGCATGAAGTTCTTATGTCATGAACGTTTTTGAATATCAAAAAAATGTAAACATACTACCAGTAGTAGTAATAAAATAAGTGGCACAAAGCTAACCCATTCTTGGGAACACTCATTTTATAAAAAAAAAAAAACTTTTCTTATACGTACATATGTTTTATAAATAGCTATTTAGTATCTAGTTTTTAAATATTTTAGATATCAGTTTATTTAAAATTTTAATTTTTAGTGTATTACTAAAAAAATTATTTTAGAAAAACTACAATTACATACATTTCATCTGGCGGCCACTTAGCTCCCCTTAATCTAGCTCTGCCTCAATAGCAATCAGAAGTTATTATAATATAATACTCTAGGTTTCTAAGTGAATAGCTAATAAAAATCAAACGGGCAAAAATAAAAATATGTAAATAGTTTACGTCATTAAATATATACACGTATTTTTCTGGCTTAGTATGTTGGCAGACGAAGAACTAAACAATTTTAGAGTACCTAACAACAATTCGACACGAGAATTATCGACGGTATAAACAAAAATACACAGTCCTGAATAGCATTATTATTATTATATTAGATTTGATAATAAATCACTTACTTTTTGTATCACAGCCGTTGGATTTGATTCGTACAGTCGTCGTGGAACGTTGCGCGATCACATGACGAGGTGTTGGTCGACCGAGCGCACTAACACGTGTGAATTGTGTAGCGCTGTAGTGGACCGCCATCGTCTCTATTAATGAATTCATAACACATGTTCTTTATGACCATCTCGTGTATTCATTTTTAACCGGTTTTTTTTTTCACTCCAACGGATTATTTCGATATGTAACCAGCGGCGTAAGTAGATGGGAAATGATTCCGGTGTACTGTGTAGTAGACATACACTATATAAACTATCTGTTTACTAATATTATCTATTTTTATGAAAATTCAAAATAATATACGTACTTGTAACGCGGTAAAGCATCACAGGTTTTCTCAATTCTGACTTTATTTAATTTACAACTACTACTCAATGAAAACTTTAAAAGCTACTACATCTATGAAGTCTCTACGTACGCTAGGTTCACGGTAAAATTACACCATAAAATATTAAATATACCTAAATAATATTACACTGATGTTACTGATTCGAAAAGTATTCGTGTTCAATAATATTTACCTACAATAATATTGTCAATAGACTATTTCACAATGTACGCAATAGGTAACAATTATTTCGATAATTTTTAATTTCCAACAGTGGTGCTATACGATTACTACATACTAATACTACAATATAAAACATAAAACACCTTTGATTGTATACTGTGTGTATTATTGTTCTATATTATTACCAATTGTGTCTAGATTTATTATGTATAATTTGGAACATTCATTATTAGATAAATACAAATGTATGTATCAAAATTATCTTAGAGCTCTGGGATGCTTATCAAATTTGTCTATGATAACTACGCCTACAAATAAAAACATTTAGAACGCAGGTGACATGGATAGATTGTTACTTCAATTAGTATTAATTAGATATAGTTATTGACGTTGATAATCAATGGTAGATACCTATTACCTACTCTTATATATCTAATTAAAATCATATATTTATTTCAAATACAGCCATTAATGGCTACCTAGTGCATATTGTTCGAAATTCAAAAATATACCAAAACACAGTATGTATATCAGCTGTTTTTCATACTTCCTAACGCAGTTGGCCATATTCAAAAATCAACAAGTTTTTTTTTAAAGTAACTCACAAAAATCTGTACTGTGAAAATTATTATTTAATTTTTGAATTAGAAAAATTAGCTCTTCTCCTAGGTAAAATATCATCAAATCATTAATAGATAATAATACAAAAATTAATTATGAAATAATAATTATTAATAAGGATAGGAAAAATTATTTTTAAAATAAATAAATTAAACAGAACATACAACTTTGTTTTAAATATCAACATATAGCGACTTTTAGTCTGATAATTCATTTATTCAATTGAATGCTGACAAAATTGTTTTCTTTTATTAGATTGAATTCATTTGTTTTGAGGTTAAAGATAGAAGCAACTTTAGGTTTTAACATGGTTAAATCATTCTTATCATCACTTTCATGAAGTAATACCGTTCCAGTTTCTGAACCATGTTTTGCATTAATAAACCTAAAAAAAAAAAGAAAGAGGAAAAGTACGTTAGACATTGACAATAATAAAATATCTTAAATAGAAGTTCAACTTAAAAATATAACAATATACATTTTAATCACACATAAATAAACTGGGTATCAAATCACCCTGTATTGTACGGGATTTTGCCGTATTTGAATCAAGCATCCCAGTGTTCCAACCAAATTATCTAAATAATACTTGTCCCGTATTTTAATTCATCCATCCTGTATGATTCTTATTTCTTAAATTTTATAATTGAAGGGCTGGATGCAAGAAGGGTATTTTCTAGAAAAACGTTTTGAGATAAACGAATTTAAAGTTTCAAATGCGCCGATCTTGATCCCTTCTATATCTTCCTCTCTCAGATCTTTTAGCGCTTCTTCAAAGTATAAGTTGAATAAAGTAGGTGATAAATTACACCCTTGTTTTACCTCTTTTTGCACTTTCGCCTTTTATCACAGCCTTTTCATTTATATATAATTTATGTATTAATCTTTTATCTTTAAAGTCGATAACTATCTTATCCATAATATGAAAAAGTTTTTCCCATCTAACAATGTCAAAAGCCTTTTTCAAATCTACGAAGGCTATATATATATATATATATATATGGGTTTATTTATTCTTAAAATTTTTTTTATAATTAGTCTAAGACATAGAATTGCTTCTCTTGTTCCTCTATTTTTTCTAAACCCAAATTGATCTTCTGTTAGAATATACTCTATTTCCTTTTTTTATCCATTTATGTACTATTTTTGTTAAAATTTTCGACACGTGGGTTATTAGGCTTAATGTTCTAAATTCTTTACATCTCTCAGCTGTTTGCTTCTTTGGTATAGGTATCATTACACAATGGTCATCAATCATAATATTATTTTCAAATAATTGAAAAATAAAACAATATTATTTATAAATATAACATACATAATATGTGATTCTATGCAAGAAAGGCATTTACACACAATCACGTAAATGCTTTTACAGTGCTCTATTATTAAAATTGCATACACATATAGTATAGAGGTTGCAGAGTTCAAAAAAACATTTGAAGCAAAAAGGGCATTTCTGCGAAAATACGTTTCTTGCACTTAGCCCCTCAATTTTAAATGAGAATAGTACATAGGTAAGTAAAATAATATTATGTGAAAAATATATTTATGTTAATATATGTTTTTTGTTAGCAACGGTTTATTGTTCCTAACAGATATACATTAAATTTCCCCTCTACTACCTTCCTAACTTCTTACCTACAACAATAGCTCATCTATGTGAGCAATTGTCTGGCTTTTTAATCCCTGGGATTAAACATAAAAATATATTTGTAAAAAATAAAGAAATACTTATAAAATAATCTAACAACATACTGAGTAATTGGTAATGTTTTTTGGTGGACAGCAACATTTTCCAAAAACGTATTGTTTTTTTGAATAATAATTAATTCATTATTTATTTTATTAAATAAATCATTATTTAAAATTTTTCCATCAGCAGATTTTATTACAAAATCAATACCAAATAATCCAAATGCATTTTTCACCTATAACATTAATGAAATAAGCAGCAATATTAGAATTAATTATGTTTATGAAATTTAATATTATAATAAAGTACGAAATCCTGACATTTAACATATATTATGTAGGCGATTGTTGAATGGTCCAAATAAAGTTTATTATCATATTAAATTTAAAAAAGATTATCACCAGGGCTCGCGTGTTCATGTTTTTTTTTTGGTTTTCATGCTAAGTAGGGTACAAATCCCTAATAATACAAATTTTAATAGTGCATCATGTTTTTATTATTTTAGTTTATTTGATAATTGGCGTATAATAGACTTTTACAATAGATATTGACTAGATATTTATAATATTGACTTTTATTAAAGAAAATAGAATAATTAGTGCATAATACATATAAATTAATGAAATTCTTATTTATGTTCTTAATCATGTTTACAAGATCTAAAATATTAGTATTGGTTAAGGTTTATTTTTATACTTTTATAGGTTTTATGAGTTTTACAGCAGTAACACAAAATTAATGTTATAGCTATCCTTACATGAGCTGATGTCACAATTAATATTTCTTTTCATTGCAACAAAATTGTATTCCCGTGCAATGTTTCCCAGTCTAATGATATGTAGAACAATACTACAACTATACAATGAACAAATTTAGAAAAGAGTAAACAACAATCGATAATGAGGACAAATATAATCAGTAAGCATAATAATTGGAGCACTCTTGCACAACTTTTCTGGTGAAATATTTTTATTACATATTAAAAAGTTTGAAAAAGCTAATAATACTACAACTTTCAAAGTATGAAACATTAAACAAATCATTATTTCTATTATGGCCTAACAAAATACAGTACAACATGTCCTGTTCTTCACAAAATGTGTAAATGACAAAGACAGCTCATAAACTTCAATCTTTTTACACAAAAATGATTCTTCATATATTTGGTACATGGCCTAAATTGAGTGGTTAATTTTTGTGGAATTTCTAAAATGTAGACAATTTAGCGGCTAATTTTTTTGAAGAGGAAAATGATATATATATATATATATGTATATATTTTTTTTGTGTGTATATTCCAGAATTTAAGTGTATACTTTAATGCATATTTTGTTATTTTGTATGCATTTTTAATGTATGAACATACGAGCTCTGGTTATCATATTCAAATTCTAAACATATTTATAAGTAAAAAGAGGAAATAAAAAACATTTACATAATAATGAAATCTAATTGTATGAATGAGCAATTGTTAATTTTGTACATTTACAATTAAAACAAGATTTAATTTGTTTCATTCACTTACTTCTTTGGTAAAACTATCAATAGTTAGAATATTTTTGCCAACAGGATTTTCAAGAAGGATTGTTAATGAATTTGAAGCACCATATCTACCAAATAATCCTTGAAGCTCCACATTAACAAATCTTAAAATAAAATGAATGTTTAAGTTATTTATTTAACAAAGAGTGTCACAAATTTTATATTTTAATATCAATTTACTTGCAAACTGGCAATGAGTTTTGATCACTATTTTCCTTTGTTAGAACAATTTTTAAATTTGCTTCTTTAAGCTAAAACATCAAAATGCTTTATCACAATTTTTAAATTATGTACCAGATTTGTATAGAATAAAAGATTGGCGTGTAGGATATTTTTTTAAATTAAATAATGCAAAATTAGTTACTGTTTGAGTTTCTTCAATTATTATATTTCCTACTGCTGGCCCATCAATGAATTGTACTTTTAAACTGTTTACTATAAAGTCATTCCATTCTTTAGCAACTCTTGATAATTCTCCAGTAGGACTTATATTATAATAAACTGTTATTACATCTGTAGGTATTAAATGAGCTTTTTTACGCAATTTCTGGACTCTGTTGATTATTTCACGAGCAGTGCCTTCATCCATCATACTCTGATCTGGTGTCACATTTAGTAGCACCAAAATCTATAGTAAATTAAATTGAAAATAAATACTGGAAAAAATTACATTATATTATAATTGCATTTAATTACATCATTATCTAGTTGTGCTTCATATTTTTTTGCCATTTCTTCAGCTTCAGGACCAGTAAAATCATATAATATTCTAAATTCAGTAGCGTCTAATTCATATTCTAAAACTTTGAGAGTTGGCTTTTTATCATCATCATTTTCTCCAATTACAGCAGATACTTCATTTTGCCATGCTTGAAGTTGTTCATTTGTTAATTCCTAAATAAATAATTGATGAATATAATAGTTAATACGTACATATTATATGTATAAACTGAATATTAGTTTAGATTAAGTTGACATACCCTTATAGCAGCTGTAACTCTTTTGAAATCAGATTTTAATCTGGAACCTAAAGTTTTATGATCAGGTTCAGCTCTAAGTTTGACATATCTACTTTTATTTTTGGTGAAACTAATAGATTTTACATTTAGTTCTTTTTCAATGTAATTACGAAACTCTTTAATGTTTTCAATAATTTTAGGATCATCGGCAACAATCATTAAATCAGGAAGAGGGTACTAATAAAAATATAAATTATAAATATTAAATTAAATTTACATATTCAAATAAATAATTTACTTTAATTGGTATTGTTTTACGATCTCTCATAACTCTTCCCATTTCAATTATATTTTGCATATTAGAGACACTCAGTTCTATATTTTTATCAATTAAATGTTCTCTAAATAGTATTAGATAAATATATTAAATATAATAATTATAATTTACAATAGTTTATATTTAGATATTTATATTAGAAAAATTAAATAACTTACTGAACTATAGGTACCATATGGAAATGAACACTACGTTCTTTAAGGTTTTCGATTTTCTTTAAATTTTGATACATCAATTCTGATATAAATGGTGTGTATGGAGCCATTAAACAGACCATAGTCATCAAAACATGATACAATGTATCTAAAGATTGTTGTCTATCAGCATGACCACATTCACCCTTAAGTCGTTGACGATTTAACCGAACATACCAGTTGGTTAATACATCAATAAATTTTACAAGTCTTGGCGCAACTGTATAAAGGCGATATGCTGACATTTCTCGACGTACAAATGCAATTAAAGATTGTGTCCATGATGTTATCCACCGATCCATTTTATTTTCACTGGGCACAGAGTAATAGTTTTTATTTGGTTTGTACATTTCATCCTGTCAATTAAAAATATATATCCAAATGAGTAAATTCTATAGCATTAAAAAAGTATTATTCAGTATTTTTTACTTACAGAAGAATATTGAATGTTTTGTATGAAAAACCGATAAGCATTATACCAAGGTAAAAATAAATCTTTCAATATTTCTTTAACTCCTTCTTCTTTGAATCTCAAATTTTCTGCTCTTACTACTGGTGAATTAATAAGGTATAACCGTAATGCATCAGCTCCAAATTTGTTTACAACCTAAATTTGAATTTAATTATATACATGTTAAAATTAAATTTAAATAAATTATTTATAAAGGAAAGAATTACATATTAAATTCGAAGTGAGGAATCTATTGGTATTACTGATGTTTTATTTATTTATTTTTCACACCTTTTATGAAAGAAAATGTTGTCTAATTGGTGTTTAAAATGGTAATTCTTTGTTTTTCCAAGGGTTTTTTAAAATAATTGGGAACTAAGAAAAAAATAATAGAAAAAATGGAAATATTTATAGTTAACTGTAGCGTTACTAATACCATTGTTTTGAATTTTTATAAAAGATATTTTCTACCAGAAATATAGCTTTAATCAAAAAATGCCAAGAAACCTTTTTTATTGCATTTTAGTTGAAAGGTGGCTAAAGAAGTAAGTCAATTTTGATTTTCCAAACAGTTTTTATATTAATTGGGAAAATCTAGATAGAGACGAAATGAAAACTGACAAATTTACAATATTACTATTTTATTAAGTTAAATTTTTACGCTTTGTTTTCTATTATAAATATTGCTTTAACAAAAAAAAAAAATGCAATAGATTCTTGTTGTTGTTGCACTTTTAATTGAGTTGGTGTGTAAGAAAGACGTTTTTTGATCTTCCCTAAAAGGTAAAAAGAACGGCACAATTTACGAAAATAAATGTTTTTATTATTTTCAAAGGTTTATCGTTGCTTACAAATATAAATTAAATTTCCCTTTATATCCTACCTTCCCAACTTTTCACCTTCAACAGTAGCCCACCCGTGATGTGAAGTGCATCTGTTTTTTTATATAATGGTTTTAAGATTTTGATGAAAATCATAAATATTACTGTCTTTCAAATCATAAATTAATGAACATTGCTCAGAATCATTTTTCATTAGCAAAAGTTGTTTACAAAAATAAAATAAATAACTATATGTATCCTACTTTTCTAACTACCTACAACAATGGCACACCCATCAGCAGTATCAGCTTTTTTAAAATTATTGGCATTGATCTAATATGCCTAAAAATTGAATTATAAATTTGACAAGTGATTAAAATAAACTAAATTAAATTAAATTAAATCTAAATTAAAGTACTTCCTTAATTATAATTAGAAATAGTTAAAAATTTAGAAGAATCAACATTATATACAGAGAGGCTTTCGGAAAATAAAAATATATTTTGTAATTTAGTGATATTAGTAATCAGGGGTTGGAAATTATTAATCAGATTATTTATGTAATTTAATCTATGTTACTTTTAATATTTAATTAATAATCAAAAAATACGTCTATTATTGTATTATTATAATTAATAACAACTTGTCTCATAAAATATGACTCATTATTATTATTATTATTTTTTTTTTCAAAGTAAAGATTCTAAAGTATATCAAATATTCTTAAATTAACACTAATATCTATAAAATCAAAAACTATAAAAAATTTAATTTTAATGTTACTCTGCTATTTCTTAAGTATCTTTTAAGATATATGCTATAAAATCCTAACCCTTGTTGAACATAATAATAGTAGTATACCTCCAATGGATCTGGATAATTCTTTTTACGTTTTGACATTTTCTGGCCATCTGAAGCTAGTACTAAACCATTTGCTATAAGATTCTTAAATGGAGGCTTGTTGAATAATGCTGTTGATATTACTAATAATGTATAAAACCTGAAAATTATACAATTTAATATTCATATTTATTATCTAACATATGTGTATATGTTATGGTTAAAATTAACATATATACTAATATTTTCTATTATATATTCTTAAGTTTAAATCAATTTTTAACTGTAAATCTATCAAAAATAATATTATAATGTAAATGTTCTAAAACTATAATTTGTATTATCTGTATAAATAAAACAATTATTAGTTTTAAGATTATTATTTGCATATGGGATAATTTTTTAAATTTATTTTCAATAATTTGAAGAGCATCATTTGAATGGTGGCACAACATTGCTATATTCAATATAAGTTGCTCTTTAAAAATCAAAATAAGGCACCTAATCGATTCACCACTAAAAATAAGGGTGAAAAATAAAGGACAATCTAACACTTTAGACTATAATTCTAAAAATGTTTTATCTAAGTAATTTAGTAGAAAAATAAGTATTTCATAATAAATTTGATTGTCATGAAATTTAAACAACCCTTTATATTGTTTGTATTAATTTATAACCTTAAAATTGAAATGAAAAGAAACTTTTTCTGATATTTTTGTATAAATTACTTTTATATTAGAATTATTATAGATACATAAATAATAAATAGTTTGATATTATTTGCTTTAAACCAAGATAGCATAAAATAATCTAATTGAAAACTAAAGTTATTTTAATAATATGGAATAAATGTTAGATGTTAATTGTACACAAATATAAAAAATTATTCATATTTTCAAAAATATAGTAACTTGTATTAAAAAAAATCACCCATCTATACAAAATATTTTGTTTATATAAAATTGTTGTTTAATCTTACCATCCTCTAGTTTGATCTATTCCCTCAGCAATAAAATCTGCTGGAAATTTTTCTAAAAATTCTTTTTTATTTTCAAATGGATAATGTTGCTGTGCATAAGGCATAGAACCTGATTCAAACCAGCAATCAAATACTTCAGTTATTCGTTGCAATGGTGGATACCCTGGTCTAGCTGATGGTATTGTCAATTTGTCAACTCTGAATTTTAAAAATGTATATAATATTTCAATTTTAATAGTTTATGAAAATACTGTATATAAATATATAAATATTACAAAAATTGATATATTGAATAAATAAACAGTTTGTAAAATTAATACAAAAAATTTATATGATTAAAAATATATATAAAAACCTAAAAACTCAAACCAATAAAAAAAAATTACGTTTCTCTATGAAGATCTGTTACAAGAACTCCAGTCATCTTATGTAGTTGTTCAATACTACTAATACAAACAATTTCCTTGCCATCTTCTGATACCCAAAGTGGAATAGGAGTTCCCCAATAACGATTACGGCTAACTGCCCAATCACGAGCATCTTTAAGCCAGTTCCCAAAACGTTTTTCCTTAACAAAATTTGGCACCCTAAAATATAAAAATAAATTTAAAAATAATAAGACCAAATGACTTAACAATGTTTTTTTTACCAATATGTAGCTTTATTGCAAGCTAAGAGATCTTGACTCATTTGTTGTACTCTAATGAACCATGATGGTACGGCTTTATAAATTAGTGGGGTTTCAGATCGCCAACAAAAAGGATAACTATGTTTAATAGAAGAAGCACTAATAAGTCTTCCCGTTTCTTTTAAATATTTTATAATGTTTTTATCAGCATCCTATTAAAATAAACACCTTTTATCCAATTTTATTTTATTTTATAAAATATTATTATAAATGTGACAAACTGTTCCATTTTTGAACCGAACCGAAAATTGCAAATAATCAAACCAAACCTAATACCCAATAATTTGGTTTGAAAATCATTTGATACAGATTCTGCACGATTACTAATACCATATCCTGTGGTAGAACCATAGATAAGTATGGTGAAACAAAGCTGCCTTATTACAAAAAAGAAAATTATTTTTTTCTCATATAATTTTAAAATTTTTTGACCTAACCTAACCTAATCTTTTTAATGTTAAAGTTCGATAAAATATTTTAAAAGTTCAGTTTGGTTTCGAATAAAAATGTATAAGTTCAGTTCGGTTCGGGTTCGTTAATTTTAAGGAATGTTTGGTTTGGTTTGTTACATCTATAAATATTATGTATTTACTTTAACATATTGTCCTTGAAAATCAGTGACAGGGTGTACAAATCTACCACTACCATCAACAGGGCAAATTATATCCTGATCCTTGGTAATTACTCCAGCAGCTAAACATACTCTATAATCATCTTCTCCAAAATATGGAGCTTGGTGAACTATACCGGTACCAGATTCAGCAGATACATAACCATCAGTTAAAATTAAAAAAGCACTTTCACACTGTATAATGACATTAACAGTATTATATTAAAAATAGTTATAGCTGTTAAAAGTAATTAATATAATTTACTTGTTTAAAATAAGAAAAAATTGGTTTGTATTTTAATCCTTTTAATTTTTCTCCAGGAAATTGATCTAGTATAACATAATCCTCTTTTTTTTTAAATAAAATATTTAATCGAGCTTCCATAAGGATAAATATTTTATCATTTGAATCTTTAACTTTCACATAAATTAATGTGGGATTGACACACAATGCTAAATTACTTGGTAAAGTCCAAGGTGTAGTAGTCCATGCAACCAGAGAAACTGAGGGATCATTTTCAAGAGGAAAACTAACTATCACTAAAATTACAAGTCAAATTTTATATTAATATGTATACACACATACACATACCTATGTATATTTTGTAAATAAAATTAAATTATTAACCTGCTGGATCTACTACTTCTTTATAATTCTGGCCAGATTCAAAATTTGATAATGGTGTACTACAAGCAGTTGAAAATGGCATCACTTTAACACCTCGATATACCATACCTTTATTCCAAAGTTCACTGAATACCCACCATACACTTTCCATAAACCATGGATATAATGTTTTGTAATCATTTTTAAAATCTATACAAATTAGAAAAGTTAAATTTTAAAATGTATAGTATTTAGTATAATAATTTAAATTATACCTATCCAACGACCTAATCTAGTGACAATAGTCTCCCAATCACTAGCATAACGCATAACAATTTTTCTACATTCAGCATTATATTTATCAATGCCCATTTTAGCTACATCTTCAGGTCCTTTTATTCCTAAAAGCTTATCAATTTCAAATTCCTGAAAATATTCCGAATTATTAATGTATTAATAATAATAAAGGCTATAGTTTTGTAAGTAATCCAACATAGATGATAACTGAATATTAACATTAAAAAAAAAATCAATTTTTCTGTTTAAAAAGTAACATAATTGCATTTTTATAATAATATAACTTTTATTATGCGAAAACTTAAATGTTTAAGATAAGTAAGTATGATTTAAATTAAAATGTTTTACCACTGGCAAACCATGTGTATCCCAACCAAATCTACGTTCAACATGATGACCTGTTTGATGTGCATACCGTGTTACAACATCTTTGATGGCACCCGCTAATATGTGACCATAATGAGGAAGGCCAGTGGCAAATGGAGGACCATCATAAAATGAAAACCTTTGGGAAAAAGTGATTTTAATATTTAATATACAGAATAAATGTTAAAGTCAATTACCTAGGTTTTCCCTTAGATTGTTTAAGACATTCATGAAATACGTCAATTTCTTTCCAGAACTCTAGTATTTTCTCTTCTTCCTTTGGAAAATTCAAATACTCCGCAGCAGCTTCTACCATTATTTACTTTTTAGGTGTGTTTTTCAACTTTTTAAGTCTACTGCACTACAATTAAAAATATTAAAGTATTAAACTTGAATTAATCACTACACAGTAAAGTGTACACATTACACACGGCAATACGGCATAGTGCATACCGATATTCAAGATATCAGGTTATCAATATACAAATAAATAATTATATCACCATAATACCAACATAATTTCTATCAATAATAATTTACAATATAATATTTAACATCGAATATTGTATATCAGTACACCACTGATAAGTGATAACATATAAACACTAAAGTCGTTACTCAGAATCAGTCCTTAGATCATATACCTTATGTATAATTTAAGTCTCAGACATTACTTACATTACTTCAGAGGAATCTTCGGTTCAATTCTATTGGGTGCATGGCAAACAATTTTTACTCTTGAATACCACCGCTTTGGTCAACAAAATCTTAAAACCTTTATATCTGATATCATTTCAACTTATATTAGCCTAGAAGAATACAAATGCAGTAAAACAGTACAATTTAAAAGTCAAATTAATTTTTTTCCCATTAAATAAATACAAATGCGATGATATGAATAACAAAAATAATAATAATAATTAATATAAATTAGATGACCAAGTACAAAATACTTTTATTTTAAGTAGCGTTTTGCAAGTGGTTTGATCAACAATATTTTCTATATAAATGTTTTCATTTCGATGAATATTTAAAAGTGATAATCAAACCTAACCTAACCGAACACAAATTTAAATATTGTTTTTATATTAAATATAAATTAAAACATTTATATTGGTCAATTGTTGTTAATATGTCTTTTTTATGGCAATTTTTAACATTCCATGCTGTTTTTTTTCTGAGTTTGTCTAGGTAATTCAAAACTGGGTAACTTTGTCATTAGGTATAAAAGAATTACATTTATAAGGATATATTTTTTTTTTATTTACTTATATATTATATACATAAATACATCTGCAATCTGCTCCGAAGCGGATTTAAAACCTAGTGACGTGATAAACTTTAAAAAATTATAATTTGAATTCGTTATTATATCTACTTAAGATAGGTCACGTAATTTTTAAAAAATTCGCACCTATTATGTTCAATCTTGATTATTAAGATTATATAATTTAAAAAAAAGTAAATAGAAATATTGTTTATATAGAATAACGGTTATCTAGAATCTAGATAACCGTATACGGAATTCAAATGGAAAATTCGTAAAGTGATGTGACCGATTTCAAGTAGACTTAATTATGAATTCAATTCAATTTTTTAAAGTTTTAACACATGACAAGTCCATCGGATGGATGGACAAAAGATTGGTTGTTACCTACTTGTTTTAGTCGAAAAACCAGTGGATATTATTTTACTCGTACACACGATATTGTACTATATAATATGTGTATGAGCGTGCGTGAGTGTCAGTGTTTATTTCTAGTTCCCACTACTATTACCGTATTAACAAAAATTAATCACGGATATTTACAACAAACAATAGTAATATCCCAGTATTATTCTTATTCAGTAATAGGATTCTAAATATATAACAATCTTTATTAAAGATAAATAATATTTGTACTTCCTTATATTATTCATATTTATGCTAGTATATTTCTGGATACCGAGTTATAACTTTATCATTAAGGCTATAGTATACTCGTTGTGATAGAGTAGTGTTATCTTTTAAATAATGTTATTTTTTAGTTATATTTAGCTATTGATATCACGCATTTACGCTGTATGTTAAATCGTGTACTATTCTATGGCAAAATTATTCTGAAGTGTCTGAATTTCTAATTTTAATTTTTCTTAGTATATTCCAACACCAAAAACAAAAATGTCAAACATCAAATGGAAGAAATCTTGGGTATTAGAGTGTGTTAATCCATTTAGGTGTAGAACAGTTCATGGTTATTGGATACACAAGTTGAACTATGGATTGGTAAATTTTTACTTTTGTAATTTAACATCATAATATGTATTACATGTAATGTAGAAATTAAAAATGTTGAATTTTTTCGTTTCAGAATAGTATTGGAAGAGCTCTTAATAATGACATTATTGTGGAAAATGAAACTGTATCTAAATATCATTGTCAATTGCGAATTGAAAATGACCTACCAATAATTAAAGATGTAGGAGTAAGTGAATATTATAAATGTATGATTCATATAAATATACTAACTACTTATTCTGAAAAAATTCCTACAGTGAAAAATATCAAAGTATTAAAAAATGGTACAGAGATTTTTCATTTATTTGGCCACTCAAAAGAAACAACAGCAGTTTTAATTTTGCAATATTCTTTGATCTTTTTTATTTTTTCTAACACATAATAGCTTTTAAATGTCATACAATATCATAATAGGTAGGTATTAAAAACTGTTTTATAGAACTTTTGCTGATATAATTTTACAAATAAACAACCAGTAATCAGATATTCAGATTTTTCTATTTCCCAACTTATCTAGTAAGTAGTAGTTAAGTATTTAACACAAAAAAAATAGGAAAACCAAAAAGGTGTGTATGAATTGCTTAGCTATGAGGGCATACAAACAATCAATCTATGATCTGTTTTATAATAGTTAAATTAAACAAATTTTCCCAGACCAGAAGCTTGTAATCAACTGAATTTTGTGTGTAAGGCATCTAAAGTTTATTTTTTTTTTGAATGAAGTAAATATTTTGCAACATTATACAGTGACGACATGGTAAATTATAATTTTATAATTATTATATTTATATAATAAAGATAATATCAATCGAAAAGGTCACAACTATGAATGTAATACCTATAATCACAAATAAATCTTAATTCTTGGTTTGCAACTCATGTACTGATGTCCAATAAGATAATTCATATTTTTGGTCTCACAATACTTTAGGTTGACTAAAGTTAAATTAAATTATAAGTTGTTAGCTAAGTATTTGTTTAATAGTTATTTACTATGTATCAAAATTAATATCATTAACAATTTTATACAATTGTTTTAAATATATGTATATTATTAGGCTGTTCCTTATTTTTGATCTTTCAATTTTTGTTTTAAAACTCAATTTTTTTATTATTATAACAAAGTATTTTTGGTAAAAATTTGATAATAATATGCAACAAGACTTTTGAAATTTTATAAAAGAGGGTTGTTTTATAGTTTTTTTAGTTTAACTGAAAATAAATTATAGCACTTATTACATATTATGTATAAGACTTTAATTATAAATTATAATAATATTTATAAAAATTATCCTTAAAAAATTTCTTCGAAATTTATTATTTTCGAAGAAATCTAATAAAAGAAAAGATACAGACATACTTTGCACATGGGTGTAGCCACTGTTGTAGGTGGGAAGTTGGGAAGGTAGGATACAGAAGAGAATTTAATGTATATCTGTAAGCAACAATAAACCATTGCTAACAAACAACGATTCTGAGCAGAGTTCAGTTGATAGTGATAGTCAACAATATATATGTTGTATTATGGTGAAAAAATTAAATAGGCATTATATATTTTCTTTAATAATATTTGTTTAATGTTGTACTGATTTCCCTCGTTTTTCCCGGTTTTTCAGACTTGCTCCAAAAACTCTTGGAAAAATTAAAAAATTACCTCCATCAAGTATTTTCTCCTTTAGGCTTGCTTTCAGAAAAAGTGCTATCATTGTAAATTGGAGCAAAATTGCACGTAGAAAAATTATTCCTAGAAAAGAGAAGGCCATAATATTTTTAGATTTTGATTGAAAAGAAGAAGCTTATGGTTTTACAAAGATTTTTTTTTTATTTGTGTAACTTTTATACCTGAAATCATGTGTATAAATGATTAATTGTGGAATTGGGAAAATACATTAAATAAAAATTATTTAGACATATATGGTATCTACATGTTATTAGTTATTACATAGATATTACGGTTAGCTCAGTTAACATTAGATTCTTTAGGTGAACCTAACTAAGCAAACTACTGACTGATACAATATTATATTTTGTTTAAATTATTTATTATTATTATTTTTGTCAGCTGTGTGTACAATATACACTCAAATCATTGATGATTAAACTATATTCAATTTTTTTTTATATAAGCATAATTTTGACAGTATATTTGCTTTGGGATTCATTTGCAAGAATTATTTTCTTCTGGGGTTTTTTTTTCTGAGGGTTTTATTCCTGGATTCCTATTTTATGTGGGCATTATTAATATTTTTAACTATACACCACAATTCTGTATACATTTAATAATGAACCAACAAATTCTATTTAATATATTTTCTTCCATTTTATTTACTCTTGAAACAAACATAACATTTTTTTTCTCTTATAACCATGAAAATTTGTATTTTAGATTTTGAGTAGAGCGAAGAAGCTTATGATTTTATAAAAATATTTATTTTTTTTTCTGTGAACAACTTTTCTACTATAAGATTTGTTCCAGTTTTATGCGTAACAACTTTTTTCAAAAGAAATTGGTGTGGAAGGTACCTACAGAGAGGTCATTTTTCGATTTCCTCAAGAGTTTTCTCATCAAATGCGAATAAACGGGAAAATGTACGAAATATATTTGAATAATATTCTGTTTTTTTTCCTTGGATAATTTTTCTACCAGGAATTTTGCTCTAGCTTTTAATGATAGCAATGTTTCTAAAAGTAATTTTTATTGGGGAGAAATTTTTATTTTTTCTGTTTTTCGATTTTCTCTAGAGTTTTCTCAACAAATATGAAAAACTGGGAAAAAAATAGGAAAACCAGGAAAAATGTAGAAAAACGGGGAAATCTGTACAACATTAAACAAATATTATTATAGAAAGTATATAGAGCCTACTTAATTATTTTACTATAATATGGCATATTATATATTGTTGACAAAGCATCACTATCAACTGAACTCCGCTCAGAATCCTTTATTCATAAACAATGCTTTATCATTACATACATAAAATTACCTATAACAGTGGCTGCACCCATCCCATTATCCTAGGACTTCTTTTTAATTTTGTTACTTATATATTTTATGTTACAACTCAAAATAAAAGACTAGTTAATTTACTTATGAGTTATGTTATTGAGATCACCTTTAATCTCATAAAATATTAGAATTTTGGAAAGATAATTACAATTTAATGTCTAAACAATTTATTTGTGATGTATTTATAAAAATAAATAAATTCTTTTTTCAGAGTAAAAATGGTACAATTGTACAAGGTGTTCTACTGGATGGCCTAGAACAATATATTTTAAAAGATAATGATATAATTAATTTATCAGATTATGAACAAGGTGTTTCATTTCAATTAATATGTATGTGTTTTGAATGAGCTTAAATATATTCTATGATAAGAATTGATGAACCAAGTCTTTATAATCAGACAGTTATTTTAGAAAAGCTGGAAATACAATAAGGAACTTCATATAATTTTGTGTAGACTTTCAAAAGGCGTATGATAGTTCTAATAGATAGATATAACTAGCAGAACCGAAATATTATAAGAATTCCCAAAGAATATAGTACATCAAACTGAAGCTCTAGCATAAAACACTAGTGCAGGTCAAAGTTGGGAACACAATATCAAGGATAGTGGAGAACATGATATGATTTCCTGGTGATTCCTTTCCACTAATCTATTTTAATTTAATTTTAGAAAAAGTGATCCAAGAAATGAAATTTGGAAGAGATGAAGGAATAATGGAGGATAGAACCTGTTTTAGTTTGCTCACCTATACTAACAATATATCTAGTCCTGCTAGGTGAAGAGTAACATAAAGTGGTAGACTTATTTAACAGATTAATAGAATCGGCGTAAAGACTGGAACTATATCTTAACACGGAGAAAATATAATATAATATCAAAGTTAGTAGTAAACTAGATAACGCTTCTGTAATGGAGTTCATAACCGTGGGTCAGTTCAAAAGACAAGTTCAAAAAAGTCAAACAATTCAAATATCTGGGCACAATTATAACACAGAAGAATGAATATTATATAGAAATTCAATAAAGAATTAAAATGAGAAAAAAATGTTGCTATGCATTAGGTAATCTACTGAGCTCTAGAGTACTCTTAAAAGAAGAAAAAATTCAATCATATGACCAATAGTCATGTATAGATCCGAATGTTCTATAGGACGTTATAGGTAATACCTACGGAAAACAGAGAAAGACAGAAGACTGACATTTAGTTCATATGGGTACCAGGTCACACTGATATTGTTGAAAATTTGTTCGCTGACAAGCTAGCTAAATCCTCTGCCTCCTATAGTTGCCCTTCAAATGCTAAAATTCCATGGTCCGATTTTATCCCCATCCTTAGAACTTGCACATCCAATCTTTGGCTCAAACATTGGGGTTCTCTCCTTCACTTTGTCACCTGGTACAGAAATATTTCTCCAACCATTCTAACACTACCCTGGTTTCACAACCTCAATCTTTCCAGAAAATACATAGTTTCATTTTCCCGTCGCCAGTTTGACTATACACGTCTTCCTTCTCATTTCTTGAAACTGAACGACTTCCCTCTCTGCACACTAATCAATGATCCAATGGTCTGAGATATTAACCACTTACTCTTTATTTGCCCTAGTCAATCGCCTATTGTCTCTTTTGAACGCCACCAATATCCCTTTCGATATTATAAATATTTTCTCTAACCAACAAAAAAATATCATATTAAATATATTATCTTTCTTTAATCATACAGTCTTTTTAATTTAATTTGTATATTATTATTCTTTTTCTTTATTTTTGTAAACTACTTTTATATTATTTTTAATTCATTGTTGAAACTAATTGCATCCACAAAGTTAAAAAAAATATATATATCTTTAATTTGCGATAGTTGAAAAAGCTAAAGAAGATGTGAATAATATTGAATGAAAATAACAACAAATAAACCATCGTAAATATATTCTGCTGACCTGTAGTAAATGAGCTTCTTTAAAATTGTTTAAAACTATTTGTTCTGAAGAAAGTACTAAATGTACACTTCGAAATTACAGAAATTGAGATAGGTACCCCCAAAACCCAATTCTTATTAGCTGGACTGACGAATAAAGATGAATGGGCACTTTACAAAAATGAACGGTTTTTGCTATATAATAACAAATTAAATTCAGATGACAGTATAATTGATTCTGCATTTGACAAAGGATTAAAATATTTAACTGAAGCACATACCTACTGGGTATTATGATGGTAACTTTTCGTTGAGTCCAGCAAACTTTTTGCAGTTATATAGGTATATATTTTTTGAGTGATAAAATAATATAATAATTTGTAACTGGTGTACTGTTTTATTCAACAAATAAAAAATTATAGTATCTACTTACAAAAAATAAAAAAACTTTAAAAGAATGTGACGAATGAAAATTTTACCCAGATCCACAAATTATAAATTAAGATTTTGAAAAAGCTACTATAAATGCAGCTCAGTGTATACACATGGTTATTTTTAAGACTTGTCTCAAAATATGTATAGCAAGATATAGGTGTTTAGTAACATTGATGAAAGTTTAAGAAACTTATGCTCTAGAATGACCGATAATGAAATATCAGAAGATCAATAAATATTAGCCATTGGATTCGTATACGAAATAAGTAGGAATAATTGTATTAAATTATTCATTTTACTTACTAATTATTTGTACTTAGGTAGATACATATTATTTTCAATTTCATTATTTATAATTAATAAATCAAACTTTGTCCGTGTATTTTTTACCTCCCGGGACTCTTTCCTACTCACATATGCAATATTCGTTACACTGGATTATATAGTATACTATATAAACAATTTATGTAAATAATATAAAGTTCAGTTATACGGAAGGCTCGTCAATGTATGTTCACAGCTGAGCTCACGAATTTAGATATTTTAATAATTCGTGGTTGTGGTCTAGAGTGCACTCTACCGTACTCCATCTATATTATATATCATAGACATATTAACTATTAATATGTCTATGTTATATATGGTGGTTTTACGGTAACCCGAACCGAATTGCAATAATCAGTGATAAGAAACACGCGCGCTTGATAATATGTTATTTACATTTTGTTTTTAAATAAGTATCTGATGGTTTTGTTAAAGTTTTTTTTTTAGTCTGTACCCAGTGCTTATTGTAAAATGAAGTTTTAAATGATTGTAAAATTTAATTTAGTTATTTCTGTTATTGAATATGTTCTTCTCTTCATCACAAATAACAGGAATCCACTAGATAAGTTTTATATATATGGCAACCATACATTTTAGAATTCTGATTCTGATTTTGTAGGGTTTTTGGTTGTATAATTTTTGATCATGGAGACCATTGAAGATTGCAAACCTGGCTGTGCTCTTAAATGTCTTCGAAATGTTGAAGATATTTCTGACAGTATCCATCCACTTAAATACGGAATGGTATGTAAATACTAAATGCATTTAGGATATTATATTATTATAACAGGTATACAAAGTCATTTATTTTATAATTATTGAATATGAGATATTTTACAATTTTGGGTTGAATGTTAGTTTTTGGTAAAAGAAAATAAATGTCAACATGTTGAAAAAACATTGTATAACATATGTTTGGGTACCCGTCCAGACAATTTATGTGTGAACCAATTTTGGATTTTTTTTCTACTACTTTTCAATAATACTCCATGACCAAGACTAGGTATTTATAATTTGTACACAAGTATAATTAATTATTTTTAAGATAAATTTTAATTATATTTGTAACAAAAGTATGATTTCATTTAAAATCCCTCACCTGTAAATTTGGTCCACCCTTTGGCCTTGCCTGTAGCTTTTGGGTATTGGAAACAATGCTGAAATATTGAAAAGTGTCTTATGTAATATTTGTTCAGGTATTTAATCAGAAAATTAATATGCAATTGGATCTTTTATTTTTTTAACGTTTTTCTTAACTTGCAATACTTGATCCTGCAGCTCTCAAAGAGGGATTTAAATAGTTTAAGAAGTTTCATTTATTTTATTTTTTTTGTACTTATGTCAATAAAAAACAATATTTCAATACAATTCATTGTTTATTTTTAGAATACTATTGGAAGAGGTTTATCTAATGATGTTGTACTAAAAAATTTGAATGTATCAAGAATTCACTGTCATTTACGAGTAGAAAAACAAGGATCTATTGATATTGCATTTATCAAGGATTTGGGTGTAAGAATTATTACTAACATTTTTGTAATATTAGATGTACATATAAATCACAACAATATACAGATAAATGGTTGATTTTGTTCATTGTAACATTGTTTAAAAACTCATAAATGATGAAACAATATAATATGTAAAATATTAAATAATATTGGTGTAATTTTAATAAGAATGATTTAAATTGTAAACATTTCTTATCAAATTTTAAATACCTTATTCTTATAAAAATATGCATTTACATATTATTATTGTGCAACACATTAAAATAGATATAAATATAAAATAAATAAATTAATGAATATGTCATTCATGGGGTATTATAAGTATATTTCAAATTAAAAATTGATCACAGTCAAAATGTAAAATTATTTTTATACATACATTTTTTATTTATATATTTATTTTCTTTATTCATTTATTTATGTTTAATAGAATTGAACTTTCATATTTTCTAAACTATGTCTAGGATATGACAGATTTATATTGCTTGACAGCAAAGCTAAATCTGACCAATATGTAATCATGTTATTCTTTATTATAGTTTAGTAATTGTAGCTCAATTAGAAGGCCCTCATCATCAGTAGATTTGGTTTAATGTAGTTTTTAAATTAGAGAACCAACTGGCAAGTGTATTATATCAGTCACAGTATATATAGATTAACGCTTTCAGGACAACACATTGAAAAAATAAAAAAACAATTTTTGGATTCTCTTTTTGTATCTTTTTCTAAGAAAGATTGTGAAGAAAAAAAATATATACATTTGTTTTATCCTTCCGTTTCATCCAGGGATTCATGAGTCCCGTCAGTTCTCTATAGTTTGGACTTAAAAGTCCCGTCAGTCATCTAGGATAATTTTTTTTTCACATATAAACAACGTAAAAATAAAGATTTAATTAATGATTTTTTTATTTAAATATAAAATAAAAAATACAAACAAATTTTTGATAATATTATTATTTAAATTTAATTATTATTATGTTTTTTAAACTTTGTGATATTCTCTGAAACAGTTTTTTTTTGTTCACTTACAAGTGGATATTGCAATGCGAATACTTTGAATGTGGACAAGTTCCTTAATTATTTGAGGTGCATATCTCGCAATGTCTTCGTTCGTCCACAAAAGTTGACCAGTGTGTACACCCTTTGGCAATGAAAGTGTGTTTTTCCCCTATTAACATTTTTTCCAATTTGAGTAGATATTTTGTTGATTATTGTGTAAGTAAATCTTGAACAACAGTTCTCCTACACTCCATAACCGATATTTTTTTAAAGAGTGAACAGATATAGTAGATCACATATGGGTTGACAAATCTGATATCGAGTAGCCTAAAAAAGTTTGTACTACCATTTACGGGACATACTTTCTATGTGTCTGCATCTATGATATCTGTGTGATCCATCCCACCCATGTACTTATTATAGCCTGACTGAAACTGGACATTTTAAAGCAACTAATTGCCAATTTTTTTTTTTTTCAATTTACTTTTTGTAGTTCAGTTTATTTTATTTTTATATTATTTTTTGTACAAAACTGTCAAAAAAAAAATTTTAAATTATTAAAATTTATCGTTATTAATATGATGCCTGACTGGACTTCAAAGTTCTGAACAGTAAAAAGTGCATAATATGTAACTTAATATATCCAGAATGTTTAAAAAGTAAAAAAAAAAAAAAACCATTATTTGCTATATGTATAAGTTTAAAAATTTACATGCTTTAACTTAATTAATTCAGCTTATTCAAATATGTAAATGTAGGTAATGACAGCACATGTATTAACAGAACTTGCATAAAAATAATTATGTAGGAAATTATAACAACAATCATTTTTTCTTCCATGATAACTTTTTCCAATAAAGTTTTCATGGTACGTAGACGGGACTTCTGTCAGTCATTAACAATGCTTTAATATAATTGTATACATTTAGATAATTCATTTTTTGGAGTAGACTTTTAAGTCCTGACAAGAAAATTTTGTATTACTTTACTATTGTTGTAAAATTTAATAGCAAGATCAATAGTGCTAGTAGCACCTCCCCATTTATCAAAAAAAAAAAAAATAATAATAATAATTAATACTATTTTATTTTTAGACATCAAATGGAACTATTGTAGGCAATATAAATTTATTAGAAAATAAAGAACATCAATTGAATGACTTGGATATGATTGTTTTAGCGAGTGGTGATGAAGGAGTAGTTTTACAATTTATTAATCAAATAGATCGAACTATTGATTTTTCAAATTTATATGTAAGTGTTAATTATTATATTTAATAAATATTATAAATTATTGAAGTATATATTTAAGTTATTATTTATTTAATATAGATAAATCAAATGAATAATAAAAGAAAAATACCATCTGTAGAAAATTTGGATGAACTAACTGCTGTAAAAGTACCAAGACTAGGTAAATTGTCGTTAGAATTTATTACCTCTAATAATCTAAACCTGTATTTAATAATTATGTGATTATTATGTATATTGGATTAGAATCTGGATAAGATCCAGTCAGTTCTTATTTTCATGTTGGTCCTAAGAAGTCAAGTTAAAGAAATAATAAATATACCATAGTCTATTTAATTTATATTTCATACTTTATCCAGTGTTATATTATAAATATTAGAAACTGCATATCAGGGTTTTTCAACATTTGGAAAGCAAATAATTTAATTGGTTTGCTCCATAATTTTAGAAGTTGAGAAATGAATGTTTTAAAAATTAAAAACAAGAAAAAGGTGAAAGGACTATAAAAAGGAAAAACAACTCTTCTCTACATTATATTTATTGATTAATATGATAACACAAAATAAAATTCCATTTATGGATTATATAGTGTACTATAATATTTAATAAATACATATTATTTGGGTGATCTTTATTTTATAGATGAAGTAAAAAAAGTTGGATAACAATGATTGAACACCCACTTATTTTATTTTTTAACAAGAGAGCAATTTTGTGCTGTAAAGGGTTCAAAAATAACTAAAAGGTGGTAGATTAACAATTTTTCAAATTTAATTTAGAAAACTAGCACTTACATAAAAATGTACTGGATCTTTAATATAGAACAATACAGTTATGTATAAAAAAGACAGACATACTTCCCACGTGGGTGGGCCATTGTTGTAGGTAAGAAGTTGGGAAAGAAAAGGGGAAATTTAATGTATATATTCTGTACACAACAATTAACCATTGCTAACGAAAAAACGATTCTGAGTAAAGTTCGTTTAATAGTGTTGTTTTGTCAACAATATGCAGGGTGATTCACTAAGTGTGCTCACTCTTTTTTTTTTTTTTTAATTTTGCATGTATTCAAATTCTAATTTTTGGAATTTTTAAGTGTATTTATAGCTAATGTTTTCAAATACTTAGATTTTTCACAACATTTAAGGAATATCCAGTGGCAATACCACTTTTTATTTCTCAAATGAGAACCTTTATTTAAAATTTCTTAAATAGACCAAGTATTACTTTAAATAAATGTTGGTGTCAAGTGAAATATCTTGTCAACCGGTTGATGGAATTCATAAATGTTAACACCAACATTTATTTAAATTAATCTAACTCCATCTATTTATGGAATTTTTAATAAAGGTTCTCATTTTAAATACCAAAGTTGGTAACGTCACAGGATACTCTTTAATTGTTGTGAAAAATCAGAATTTGAATATATGCAAAATAATCAATAAAATGAGCTGAACATACTTAGTGAATCACTCTATATATATGTCATATTATTGTAAAATAATCGCATATGCATTATAAATTTTCTTTAATAATATTTGTTTAATATTGTACCTATTTTCCCGGTTTTTCTTATGTTTTAGGGCACAAAATAAAGTCAACAACTTCAATTGTATTACCTACTTATTATTATTTAATTATAATTCTTTAATATGGTTTAAATGAATCTTTTCAGTTCCAAATGGTCCGGATATTTTTAAGAAACCATTATTAAATGAAAGTACATTTCTATCAAGCAAACCAAATGACTCACCTTATGTTACTAACAATTTACAATACATAAATTTAAATCAACCATCTACATCAAGTAATATTGTACACCCTATAAAAGATGATAATTGTAAAATTTCAGTAGCTGATGTAGGTGAAGTCTTATTAAATAATGTACAACCGTCCTCTTCTAATTGTACTATAATTACTCCTGTTGAAATAAAAACAGAACCAAATATTTCACAAATTCAATTTAGTCAAGGAACATATCGCAGTGAAGAAGATAGTGTTATTGTTATTTATTCGTCAGATGAAGAAAACAATGTAATAGATAATAATTCTGAACAACATAAAATAATTAAAATTGAACATGATGAGGAAATTAATTCTAAAAGTTCCACAGAAAATGCATATCCATCTACATCAAAAGTAGAAAATAATCTTAACAGTCTAGAATGGGAAAATGAATGTTATGAAATTTTAAGTGATGATGGAGAAGATTTAATTGATAGGCCATCCAAGTTGAACTCTAAAAATGATACTTCGATGAGTGTAAATGATGTTGACTCTAATAGTAAAATGCCACAAATTATTGAACCTCTTCCATTGAAACCTAATATAAAGAAAGGACAATCACACATACCTGAAAATGAAAATATAATAAAAACACGAGCTAAATCAGAAAAAAAATCCATTAATAAAAAGAAAGCGGAAAAAATGACTGTAGATCAAAATAAACAAATTATTGAAACGAGACGAAATAAACTTAAAGCACTTGCTAATAATAATTTTAAATCAAATTCCACTAACATAAATACATTAATTGATGATCAATCAATTACTGATGATACAATTGATAAACCCTCAACAACTGATATTTTAAACAGAAAAACTAGAAAATCAAGATTTCCACAAATTAATAATAATAATAACTGTAAGCCAAGCACATCCAAAGCTAATTTAACTACAGAACCAAAAAAAAATGAACAATTAAATATTCAAAAAAAAGTCACATTTAATTCCCAACAAGTGTTATCATTAAAACCAGATAATCAACTAGTAAAAAATGTGTCCTTAAATTGTAACAATATGGATTCTTCATCTACAAGTATGACTAGTCAGGTTAATTTTTCATTTTATGATACACTTAGTAGAATTTGTAAGTGGAATGCAGTGTGGTTATATGTAAGTTATTTTTTGTTGATGTTATGGTAACTTAACAGGTGCGTACTGGCCCATTATTTTTCAATGAATGTTTGTCATTATGGCTCTTAAGTTATTCACGTTTATTCACTTTTTTTCTACTCCTATTTTTTCAAATTTTAGCTTTGTGATTTTTGTTGGTACTTAAAGTGAGCCCCATTTAACTATTTCTCAGTATAAAAATGAAACCCAGTATGTGCCTGTAACTTCATATTAAATATTTCATAATTTGTTTTTTTTTTTGTGTGTATTAAGGAACAAAAATTTACAAATGGCACTCCACCATTGGTAAAATGTCTACAAAAAATGAAAGGACAATTTGAAAATTCATCTGAATATTCTGCTATTATAAAACCATTGTTACTACATGAAGTTTGGTCAAATATAAGTGAATCGTACAATATGTTAATTAGTAAAAATCCTAGTTTGGAGAAATGTTTTATTGAGAAAACATTAAAAAAGTATGAATTATTAATCAATATTTTATGAATATTAAATTGTGAAGTATAGAAAAAGCATATAATAATAATTTTTTTTATTATTGGTTTATTAACATTAAAAGGCAATTTAAACATGGTTATACAAATAATATATTCAACTAAGTTACAATAACTAAAATATTTTGTATGCCTCCTTAAGTGAACGTAATATTCATATGTGCCTGTCTTTCTTACAATTGTGTTTCTGCAAATTGTGTTCATCAAGGACAACATTTAGTCGTTCGTTTTATTTTTATAGTGAATTGACCTATTATCAAACTTAAAGATTACATTAAGAACATTAACTGTTTAACTATAGTGGTTTTTTTCTTCAATATTTTAATTTTTAAGTGAATTATTTCAATTTAAAAATGCTTATATCTCACATAAAATTAATTTATCATCCACTTGGTTTTTAAAATATGTTCATACCGTGTAGCTATAGATTATTTGGGATGGATAAATGTTAAATTATTTATAATAGGCTGACATGAAAAAAAGTGATTCAGGAGTTGGAAAAAAATGTTAAGTAAATATTTTACAATAGTAGGAGGGAAGGTTGAACATTTATATTAAAACTAACAGCACAATGTTGTCTCTGCAGAACGCAATGTTTTTATGATGTATACAACACATGTAGGTATTATGTCTTCTTAAGATTTAAGTTTTCACAAATATTATAGTATTTAGTTATATGCCCATTTACTTATCTTAATAAGTATATTTTTCTATGTGAAGAAAGTATACTACTGGAATTTCTACGTTATTTTAATACATTAATGATTTATTGTATATTTTATACCACTTTTTTAAAACTAGTTTGCTGTTTTTTATAGTTAATCTAAATGAATATCATTTATTTATTCCTATGTATATTTTTGTTTTAGTGATATACCTCTTCTTACATTTAGTGTTCAAAGTGTCAATACAGAATTTTCTTCATCTATACCAGCATTAAAACATATTAAAGAAGCATTGTGGAGTATAAAATGTATCGGTAAATATGTCTTTATACTATTAGATTATGTACTTTGTAAGATTATATAACAATTATAAACAAATATTTATATTTTATACTTTTATGCTAAATTTAAAAAAAAGTGCGTTTTTTTTACTATAAAGTGTACCACTACAGATAAAAGTAAAAGATTGTTGTGCACATTTAATAAATTGTATGTAACAAGTACAGATAATTGCATGGATAAATTGAACTGAAATCAATATTAAATTAAACTTTGTATGTAAACTGTGTCAGTCGGACCCCATTAAACCAGACTTCGTTTAATCTAGACAACCGTTAAATAATGCGTAAACTATGCAGTGTATGTCGCATACCAAAGTAAACGTGAAAACAAGTTCTACAAATTCCCCATAAATGCATGTTATCAGGTTTATTATTTATAATTTATATATGATACAAAGTCTTAAATCTATAATACATGCACGATTTTTTTTAGTCCTTGAAGCCTGTAAGCTTTTAAATAAAAAAAAAAAAAATACATGGTATTTGGTTATTTTATTAAATCCGAATTTTTGTTAATTTGGACAACCTAGAGCCCAAAATTAGTCCAGATTAATGAAGTTCTTTAGTAAAATATTATAAAATATAATGCTTATATAGTTAATAATAAACAATATTCTACAATTTTTTTTTTCTAACAGGTTTTGTGTTAGTGGGAAAAAATTAAATTTTTATTTTCATCCCTTAATCTCAAAAAAAAAAATTAATAAAAAAGCCATTTTGTATAAATATTATTTTTAAAAAAAAGAGCAGATACTGCTGATGGGTACATCAATGTTGTTGGTGGGAAGTTGGGAAGGTAGTATACTATAGGTTATTAAATTTATGTCTGTAAACATCAATTAACCATTGCCACTGAAAAATGATTCAGTTTGTTTATACATTAAAAGGCAATAATATTTACAATTTACATTAAAATGTTATCATAAAAAATCATTATAAATAAAAAAAATAACTATATTACACTCAACTTTTTTTTTACCACTTAGTACAACTTATAATGAACCTACTGTTGGATTTTTAAGTTGGTTAGACAATTTTATAATAAGGTGATAATAACAATTGAGTTTTAAATACTAATAGAATTACTAAATTTTATAAACATTCAGAAAATGTTTGTTGATCTTCAGAAATTGTAGGTGGTGCACCATAGCATGCCACTGGAAGTATATAAACCTATTTTTATGTTTAAAGAAATTTGAGAAGATTGTTAAGAAATAAAGAATTTAATGTAAATTTATTTGTTTTTCTTAGAAACAAAAGGGCAGAATAGAAGAATTTTAACAGAATCCAGATTTTCACTAAAAGGATGTTTATGCATTGTTGTAATACCGTCAAAGCACTTCAGTACAGATACTATTCCAGTGAAAAAGCCTACAAAATCTCGAAATATATTTTTTGCTTATGTTAATACTACAAGAAAAATTGGTAAACAATTGTTATTGCACAATATTAAATTATTTATTATGTTTTTTTATTTAGGTTACCAATTATGCATAGATCTTATTGTTACTCGAAAAACTGAACAAATTCCTAATGGAACTCCTATTCATTTGATGGTAAAAAATACTTTAAACTTATGCATTAAATTTTTAATAAGAATCATTGTTTATATTGATTTTTAAGTTCTAAGATTATGTTTAACATGTATATTATTGTTGTAAATATACTGCAAGCCACGCGAGAACGCATATTGAAGTGCTCTTACAGTATACAATGTGTTTGAATGGAAGCCAGTTGATTATGTTTTGTAAGGGGAATGTGCTAAAATATTTGAATTTCGGTCTCTCGTGGTCCACAGTATACAATGACACATTCTTCTTTTCCTTCCCCTTCATCTCAACTTTTGGAATATTCAATTTATTATATTACATTGTCTTTGTTATATACAAATTTATTTCAGATATTATATATAACTAAGACACAAAAATATTAGCATTCTCATATTATTATTGTAGACGCTTAAAACATTCAAAGTAAGAAAAAAAATTGTTTCATATTTTATTGATGTCATGTGCAGAATTTTCCGTTGTTATTTTTTAAATTTATAAAGTTATTTTACTAATTTAGCTATTACACTTTGATTTTCAAATAGTACAACTAAACGTATCCACAAAAGGTAGCCGTATTAGATTGTTATCTTCGATTTTATCGGACAATTCTGTTCATTTTCAATAATTTGGTTATTTTTAAAATTGTGTTGAGTAACATTGTACTGCATTATTATCTCACAATTTTATTTTGCATATTTTACAAATGTTAGTGTTTGTTTTGGTGATTTTAGGCGCATATTAAAGCACTAACAAATCACTGTTTTAATGCTACTTTTGAGCCCTGGTTATAACTATAAATGGAGAGTTTACAACCATTATGATATTGAAACTCATTATTTATTTTACTTGAATAATAACAATTTACTGGTATTTACCTTTCAGATAAACTTTAAACTAAATAAGCTTTATTTTAATTTTTCTTAATTATTGAGTACATTTATAAGAATAGTGTATAATATCAAAACATAAATACAAACCGAATATTATATAGTACAGTGAATTTTAATTTTTATACTGTTATATTCTCTTAGATGAAAATTAAATTTTTAGCTTTTTTTTTTTTTTTTTTTTAAGGCCTTTGAGACCATCTTGCCATAGAACAAATCCTTCCCCATTCTTCTCTATTCTCCTATTCTCTGCTACCTCCTTCCAATCCATGTGATTATATTCCACTCCACCAGCACTTAGGAAATCTTTTTTAATTCCATCTTCCCAGCGTAGCCTTGGTCTACCCAGTGGTCTTTTTTTCCTTGGGTTTTCTTGGAGTACCCTTTGAACCATTGAATCTTGCTTCCTAACTGCGTGGCCTGCCCATTCCAGCTTACTCCGCTNAAGTACTGGCGACAAGGCATCCCCCTGTCTAAGTCCGGTTCTTACCTCCACCATCCTCGATGTCGCGTTTCCTACTTTGACTTTGACTTTAGTCTGTCTTAAACTAGCTTCAACTAAATGAACTATTTTCCTTGGGAAGTGGAAATGCTTCAAAATTTCGGTTATGTTAGTTCTATCTATACTGTCATATGCCTTTTGAAAATCAATGAAGATAGCATGGAGTTCCTTATTATATTCCCAGCTCTTCTTGAATAACTGCCTGACTATAAATATCTGGTCTGTCGTTGACCTATTTTGCCTGAATCCACATTGATAGTCCCCCCCCCCCACTTGTTCGGCCAGAGGTNCTTTAGTCTGTCTTAAACTAGCTTCAACTAAATGAACTATTTTCCTTGGGAAGTGGAAATGCTTCAAAATTTCGGTTATGTTAGTTCTATCTATACTGTCATATGCCTTTTGAAAATCAACGAAGATAGCATGGAGTTCCTTATTATATTCCCAGCTCTTTTGGAATAACTGCCTGACTTTAAATATCTGGTCTGTCGTTGACCTATTTTGCCTGAATCCACATTGATAGTCTCCCACCACTTGTTCGGCCAGAGGTTTAATTCTATCCAGGATGCAATATGATAATACCTTATATGTTGTATCTAGCAACGCTATTCCTCTATAGTTACTACAGACTTGTTTGTCGCCTTTTTTGTGTATTGGGCATATATATGCTACTCTCCAATCTGTCGGTAAAATTTCCGTCTCCTACACTTCTTTTATTAACAAGTATATATTCTCTATCATGAAGCTGTCCGCATGCTTTAGAATTTCCCCTTGAAGGTCATCTTCCCCGGGTGACTTGTGGTTTTTGAGTCTTTTGATCTGTTGTTCGATTTCTTCCTTTGACGGGGGTGGGCAGGGGTCATCATTGGGTTCGTTTTGTCCATATGTAAATGTATCAACTGGTACTTCACAATTGAGTAGCTTTTCAAAGTATTCTGCCCATTTCTCCATTATTTCTTCCTGGTTCGTCACTAGGCTTCCACAGTCATTTTTCAGAAATTTTTCTTGTTTTCTACATCCGCCTTTAAAGCTATTTACCTTGTGATATAGCTGCCGTGTATTGTGTGATCTGTAATCTTGTTCTGCCTCCCTTATTACATTTTGAACATACTTTCTCTTTTCACATCTAAAAATGTTATGGGCTTCTTTCCTTTTAGCTCTAAAGATTCTTTCTATTTCCTGGTTGCTAGCATCATTTAGCCATCTTTCTCTTGCTATTTTCCTTCTTTTCAGGGCTTCTTGGCATATCACATTAAACCATGGTTTCTTCGTTCTATGAGCTTTCCTTAAAACTTTCTCCGACACATTTCCAAGGGTATGTTTAATTATTTTCCATTGCTCATCTACTGTTTCATGATTTGAGTTAAATTCTCGCGCCATTTTCTGTAAGTTCTCTTGAAACTCTTTAGCTTTCCTACTATCCCTGAATTTCTCAACATCATACCTGACAATTTCCGGTCTCACATTCCTACTCGTTGTTTTTAGCTTAACCCTAAGTTTGCTAGCTACTAGGAAATGGTCAGAGTCGCAGTCAGCTCCTCTGTATGTTCTCACATCCATTATGTTATTGGCAAATCTCTCATTTATTAATATATGGTCTATTTGGTTTACGTGCCTACCATCAGGCGACACCCACGTCCCTTTATGTATGTTCTTATGCGGGAACATTGTACTCTTGACTTTAAGACCTTTCCCTACAGCCAGATCCACAATTTTTGTGCCATTAAATTTTTAGCTATCCCTAAATATATTTTATGCTACAAAACCTGAATTTTTATATTTTTCGTGATCTTAAATAATTATTTGGTGATCTCCAGGTTAAGAATTATTGATATAATCTCTATAATTTAAATTTAATTAAAGTAATATTATCTCTCTGTGTGAAAGGACCAGAATACTCCCACCGTATATCTAAACTAAACCTGTCGTTAGAGGTAACAAATAAAATTTTGTCAGGTGGACAACTGATGTAACATTTTTTAAGTTTAATGAATTACCCGTATTTATTATATTTATAGTTAATAGACATTGAAATTTGACTTATCTTGGTTATTAATTATAACATTTTTAGGATATATTTTATTTACATTCAGAACTGCGTTTATTTCAAGCTATAGATAATATAACAACATCTCCACTAAAAAATGCACTTATCACTCCGCAATTGCATAACTACACCATTGATTATTCAAAAGTCAATTTAAAAAAATACAATGTAAATGTAAGTAATTTAGATCTTAGCATCTATCATTAATATAGATGATAAATTTTGTAATACTTTGATTTAGAGTTTAACGTTAAACAATAGTCAAAAGGAAGCAGTTGAAATGGCTGTATCAATTTGTTCATCAAGAGAACCAAATATAGGTTTGATAATTGGACCTCCTGGTACAGGCAAAACAAATGTTATCTGTAATATTGTTTTAACTGTAATATCCAAACTACGTACAGAGATTAATGTTAAACCTAAATTTCTTGTATGTGCACCTTCAAATGAAGCTGTTGATACCATAGTTAGACAATTAGTTGAGATTAAGAATGAAATACAAAGTGAGTTTATTTGATTTACACTTTATAGCTTAGATAAACGATTCCCAAACTATGGTTTGCGAAAAAACTCGTAAGTAATATGCGAAGATATTTTTTGATAAAGAAAAAAAAATTATTAGTTAAAAAGGAAGTTCATCAGTGTATAAATAATAATAAAAAGAGCTGGTACTACTTTTAAGTGCGCAGCTGTTGTAGATGGGAAGTTATTATTTTAAGTTAAGACAAAACACGACTGAGTGAAATTCAGTTGTTTTTAAATGTTTTTAAATGCTGTAATATTTACAATAGTCTTCAAATTTTGAACAAAAAAACTACTACATTACACTCTACTTATGTTTTATCACTAAGTACAAGTTAAAATGAACGTCGTGTTAAATGTCCAAGCATTTTTGTTTAGTCAAAAAATTGTATCCACATATTATTACCTACAAAATAAAAAACACTTAAATAAAAATATCTATATATAGCTCAAAAATCACCAAAATATTCTTTAAAATGTTACCATGTCAAAAAAACCCAAATATAAGTATTCCTTAAAAAGTTTAAGTCTACTCATTTTAACCTAAATTGCAACAAAAAAACAAAATTGAAAATAACGTAACAATTTTATCTAAATTTTTTCAATTATTAAGAAAACTACACAAAATAAAATCATAAAAAGACTTTCTTACTCACTAACTAGATCCAAAATGCACCGAAAATATCTCTTATTGTTTTCAATTGAAAATTTGTCAGAGCAATATTTCTGGTAAAAAAATGTTAAAATAATGAAATTGTAAATTTGTCAGTTTTCATGTTATGCCTTTTTCGGGTTTTTCTCAATTATGAAAGCTTCTAGGAAAATGAAATAATGATATCCATTCTCACCAAACAGACATAAAAGCTCACCAAAAAGCTACAACAAATGGCACTTGTTATTCTCTGATTGAAGTAAAATTTCTGATAGATAACATGATTCGTAAAAATTAAAAATAATGAAATTGGTAACGTCGTGACTCGACATAAATATTCATCTGTTTTTCCTATACATTTTTTTCAGTTCTTTCCAAATTTTTTGAAAACACTTTGTAAAATCAAAAAATTACCTCAATGCGACAACTAGATTTCAAATGCAATAAAAAAGATTTCTCGTCATTTTTTAATTGTAGTATGATTTCTAGTAGAAAAGTTTCTCACAGGCCCCCCAAGAAAACACATTGTAAAACTAATAGATACCTCCCTGTTACTCTCAGAATGTAAAATAATAACTGTACATTAGAGAGAACAATTTTTATTTTATAAAAAAAAATATAAAGTTGAATGTCTGATAATCAGGTTACCTATAATGACACAGTTTATCTATCAGACATTCTATTATTGGTTATTTAAGTTATTTAAGATTAGTAGTATAGGAAGTATAAAAAAATTATATTTTTAAATCTTTAAATTAAGTAGTAAATAACTCATAGAAATAATATACAGAATACACTGTGACAGTGACTTAATAATAATCGTACATCACACAGAGTATAAATGTCTTTGTATTATATTTAATGTGTCTTTCATAATTTCTAAACAAATTAATCTAAGGTTTATTTTACTAAACATATTAGTTTTGAAGAAGTTGCATATCATTAATTTTACTTTTGTACTTTAAACACTTATAATTATGTAAGTTTAATAATAAAAGGCTCCATACATTTAAAATAATGTATATGTTACGAGTAAATTAGGAAGTCGGGTTCAATTTTCAATTGAAAAGTTAGAATAAATTTACATTGTTTGGGTTTGTGCCCAACTAGATTTGGGCATTGTAGATTAAAAATTGAAAATATTAAAAATAAAATAAAACATCTTACTAGGTACTTTTTTAAACATAAAACTTGCAATAGTCTATCCGTTGAATTATTTAATTGTTAATAAAATGTAATTTTGTTGAGTACATATTAGGTATTATATTATTTTTATTTATTATTACATACGCCACTATTATAGTATTATGGCACTTTGAGTTACATGATTATCCATTGTATAATTTGATCAGAGCTGTATAGTATATACATTTTATTAATATTATATAATATTTTGTTAAATTTATTTAGATAAATTACAATTTAATGTAGTAAGAGTTGGTGCTGGACAAAAATATGACTCACATTCTCCTATTGTTGATGTACTACTGGATAATATAGTAAAACAAAAAATGAACTTTCCTTTACATGAAGCTGATGTAAGTTACAAATGAAAAATTATGATATTATGTTTTTGGCACTAGTTTTGTTATGCTTATCTTATCAGAAATAATGATGTATTATTATTTTTAATTTAAAACATAACAATTTCTGTATTTTAATGAAAATTCTAAATTAAGTTTAGAATTTAATTTTAACTGATTATTTTAAATGTATTACTAAAACTCCCATATTGTAAGTATTCTTACTTCATTCAGAAAGTAAAATATATTGTTAAATGTTAATTATTAAATGGCTATTACTTTTAATTAGCAACAAGGAAAATCAAATACGTATTTCCAATTTATGAATAAGAGAGATATTGAAAAAGATGTTCTTCAAAATACTGATATTGTTGTGACAACATTAAACTCCTGTTTTTCTCAAAGTATGGAAGATGCTTTTATGCCTTCAAAAGTCAAGTAAATAAAATATTTATTTTTTTCTATCATAAATATTACATACATTATATTGATTAATCTTCTTATAATAGGGCATTGAACAGTTGCCATTTTACTGCTTGTATAGTAGATGAAGCTGGACAATGTGTAGAACCTCTTAATTGTGTCCCACTAATACTTGGGATTGACAAATTAATTTTGGTTGGAGATGATAAACAGCTTCAACCATTAATAAAAAGCAAAGTCAGTAAATTAATTAGAAATACAATAAACTTAATAATTACATATATAGGATAGTGTGAATTTTACAATTTAAATTTTATTAACAAATTATTTTTTTCTGATACTTCTAGAATTAATTTTCAAACCTATTAGATTTTTGAAGTGTATAGGGAATTTTTTTTTTAAATTGAATTAATTTTCTTTTATTTTAGGTAGCCAAAGATCATGGCCTTGGTATTTCTCTGTTCAAACGACTTAAAACATGGTTTGAACAAAAGCGATATACACGAAAAAATAAACCGATAACAATGTTAGATACACAATACAGGATGCATAATGAAATTTGTTTGTTTCCCTCGTTATATTTTTACGGTGGTAAAATGAAATCTGCCGAATCTGTCAGTACCAGAATGGATTTATCATTTCAACCATATATTATACTAGAACATGAAAGCCGACAAGATAATTCAGGGTACAATTAAAACATATGTTTTCAATAGATTTCCTATAAATTATGTATTCAAATGTTTTTTAGTGAGTTAAATAATGATGAAGCACTTATGGTTGTGAGCTTGGTAGAAATTGTTTTGAACTCAGACTGTAATTCATTAACTATTGCAATTTTAACACCTTACCATAAACAGAGAGAACACATAAATATGTTATTAGAACGCAAGTAAGACAAAATATTTTAAATTTATGTATTGCTTATTGAAAAAAAAAATGTTTTGAAAGGGGGATATCAATAAATGTCAATACGGTAGATTCATTTCAAGGTGGTGAATGTGATATATTATTGATATCTACAGTTCGTACTACCGGAGTAGGTTTTATGGATGATATTTGTCGCTTAAATGTAGCTTTGACACGTGCCAAGCAATCATTAATTATTTGTGGGAACTTCATGTCATTGAAAGTGAGTTATCTTTTTTCTTATTTTCATTTTTAATTCAATTTATTTTTTTTATTTATTCTATTTATACATTTATAAAAGGGAGAACGAGTATGGTGCGACTTATTAGACAATGCAAAGAAACGTAAATTAATAAAAAAAGTATCAAAAAAAAGTATGACAAATTCTAGGGCTTTACTTGCTATGATAAAATATTGATCTATATTTAATATGTATTATGATTATATATAATAATACTGGTCATTTATTTTACTTTTATTTTTAATTATGTTTACAATATTTTATTAATTTCGAATGAAATTTTATATAAGACTTATAAACATTCTATCAAATTTATTATATTTGGTAAATACTTAAATATTATAATAATTAGTAATTACTTTATGAAAAATATACTTAAAGAAATATTTTATGTTTAGTTATTATTCCAATTGTAGATACATTTTTTTTAAAAATATTATATATAGGTTATACACTTTTATTTATTTACTTTATTTAACACCTCAAAATGGTAATGAGTACAGATAATATTACCTAAATTATTTAAATAAACTATTTAAAACTATTGATTTTAAATCATTTTAATTATTCAATACTCTTTAATCTGACTAGCAAATCAAAACAAAAATCAAAGTATGATACATTGTTATCATGAACCAAAATTTGGTACTCTGGACTACTAGCAATTAACTTATTAGAGCAATGAGGAACAAGAAAGGAAGGATTATTTCTTGAATTAAAAGAAGGTAGGTATCTTAACTTAATTTTTTTAAAAAAACTGGACAAATTAATAGTTCATTAATTAACTTCTAAATAAAAGCTACACCATTAAACAAGATTCTATTATGATTTTATGATACATTTATACTACATAAATTTTGGCAAAAATAGAACATAAATTGGGTTAAAGTCTCCTCAAATGAAGTCTTCATATAGTAGCTAATAAGTAATATATTACAGTATCCATCTACATATATATTTATTAGTCACTGTTGTCCCTCAAAAAATGTTTATTTATGTGTATGATAGTAAGTATACAATGATGTAACAAGAGTCATCTAGTCAACAAGAGAATCTTCTTAGACCAAGATTAGAGATAGTATGGGTAGTATGGCTCAACGAATCTTGAAAAATGTCTATCGAAATTAATAGCTAAGTATTGAAGAGGTGGAAATTGATTACAGTGACATTATAGGAAATTGTTATAGTGACTAAATGCAGTTACTATTCAAAAATAATATATAATTTTGTTTCCCTGCACTTAAATTATTGAATTCATAATAATTAGTAATTTGTACGTATTGTGTTTTAATTATAATTTTAATATGTCTTGTTGTATACCAAATTGTCGTTTCTAGGTTCCAAAAGACTGCAGTAAGATCTGAATGGTTGAAAGCTTTAGGACTTACCTAATTTCCACATTAAGTCTAGAGTTTGTCACGAACACATTAGAGACAGTAATATAATTGATTCATGGATATCTGGAAAAGGGGTTAACTAAACTGCGGGTATTTAGTTATTTCTTTTAATATCATTATTGTAGGTATACTCAAAAAAGTATTTACTTTTAAATATTTAAAAGTATCTAACTGCATAATGAAACCATACCTACACAAGTAACAAATGGATCAATAATTGTAGTAAATATACCCAATACCATAAACTGTAAATAGTACTTATTAGTTATTGCTCTAATACGAGTATACACGGGATGATTTTTTTTATTATCAACCAGCAATTGTCTCTGACGATTTTAAGTGAATTTGATTTTTGTTTTTTCTAATCATTATGGAATCGTTTAAGCTTTATTTTAAAACCATTTTTAATTTTTACCCCTACTCTACATACCTTAAATAAGTTCATACTTTTGATTTTCTAATAAATTGGGTGATAAAATGTCCCATCTATGACCCTTCCCTACTCCTCCGGTCTAAACTTTAAACTGTTGTAACTCATAAATGATAAATATGATATGTGTTATGCATATAAAAATGTCTAGAAAAATATGTGTTCAAAAGGGGGTTTTCCTTATTTAAGGTATGTAGAGTAGGGGTAAAAACTAAAAAAGTTCAAACAATTCCATAATGATTAGAAAAAACAGAAGTCAAATTCGTTTAAAATCCTGAGATAATTGATGGTTTATGATAAAAAAAATCACATTGTATATATTTTTTAAGAATAACAAGTTAAACATCGCTCAGGATTCTGAATTCTGATACTACAGTACGTTTCACGAAATTAGCGACTCCGCAGTGGCGCTTCTGGTAGTAGATTTTCACGAGGGTTTTCTAAACGTGACTAAAAAAGCGCGGTAATTTTTAACTCTGCAATCAACCATCAAACAGCTGGCCCTGTTGATATGAATTTTACCTTCCACTACCAAACATTTTATAACCACCATATATATTATACAATAAATAAAATAATTATTTTTATTCATATTTTTCAAAAACCGTGCAGTATTTCAAATTGTGTGCAAATTGGAGAAACCGCGGAACACCGAAATTTCACTACCAGAAGCGCCACTGCGGAGTCGCTAGTTTCGTGAAACGTACTGTAACTAGTAGCTAAATATACAAGATTTACCATCTTCTATAGACATAGATTGTAGTTGCGTGTATAGTCACTGTCACATATACGCACTAATGTTTGAATCTCCAGCTGTTTAATACTGATAAATAGAGATTCATTTCGGTAAACACTTTTCAAGTATGAGAATCATCTTGGGTCGATAAGCATCTATAGCCATAAATCGTATTCTAAATGCCAGACGGAACATTCACCATCGGGAACTGACAGGCGCACAGTGGGATAAAAAGCTTATCTGGCGCGCCAAAATCGTTGACATAATATATTATTATTTATATGTCTACCTTATCGTTTTTGATAAAATTTTTGCTACAATTCCACATGCATGCTGGATATGAGGGTTCATTGCACTTTTTCAATTATTTAACAATTGTTTTTTCAAATGGAGGCTAACTAAGCAGGTAAGTAATATACATTAAGATTACAAATTATTGCGCTGTTCTATCAGGTAAATGGAAAGCTAGTAACCGTTCTTACCTTGACTGCGTGATTGGTTAAAAAAAATTATTATTCTACCGTCTGATGGTACCTCTATCACAGATTTTGATAGTCAATGTGATGATAAATAATAAAATTAAAAAATAAATTGTATTTATAAACAAAATGTCAACAAATTCCTTAATAATGATTAAAAAAAATATATAACATTTTCTTTAATTATTTCACGCCTACATCCAACCACTGTGAAATAGCTCAAAAGTAATGATAATGTATATAGAAAAAACTAACAAAATCGAAAAACTTTAAAATAATGAAATCTTTAACACTATAAATGTGTTAGCTTTTCTTTTACATTTTTTTTCCGGTTTTTACAATTATAATAAAGACTACTTGGAAAATCAAAAAATGACTATGCTCATCAAAAAGATTGAAAAAGCAACAATAAAGATCTCTTGTTATTTTTTGATTGAAGCAATATTTTTGTTAGAAAATGGTTTTGGCGCGCTAGATGTCCATTCCATTACACTGTGAAGCGTGGTCAGTCCGAAAGGATCAAGAAAGATGGACTGATGTATAAGCCTAGTGTGGGAGAGCAAATTTCTACTCCGAAGACAGCTTATTAAAACACTTCGTTTATTATCTCACTTACTTCTGTCCTTGAAATGTAACTTCACTCATTGAAATGTGTTTTCATGCTGAATGTTCCGGTTAGATATTTAAGTCTATGTATAGAATAATTCTACAACGATACGTAATAAAACGTATTTAATTCCTTTTTAAAATCTGGCGCCACTACAGTGCCATCTACTGAATAATATAGTAAACTAACTGCATGATTACGAATATGAACACTAGAGAAATTAACAATTCTCTAGTGTTCATGATCCAAAATAACGATATTATAAATGACTGATCATTATTATTAATCATATTAATATCACAAGGTATGCCGACACTTGGGCCCAGAAAATTAGGTCCGAGACTTTAAAGCGCAATGACAATTGGTACCCAATATCAATAATATTCAAAATTAATGTAAAATGTATACTAATAACATATGAAATTTAAGGTAAAAATTCTGGATTTTATTGCAGTATCTATAGTATAGATTGTATACGTGTACAATACAATTGTTATTGTTTAATTCAATATAATTTATTATTAGACCTTTATTTTTTTTTTTGCTTTTTTCGGTTGATTGGCGTTCAACTTTTAAATATTTCTTTCTATTGTCAATATTCTCAATTATCAGTTGTTCAGTAATTAAAAAAAAGATTAAAAGATTTTGGATAAGAATTTATAATTTAACAATAATACGAGTTTTAATACCTATTTAGTATATTATATTCATGTTAATTCAACATTAAATGCACTCCATCCTTCGATATGGAAGTTTATCGACACGCTAAAAAATTAAGCACAATATTCTTAAGAAGAATTGTATAATTACAATTTGAATTGAATAATAAATATTCGCCCAAATGTACAGCGCTTAATTGTCATTGCGTCCAAACGTCTCGCAACCAAATGTCCACGCCCAATTGTCCCACGCCTAAGTGTCGTACGACAGTATCCATATCCTACTGAATATTATGAAGAAGTTTTATTTACCACACAAACTGGTCAAGCTAATATCAATTAGTTTTGGTGAAAGTACTTACGAGTGGGAAATACAATAGTTGACCCGATTGCAGTAAATTTAGGATAAGTACAAGGCGACCCACTATTGCCAATTTTGTTAAACATAGTACTGGAAAAGGTTATTAGAGAGATGAATAATGGTCCTTAGGAAGATATCAGACTGCAGGACACGGCGGTGGGGGTTTTAGCTTATGCAGATGATATAGTTTGGATGGAAGAAACTCAAAGGAGATTGAAGTTATTATTCAGTAGACTGTATAAAGCAGCATCAAAAATAGAATTAATCGTGAAGAAAAAACTGCGTATATGGTTTTGAGAAAACGAAATACACCGCTATGTCAGTTCATAAAAAATTGAACACAATGAATTTAAGAGTGTAAGGTAATTCAAATACCTTGGTACTACCTTAACTGAACATAATAATATAGCTAACGAGGTAGCCGCAAGAATCCAATCGGGCCGTGGCGGTGTCAGGCGTGGGCCAGAAAAATCTTCCTGGTCCTCGGCTGACCCACCCTGTATAATAACAAAGAAATTCTGTTTTATATTACACTTCATATTTTTAAATGTATAGAAATACGAAGAAATGTAGAGATCATTGTTATATTTTTAGATTCTGAGTGTAGCGAAGATGTATTAGTTTTAAGAAGATTTTTTTTTTTTTATGTGAACACTTTTTCTACAAGAAAGCTTATTCTGATGAGTCAGATGTATACGATGTTGACCTTTTTCTGAAAGAAAATTTTCTTAGAGTGGTACTTAAGAGAGGCCATTTGTATATTTTCTCAGGAGTTTCCTTATCAAATGAGAAAAAACTGGAAAATATATGAAATAAATTATTAAAATATTACGATTTTTTTCTGTGGATAACTTTTCTACTAGCAATTTTGCTCCAATTTACGATGATTCGCTTTTTCTAATCGATCAATTATAAAGCACAATTGGTTAGCAGGTGCCGTATTCATTTATATTCGAAATGTGGTGTTTAGGAGAATGTTAAAGATAAGCTGGATGGACAATTCTGCCAATCCAGCTTATTGATTATTCAACCAATAAAGAAATAATCAAAATAATATTTAGAAGAACTAAAATTATCAAAGAAAAACAAATTAAGAAAACGGATTCAATGGATAGGCCATTTAATACGACACGAGAGATTGTTACATTTTTAGACCTAATTATAAGAGGAAGCGTAGAAAGGAAGAACTACAGAGGAAGGCCAAGACTAGAATACATTCAATAATTAATAAAGAACCAAGTTTGCGACTCATATTTACAATTGAAAAGAGAAGCGTGGAAGATTGTTGCAATGGATTGTACGGATTAAAACCAAAGAAACTATTGTAATTTCGGAAACCAATATTTCGTACAATTACATTCCCAGCTTTTACATGCGTCCTTTATACGTTACACTACTTGATGGCATGAGTGTCACTTAAAATTTAGATTTCGGAAATATACGATTTGTGTGTTTATTTTTCCGGATTTCTAAAGTCCGGGACTATACAGTGAATGTATATATTTTTTTTGGAAAATACGGTCTGGGACTATACGGTACGAATATTTTGAAATTACGGAAACATAATTAAATAAAAAATCGGTTTTTTGATATTTTAAAATCATTTTTATTAATCTGATAGTTAAAAATAGTTTCAGTATAGTGATATTTTCAAAGAATACATTTATTTTTTGGAGCATTTTAAAAATAAAAATAAAACTGCATTCAAAACTAAAATAAATATGTGATAATAGAACTACTGACAGCTGACAAGGTAGACGGATAATACAATAAACATAATTATATAAATATAATTTATTATATTATTATCCGTGGATTCAGTGGCGTATTTAAGGGAAGTGTCTGAGGGTTAACTCCTCCAATATTTTTCCTAGTTCTATTCATTACTGAAGTATCGCAAAATATTGTTGACAAATTATGAAATATTTTAAAACTGCTTTGAAAATTTCTGTCGTGGATTAATAATAATTGGAGACTACCAAACGATAATAATATTAGGTTTATGTGTATTACATAAATACATTGTGAATATACGAATATAGAAAATTAATTTAACTAATATAGGAAATTACTCGATAAAGTTTTAAATTAGTTTCAATTAATTCAGTTAAATCGTTTATAATTTACTCTCATAATTGTATTATAATCAAAAATTTAAATAGTAATCATAGGATTTTTTTATAAGAAAATTACCACTTATAAGGTTTTAAGCCTTTAAGGTGTACTATAATCAGGTATAAATTCGTGATGAAGCTATGTTAATATTTGTGGAGAAAAAGTATTGTCAGGAATCAGGATACCCCCCCAAAAAAGCCCAAAATACGCTACTGCATGGATTAATCCATCTAACTGTTAGGTCCTAACACCTTGCCTACAGACTGTAAATTAATTTCACGAAAAGCGGCCCTCGACGGTAGCGCGACTGATGACTCAATTTCAGGATAACAGTGGTTCTTAATATTGGCCAGTAGAGAGCGGCTCTACGGAAGGCTGGTAGGTAACTCTACGAAACAAGTGGTCGAACATCATCATTGTTTGACACATGTTTTAGAGCCCCTGCGTTAAAATGTCCACCAGCCGCGCTACCGTCGAAGAACACTTCGTTAAATCTACTATAGTTAGTACTTAGTAGTTGCCTGACACTGCCACGATGAGTCCTTTTCTAGGTAAGTAGAATATACAAATAATAAATATTATTTTACTTTAATGTACTTACAACAGAAAAGAAATTATTTCATATTAATGTTAGTTTTTTTTTTTTTTGTTGTTGGTAGGTACTTTTATATTATTATTCTATGGATAGACCCTTCAATTTTTTCAAGATAGAAATTCACCTTGATGCATAATTATTTAAATGTTACTTAAAACAAATTCAAGTATCCCCTAAAAAAAATTCTGTAAAACTGTATTATATAATCGATAATTAGGTGACAATTGTTACATAAAGTATATCTTAAGTGGTTAATCGTCTGCACTGACCATTCCGTAAATAAATATTGTTCACAGAGGTCTATAATTGTATAATTTAAATTGTAATTTAAAATCAGTAATTCAACCATTTTTATTTATTGGATTTTCTCATAGACCTTATAGGTACTATAATGTGATTATAAATACTATAGTATTTACTATTTATTAGGTAGTAATATTAAAAAAGTAGCAGTCATTGTTACTTTTCACTGTGATTCAATGAGTAGCAGTAATAGTGTCTGTTACTCATACATTAAGTAAACATCAGTGATATTAAATTTTCTAACTGAAATTTGTTTAACTGTGAAAAATGTTTAAGACTGTGATATTATGAAATGTGAATAATATGTAATTATTTCTACTTGCTACCATAGTTATATTATAGGTACATTAAGTATACTATTATAGCCTATAGGTATATGTAGGACATGTAAGTACATTTATATATATCTATGGTTGCTACTTGACATTTTATTTGTTGTCAAAGTAGCTTCTTTTGGAAAAAAAATATTTTACATTGAAACATAAAAATAAATCAATGATTCATGATTTTAGATAGGTATTTATTAATTTATTGTATTAATTTGTATTCATTATTTTTTAACTAATGATTATTATTTCACATTTACACTCATGGATATTAATAATTTATTATCTGTGATCTATTTGATATCAAGACTAAAATAAATAGAGTAGTACCCATGGTTGAAATATACAAGTTTATTGCCATGAAGACTAGAATAAGGAGACCGACTTTGCCTTTGATAATGTCAAAATTATAAAAATGTAGTAAAAAAATTGCTGTAAACTCTCCCGTTTGCCACGTTTTCCCAGATTTTCTCAATTATGAAACGACAAGGAAAATTAAAATATGACCTCCCCAATGCACCAACGTAATCAAAATTGTTTATAGTATCTGGGTTGAGTTTAGGTTAGGTAAACTGCGTTGTCCCTCCTACTAGGAAGAGATTCACGCATTACACTTTGAACACTTCTGATTGATTTTCACAAGTTTGACCCTTAGACACTCGCAAATGATCAATGTAATTTATGTACTATAGAAGAAATAACTAATTTTAAACATTTTGAATTTAAGTAATACTACCTATGTAATAAGTAATTACAGTTTGTTTAAACGTGCTCCGGTTTTTGGCTTGATTGCACTTTATTTGAATTTTTAGAAATTCGTCCTTAGGTCCTTTTAGATTTAGAGAGGAACGAAGGATCTTTTGATTTTACTATGATGTGTGTGTTTTGTCTTTTATTTTGTAATGATATGCTATTTAAGCTATTATATATAGTTAAAATAAAATGTAAAATCAATAATGTAAAATAATTATAATAATTGATAGCCATTAAGTATTAGATAAGTTGTTAGCATTAACCAGATTAAGACAACACATTTACACACGCACACACACATAGGTCTCCAGTCATAAGGAGGCCGGTCCCTTCTAATCAGCTCTGTGTGTGTATTGTTCCCGTTCCTTTTGGACAGATGATCACAAGCGAGTATAAAGACTACGCAGAGATTCTTACAAAAGGACGGGAACCTACAGTGGCGGATCGTACTATGGGGTAAACGGGCACGTGCCCTACCTACAAAATTGAAAGAAAGAAGGGAAATTATATTAAATTAAAATTGAGTTGGTGTTTCCATCATAATAATATAGTTGGCTATAATAAATTTTTATAATATCTTTAAAAAAAAATGTAATCAAAATAAATACGGGTGCTCCTGCGTACAATACGTACGATACTATATTATACGGGCGTTGGGTGGCGGGCACAACGAATTTGAAGGTTCCGAACCTAGAACAGTGTTGTATGATTAAAAATTAATAAAAAAAAACAATTAGTATATTAAAATCTTTTTATTTACTTCGGTCACCCTTATCCGATTCAACAGATCGATTGCCGCCTGAAGGAGAAAGGTAATTCAATTTATAACTAATTTACACATTTGAATCAATTTTATATAGTTAGGCTGACCATATTTTTGATTACAACAATTTTTAGTGTCTGAAAAGAAATTTTATCTAGTTGATTCATTGATAATGTAATTTTTTGATTTTATAATGGTTTTTCAAAAGAATTCGAAAAAACTGCAAACATTTATGATCTAACGCAGCGTTACGATTTCATTATTTTAAATTTGTATGCATGATTTTTTTCTACCAAGGAACATTGCTCCAATAGAAAAGCGTATAGAGACCTTTTTTGCAATTGTGATATATAGTTAGTAAATAATTTATTTTTTTAATAATTGAGCAAAACCGAAAAAAAAAACGTGTACGAAAATAATAAAAGTATTATTTTTTTTTTTTTTTATAATTCATTTTAAATTATATTATAGTTTTATATTTGTCATTTATAGAACTATTTGGCGATCGAAGCAAATTTTGTAAACAAATTGAACATTTAATGTCGTCGATAGACCGGATAAACAATGATTCCTCGGTCAAAGAACAGCTCGATCGACTTAGAGTGTCTATTGAAAGCTGCATAAAAGAATGCGGACGTATTTATATTTTTGGTTCTCGAATGTATGGAATTGCACAAGACAACAGTGACGTGGACTTTTATTTTGACCCTGGTTGGTATTTGTTTATAAATTAATAACAAATTGAGTAGTACCTATAGGTACAAACGATGTACCTTTACTATATACTTAGGCAGATCAGGTGATGGGTTATTATTAAAGAGTTTAATATTAAACTCTTTGAAATTGAGCGGCTGTCAATATTAATGAGTGAGAATCAAACTATTTTCGACTTTGTGATGCATATTCTGTATGATGAGTATAAAGAAAAAAAATAATTTATCCCCGTTGCATGTATGAAAAGAGTTTGCAATCAACATATCTATAATATATCTGATATCAAATTGTAGATAAAATAGATCAGGAATGGTTAACATAAATATGTTCGCGAGCCACAGGGATAAATACAATGATATTAAGAGCCAGAAAACGGGAGTTAAGGGCTTATTTATCTTTAAGATGAGAATGGCAGAGGCTCTTTAGATTGTGTTTTTAAGATATTCGTAACGTTTTTTACCAGAAATTCTTTTTCCTCAATTTCTTCTTTAATGAGATCTGTTGGGATTGTATGATGTAGATTCCTGATAACAATTCTTAAAGACTTTTCTTCGTGTGTCTGGTACGTGTAGTGCTCGAATTTGTTGTCATTGAGCAGCTTTATTACAGCACGAAAGGAATTGGTAGAGTGAACGTTTAGCTTGATATTTTTTTTAGACGATTTTCATAGGAAACTCTCAGTTTTCGTTATTAATTCTAAGTTCTTACAAAGATTGACGTAATTAAGCGGAGTTTTTATGAAAATTGGTGGTGGGGGTAATGGTGGAGGTGGTTTGTTGGGTTCGATGTCAGTTACAAGTTCGGTGTCAGTTACGAGGTCCATATTATCATCCGCGAGATTTGCTAATGAAAAAAATCGATTTGAAGAAATAAAATTGTTTTCGTTGTTTTTTTTTTTACAAGGTGAGATAATATTATTATACCTGTTGCGTTTGTTTGTTTCAACGTTTTGCTAATCCAGGTCGTTACATAAAAAGGTCAGCGGAGATACGTCTTCTCCTTTCGTTATGTACATAGGTGGTTTCTTGATAACTAACGGAGATATGCATTTTACCTGTTTATTTTTGATTATTAGGGGTTTTGTCAGGCTCATGACGTGGTAGGATATTGATAACGCCGCGGGTTGTGGCCAGTGACTCCGCGGCGGTAGTATGGGCGATGTATAGGTTTTTATATTTTAAATGTACACGAAATATTTCCGTAAAACGGCGATATTAAAATTTAATTGACAAGTAGTGTATGTCTAAGTACTCAATCATTTTAATTGACGCGATAAGCGAGCAGCTACAGTGCGCGTGTGAAACGGATGTCGCTGTCTAATTAGCCAAAAAAAATAAAATAAAAATAAAATTCATAATAATAGTTTTTTAATATGATTTTTTTTTAATAAGACGTGGGTCTTAAGTTGACCTCCCTTGGTATATAGGTGATTTAGAAGTGTGCTCACTCGGTCAACGGGTTGACGGGAATCAACAATTTTAATACCAACATTTATACAAAGTAATACTCTATCTATTTATAGAATTTATAACATTGGTTTTCATTTTAAAAAACAAAGTTGGTATCACCACAGGATGCTCCTTAAATTTTATGAAAAATCTAAGCATTCGAAAATATTGGCCATAGTACTACACTTACAAATTATCAAAAATTAGAATTGTAATATATATATATATATATATATGCAAAATTCAACCAAAAAAATAGAGTGAACACACACTTAAATACATTTTAGGACATAATAAAACAATTTAAATCTATATATCGAAAAAATATTAATATATTGATTCGAAATTTAAGATTTTAAGAGTATACGGTTTTGAATATTTCCAATATTATTATAAGTACAGCATTTTTAAATTGTACGTATCTAGGTAGTTAGCTAATTTATAGTTAAATAAAAAATGATCTTTAACTTTCTCTTTCTCGTATTATATTAGGTGATTGTTTTTCCGGAAAAATTGCCGGCGACCGTTCTCGACAACTACAGTTAATTGATTTGTTCATTAGAGCATTAGAAAATAATAAAGAATTCATTGGATTAGAAGTTCTTACAACAACACGAGTACCGATTGTCCGTTTTTTCCATAATACCACCAATTTTAAGTGTGATGTGCAATTTCGCAGTGGACTTGCTGTGCGAAATTCGGAACTCATTAAGTACGCAGGAAATATCACTAGACTATAAATAATAAATATACGAAAATACGTTGTAACGGTAATATTTCAATTTACGATAGTCCTATAGTCATAGTATACAACTAAATACAATAGTAGGTTATATATTCTCACATAAACCTAAACTATGTGCATGTAGCAAGAAAGTTACCACTGGGTCTATAATAAATAAACTACAGGATTAGACAGTATCTTGTATCTAAATAATATTTCGACCAGAACTTTTATTCTTTTCATGTTTTTAAGTGTTTTAATTATGTATACACAATAAGATCTTTCAAATTTCATATTACAGTTAAATATTCATGTATACTTATTTTTTCAAGAAATGCACACTATAAAATATAAAACACTAGTCACAATATGGTTCCTATATATTAAGTGATTTTTTGAGAAACAGAAAGTATTTCTTGGAAAATTTGACTGTAACATCAAATTTGGAAGACCCTGTATAGGTAAACATTTTTTAACTAACAATTTATTCTGTATGTTAATAACTTTCTTATTTGTGTTTTCAAAAAATATCTTATATAGATTATATTTATCAATGGATGAAAGAGTACGTTGGGTAGTCTCTGCTGTTAAACATTGGGCTGTTACTTTTGATCTCATTGGCGACGATTTTTCTACTTTTTCTGTAATCTGGTTGGTGTTATTTATTATGATGCAATACAAAATTGTGCCACCTATTATAGATTTATGGGAAAAGTGTCATAATTTTGAACCAAATCATATTGAAGGTAATGTATATGCGATATAAGTAAACTATACTATTATACTAACTTTCGTACTGACAGTTCAACATGAACAAACAAGATTTAATTTTACTTTTCAAAATCTTTAACTTAAATGACACTAAACTTGACTCAAAATTCAGGATCTTAAATCGTTTCCGGAATTTGAATTTGCATACCTACATCAAATAAAACTATTCTGCAATGGTTAAATAAATCGTTTACTAATACTAGTAGCTTATTTAATAGTTTTTCAAATATTAACTTTGCTTGTAACTATGCTGGTTGCAAGTTGCTCTTGCGTGAGATCATTTTTTACATTTTGTCTAGTAAAACATAAACTCAGAAGCTGTATGACAAAATCGATTAGGTCAGTGATATTAGTATTTGTCGAACAAGAAGCATCTGTATTAGATTCAGAAGATATTATTGAGTATTGTTATATTTATCAACTTGAACTTGAACTTTAATTTTTTTCAACATAATAATAATAATAAACTTATAATTTGTACATGTTTTTATTTTTTTTTTTAATTTTATTTGTGTATTTTCAGTTAGGTCCTTTAATTCAGTATAATATAATTTTTATTGTTAAATTCATCAACATTTTTTTATGTATCGAAAATTTCAGTAGACACGCGCAATCTTGGTCATTTAAAACAAATATCTTCACAATTGTTTTACATAAAGTATGAGTGGGTACTATTGGATATAAATTAGAATGATTTATAATTTAAGTTGTAACCCCGTAAAAAAGGTCTGAAACCCCTATCTATATATTAATATGTTTAACGATTTCTTGTCACATTATTGTTTTATAACAACGAAATTAAATAATGATACTTTTTTTTTTGTGAAATCAAGGTAATTTATAAATTAATATAAATTATACGATATTCATATCAAATACCCCGTATTAGTCTGCTTTAGGGTTTCAATTCGAGGGTATAGCCTATATCATCCAAGATTAATGCATAGCTTTTTACCAGTTAAAGGATTTTCAGAATCAGATCTGCAGTTCCAAAGATTACCTCCTATACATATATACATACATATATATATATATATAACTTTTTATTTTAAAATTAAAAGTACGAAAACCTAATAATAATAGCTGTTTTCTTTTGTGTTACCAAGGTAACTTTTAAATTAACAAAACCGTGTATGCAATGTGGGACGTTAATTTTACACGATTTTATATAGTCATTGAATTTAGCGTTTGAACTGTGAAAAATGAAATCTGGTTAGTTTATTAAACACCATGGTAACATAAGGAATCTAAAAAAAATTTTTTTTTGAAAATCGGTCCAGTAGTTTTAGAAATTATTATCTACTTGCAAACAAATTTAACCAATCAAATATTTAATAAAGTACAGAATAACTATAGATTATTACTGTTGCAACAATAAAAAGATATCCTAGGATAATGGGGACGGGTGCAGCCATACTATTATAGGTAATTTAATGTATATCTGTTTGCAACGATTAACCATTGCTAACAAAAAAACGATTTTGAGCGGAGTTCAGTTAATAATGATGCTTTGTTAACAATGTATATGTCATATTATGGTAAAATAATTAAAAAGTAATTATATATTATCTTTCATAATATTTGTTTACTGTACCGATTTTCTCGTTTTTCCTCGCGTTTTTTTTTGGTTTTTCACATTTGTTAAGAAAAATTCTGATAAAATCGAAAAAAGCCTCTCTAAAGTACCTCCCCAGTCAAATTTCCTTTTAGAAAATTGATATCATTATAAATTGGAGCAAAATTGCTTGTAGAAAAGTTATCCACAAAAACATCTTTGTAAACCGATAACCTTCTTCGCTCCAATCTAAACCTAAAACATAAAAGTATAAAGTCCAAAACCTTTTTACATAACTATCGAATCTTTATATATTATAACGGATTACTAACAAGGGTAAAATTGAAAAAACCTTTTATTAAAAGTAATATAGGTAATATAACTAATGTTTACCTAAATCTAAATGTAAGTAAAGAAAATGTAAATATAAATTGATAACTATCTACGATTGTATAAGCTAACTCCACTAAAGAATGAAAGTTTAAGTTGGTAAAGTAGCTTTTATCAGTAAAGGATTTAACAAATAATTAGTGTATAGAAAACTGAGAAAAATAAAAATCTATCTATCATGGATTTATTTATTTTTCGTTGCTCCCTCTTGCGTCTAGATAGTATTAAATTTGTTTTAAGACAATTATATTTATAAAAAAATTATCTTATGATAAAAAAATAAAAAACAAAAACAAATAGTTTCCTTTTTCTCCTTTTTGAACCAATATGTATTTTATACCAAACTTGAATTTTCTGTATGTTGATTTGGGCGCAACCTTTTATTATAAATACATTGTTAAATAAAATGTATAAATAAATTTTAAACGATGTGCGTATTCTAATGCGACTCATAAATATAATATTTTTTCTGCATAAATTATCGTTGTATAGTGACTAAAATAAAAATTACATTCATTGCTAGCCTCTAGTTTGTACATACTTACACTAGTACAAAATATTGTTGTCCTGAAATCAAAGCACGTCGTCTAAATTCCAGATACTTGTATCTAAATTAATTCAGTCAATATTTGAATTAATAAAACCTATTAAAAAAGCCACTATGGCGGCTTATTATAAATGTATAAACAATATTTCCGTAGTGGTACCTATGATTATTTATCTATATTAATCTATATAATTATTAGAAGTAAAAGGTGAAGAAGGATGTGATTAAGAATGATATGAGAACAGTAGATGTATGCAAGGACGATGAGAGGGATGTGGTCAAATGGAAGTTTAAGACGAGGCTGACCAACCCCAAATAGTTGGGATGAAAGCGAAACTGAAAAATCATATTAATTAATATAAAAATTAAATAATATAGGTATATTCGTTTATATAATTATATATTTGGGTGTATTTTTTTTCAGATTGGGATACGAGTGTTTGTTTTAATAATGATCATCTTATGTCAAATATGACTTCTAAATCAAAAAATCATACAAAATGGGAATTACTTCGGTTTGTTTTTGAATTCTATTCAGATCCAAATAAACTACAAAATTATGTACTATGTACATTTTTTGGAGAATTACTCCCAAAAAAAAAGTTTTACTCGAATTTTATTACTAAATTCAGTACAATAGACTATAATTATAAGTTTCAAATTAACACGTTTGAAAAATGTAAAGTTTTGGTAAATAATAATTTCGGTAATCCTAAAAGAATCGAATTGCAAAATCCATTGAAATTGTGTAATAATGTGACTGCATGGCTCAATAATAAAAACATGGAATTGTTTATAGATTTATGTATAAAATCAGCTAAATCTATGTAAAATACAAATAAATTTCATATGCAGCTCAAAGTTCAAATATAATGAACGTTGATTAAGATTATTATGTTTTTATTATTTCTTTCAATATCCGATGAGAGCAGAGTACAGATTTATAATATAATGTACCTACATTAAAATTTTTAGGTACTAGGTATTTAAAATATTTAACTAGTGAAAAACCATTTTCAAGTAAGTACTCTACATATCTATAATTATTAAAAATAAGCTGTGACATCGTGTAGACCAGTGTTTCCCAACTTATTTTATTCACAGAACCTTTTCATGAACTTGAATATTTGGCGGAACCCTCATTTTCTTTTCTTAACCACATAATGCTAATATATATTTTTTAGATACTCAAATGAGTAGGCACTTCAAGACTTCTGGAAAAATGTTTGTAATCAATTTTCATTGCATTTTATAGAACTCCTCAATTTTAATAACAAACATTCAAATCGAAAATGTTTAGTGATTTATTTTTTCCCAAATTCCTCACGGCATCCTTGGCGCTGATTCACGGAACCTTTGGGTTTTGTGAAACACCGGTTGGGAAACACTAGTATAGACGACAGGTAATTTCGCACTGGCCTTAAACACGTGACTACGGTTTTAGAAGATCGTGTAAGTGACAGACTGATAAATAAATAAAAAATCAGTTTATTAATTAATATAGTATTAAATATTAACACATGTAATTCCAAACAAAAATATAATATCTACAAATTCTAAAGTCAACGTGATTAGGATTATATATTATAGGTAGGTACTCAATAAGTAATAACTGTTTTAATATGATTTGATACTCATAGACTGTTGGTAAATCACATCGACACCACTTTGTAGCTTGTTTCCCAGTATAAAATTTTGCCAACTGCGTCTTAATTAAGTTGGTCTTTATTACCTATACTATCTTTATTAATCAATATACTATAGGCATACCTATAAAATATATACATACTGTATTATTACATCGGAAAATTACGATTCCATACATTTTACTTTATTGGGAACACGATTTCGTTCGATTTTGATCGAAAAGTGGATTAAAAAATGAACTTAATAACAACACGATTACGTACTACTTTCTGGGCAATGTTGCCACTTACTATTTATTATTATCAATTCGTTTCATTTTCTTAAATAATATCTAACATTATAAAAAAAGTTAATGAACTTGAAAAAGTCAAAGGTAAATTTAAAAGAAAGGTAAAATAATGGGGACGGGTGCAGCCACTAGTATGGGTGGAAAGTTAGGAAGGTAGGAAATAGACGGGAATTTAATGTATATTGGCCTCTTATTTTTTTTTTTTTTGCAATAAATTAATTTTAAATTTGTAACGGATATGAAAATTTATTGTCACATCGTCTAGTTTATATTTTCAATTCCAATATAAATATATTTGTTGCACTAAAAAATTATTGATTAATTATTAAAAATAAAAAGTGCATTTAATTTTGCATTTTATTTTTTTTTAGATTCTGAGTTTAGAAGAATGTATTGATTTTACAAAGATGTTTATTTTTTTTATGTGATCACTTTTTCTACCAGAAAGCTTACTCCGATTTCCAAGTATAACATCTTTTCTGAAAGAAAATATTTTCTCGGTGGTACTTTTGAGAGGCCATTTTTGAAATTTTTATTAATATTCAAGACAATAAGGAAAACCTAGAAATCTCGATAGTCACTATAAATTACTATAAAAAGAAATACATTTTTTTTTTATGAAACCAAGAAAAATTGATAAAATGGAAGGAGTACACAAAAAAAAAAAAGTTTGTAAAGAAGCTTTGTTTCCCTGCGCTACCCCCCAATTCGAGCACTAGTGTCCTTCCACCTGAAGATTGTTTTATGAATGTACAAATGAATGGTAAAGGGCAGTTGTTCGAAAATGTTAAGGATAAATAATAATAAGAATAAATAATAACGGACCTAAAACGTAATTTATATACCTATTATACAGAATAATTCACTAAGCGTGCTTTCCCCATTTGTTTGGTTAAATTTTGCATATATTAAATTCTGATTTTTGGAATTTTTTAGTGTAGTTAAAGCTGATATTTTTGAATACTTACCTACTTAGATTTTTCACAACAGTGAAAAAGTATCCTGCGGTGATACTAACTTTGGTTTTTAAAATAAGAATCTTTATTAAAAATCCCATAAATAGACGAAGTATTATTTTGAATAAATATTGGTGTCAACATTTTGGTTTCCGTCAACCCGTTGACGAGATATTTCACTAATAAGTTTAGGTAAGGAGAGTAATGGAGCACTAATAAAACGCCTCGTGCCGTGCCGCCACATAAATGATAATCCAATCATAAATATTAACACCAACATTTATTTAAAGTAGTACGCTATCTATTTATGGCAAATTTAATAAAGGTTCTCATTTGAAAACCAAAGTTGGTATCACCACAAGGCACAGGATACTTCTTAAATGTTGTAAAATGTTTGAAGGCATTGGGTTTGGATCTAAAGTTGGCCGTTCGGATCATGAATAAGAACTTATGAAATACATTATTCAATTTTATTTAAATACTAGAATGATATTTTCTGTAGAAAATATAATAACTAAAAAAGACGTTCTAGGATAATGGGAACAGGTGCAGCCACTGTTATAGATTATTTTATGTATATCTGTAAACAACAATAAACTATTGCTTACAAAAAACGTTTCTGAGCGGAGTTTAGTTAATAATGTTGCTTTATCAACAATACAATGTATGGTATTATGTTCGAATTTTGTTTACATAAAATGCTTAACAATTTGACAGGAGGTTCATTATATTATGTTGTACCTACTTAGAGTTGGCAAAAATAAACAAATTTAATGTATTGTAGTATTTTTTTTTATAAAAAATTTTAAAATCAAATTTTGACGAAAATCGTATTGTTTTTTATTAGCAATAATTTCTCGTTTGTTACAGGTATAAATTAAATAACTTTATGTACCCTATCTTCCCAACTACTATGAGTGCTCGCAGGAAATTTACCAGAGAAGGGCATAATAAAATCAAAAACCAAAAAGTACCTACTTAAAATAAAATAATTTTTGAAATTTTGAAGTCCAGGGGAGGGGGTAGATTTCTTGACCCACTATCGGGCGTCCATGCCAACTACTCACCTACAGCAGTGGATCGTGCACCCGTCCCCAGTAACAGTTCTTTTTGTTCATATTAAAGTGTACAAGGTACACTCGACATACTCCGTAGTTTCTTAAAGTTGTAGGAAAATTGTGAATTTTTAGTTATTTTAGTTAATTACTGAAGAAAATAAAATTTGTATTACTTCGAGTATATTATTATATACCTACCTAATAAAATATGAACATTTTTTTTTACCATTTGAATATTTTGTTTATAGATAATAATATATTATCAAAACTACCTGAGAGTATAAGCAAAAATGGCAGAATACAAGAGTGATTTTTCTACAAAACGTGGAGAATATAATACGGTGTATTACACGTTATATATATCCTATGCCAAAGGCAGAAGGTCACGGCCATAAGTTTAATCGTGCATAAGGCATATAGAAACACTACTAGTTATGACAGTTGTGTGTAAGTTGATCAGCATAGTATACATGGTAAAATCACGATGTAGAGAAAATTAATTTTAAATCATGAGTAAAGTGTAAGGGATAAAATTGCACTTTGGGGGTACGCCATTTAGAACATAAAAGGCAAGGATGCCAAACTTCACCCAAGACCTGGGAAACGTCAAAAAGTGCTGCCCATGTATATTCTTGTTTTTTTTTTAAGCAACAAATAGTGCTAGCCAAGACCATGTAGGTATTTGATAAATTGTTGAATGTTCTCCCGAAAGCCAAATTAAGAATAAGGTACTTTGCTGTCGATAATAATAGAATATAGTTGTGTTATACCTATGTGTAAGTTTTAATACTAATTTATCATAAAGTTTAAAAAAGAAAAACAATACCAATTTATTCATAATTATACATAATACCTACCTAATATTGTAGGTAGGTACACAAATTAAAAATCTAAAGAAAAAATAATAGAATCAGCATTCAGATGTCTGATATTGGGTTATCATTAACTGCTTTTCTTATCTTGTAAAATTATCAATTTTACAACCTTCTAGTTTATTTTTAATTTCTTTTAAACCTTTGAACTCGTTTGAAAGTATTGTTGTATAACACATCATTTATTATTAAGTCGTCGAGTGAATGTCGTTCATTTAATACTTATTCTTTAATTGTGTACCTATAATGCCAATGGATATCAAGGATGACGAATTACCTGACAAAGATGCGGCCAAGGAGTTTTATGCTAGATACGAACCAAAAGAAATACTGGGCAGGTATGTTTAAAATAATTTTAAATTATAATAGTCAGAAATGTCTTGTTTATAGTGTTATATTTTCTATTTGTGTCATCATGATTTATGATTTTAGAGGTGTTAGTTCAACTGTACGGCGTTGTGTTGAAAAAGAAACCGGTATAGAATTTGCAGCAAAAATTATTGACCTTAGTAATGATCCAGAAAGTAGAGAAACTACTATGGAAGAAATTAATATACTTAGAATGGTTATTGGACATGAATACATTAGTAAATAGAATATTATAATTTTTATAAATTAAAAATTAAAAACTGATTGTGTAAATATTAATTTTTAAAAATTAATTTCAGTTCATTTACATGATGTATTTGAGTCAGAGACATTCATATTTTTGGTCTTTGAGATTTGCAGAAATGGCGAATTGTTTGACTATTTAACCAACGTTGTAACATTGTCAGAAAAAAAAACCAGATATATTATGAGGCAATTGTTTGAGGCTTTACAACATGTCCATAGACAAGGTGTTGTTCATAGAGATATTAAACCAGAAAATATATTGCTTGATGATGCATTGGATATAAAGCTTACAGATTTTGGATTCGCAAGTGTTTTAAAACCAGGTCAATTACTTAGAGGTGAGTTGATAAAATAAAATATTACAATTTTTAATTTTATTTATAATTTGTGCACATAAATAATTATTTTTACTGCCATTATTCCAATCAAAGTATTTAGAATATTTTATAATTTCAACATTTTCATATTATATAGGTACATTAATATATTGGTATATTATGTAATTATTTAAAAAAATAAATTTAAAATACTTCATAATATTATTTCACAATTAAATTTGTTAAGTTTATTTAAAAAGTAGGTTTTGCATTATATTTTAGTTATAAATTTGCTATAGTATTGATTGTCATTCATTTTTTTATTTGCTTCATTTCGTTACTATTTTAAACCTTATTATTTTTGGAACCTATTTTTTTGTTTTATGTTATTTACTTTATTTATATGCCATTGGCAAAATTTACATGGAAAACCTTCATTAATAATAATATTATTTTGATTAATTTGTTGTCTACTGGCTACAAACTCTGTGGTTAGTACCACGGTTGTAGTTTAAAAACATGAACCATATCAAGTTAGATTATGCTAAATTTAAATTATAAACAATATAGATAAAATTTGTAAAATTAATTTGATATTTTAAATATTGAGAACTGCCATATCTAATGAATAAGTGATTCTGTTCATTTTGTTTTTTTTTTCACATAACAGAACAGGTCACTTCACATACAGCTAATTATCTGTATCTATAATTATATATTTACCCCATAACACCATATATTTATATTTTAGATTTATGTGGTACTCCAAATTATTTAGCACCGGAAGTATTAAGAGTAAATATGTTTGATGATGCTGAAGGATATGGATTTTCATGTGATCTGTAATTATCTATTTATAATTATTAACTAATTTAATTTGAAAACTATTTTAAATCAAATTTTAAAATATTAAAAAAAGAAATATATGAATGGTTCTCTCTAAAATTTCATAATATATATGATTTACAATAATTTCTGTTGATAATCTTTATAATGTATACCCATGGTTCTATCAATATATTTTAAGAGATTTTTACATATTAAATATTAATTAATATACTATAGAATTTTTCTAGTTAATTTCTAGATAAATAAATCTATTATTGCTTTCAATATGTACATATTCATAGAATCATTTAAAGTTTAAATTATGAAAATGAAAAAGATTGCATGAAATGCAATTCTTTAATATTATTAAACATGTTTTAAATTTCTATTTATACAATAATCCCTTTATTAATTATATTACATATATTTTTTCAAGATGTTCTTAATTTTAACTTTTTGTTTTTAAAGTTAAATCTATTCAATTCAAAACACACTGTGTATACATAAAACAGTAAATTATACATATAACCATAGACATAATAACTAGTTATTAGGTCTATGCATATAACATGGATTGAAAAAAAGAACTTGATATGTTAGGGTAGGTGGATATATCTTATGCATAATGTATAATATAAATTATAGTATGTTGTAATAATTAACTCAATAATATTAATCACTTGTTTTTGTTAATTCTAAAATAGTAGAAAGTAAATATTTTATTCTAAATATAGTTTAAGTTGTTGTCAAAAAATTATTAAAAATATGAGCAAAATCTGATTTAGAATAAATAACATTTATATGCTAAATGTTCAAAATTATAAATAGTTAAATAAACCATAGTAACATGTAATTGAAAATATTAATACATTCAATAAAATAATTATGTGTTCACGTCTTTATTGCTAAATATTTCTTTGAATTTTTCATCAATATTAAAATTAACATTGACTATTTATTATACATAGACACATAGTATAGATCTCCAATCATGTTTTTCTTTACATCAGGAGTGGCACTTCTGATAATATTACCTATAACATAAAAAATAATCTATACAGAATATTTTATGTTTTTTTTTATTGAGTACCTAAACTATATATATAATGAATAAAAACATATACAGTGTATAGATCACTTTCATATGTAAATTGATACATAGTCTTATGTGATTATATAAATTATAAATCAAATAAAAAGATCTTATAAATTAAATAATATTTAGAATTTTTAAAAGCTAATTTCTCATAGTATCTAACTAATATTTTTAATGATATTAACTTGTATAAAAATACATGTATAATATTCAAAGTAGATAATAATATATATTCAATAATATTTCTTTGTGTAATGTTTTATTTTTTTGAATTATTCTATGTACTGTATAGATTTTCTTCTTTTTTTTATAGATGGGCATGTGGAGTAGTAATGTATACATTGTAAGTTATTAAAATACTTGTAGTAATGCTCAAAAACAGTTTTTATGGTAATGACTTTATTGTAGATTAATTGGTTGTCCTCCATTTTGGCATCGTAAACAGATGGTTATGCTCAGAAATATAATGGAAGGAAAATATTCATTTGATTCTCCAGAATGGCAAGATATTTCTGGTAAAATGAAATACTTTTTTTAAAATTTAAATGCAATTTTAATTGTATTACAATTTTTAGATTTACCGAAAGATTTAATACGAAAACTTTTAGTTTTGAATCCAAAAGAAAGATTAACAGTGGATGAAGCTCTGGAACATCCATTTTTTAATGTTAAAGTATGTTCATATTTTATAAGTTATATTTTATTTTTATTATTAATATACTAATTTTAGATGTTTGATCAAGAAATTGTACCTCTTAAAAGAACACTTAGCATGAAATCAACAAAATTCAATCAAATAACAAAACTAGCTAAACAAATTAAAGTGCGGCCATTTAATGCCCGTAAGAAATTTTTATATGCCATTCTAGTAGTACGTGTTATGGTAAGGTTATTAAGGTTGTTACCTTGTTCAACTGGTAAAATTTCCGTGAATTTGGCTAAACAAGACCCTTATAGGCATAAAATTATGAGAAAAGTAAGTAAAAGGTGGGATTTAGTTGAATTTTATAATATTTTTGCACTATATAATACTATTATTTTTGTAGCTCATTGATGCAATGGCATTTAGAGTTTATGGTCATTGGATTAAGAAGGGTGAAGGGCAAAATCGAGCAGCTCTCTTTGAAAATGTACATAAGACTGAATTAAAAGTAATTTACATGAGTAATTTATCACCATCATTATAGATTTTTGAGTAATTTAGTTTTCTGTAAGTAGTCATTATACACTGTGTGTTCAATTATTTTATGAAAATAATTAACTAAAACCTAATTGAAGTTAGTATCTTCTACTGTGAACTTTTGATATATTTTATTATATTAATGATTTTATAATTAAGTACTAATAATTTAACTATAGTAAAACTTATTAAAATAGTTATGAAATCATGATTGAAATTGTATATTTAAATTATGAGGGTTTTTTTTTTTAATAAACTTACCAACTAAGCAATAAAATCATGTATATAAAGTATTAAATTAAAAATATTTTAATCAGTTATATAACTTGTACATATTAAATTTTAAAATAATAATAAAAAAACAAAATTTAAATTAGATATGCTCAGGAGAAAAATTAATAATACAATTAATAACAGATGTTTTATGATTTTCTTATTATAGTAAATTATTACTGATAGAGATAAAGTTACTAACCATTTTTGTATTAACTATCTCTAATGAAATCCCTTTAAGTCATGTAATGAAGAGAAAAGCAGTGGTGGTTATATCCTAGGTTGATTCAAATCCACAGAGGTAATGAACAATTAGGTTTTAAAATATAGGTTTAGATAATAATATAGTGGTGATGAAAATACCAAGGGAAGGCAATCCACCAACCACCCTTTACCCGTTATCTGCCACTAAAGGTAGCCATGAAAGTACAATCAAATAGGAATGAAATTCCTTAAGGCACTAAAAACTTAATCATTATAATATTTATCTAGTAATTTAAATGAGCACAAACACAAAAAATTAGTTTTTTTTTAATATTTAAAAGAATATTCAATTCTAAGGATAATGGTATAAGTTTAACATTTTTACTCATATTAATTAATGAGTTATGCGGAATGGAAAAAAGACAAGTGACTTCATTGGGCTGAGCTCGTGGAAATTGCCTATCTTATACATGTAAATGTTGCTCACTTCACACAATAATTTACAAATTTATAAATCAAAAAATTGGTTTCAATCAAAACAGATAAATAAATGATGATTTGGTTTTATTGTATGTTAAATATATATAATATCATATATCATGTAATATGTTATATCTGTTCATTGGATAAATTTGAATTATACAATTTTTTATGATCATTTTTGGTGACAATATTTTTCACCATATCAATGAAGAAACATGACTAAAATATGATTGGAATTCCAATTAGCAGAACACAGTAGATACATTTATTTTCAATGAATCAATACTCCAGGCAACACATCAATTCATTTATTTGTTTTGTTTTTATGTACACATTTTTTATTTATATATTTATTTACTTTAATTGTGTATTGTACAATATGTTAAATTAAATGAAAACTGTAATCAAAAAAATAGTTGAAAATTAAAGGAACAGAACACTTCTAGATTTCAAAATCTGAACTGATTTTACCAATTTATGAAAATATTATAAATTTATTTATTTTCCTCAGGATCAAATCTGAAAATGATGAAAAAATGTAATTTTAAACCACTTTTCAAGTTATAATTTAAATAATATGAATTTATTTTAAAAAATAATTATTACTTGTGTTTATTAATAAAAGTATATGATACTATCTATTATTTAAACCTAATTTAATTGAAATATTATGTATATTGTTGAAATATTGAACATTATTTGGGTTAATATTTGATAGGAATAATAATTTCAATTCATTACTATGTTAAAGCAACTGCTTGGCACTAGAAATATGGGAAAGGGGTAGTAGGGTGGCAATTTGGGTAATATTTTAATAATTTGTTTAGACTTTTTGACATATACCAGTGACACTATTGAATGTATTAACTAATTAAAATATTTTAGTTTCATGTTTTGGTGTATTAAAAAAAAGAACATTTTTCTAATATAGGTATTTCGTGATTATTTTTCTATTGTAAATAATATTTAATGTTAAATAAAAAAATATGTTTTTATTATAATCAATACATTTAGTTTGTGAATTTCTTTAATATTTCGTTATTAATTTTTAGAATGAAAAGACTTTATAAATAAGTACATAATATTTAAGATATCTTTATTTAAACAACTTTGAGAAAGAAAATGTTGAAAAATAGTTTATAAATAATATAGATATTAGATTTATATTTCCCTATTTAAAATTGTTTCACAGAATTAAAAAAAAAAAAATTGAAACATTTTAATTGTATTTCACCATTATCATAAAAATAAAATCATATAGGTGTATACCTACTGTCATAAAAATCAATTTTGGATGATAAAAAATCAATGACTTAATTTTCATTTCTTGTATTAATTGTATTATTTTTTAAATTAGTTTTTTTTTTTAATTTGCTATTTTCAGATTACACTAATGGCTCTACTTTGTAGATTTCAGGATATATTTATTTTAAATATTTCCAATGATACAAATCATATAGATTTAAAATGGCAATCAACCCCATACATTGTATTCAAAACTTATATTATAATTTTTACTTTAAACTTGCGATATCCGTATCTATTACTTATAAAAATAATACAAATTACAATTACAGTTTTGGCATCCTGGGCAGTTGGCCCTTACAGTTACGTCTTTGATTTCGCATAATAATTCACCCACTGCAAAACTAACACTTTTATTATTATTGTAAAAGTATTTTTTCGAATTGTGGAAAACTTGAAAATAATGTTTATACAAAAAAGACACAAGAGGTCCCAAAAATTTGTTTGTCATTATTATTTTTGGGTAGGACTGGAGGTAATTCCGATTAAACGCGTCAACGAGCGCGTTTCATTGTATCGTACGAAAACGTAAGGGTGTTAAAAATCGCTAGTCTTCAGCATCGCGCTTTCGTGTATTCATAAATGTACTTATATTTTTTAACGGACGACTTATTGCGCGCGAACCTCTAGAGTACGGAACGTCACGTCGTTGCACGCCACTGCCGAAGCGATTTCCATGTGACGAAACGGAAATTTGTTGGCCGCCACGGGGCGAATTTTATTTTTGACAACAGGTAGAAATATCGCGGACCGTTGTACTCGCGCCACAGCCGTATAGATAATAATCGAAGTTCCCACTCGTCACTGCAACAGCAGATGCCGTTCCCTTGACCCAATTATCGGTCAACGACGTGCAATTTTTTTTCGCGTGCTTATTCCACCACTCCACCCGATCGCTATCAAAAAGTACACCCGACGGGCGTCCCCTGAAATCCGAGTCTCGCGCATCGCCGACACACGGGGGAACTGCCCGGCCGGCCGGGTTTTTCGCGTAGCCGAGTTCCGCTGTCGCCACGCCGGTCGCACTCTCCCGCGCGAACATTCGCCGGCTCCCACCCCGAAGCCCGGAACCGTAGAATTGGCGGCATTATATTGTTGTTATTATTATATTAATAAATACGTATACGTATATATATATATATATATATATTGTGCTACACGGTGTGTAAAATAATTTTCACCACTTCCTATCGCTAAAACCGCTACGCTATAAACCTACTGTTGCTCCGTATACGCGCAATAATGTTGTTATACGCGAATACGCGGGTTTCGGGCATTGCCAATTACGTGGGTACGGTGCGCGGGCTAAAAATTTGAAAAAGAAAACATTTTTTAAAAAACCGTTGCCAATTTAATTGACCGCATTTGTGTTGATGAATAAACAAAAATAAATACACGGTGTACATTATTGTCGAAGTTAAGTACACGCTTGCTCGCGTGCGTTCGTCGCCGCGACGTTATTTTAACTTTTGGGTAATATTAATAACAACAATATCGTAATAATTTGTTGTTTTTTTTTTTTTTTTTATTCTCTCGTCGTCAACCGGGCTTATTATTATGTTATTGTGTAGCGTCGTTATATAGTATTCACTACGCGCGCGAATATGGTAGGAACGGAGAAACAATAGAGAGAAAATTTCGATTAAACGCGCTTATATACATACTTACTCATACATATATGTATGTATAGTGTTGTGCGTATGTATATATATATATATATAAGTATGTATTATGTGTATTGTATATTTTGTTGTGTCTATACTCGTGTGTGCACGCGGAGGCGACGTTAACACTGGTGATGTGTATATGACGCCGGGTAGCGGACAACGTGCGCATACACGTACGCACACACACACACACACACACACACACAGAAATAAACACGAAACTACGCAACACATTACACACAGACGTAGTCCAATTACACACAAAAGGACAAGTCCGCGTTTTGCCGCGCGCGCGCTTTGGCTCTTCCGTCGCGTTCGTTTGCGCGGCGTGTGTATGCATCGCCGCGCGGCGCGCCGTTGCGGTCGCGCTCGTCATCGTCGCAGCCGCCGCCGCCGTGCCGTCACCGTCGTACGTAGGTACACGACTCAATACGGCGGCCGCCGCAGGCCACGCCCACCCGGCGGACTTGTACGCGCCGGATTGGACGGCGGCCCGGACACGTGAGCAACTGCCAGCGTGCAGAGCCCGGGCCCCGCCGATCATTTCGGCTCGCGAAAATCCTACGCGCACCACGTACACCGTCGCGCACCCGGCTCCGTAGCCAGTAGCCTCAACGGCGCACTACCGACGACCGACCTGTGGGTACGCGTTTTTACCGGTTTTTTTTTTTTTTTTTTTTTTATTATTATTTTTCGTTTTCTTTCGATTTTCGACCGTGCGCGTGGCCGGTTTTTTACCGTCGTCGGTGATATTGTTTTTTTTGTTCGGCTGCCACCGCCACTGCCGTCGTCGTCCCGTGAAAATATTTTATCGTAATAGCCAGTTATTTCAAATCATCGCGGGCACCGATCGTCTGTTACCCATATTCGACCAACAAAATTGAAAAATCGTCTGTCAATCTTGGGATATAAGTTAATTAATAACAAATCAACGTTATTCTGTTCTCGCGTGTCACCACTCAACATGAAGCGGTCGCGACGATCGTGACTTGGCACGGCAGGGCGTCTCGCGATTGTGTAAATGGTGTTTGCGTCCAGGGTACTGTGATATGTTTGCGGTTGACACGTGGACGACGACGACGGAGGAGGTGGCTTGCCCGGGCCAGTATGAGCATGAGATGCGGGCTGCAGACACTGCTTGAGGCTGCCCGATTCGTTGAGTTACAGGAAGAATTCGAGAAACAACAGTTGGTCACCTTACACGCTGCCGGTAATTAACTACGATAACAATATTTAAACTAATATATTATTTAAATGAAAAAAAAATTAAATAAAAATAATCAAAATATGTAGCGTTCTTTTTGATAAAGAGTACCAAATAGTAATTATTATTATGTTCGGTCACGCAAAATATATATAATTTTTTTTACCCGGGCTCGTCCGCTACAGCGTTACTCGTGCGCCCACTGTGTGTGTGTGTGTGCGTAGAACGGTATAGGATGGAAGTCAAGGGGGGGATGCGCATATCGTGGTGGGTGGCAGGGGCGCGGAAGAGAGCTGATCGTGCCCCCCTCCCTGTGTCTTGTTGGGGGCCGGATGATAATAGCGGGGGCAACGAAGATTCCGTGAACGGATAGAGAGCGGGCGTGGCAGGGCGCACTGTATTTGTGGAATGACCTTCGTCGTCCTCTCACTTGCAACGTGCGACGCGGTACTTTAGTGGCCGGTGGCAGCCGCTGTTGTCGTCGTTAGAGCGTGGTGGATTCTTGTGTGCACGCTCCAAGATACCAGTGTCCTGAAGGTCACGTGCTGCGGGAAAACTCGCCCTCTCCCTCATTGGTCTAAGCACACGCGCGCGTTTGTGCGTGTAAACATTTGCCACATGGCTCCCCCACCCCAGTCGCCCACATGCGCATTTTCCTCTTCCGTCAAAAATACATACATTTTTTTTTCTAATTCAATTACTTAAGTATAAAATATCGCGTGTATCGGAATATTATGTTGCGCGGTAGTAATTTTTAGCCGTCGTGTTGGCCATCCTGTTAGTAGCACACGGTCGACCACGTGGAGTTTGTACTTGCCTGGCCGTGTCCGTTGTCGTCAATGTGATTTTAATATTACTATTAGTATTATTATTATTATTATCATCATCACTCCCTTCCCCTCTTTGCTACGCGTGTTGTAGTTGTGGACGTGCGTGTGTAATACACGCGGTGCCGTGAGATCGATTTGAAATGGAAACGTAACGCAATTATTACGCTTTATTTTCGGTTTTAAGTTTTTATTTTCATTTGATTCAATACTGTGGACGCCCCACTTCGAGCTGTTCCCTTCAGTCCATCATACCTGTCTTACCTGTTTTGTAATATACATACGGTTCAAACAAAGTCGTATTTTGAACACCAGTCACAAAATCATACACCGTGTAAGCATGTGGTGTCCTCCGCGACAGCAGTGTGGGTATCTATTTATGACCCACTCGTTTTCGTAGATATTTTTTGAATTTTATTCGTTTGTCGTAAAAAATATACCATTAATCGACTGAGGTGAAAGTGCGAACCCTGGTTGCCGTAACGCCAACTAATTGGTTCTTAATTTTCCAGCACTCGTTCCGGTCTTGGTTGGCGAACCTGGGTTTCCCCAGCCAACGTTTCCCCCCCAGATGCGCCGACTGTCGATGTTCCGACCAACAACTATGACCAATCACTCGATCTTCTCTGTAATTTACTATCCAGTAAACGTATTGCTTTCGACGTCTCCCCCCACGCGGTCGTTATGTCATCGACACCGGTCGGAGAATTATTGGCAAAAAATTAATCCACTAGATAACATCGTCAAAATGTTACCATGAAATAATATTATGTATAGATTTTATTTAGGAATACTTGTTCAAATATTATTATAATGTTTTTGACGAAACGTCATCGTGTTTGATTATTAAATCTTTAACAAATATGAATACGAATATTAATGGTATTACGTAGTACAGTGTGACTGTATAATTAAAAATATCAATAATCATCGATAGTTATTATTATTATTGTTCGTGGACGCCTTGGATTCCTAATTATCTATCGAAGATACACTGATAATTATTTGTGTTTTTTTTTTTTTTTTTACTTTAATTTTTATGTACTTTTATGAGTTTTATGGTGTAGTACGTACTTTGCCCATAAATTATATAAATATTACGATAAATAATTATTCGACTCTGAATATCCGAAGAAAAAAATATTGTTTTATCCATTTATAGCTGTATTTAGAAATTAATAAATCATAAAAAAAACCTCAAAATACGACACGTTTCATAATCGAGAAAAACGTACCGGTGTTCACTGTACGTCTGTACCGATGACTAATGAGTACTCGCGAGTACCTAATGAATAATAATAAATTATTTGATTTAAAAATATTAAATAGTGATACTTTTTTTTTTTCTTACGCAGTAGGTGGGACTGATAGGTATTGTGCGTATGTAGATATTATATATTTTATTCAAAATCGTATATCGTACAATATTCGCTACCTGCCTATAATAATATAAATGATTGCTAATATAAATGGTGCCAACATTATTTTACTCGATTAAAATCGTCGTGTATTACGGGTTAAACTTTTTTTGGGGTTCGGTACCTTAAATAGCAAAAATGGAACTCTTATAATTTCGTCACGTCCGTGCGTCATAGGTTTACGCGTATTATAATTTTTCCGCGGACTTCGATGCAATTATACAAAAAGGTGTCCATGGTGAGCAATCCATGATATATAATCGTATATAATTTGAAAATTTTATTTTTCGTGTTTCCCGTCGTCGAAAAGGTCGTTAGAAATGCATTAAAGGTTTTTTAATGCGACATTTTTTTTTTTTCTGTTTGTTTGTTTGTACACAAATGCATTTTTTGCGGCGTAATATAAGTTTTTAGAGTCGATGATAATATGTCAATTTTCCGACCGTGCGATTAAAAAATCTGAACAAATTCAAGAAAGTAACACTTAGTACACACTTACAACGGCAATATTATTTCGCGAAAAAATATTAAATATTAGTTATGTCAATATTCAACAAAATATGTTAAAATATTTAAATAGATATAGACATAACTACAGAATCCTAAGTTCGACCGTGGATTTTTTTCGGGGGTGGTCACATTTACGCGGGTTATTTAAGACGGCGATATGTTCGACGAGAGTAAAACATATCATTAAAATGTTTCGGTGAGATATTTATTTTCCCAAACGTACCGATTTGTTTGATAAAATGTTGATGGGTTCGATACCAGCTCAAATGCATGTCTTTGGATACCTTAGGCCCCGTAGGATTGTCCGATTTTCAATATTATTATTTTATTTTTTGGAAAGATAAGGACTTTCCGCAGACTGCATTGAACTGTTTTGCGATATTTCTATCTCAAACTATATAAAAAAAAATCGCTCAAAAATCAATCAATCAAATACATAAAATTTCCTACAATTCTTTAAAATTTCCCTAGCTACGCTCAGAATCTAAAAGAATTGTAGCGAAATATTATGTTGACAACGAGTTAACAAAATTCTGTCGAAACCATTTCTGTCCCGCAATCATCCCCCCTTTAATAAGTATCAGTCAGTAGATTAATAGAAAAGTCTAATTTTTTAGATGATCATTAAAATGTTAAAAATAATTTTAAAATTTTACAAAATTGGAGAAAATTGGGAATTCCGGCTTTCTGCCCACTAAAATATTGTCACTAATTAACTTCTACTAGCGTGAATTATTTTAATTTTAAAATAGTAAAAAAATACCGTTTCTTCCGGGTTAATTTTATTAATGCAAAATTAATTTTAGTTTCAATGTTGGCAACTTGGCAAGCATCTAACTTTTTGTAATATCCGAGCTGGATAGGAAGAAAACACGGTTTTACAATTATTATAATTTGTGGTTGCCTTTTTTAGACATTTTAATTGATGTTATAAAATTACTCTAAAAGTTTCGTTAATTGGAAATATAACAAACCTAACTTATTATATTGTGATTAGTATTTTATACCGTATAGGTAACCATTATTTGAATATAAATGACGTTTCAAACGTCTTGTTTTTTTTTTTGTTATTAACATGTACATAATTCTAGTAGTCAAGTAAATTATTATGAAATGTCTGATACTTAAAAAAAAAAAAAAAAAAAATTATGCCTATTGTTTAACTATAAATTCTATCGTTCAATTGGTCACACAATTAAATAATTGATTTCAATTATTATAAACGTATTTTTAAAATTAAAATTTTTAAAAACGGGTACAACGCATGGGCTACCTGTTTTAAATATTGAATAGCGAAGGTAAATTATTACGTTTGAAAATGCGTTTCTCAGAAAAGCTCATCATGTTGACAGTTATTCGAAAGTTTAGCGCTATATTTTAAGACATCGAACTAAGAATTTCGAAAAATATTTTCCGATCGGGGCATTTTTTTTTTTTTTGTGAGTAACACTTAATTAAAATGTATTTAGATTGATTTATATTAATTATTCCAGTGTTCAAAATAAAAACATCTACTGCTAAATTAAGTTTTAGAATAGTGTGGTATTTTATAAGCGAGGTAGTGCATTGTGTGTTTAGAGACCAAGGTGGTAGCGTGCAGGTGGTTAAAACCACTGGTCTGATTGCCCAGAAAAAAAAATGTGTTTTATATGATAAAAATAAATAGGCCCGGCTTTCGGTGTTCAATTAACTATTCTAAAATATACTATAGAAAGTCGTTTAGTATATTTTTTATCGCCTTACTGACTGCCGTGTTCGTTTCCTTAAACGCATTAATAAAGGGAAACGCACACGCTGTATGAATAAAAGCGCTTTGATCATTTTGGAATCAAAAATGGCATTATAAATATCTAAATTTGTAATAAACCTAGACTTTCCGGATTTGTTTTTGAAATCCGACCATTTACCGTTGCCTTAGAACTTTTTTTAATAATAAAATAATTGTACTCGTGGCTAGACGAGTGATACATAATCAATTTTAGATTTTAGGCGAAGTGATGGATGTATTAGTTTTACCGCTATGACGGCGCGTATATGTGAATCATGGCTTTTCTTTTTTTTTTAGCCACGTATTCGAATTCAAAACAAGGTTCACCTTAAGTTATGTTTTCTGCGATATAAAACAATGTTGAGCGTGATGTCGTAATTTATTTTAAAGACAATTATGGTACAGATGTATAATAGAACTCGTTAAAAACGCGAACCATCTTAACTTTTTAGTGTAAATTATTTTTAAATTTAAAACAGTTTTCAATTTAAATGATCGTAAAATGTCACTTCGAACACGGCTCAAAATCGTTTTTCTTTTGCAATGATTCAGCATTGTATTCCAGTGTATTATATACTTAAATCCTAACTCTTCGATGAAATATCCCGACTTTTCAACTTACCATCAACGGATAACAGCTGTTGTTTCATGAACCGCATCATGGTTATAAATGAATAATAAGCGTAATGCTTAACAATTTATTGTTATTAGTTATTGTGATAAAAGTATAGTTTTGCTGATAAAATGAAAATCCCTAATGATTGTATGATGACATTTCTATTTTCCCGACAAAAGATAACAGCATGCAACAGTTAATACTACCCCTGTTCATACTTTAATAATAAAAAACAGGTGCGTTGCGGGTGTTTTGTACATCGTCGTTACGTATACCGTACAAGGTACTGCTCATGGGCAGGCCACTGTTTTAGATAGGATATTGAAAATGTAGAATATATAGGATAAAAATCAAAAACGATTCTGAGTGAAGTTTAATGTGTATCATATTTTGATACGATTATATTTATTAAAAATGCATGGTAAAATAATAAGTGTTCAGAAAATGGATTTGAATTTAGCATAGTACTATTTCAAATTTGGAAATGTATACAAATATATAAAAAAAAACTCAAAATTAAATTTAAAAAAAGTGGTCTAACCGATGTTATGTACGTCGTACAAATTACACTGAGGGATCCGTACAGCGGACTTCCGATTTTGATAACAAAGAGATATCATAAAAATCCAATTTCCGGAGATCGGTTACGCCAACCTTAGAATCATAAATTTCCTGCACATGAAATAAAATTCTATCTGACGTGGTTTTGCATAAAAAAAATCGAGCGTTTATTTAAATATGGATAAAAAAAAATTACGCTTTCGGGCTGTTATCATTTATCTGTAATCTGTATTATCTGAGATTTACCCGTTCCCTTGTAATAATAAATAGTTATCAGAATCGGGAGTACTTAACTCGTCCCTTTCGTTAAATTCTCACCTGTTATCAACATTTTTATTTCTTCAGTACATCGATTAAAACAAACATAAACCAAAGAAAATCGACAGAATCTTTATCCTTGGGGGATATTTTTTACGGTAAAAACTATTATTAAGACGTGTCAATTTCAATAAAAAGGTAGTTAATTTTTGTAAACGAAAAAATATTAAAATATGAATTATTAATTTTTTGTTGATGTTCGAATAAATTTGAATACACGTTCAATTTATAAAACACATACTTGCATAATATTTATGTAGGTATATAATAACTTTGTATAAATAAACGTGTTGAACCACTATGAGAAACCGGACAACCTTTATAACAATTTTTGTCTAATTTTGTACTATACAGTGTACCTACGTTTTTTTGATTATTATTAAACACCCGTCTGTTTAGCACAATTTTACTACACATAATGAGTAATGACTAATGATACCTACTTATTCTTCTATTTATTATATTGGTATCAAAGATAAAATTAATATTTATTTATTTATTATTGTAAAATAAGATTTATTAAAGTTTTTGCGAGTTATATGGACAGTAATAACAGTGAGTATATAAGTCGTAACTATGGATTTATCGCGTAATGTAACAAGAACAATTGTTTGATTGTTATTGAACAAATTATAAAGTTTAGTCGAATAATATATTGTTTCGTAACATTTTTAAATAAATGTGTCCGCTAAAATTGAATTACAAGCAATGAATTTAAGTCTATATCTGCAGAAGGGCCAACGTCAAAAAAAAAATAAATTATAAACAAATAATATATTACAATAATTATAGACTTTACGTTAGATCAATGTTTCCCAGCCTGTGGAGCGCGCTTCTATGGGGGGTGACGTGAACACATTGCAGGGGAGCCGCGAGCATTTACATTTAAAAATTAATGACGACCGGTAACCACGTATCACTAAAGCTAAAATAATAAATTATAATCGTAATCTCTAAGTTTCGTGCCACCGCGCCTCCTGTAAATATGTCGTAATGAAAACAAAACACAAAAATCGCTTGGTTGTCGAATCCGACCCAAAGTTAAGCTTTTTAAGTCCTCTTTCCAATATCGAACCAAACGTGAAAAAAACGGCGGTCCATCGCATAGTGTGGTCAGCCATCACATTAATATTAATTGGTAATTTATTATTATTTTTTACTAAATTATAAAATTGTATTCACATTACACATTAGGTAACAACTTATTACATAATTTCATTATTATTATTATTAGTCATTTGTAAAAGGGGCGTAGAAAAAAAAAAATATTGGAAATCGCGCTGCTTTAGAGTTTTTGAAGTTTTAGAAATAAATTAATTTTTTTGCATCAAGCCACAGATATAATATAATATTTTATACTCTTATTCTTTTTAATAGTAATAGTGCACTATTGTTATTATAAATATAGTTAGTTAAGTAATATATTTTACATTAATAATATATTGTTTTTGATTATTTATGAAAAATATTAGAATCCTATGTATATAGTATACAAAAACCATATAATAACACGGGCTTTTTAACTTAAAACATTATTAGAATTTTTCATTTAGATTATACGATGGTTTTTTTTTTTTCATACTATAGTTAACGTATCAAATGTATTATTATTAAACATTTTCGCACAAGTTTACACGTCATATTTTTTATATGATTTTATCGTAAAATGTAAATAAATAATATTGTGAATTTGTTTCGTATTGACATTATGGGTATAATAGGTACCTCGATTTATAATATAGGCGCTGATATTTTAATATAACGATATTTAAAAGTTTGGTAAAGCTAACACGCCATATTATAATATTATATACTCCGATATCATTATATTATATTATATGAATAAGTGATGGGGAGAAGTGGGCGTTTGTACGTTAATTTTGGTGCGCTGTCTTTTAAAAATGTTTTGAGTAGAACTCGATTCCGTACGTTTTGTACCTGAGATTTTAGTGCAGTGTTGCCGGATTTCTATAATATTACGTAGGTATTTGCCCATTAGTTATAGTGTTTTACGTAGATAATTCTTAATTATTATAAAAACATGTATATAACGTACAACAGCGTTAAAATCGTTATATATCAGATAAGTTTTTATTGTATCAAAGATAATATATTTTATTTTAACTATCCTCGTAGTACGTTATAATGTGTTTTTAAGGGACAATTACTTATATTACCTAATCTCCATAAATATCTTTTTTAAATTTAACTTTGACTTTTTCAAGTTCAAAAACTTTTTTATAACGTTATTATTTAAGCAAATTAAATAAATTGGCAATAAATAATAGCAAATGGCAACATTTCCTGGAAAATCGTACGTAATCGTATTTTTTTAGGTCATTTTGACAATCCATTGTTTGATCAAAATCGAATGGAATCGTTTTTCCAAAAAAGGTAAAACGTACGAAATCATGATTTACCGAATATTTTTGAGGCCTTTTTAATTTTGAATTGATTTTGGACCTGTTATAATGGCCCCTTTTTTTAAAAACCACCTCCTATTAAGTGGATTTTGTAAAATGAACGTCTATTAATATATGTGTACCTATTTATTTTAAATCAAGTTAAGTTATCAAAATGTTTTTTCTTCAGAAAACCTTTTTCGGTTTATTAAAATAATCCAAATTATTAGCATCGTACATTGATTATTTTTTTTAAATTTGTTGGTTACCTTGGTTACAAAAGTAAGCCAAGACTTAATACTATTCTGCTCAGAATTCCTTTTTTGATTACAATGATCCATCTAAATAAACTAAATTATTACATTACTATATAAAACTTTATCGTATAATTTTTAAATTTCTCAGCGACAACCTTGTCGTATCCATGGTGCGAGGTACGCACGCTATTTTAGTTTTTGGTAATAATTAAAAAAAAAAACATCTTTTTGTTTTTATGATAAATTTCACACATCTTTGAAAATTTAGTAAAATTTTTGTCCCATATTTAACTGAATATTTTGCAATTTTTGTGCGAAGTATTTTTGAAGTCATCCGTTACGATACGAATTCGTACAGGTATTAAAATACCGGGTTTAAAACATATTATCAGTATATTTTCTGTTATAGGACTGCAATGTATATTAAATAGATAATGTGTCATACGCCTTTGATAAACGTATACAATTAGACAGTAATAATAATTATGGATTTTTTACTCGAACAATCACTTTTTATTAATACTAAATTACGTGTTTGAAAAATTAATAAAGATTAAAGTTATTTTGTAAGTATCCGTTCGAAAATCTGTTGTTTCGGCGTAGAGGTCGTACAATTTTATTTTCGAACAGAATGACTCTGGAGCAGTGACGGAAGTTTCTTTTTTAGTTCAGTGCAAAGTCCAAACTCATTTTTTTGTATTCTTAAGTTGAAAATATCAATTTATTTAGTTCCCTTAGGAAAATATATTAAACATATTATAAAGGTTTCCTCGAAGCTATATTATAATATATAGTACGTACAATTGAAAAATACAAAAATTAACGAAGATTTGCGTTTGCGATCCTTTGTTCCTGGTAATTTTAAATGTTCGTTCTCAATACTGCGCTGTATTAAATATACTGTATAATATTTTGTAGAATATTAATTTTCAACTAGGTAACACGTCATTATACCGTATACTATTATGACGTCATAGGCGCGACTAAGGTACACATTCTGGGGGGGGGCTGCTTTACATTCATTTGCTTAAATTTTAAAATATAATATTGTACCCATATTACATTTTTGTAATCATAAAAACAAATACAATTAATAATTAATTAGTATAAAATATTAATATAATATCTAAATGACTATATTCGTCGTAACTGGGGGGGGGTTGATATTTGGAAACCTGGAGGGACTAAGCTCCCCGAGCCCCCACCCCCTCCCCTAGTTGTGCCTATGTATGACTTATATACATCGGATTAGTAATAATACTACCAATGGTTAACTACACTAATCTAAATACCGTAGAAACGCTATATTTATTTTAAATATTACTGTTCATGATATACATATCGTATAGCGGGGAACATTCTCGTACTCTCGGAAAATAGTAAATACGATAATTTGTTCGGCGATTATTCGGATTTTCTGAATAATCTATGAGCCAACCGCCGCGTATTTATAATGGAAAAAAAAAAAGAAAAAGAAAAGAGAACACGCCGTAGTTGTATAATAGACGTTATACAATAATAATATTAGTATACGTTTCGCGTGTACGGGGAAGCCGATCTCGACACAAGATCTCTCGGCGTAACGATTCGGTAAGATTTTCGTCGGAGAACGGCTTGTCCGGCGCGAGTATTTGAAATATTACACTCGTGTCCAGGCAGCCGAGACGCGCCAAACACGCGCGCGCGAGCGCTAGAGTAAATCGATATCGACATTGGAAATCGAATAAAATAATGCACGAAATTAAGTAACGTGCCGTCGACGGATTTGAATTTCAGTCTCCGTGTGGAAATTGTTATTTTTACCGTCGAATTTTTCGCAATCCCGCGGAAACCCGCGCGCTGCGGCAACGCCGTCGCCGTCTACAATATTATAATATTATTCTAAACCTAGGTGTTTTGTTATGCGCGTTTTCCTCGGTAGATAAACGAGAATAAAAAAATAGCTATCCCATTCGTATTGTATAGTATAACACACAGCAGAAATATCACCGTCGCCCTTAGGTTGACGTCACAACATCGGCGATGGCCAGTGCTCATTTCAATAACGCTCGCGGCGTCCACCAAAATACTGTTTTCCCGGCGTTCCATACTCGCGTTTAATATTTATTTTCGGCTCTCTTGACCATAGTATTATTCATTTGTCGACGTGTCATTTTCATTTTTGTTTGGTTTTTTTTTTTTTTTTTATGTCTACAATACTGTTCGTTAGGAAAACAATAGATAGAAACAAAATTAATTTCATATCATCGAAATGTTTTTTTTCGTCCGCTCTCTAAATACTCCTAATATTATTATTATAATAGTAATAATCTTATAGAAAGCTAATGAACGTGTCACAGGAGGTGTTTCGGTCGAAAGAAACGTCGCGGTGGGAGTGCTTGGTGGTCGGGCAAAGCTATGTGTTTCGCGGCGGCGGCGGCAGCGGGCCGGGCGGAGGGAACGCCGCGCACGATGTCGAAGCACATGGGCTCGGTTATTGTTGTTGCGCATGTTCTGCCGCCAGTCACTACTGCCGTCCGACCGACGTAACTGCGAGCAACACAACACGTTGTTGTCTGCCGCGGCTGGCGTCGGCGGCCGGCGTGCACGCGCTCACACGCACGCACTCAGGCACCGTTCGCGGCCGCCGCCGGGATTTCGAGTAATCAATGCGGCGTTGCCGGTTCGTGTACTCCCGCTGCACTAAACCCGGCAACCGTCGAGTCGTGACCGTTTTTCAAGTGTGTACAATAATAATATTATATATGTATATATATATATAATATTATTATTATTATTGTAAGACATCGCTGCTTGCGTGTGTGCGGCGAGCAGGCGTTTGCGTTCGCCAACTCGTTTTCTGCGTTCTGCGGCCAAAGTCGTGAACGCCGCGGCCGGTCTAGTAGTAGTTGGTCGGGATTCGGGAGAAGCCGCCGGAACCACGTTGGTGTTGTTCGGGTTTTTCCCTTCCTCTTCTTCTTCTTCTTCTTCTTCTAGCTGCTCGTCCGCTTGCTGTTTGCAAGAACGGCCTGTTGGATACGCCGCCGCTCCGGGTAAAGGGGAAGTCGCGATGGCCGAGTAGGGGAAACGCGCGCGCAAATCATCGGCGGTCGCTGCCCGGGGGGCAGGTGGATTTGTTGTCGCGTCGCGGTATTGCGCATACATCAACAACTATAATAATATACGTCCGTTACGGTATTGTAATAACACGGTACACTGTTGTGACGGTGGTACGCTATGCGCAGTGTCGGTCTCCCCCCCCTTCCACCGTCTGCATAATATGATTTTTTTATGTTTTTTTTTTCTGTTATTGTTTCTTCCGTCCGGAGTAAACGAATATAAAATAACAACCCTTTTACTTTCGACGGGCGGGCCGGGAGAGGAGAGACCGTGGCGAGGCGATCCTTTAGGCACGACTACTTTTATTCTTTATTTTTTTTTTTCTGGTCGCCTTTTGATTTCAAAACTTCACTTTGGCGTTTTGTCAAACTGGCACCGGTTTTATTAAAAAATATAGCGGAACTTTAACATCACCACTGTCGTAACTCCCCGCCGATCGGGTGGTCCGTGTCGAGAGTACGGCGGCGTACCGCAGGACTGGCAAATCAAAAAAAAAACCCGATAAAAATACAAATTTACCAACTTTTAATTATTGTTTATTTATTTTTCGATTAATTTTCCTGGCGTACGAAAATGTGAGAAAAAAATTAGAATTCGTTATATTTAGTAATATTTTATAATTGTTTATAATTTATTATTCTAGTAGGTTTTTTTTCTCCGGTGCCCAAAAAACTAATACAACTGTAATTATAACGACGCGGAAGACTGAGAGCTAGGTAATCAACAACTAATCTGATAATATTCGTCTGTGCAAACATTACACCATGTCGTATATCTAATGTCTCAGTCGCTGTTAGTGCGTGTTATTATCGTGTAACAATTGTTGACAATGCGGATGACTAGAAAAAAAAACCATTTACCGTAAAGTAACGTGTTGGCCTTAAAACTGCACGTATCATTAATAATAATATCATTTTACTTTTTTTCTCTGTAGCGTGCAATATAACGGCAAAGGCATTTCGCACTTCCACTGGGACTCTCGAGTTTTGGGAAAAAGAAACTATTATACGTTTTAAAAAGAAAAGTATTAATATTTGGTTTTTACGAATGATTTTGTATAAATATGTTCGTTTCATAATTAGTTATAAAAAGTTAAAATTCAGAAAAATTAAAACCCGCATATGAAATTAATTCAATCAATTTGCTAATCGAATTTGAAATTAAAATTCTGATAAAAAAAAATTACTACATTACGCTCAATTTTTTTTTTTTATTATTATTATTTTTTTATTTTTTTTGATTATCAATTACAGCATAATAAACGAAAAAAGTTCGCTAGTCGTTTTTTGGTCGAAATAATATTTCTGTCTGAACATACACAAAAAAACATTGATAAAATATCTTCTATACAAAAATTGTATAATTAGTTCGTTTGCCCTAAAACTCGTTCGGAGAATCGTAATTATTGTGGACGTGCGAAATGTATAATATGTTATAGACGAGAGACGGATAGATAATATTTCTCCGGTCCCAAGGAAGAAGGGCTTAAGTCAACTTTTCGGCATACTTATGTGCGAACGCCACTATACGTGTACTCGGACGAATGCCTGCATTTAGGCTAGGCCGTTTAGCGATATAATATTATTTCGTTTAACAATATTTTCAAAATGGAATTCGCTCGTATTGACAACTGTAGAAAACCGGCTTTCGCGGACCGAAATATATTGCGTCTGCCGAGAAAACAAAATACGTATACCTTTTATAATGTTTTTGGTGACGAGACTCCCGAAACGTTTTCCCGTACACATATATAATATAATACCATTGCATTACGCTCGAACGAACAATTATCGACACGTTACTATTTTATGTAGGTACTCGTGTATGTATATAGTAATAGTACATATTATAATAATATTGCAGTAACTATGTATGCCGTACAACATAATAATATTATAAAATAAATTAACGTCTGTTACGATTATGTCACACGATGTGAACACGACGAAGGTCACTATTATTTAGTTATTGTGCGTTGGCTCGCCGTTGCAAAAATACAATTTATCGAACGCGCCCATGTTCCGCTGTCGTTTCGCGAATGAACATAAATATCGACTCTTACAGTCGAATAAGTCCGAAACGTCTGGCGTTTGGTGTGCCAAAAATACGGTGAAATTATCGGCCGGTGTTATTATGTTATTTTTTATTCCACGTTAGAACGCGTCCGCTCCACCCACCCACCGCACCCCCGTCCCCCGTCCACCGTTCCCCCTCCTCGTGCACTTGAATTTTTTTTTGTTTCGCCCTACAGAACACGATGATATTTTTATAAATACTGGAGGTAAACAATATCCGTAACGAAAGCGTCGAAATAGAGTCATCGTCGAGAAATAAAAACGCACAAATTAAAAATTATCGAACTCTCGTTTGGAAAAAAACGAAATATCATATTATTGTGTTTACCCATTTTTACGTTGGTGCGCGAATGTTGCGTTATTGGTGAGTTTTTTTACGAACAAACCGCTCCGCCTACTGTGGTTTTTTTTCATGTTAGATACGCCTCGAATCAACAGATGGCGTTACACGAATACCATAACGATAATAATAGAATACACACGTGTCGTCCGATGATAATATTTGTGAATACCTACTTAACGTCTTGTATAATATGAAGGTTTACTGCATTACCGTTTCTTTTTTCCGCGATTTCCGTTTTTTTTTCTGTTCTGCACGATAAAATATTTAAAAAAAAAATATATAATACACTACCTAGCTTTTAAGACGCGTTTATTTTCTGCAATCTTGCAAAACTGTGTGGGCAGTCTAAAATAAATGTATTTTGAACGCATATTTTTCTAAATAATAATATCATGTTAAATTGCTAATAATTAAAAACATTTTTACTAGTCGATTCTAAGTACACTGAAGAATCCCAGGAAAAAGCTAAGATCACGAAGATGTTTTATTTCTCGGAACTCGTATACAGTTGCTAGTTGGTTGAAATGTGGATTATTTATCTGATGGTAATTAATTTGAAAAATATTTCAAAATTAATTCACTTAATTAAACACTTAATGAAAAATTGCGTCTTGTGGTTAGAAAAAAATTGAATTGTTAGTATTGATGCTCTGATATTCTATCGAAATTATCGATATTTTCATCAGTGCATCCCATATGTGCTTTTCTTTTTTTGGTTTTTGTTGATTTCTCGGTTAACTTTTTAACTATGGAAAATCACAATAAATACTAAAACATTCAGAATCGTTTTTCGGTTGAAATGATTTACTCTCGGATTTTTCAATGCATATTAAAAATTATTATCCTATACCTTCAAACTACCCACCTACAAAATTTGCGGCTTACCCATGGTGCGTAAAGTATGTCCAGTTTTTTAAATCTGAGTAAATTCGAATAAATCATCATGTTATGATTTTTTTTTTTTACTAAAAATCTTGCTCAGATCAAATAATTTTTTTTTTTTGGAAAATATTGTTTAGTTGGTGTATTATTGTTCTTTGAAGTTAACTTAATAATTATCAAAAAAATGGAAAAGTTTACGGCAATAATTGTTTATTATTTTTATTTAAGTTTTAGTTATATTTATTTAATATAAACGTAAAAGTCTAATATTCTAATAGATTTTTGTAAAAGTTATAAAATATTCAAAACATTATGGTCATTTTTAAGCTATTCGGATGAAATTGTTTTGACCGAATACAAATTGTATACACAAGGTTCATCATAAATTGTTATTATAGTGGTAAATAAATAAAAAGTTTAGCCTTATGTAGTAGGTTTTTTTATAAAGATTCTATGTTCGAATTTATTTGATAATATGAAATTCGCAGTGTTTCAAAATATTATGTTAAACTGAACTTCACTCAGAATCGTTTTTCGTTAACAATAATGGATCGCTGCATGGGTATACATATAAAAATTACCCTATAATATTTTATCCTATCTTTTCAACTTACTGTATACATAACTACAGTGACACACCCATCAACAGTATCAGCTTTTTTTTTTAATATTCCACCTATATAATTTAACATGCAACAAAACGTATTATTACACTTGTATGTTTTAGTTTATACGCAAAGTAGTGCAGTTACAACTGCAGTATGCAATAATATTTGTGAAACGCGCATACATTGTTATTATTGTTGATTTCGATTGATTTTCGTCATTTGTTTTGGAGGTTTATTGAAACGCTGTGTTGTGTAATTTTTGGAAATACTATACATTGTTATCAAACTTTTAAAACGTGATCCGATCGTGAGCAAAAATATAATAATAATATTATATCAGATTAGCTACCGCCTATAAATGTACGGGATACCTCTCTTAATAACTGCAACCATGATAGGGTTATCTATTATTTGAATATATTGTACTCTGAAGAAACAAATATGAAATGAAAGTATAAATTATTTTGCAGTAATATTATATTATTATTATTTTATTTTTTCAATCGGTGCTTAGAAAAGCAAATCGTGTCGTCATAATTTCAAAGGCGGCACACAATGAATAATATTGTACGTATCGTCTGAATATTTTCGACAATTTAATATTGCGGTGTTCGCTTATAGAAGAGAAGACTTTTTTTGTTTTATTGTGCCGTTTATTTAAGCGAAAAATCGGCACACATAATGTATAGCGATGTGCAAGTTTTTGTGGCGACACGTTTGCAACAAAAATAAGCTGGTGTTTTGGCATGACGAACCAAGGCAGGCTTCCAAAAATGTTCTCCCATACCTCCCGCCTTTCCTCCCCTTTTCTTATTTTATATTGTTATGCAGCACTACCTATACACTTTTGTATAACGTTATAAGATATAAAATTAGAAATTAAATACTTGTAATAATGTTTTTAATTAATTAGGTATATAAAATGTAAATTATTATTCTTTAGACGAAATACATTTCATCCCTATACTTAAAAATTATTTATGGAATAGGTTAAAACTATACAATTTTTTACGTTGAACAAATTTCTTTTGCAAACAATTTTATGTAGGTATGTATTTTTAGAAAGAAAAGTTTGTTTTATAAGATAATTAATTATAAATTCGATTATTTGGATAAAATGTTTTTACAAAATTGTTTTATGAAATTTAAGTTACCGTTATCATCCATATTGTGATTTATTTCTTAAATATTCGACCCCTAAATTTGGTTTGTTCTTTCTTAGATTCTGAACTAACGTCTTTCAATAACTTTTCTAGGTATCAGAAATTTTGATCGATTTTCAAATGTAGGACTACAGAATAAACGGAAAAATGTACGTTTTCTGTTAATATTATTACTATTTTTTATATGTTATTCGATTTATAATAAACCGGATTGATACCTGTAATTTTCATAACGTACTTATTGTTAGTCCTTATAAATTAAATGAGATTTTTTAATTTTTATTTGGTTTTATGTGAACAAAATTCTTTTGGGCAAACTAAACTGTTCAAAAATGTATCATTTGATCCATTGTAAATTGTAATTAGTAATAATGATTTAAAAAAACAATTTCAATAGACTTTTTAAGTTAAAATTTTTTCAAAAGTCGTAAAAATCAAGAAATTTCATAATAAACATGTTTTTTTTTTTTATAAGAATTTTAAATTCAAATATTGACAAAATTCGTAAATATTACGGTCCTTCGAAACATATATACCTAACTGAATTTTGCTCAGAATCGTTTTCGGTTGCAATATTCATCGTTGCGTACAGATATAAGTTTAATAAACCTATACTTTTTTTATATCTTTATAACTTCCCCCCTCCATCAGTGGCCCACCCATGAGCAGTACAATGAGCACTTGGCAGTCATACATTTTTAAAAAAAAATTTTATTGCTTATAACCACGAATGTAAAATAATGATTTTTAAACAATTCTATTAAATTTACATTACATAATAATATGCTTACTAAATTAATATTATTATTGTATATTATGCTAATTTATGCGATTTAGGAAGTACCGTTCATTATAAAAATAATAATAATAATATTTTTATTATTGGAATTAATAATAATTCTAAATTTTTAGCTCGTCTTTGTTTGTATAATACTTGTGGAATGTTTGAATATGGAGTACATGCTGCGTTGTATTTCATTCGTTATTATTGTAATATGTTTTAGAATAGTATGTTTAAAAAATCTAATATGTATTACATATACACCTATATTTAGTAAGCAATAAAAAATACATTAATATTACATCGACATTTTTGAACTCCCGAAGAAATGTTATTGAATAATAAATAATAAATTAACATAGTATCATACCTGGGAATCGATATTTTTTTTCGTTAACTAAACTACACATGTACAGTGCCGGGTTTGGGAAAAATTAGAATGGGACGCAAATGTAACAATAAAAAAAAAAAAAAATTGTGCCTGTCATAAAATTAAATTGTTTTTATGTCCATATATGTTCAGAGCCAGTGATAGAGAGAATAACTATCACTCAAACTTAAATACTTAAAATATTTAGTCGGCAATTAAACGATAATTTTAATTTTAAGTTCGATAAAACTAATAATTTCTTGATTATTAGGGCCCAGATTTCGATGCAAAATGCATTTTTTTTTGATTGATATCAGATAATACTTTCCAAGTACATAATTTAATTCGTGTAACTGAGACTTCAAAGGTGAAACCTTTTTAAATCATTTTTCAATAATTGTTTTCGTTTTATTACATATTTGTTCAGTATACGAGTATAATATTATATTAGAGTATTTTTACGTAATACGACAATCGATTAAATATAATCAGTCTAATACAGCCCCTCAGTCAATTCTATCCTCACCAGTGACAAGTCAAATTTTTCAACTTTCTATTTTATTTTTTTTTATTTTTTTTTTTTCTAAATATTATAAATTACCCAATAAAATAATAAATTACACAAATTCATATATCATTTTTTAATGGCATTTTTCGATGACTTTTAGTGTATTTAAATCCGAGCCCTAATGATTAATATTGTATTTATAATTATCCTCAAATTTATTACTTATCAAAGCACAAACAACGAATGTGTAAAAACATGTTTTAAAGTCAGATGATTTTGAATAATACCTTTCTCCATCGATTTTTGTTAACATCGGCACTGCGTGCATTATGAAAATAAAAAGGGGTACACTAAATTATTTGTAGAAAATATCAGTAAAATTTAGACATTGTAATTTTTCTTCAATCAATCCGATCGATCGATGTATTGGAGCGGTAAGAATCCTGAAAACAGATTTGAATTCAGCGTGAATTGTTTGTCTGAGTTCGATACTGCCCAAGTCACTTTTTTGCACATTTCAGTTCTTAATTTCCCAAAATTTGATTCGAAAATTTAAATAAATATATCTGTCTCAGATTTAAACATATCTATTTTACCCTTCATTTTAAATATAGTTAAAAAATTAATTTCGATTATTTTCTTATGAACTATTATCATTGTCGTATTTATAACATATATAATAATAATATTACATTATGTGAAACAATTTTATGCAATATCGTTATCGCAATACGTCTAGTTTATTGTCTAACACTATATAATATTATATACCTAGTAGGTATTCAATACTGTCATCTCGATTGATATTATTGTTAATTGTGGAATATTACGCGATAAAAATTGCATTCGAACACTTGTATTGTAATTTTTTTTTTTACACGTAAAATTTGTGATACGCGCAGCTATTGTACATTTAAACACGCAGACTAAAATATTATAAGGTTATTGACATTTTTATTCCCGATAAATTCTAAAACGTTCATCGTGTAATTGAGTTTATAATAACTTATAGTAAATTCATGAAAATTATTGGATGGATGCGTAACACGAAAAAATAGAACAAGTAACAACTTAAAATTCAATAAAACATTAACTTTATTAAAAACGAAATTCATCTGTAGTATAATTTCATATTTGAAATACTATAAAAAAAGTACTTAATTCTAATATTCCTCCCCCCACCCCCGTATGAAACTAAATAAAAACTTAAAAAACTCAAAAATATTAAGTGTCTTCAATTGAATCGCAATAAAAAAACGAAAACGGAAATACTTAATGAAAATATTATTACCGTAAACTTTCCTGTTTTGGTCCTGTTTATCCCAATTATTATGGAAACTACACGGAAAATCAAAAACATTAACCTCTTCAACGGACCAACTCAATCCAAAGTGCTACATAAAAGTTTTTTTATAATTATTAGATCGGAACAAAATTCCTGGTAGAAAATTTGTTCACAGACAGAAAAAAAAAATAATCACACACATCATTGTAAAATATATATATTCCTCACTGCGCCCAGTATCTAAATAAATAGTAAGTAAATGTACCGCATTTGATGTTTTTATAATAGATATTGTTCTATTGTATGTTTTTTTTTTTTTTCATGCCGATAATAATATGTAACAAAATACCAATTAGCTAATGCATTACTGATAATATCATTTCTGAGAAATACATAACTCCATTAGCCTATATCATAACAACGATAGAATATTTTCTGAAGAGTATATTTATACCTTACCTATATAGGAAAAAAATACCTATTCGTAAAATTTGTTTAGGGACGAGTTTCGTATCCGTTCATAATGGATTGGTTTTAATTAAAACATTACATATTATATACCGTTTTAAATAATAATACAATTTAAACATTTCTGAAAAAAAATTGCAGTATAAAAAATTAGACTTACCTATAAGTCAAAGTTGGACAGGGAATTTTAACTATTATTTGTTAAAAAATAATTTAAAGTTTGGATTTATAATTTACATTTTAACTAAGCTAGATTCTTTATAAAAAAAAAAAACAAATTGAACGTTAGGTTATTACTTAGTTAATTGTTTAAAATTTGATTTATTTCAAAAAAGTTATTTACAAATTTTTGTGTTTTTGATGAAAATAACCAAATGGTATTCTTAACTCGAATATTATTAAAACGTAAGGATATTTCTTTGGACGACAAAATCCAAAATTCTACTGAACCGATTAGCGTGATTTTTTTTTAACGGACGTTTTCTGTGTATAGATGAGCTATTTAATGAAAAAAAATCTAAAAATTGATTAATTAAAGTTATCAGAAATATTAGTTTTCCGTTTAGTTACGTAGTGACATTCTTTGCCTGCGGTGTGCACGCACACATATTATTCTTAATTTCCATTACTTCTATACACCTATAGTTGCATTGAAACAAGGAAGAACACTGTCTACTTTTAATCTCGAAATTTAATCCCTAAAAGATCCTGATACGGGGATTTTTAGTATTTTTCAAACAAAAATACTATAACGTTAATTTATATACGTTAGAGTTATTATTAATATTTTATTTGTTTTTCATAGAGAATTAATATTTTTAAAAGATAAACTACCGGTTAACAACGATTAACTACGATTAGGATCAAGGTAGAAACAGGGTGGATGAAACACGCCGACTTGAATTTATTTTATTGGTTTTTGTTTTCGAAAGGATTGAGCCCGGGAAATACAGCTAGTTATTTATCACATCATAAGACGGGCGTGTGGCCTATAGGATAATGAAATAATAAAATATACCTATTATAGTACTTATGAAATTCGTTTATTAAGGTCTATTTTTAAAATAGTAACTTTAATTCCCAATTAGAGTAATCGAACTAAGCTAATTCGATATTTTTTTTAAGCTTAAACTATCCAGTCAAAACAAATGTATCAACTTGCCCGGCTTTGCTATATACTGCTGCATCATTTCATCTATGTATGCATTCGAGAACGAAAAATATTAAATAATAAAAACTGAAATAGCCCAGTGTTCTTGGTAATGTTAATCAATATTTTTGAAATCGATATGGACTCAGTATATTTTCGTGATATTACTAAAAGCTACGTGTGGGTGGTGTGATGTTCTGTGCTGCATGAGATTCACAACGTCATCGGACCGTTTTATTATTGTACTTTTAGAAAATTGCAGTGTTGTACCTAATGCTTATAACAATAATAAATATATAGGTGCAATTGAATTGGCTCTCAAAGTTGTGTAAACAATATTTTTACCCATTGAATCGACTCCCGAAAATTTGCCCGTTGAACCAACTCAATTATTTTGTAATGTATTGCCATGTTGGTTACCAAAAATGTTTATAATTATGTTCGTTATTATTTAATTAATTAGATCAAATTAACGTGGGATTTCATAATGTTGATTATACTGGTTAGCTAAAAAATTAGTTACCAAAGTTTTTTGAATAATCATTAATTAGTTTGACAATGCTGAATTAAAATATGTTACTAGTTTCTTCAAATTGGCTCGTGTTTTCGAGATAATAATGTAATAATCTATCTATCTTTAAATATTTAAAAACGAATATATTATTATGTCTGTTTGTCATTTATGCATTACTACATCATTCATCCGATCGCTATAAGATGTAATAAGTTATTCCATGTTGTCCAGAGAATGTTTTTTAGCTATTAAAATTCACCCCCCCTCCCTATTGAACACCATTCCCTAAATTTGGTCTTTAGGTATTTTTAGTATAAAAACCTAATTATTTTTATTGATTCATTTGTTACCTTAGTAACATGGTTGAAAAAAAAACGTTATTAATTTATATAGTGCAATCTTTGTGCTGTGCGGGTGTCTATGGTAATAAGTATATAATGATAATTTATTTATTAACTTTATTTAGAAACTTTTTTATTACACGGGCAACATCTGGAGGGACAGCTTATAGTGTCTTAAATTCCCAAAATTAAGATTAAATACACACAATATTTTTAGACTATTTATAATCTTATCGTTGAAATATAATTCGGATTTATTATTATTATTAGACATTTATTTTATTTACATCTGAATAGACGCCACACGGCTTTTGAGATGAAAAAAGCAAAATAAAATACAGATCTTAAATAACAGAAACAAGATATAACAAAATTAATTGAAATTACATGTAAAATTAACATTATTAATTTAGCTGAGCAGAGAATATAATATACAATAACATTTAAACACATTCGATAATAAATATGAACTATGATGGAAAAGTATTCATAACAAAGACATTATTTATAGTTAACACATTTTTCTATTGACAGCGATTATGTCAGCTCCTAATAACATAGCATTCACAACAATGATAATTCAAAAATTCTCATAACATTCGCTTTTTAATGGTTGTTAATTGGTAATTGCGAATTAAACTAAAAAAGAGCTATAGTGAAAAGTTAATAAATATCAAACTTAATTTTAGAGGGCCGGGAAACCAAGTTCAACTTAACAGATCAGTTCCAAATTTTGCACAGCTCTTTAAATAACACAGCAAATTTATGTTTAAGGGGAAAAAAAGTTGTTTTTTTTTTGTTAGAATTTAACTATATATTTGTTTTTTTAATAATTATATTAATTATTTAAAAAACAAGAGCAAAATCTGAGACCAGATTTGGAATCAGCAGCGAAATTCCATACAGAACTCACTATCAACTTGCTAACCACAAACTTAATTGTCAGTGTTATCACTGTTGAGTTATTTACTATTACATTTAATTCAAAATTTAAAAAATAATTATAATTGCTAATATGTTTCGTATAATATTGTATTTACATCGCTGTTGCACTATAGTGTCATAGTTGTGAATTTAACTATCGTAAACATTTTTATTTATTTTCATCTGTTCGGATAAACTAAATAATAATAATTATAATACAAATTTAAATTCTAATTTCACACCTGATTATGATTAGATAATTTTAGGCAGTGATAATTTGAAATATGTTGAGAATAACTCGTTAAACTCGTTAATGGTGTTGGTAGGATGGTAGCTAGTTCGATTATCGACAGTGTAGTTTACCCGATATCGGGGTACTTATGATCGTAATTATAATACTATGAAAGAGTTGTTTTTTTTTAAAAAGTTCTAACAATAATAAAAATATTATACACGTGATGGATTTTCATTACGAATCCTCCCACCCTTCTTAGTCGTATTATACACGTGACGGATTTACGTACTTCGGGCTCTTCTCTCCGACCTTCCGCCAGTCCTTCCCACCCACCCCCCTCCATCCCACTTATCGGTCTGTCTTTCTTTCGTCGCCGCAACCCGGGTTCACGCCGCACATTTCGATGGTATTTTATTGAACGTCACGGACGCGTATCGTGTACGCACATACGCGATATCGCATTATAATATTATTACGGTGTACAGGTACCAGGTATTGTGTTATTTGCGTTGGCAAAATGTGTTTGCGAGCGCACTAATATTATCGTAGTAAGTAATAGTAGTAAACAGTAGTAGTAGTAGTAGTAGTAGTAGTAGTAGTAATAATAAAATAGTGCCTAATAACAATAATAATAGTAATAGTATTGTAAAATAAATACGCGCACCGATAGTGTAATAACAATAATTTGTATATTATTATTATTATTGTTGTTGTTTACAATATTGTTATTATTACAGTGTTATTATTGTCGGTATATTTTTCGTCGGAAACATTATTGCACTTTCGACGTGCGATAAGACACAGCATCCGATAAGCGGCTCGGAGTAGAGCCGCTGCTGATGCTCATTGCTCGTCATCGTGTAGTACGACAACGACTGGAGCAGAATAATATTTATTTTTTATTATTATCCCACTATTTTTTGCCGCGCTGGCCGGCGGCAAGCGATTACACAATTATACGTCGTCGTGTATACTCGCACATTAATATTGTTATTATTATTTTTATAATAACTTGTTAAAAATTAAAAGTTTTAATAAAACTGGGTTTTTACGAAGAAAAAAAAAAACAGCTCCGTCCCATAGCGAATAATATAATAATGTACCTACTATACGCGTGTGTACATGATTATATTTTTTTTAATCGTGCCATTATACGTATTTTATGAAATTGGCGGCGGTCGTGAACACGCTCACCGCCAATGGGCGGTACGTGACGGTAAGAGATGGGGTTTTCGTGACGTCACCCGTTGACGTTCAGCTTTGCTCGGCGCGCGCGATCCTCCTGAAACTGCTTTCGGTTTCCAATGTCTCGCGCGTACTACCGCGGCAGTAACATTCTCGAGCTCAGACGGTTCGACTCCTCCGGTACCGGCCATTTCGCGTACGTTTTCTAGACGCGCATCATATTATATGGACGTAATAATAAATATTGCGCGTACTACTCGATCGTAACGCATAATATGTTTTTGCGCCGCTCGTCTATGTTTGCACACCGTGGAAAATATGAAAATCGTATACAATCGTGACGAGTTTTTTCGCCGATACGAAATCGCGGGCCGGTCCCGTCAGCGATACGTACAAATATAAAATTCGTATTTTATTTTTATTGCCTACTCACCTGTGCTGCGATAACAGTAATAATGGGAGTGTTGATTTTGAACGTGGACACTTGGGTCGCGCCACCGAAAAAAAAATGGATAAGACACTATCTCTTGGGTACCTATATATAGTATATATTGTATATTATATGACCGTGTCGCGTCCGTGTCGTTACGTCGAATACTTTTAACGAGTCTATTTCGGTTTTGGTTTTTTACCGTGACATTATAACATAATTGTAATTTATTATAATTATTGTATTCGATATTATTATTATTGACTAACCGTACCGTCGTTTTGTTGCGTTTCTTTCAGAAGAACCGTTATCGAATAGCAAGGATGCCGTTTACCATCAACCAGCCTCGGTGACATTGCCCAGCTCCGATCTACCGGCGTCGTTGAACCACATCGAACCGCCGTCCACGCCGCCGAGGCAACAGCAACCTCCTCCGCCGCCGCCGCCCTCTCTGCCGTCGTTACCGCCACAGCCGCAGCATCAGCAGCAGCACCATCACCACCATCAACCTCAGCAGCACCCGCTGCAATTACACCAGCAAGCCGCCCCCGCTCTAATACAGCAGCAGCAACAACAACAACAGCAGCAGCAACTTATCCACCACTATACGTATAAACCCACCGTCGCGGCCCCTACCGTCGCCGCCGTCGTAACCACCTGCAACACAACCAACAACGTGATCGTCGTCAACAATAACCATGACGATAATGTCGCCGCTCTGTCTTTGGCCCAAGAACTTAAGAGACGCACCGGGTTAGTGTTTTCATTTATTATTAACGGGTAGTTTTTTTATTTTTCTCGTCGTCGTCGCCGCCGCCGCCGCCGCCGCCGCGCCATAATATCGTATTTCTCGGAAATCCAAATATAGTTATTTCAGTGTTATAAATATCGTCCGTTTCTTTGAATTCTCCGACTTACACGCCGTGTTATGTTTTCGAATCACGTAGGTATATTATATCGACTTGGTACCGATTCTTCGAATTTATATTTCGTTCTCCGATCGATCCACTACACAATAATAATAATAATATTATAACGTATTACACCAGAAAGAATCATTGCACTTTTTCGGTTATCTAGTTTTTGTTTGTTTTAAATTTATTATAACGATAGTATTAATTATGATATAGATTTAGAAATCATCCGAACAAAACCCTGTTTTCCTCCGACAAAAACGCCGTCCGTTTAATGGACGACGATATATATACGAGTATATTGTTGGTGATTTGGCATTTCGTTTTTTTTAAAACAAATGTTTGGCGCCATATTGTTATCGTTTTGTAAGCGTTTAAAATTCCTACTGAAAAATATACGTCTACATTGTTTTATTCTTAACCTACCTATATAGTTAATTAGTTAGTAAGAAACGTTATTATGTTGAAAATTAAATTATTCACCTATCGATTGCCTACCTTTATCGCACGTTTGCGTTATAATACTATGCCAATAATAAATTTATGACCTATAATTGTATAATAATATTCATAATATAAAGCTATAAGTACACGAAATCGTTATTTAGATAATAATTTAAAATGACAGATTATAAGCGTATTTGATATTGCGATTATCGTTATGATCAAAACTGCTGTTGTTCCCGATTAGAAATCGGGGTAAACGTACAAACGACATCCAACGCATGATAATAGCAAATTATAGATTACTGTGTTTAAACTGTATCGAAAGTTCTCTAGTAGACTGCAACCCGAGTAGACATAAATCACAATCTTCAAAAAAAAAAAATTAGATTTGAATATTCTAACTATTAAGTGTCTATTTTGTACGTGTTTAAAAATCAGTTTTGAAAAACAATTTTAGTTTTAAATGTTTATAATCTATTATTATTTTATAACGTTTATTTTTTATTTTCTCTCATCTCGATCAGAAATAATAACTTTAATTTTTTACTATACAATACAATATTAAACAATCTAGAAAAAAAAAATACTTTGTTTAAAACAACCAATTTTAAATTCCAAGCGCGTAGTGAGGATTATATTGGTTTTATAATGATGTTTATTTTTATTTTTTTTAATTCGAAAAAACTCGAAAAAATTGGGTTTTTAGGTTAAAAAGATTTAAATTAAGGTTGTCATTGGCAACATTTTTTATTTATTTTTTTGTTATTATTAAGTTTGTGAAAACGCACATTTTTGAAAAAACAATACTATGATTACTTTCTGCTCAGAATCATTTTTCGTTATAAATGATTAATCGTTGTGTACATATTGTGTATATGTATATATATATATATATATTAAATTCCCCTCTATATCTTACCTTCCCAACTTTTAAACTACAACCGTGCCCCCTTTCACTTTTTAATATACTCTAAGCTGTATTATATTCTTAGCTAGATTCATCATTGAGCTCGTCATAAATGTGTGCCTTGTATGCGTTTTCAAAAACGCCTCCCCGTCATCTTATCCTGAATCCACCCCTGGACCCACGATGTGAAGTATGTGTATCTTTTTTATGTTAGATAGATAGATAGATATTTATTAAACAAAAAATGAATAAATATATAGAACACCCCAAAAGGTAAAGGGTAAGAATACAGTAAGCGAAAAAACAAAATGTATCGTTAAATTGTACATTAAATATTTAAACTATAAATAAAGTTTTTAGCTTAGAACAGGAATCGAAAAAGAAAATCAAAATTATGATTTTGATTACACAATATTGTAGGCGACACACCAGACTATTTGAAAAGTAATTATTTTTAGAATGAAGCGTAGCAAAAGTTGTATTGTATTAATTCTAAAGCTAAAAGAAGATACTTTAAGGCCAATTTTTTATAACAATTCAGGGCAGTCGATAACACCATTCAAGATCCTATACATAAAAGATATATCATATGCTAACCTGCTAATTGTTGTTTATACATTTTTTTAAACACAGTTTTATTAATGTAATTATTTTAAACCAAATGATTTAAACATATAACGTCAACGCGATATAAGCACATTTCACATTTTTTACAACATGATCGAGCAAACATGCGATTAATAAACAATAGGAATCTCGAAATACGCCGACACGGTCGACTGATCACAAAAATGGGGGTGCAACTTGTTGCACTCATTTTTTTTGTTCACTTATCGAAATAAAGCACTTATATGAACCGTACGAAATCGTTCCAGTTGGCCCAAATTAGATGTATTGCTCCCAGAAAGTTAGTATACTATAAGTGTAAACCAATGTAATAGAATCGGGCAGACGAAAATCCGTGCGATAAAGCTACTGAGGAAACCCTGATGTGAGGGGGTAAAATTGAGCACAATATGATAATATTACCGAGTCTGTGCTCAACAACTGTGTCATACCGAAACAACCGAACCGGCATCGTTCATTATTCAAGGAAAGCAAATTTCGTGCGTGCTTAATATTGCGTTATCTCGAAATAAGCGCCGGAAAAGCGGCCGTGCTCAACCGTGCAACTCCGTTCTATGATGTTTGTAGACACAAAACAACGTCCGCGAGATCGCGGTGTATGTACGGAACGGATTTATTCTGTAAAACACATGCTGTGTTATTGTTGCCGAATTCAATCTTGTATTATAATATTTAATTTTAGTATTCGATTCCGACCGCGTGAAAACAAAGTCGTCTATATTTGTTATAACATAGATAACATAGTAATCGTTGAGAAAAAAAAAATAGTGTGTGTAACGGTTTTTTTCTTCTTCTGTATAAAATAAAATATTATATTACATTAAAAGTGTCGTTTTAGATCTGGCACCAGAGAGGTACACAACAAATTGGAGAAGAACCGTCGCGCACACCTCAAAGAATGTTTCGAGCTGCTCAAGAAACAAGTACCCGCGTCTCAAGACGAGAAAAAGACTTCGAACCTGAGTATACTCAGGAGTGCAATCCGGTATATTCAGGTAAGCCCGATATCTATAAATAAATATTTTTATTACTTGAAAATAATAAATAAATTACGCGTCTATCCGCCACTTATATGTATATATATTATTTAAGTGTTTAGGATATTATACCCTCCTCCCTTCGGTATTTTCCCACAGATTATAATTAATATTCGATTGTGTATATAGGTACCTGTTTTTGTTTCAAAATCCGTCGCGTATCTGTGATATCTAATAGTTTTTACGTGATAATTCATGAGCAACCATATAATTATACAGATTCTATTATTATTATTATTTTATTCAGTGATTTTCACTGAGGATTTTAAGTAGATTTGGTTTCTTTTTTAACTATACGGAATTGTTTGAGCTTTGTTTTAAAATTGTTATTCTTACTCCTTATCACCCCCCCCCACACACACACACACACACACACACTCCTTTCATCATAGATAAAATTAATATAGGATTTACCGTTTATGTAAAATAAATTTATGAGTTACTGAACAGTTTATAGAATGTAGACCGGATGAGTAGGAAACGGTAATAAATCAATCATAATAATGCCGGTACTAGAACCTAACGCATTTTGAGTAAATTTGATTGTTAAGGGGTTTTTTATATGATTTAAAAATGTGCGCGCACGTTTCCCCCGTATACTGGTATGCCATATTATAAACTATAGAAGTTGGCACACTTTTCTATAATAATATATTGTTTAATGTTTCGCGGAAGGTCATTTGTTAAATAACCAGACGCTGACATCGTCAGTGGCCTCGTGTGTTTTTCAGCCTAGATCAACGATATATAAGTATAGGTAATCTCACGATGGAACATGGAGAGCGGGTGGGAAGGGAGATGAAAAACTTTAGGTTTGAATAAAGCACATTCACCTTATAATATACAAAGTGAATAATACAGCATAAGACACTTGTTATACCACGAAATGTTTAAGAAATAAACAACTCTAAAATAAAACGTCACATACCTTTATTTTTATCACCCATTATTTTCGGGGATGAAACCACTATCACATTTTGATTTTAAAACGCAACAATGCCGCATAAATAAACGAAGTTTTAGTGTAATTACGTTTTTGTGCGGCCCTTTTTTTTTTTAATTTCCGTGAACTATTGATCACCCGAAATACTTATTAAATATACAAATTATATAGTGTTGTTGTATTTTAAATGTTTTGCTTTGTCGGTTTTTTTTTTATTCCGTCGTCTCCAAGCGTCCATAGAAAAATCGCCATGTATAATAATAATATTATGATTATACGAGTACAAACACGACACTTAAACTTTTGGAACATTGTTCGGTTTTTTCTTTTTTCAAATTGTGTGTGTGTGTGTGTGTGTGTGTTTACAATCGCTTCTTATAATATTAATACATTGGTTGTCGTTTATTTATTTTAAAAACATTTTTTTTTTCTGGTAAAAGTATAAGCGTGCGGTTTTAATATTTTATTATTATTATTATTATTATAATAGAAGATTGACACCTCACGACGCTTAAGGCCTCCCCTATTATATATTTACGTGCTCTTACGCTTATTATTTTTATATCTATGCATAGTAAAACGACGTCCTTGAACGATTTGCGCGGTGTTGAGCCGTGTGTCTACAATGATAATATTAACGTCGTCGTGTACGGAATACGCTTATAAGGTCGACTTCTCTCCCAGCGACCGAAAAATTTGTTGTTTTTTTCTTCATTCAATGTCGCGCAGTACGTTTATTGTAACAAAACTTTTTAAAGATCTCCCGTCTCTGTTTATTCAAATTCAATCGTCTTTGTTCTGTTCTCCTCGTTTACCTCCCCTCCTCCTACTCCGCGTTACATTCGGACGGATAATATTAAATACCTACTGTATCCATCATCGAGAGCTTTAGTTTTTTCTTACAGCGTATTAATGTTCGCGGTAACGGAATAATTTAAATTTTAAATTGTTCAAAAATATTGATGTTATTATTGATGATTTGAAAAAACCGTATAATATTAATTCAATCTGTATTAGCCTTTTTTTAATATACACATTGATGCTTCTAAAATTAACGAGGAACCCAAAATACCACGATTACCCAGTGAGATTTCCAAATGACGATTCGTTTGGAATTATTTTCCTGTAAGTGGTTTGCGGAGTCTTAGTTATTTTTTTACATTTGAATTGAATATATGCACTAGTTAAAAAATGTCTATTGCCACGTCATTTTTACACGATTTTGACGCTTAAGTTTAATGTCATCAAAATGAATACATGTGTATCGGGTAATTCATTTAAATGGGTACACTCATTATCTCGGAAAGTATTAACTATTTTCGAAATTTTTATTCTAGAACATTTAAGAAACAACTAGCTTTACAATTTTATATTTATGTTATTTTTTCTAACCTTTATTTTTGAGGTTAAAACTACTACCTAATTTTGATTTTAAAATGGCAATTTATATTAAAAATTTCATAAATAGATGGAATATTTAGTTAAAATAAATTTGAGTGTTAAAATTTTTTGTTTCTGTTAAGCCGTTGATAAAATATTCTACTTTTCATTTTAAGTTGGAGGAGAGTAGTGCACTAATAACACGTCGCACGCCGTACAAATGACATTCCACTACTCTCCTCCAACCCAAACTTAAAAGTGGAATATCTCGTTAACGGATCAATGGAAATTAAAAAACACTAAAATTGATTTCAACTAATACTCCATCTATTTATGGACTTTTTATTTAGGTGACTGTTTGAAAATCAAAAATAGGTAGTAGTTTTACCCCCAAAAATAAGGGTAAAATAATAACATAAATATAAAATTGTAGAGCAGCTTATTCCTTAAATGTTCTTAAAAACAAATTCCTGAAAAAGTTTATACTTTCCGAAATAATGAATGTACCCACTTAAATGAATCACTTGGTATAAGGAACATTTATTTTTAAATAGACGCAAATATTCAAAGAGTATATTTAAAAAACAAGTTTTGAATTAAAAAAAAAGTTAAAAAATTCGGACACCCCACTGAGTACACATTAGTTTCCTCGTTCGTTTAAGAAATATTATTATGTGTATTCCGACAAATCGGACGATTTCTTTCCGGTCGTCGTTATTCAATCAGCTACTCGAGGCTATATTAAAAAATATATAATACCTAATTTTCAACGTTCTTGTTCGTTAGTATTGTTTCAGATTCTGAGCGCTTTCAGAAATGTATTGATTTTACTACGATTTGCTTCTTTTTTCTCTTCTTTGAATGATTTTCTACAAGAAATCTTGCTCTGATCATCAACTGTAAAACAACATTTTATCTAAAAGCAAATTTTGTCAAGTTGGTGTATTGGGGAGATTATTTTTTAATTTTCTTAGTTTTCTGAATAATTGGGAAAAAAACGAGAAAATTTACGCGATAACGGTTTTCGTTTCTTTTGTTATCCCAGTTAAAAATAATCGTAGAGATGTAAAATATTCTAGACAATTTAGCTAACAGATATAAATTAAATTGGCCCTATATTATGTCCTACATTACTAACTTCCCATTTACAAAAGAGCAGTACACCCGTTAGCAGTAAATCAGCCCCCTATTTTTTGTATTCTTGTATATAGTTTGTATACGCAATAATAATATTATTACGATTTAAAAGAAATATATAATAAAATAATTGCATCGTTCGTTCGCTTTTGTGTTCTGCCCTGCACGTGTATTCTCTTTCCGAAGATCGAAATTAATTTATTAAAAAATGCCTGAGTGTTTTTTTCCGACTCCCCTCAACCCCTTGTTTCGCCGATACGTCCGCGTTCGCGCAATGTTATCCACATGGTTCACATGTGCGTAACCATGACCTACAGTCAACGGCGGCGACGGTTTTTACACGCACATTTTACACACACCATGCACCTCGTGTGCACTTGATATACAGGGTGGCTCTTTATTTGTATTTTTTAGAACTATAGGAAATCTTTACGAAACAAATCGTGTTTTCTAATTATTGAACCAGTAGAATATTGTTTTTACCTTTCAAATGACTAAAACTTGTTTATTATTTAAATATAAATGGTGACTTTCAAGCGATAAAAAAAAAAAAGGAAAAACTTACAACCGCCGCCGTACGTTTAATAAATAATTAACAATACCATGACTCGTCCCCTTTTTGTGTGCGTAGTAACGGAATAAATATTATTTTATACATATTTTAAATTGTCATAAAAAAAAAAACGCAGGCACCCCTCGAGCCACCTACACAATTAAATACCTAAATCAATACATTTTCTACGCTAGACTGTGCATTTTGTATGCATTTTGACTTATAATCTTATTACACTTATGGTCCGTTTTACACTAGTAATTTGAACTCGGTTTGGAATTTAAACTTGATTCAAATCGAAAAGACCATTTTACAATATTGTCGTAATCTTGATTTGATCAATTTAATTAGTAGACATTTGATTATGCGTCAATTTCGACGAGTTTATCAAAGTTAATTCTCTGTAATATGTTATTAATGTTTACGTTTGTATTATTTTTTAAAATAATTAAATTTAATCGTAATGAATCGAAAATTCTATAAACTCCTTTATAAACCTATAATATTGTTTATGTTATTTACATAAGTATCTTTTTTAATTATGTTTATATTAGTACCTACCTAATTGACGAATATTTGAATAATAACGATCAACGAATTTTTACATCATATTCATAGATTATAATATACTATTAAATTATATCATAAGTGTATAACTTAAGGAATATCTAGTAGAACTGTATTGTGTATTATAAGTAGTGGTAAAAATCGGCAAAAAAAATAAAATAAAAAAAAACAATGATTTAGTCGAACCGAATAAAATCTGCGATTGTCATACCGACAATCAGTTGATTAGACTTGATTAATTGACAAGAGTCAGATGATAACCCAAGCTCAGCTAACTGACCTCAAATTAAACCAAGGTTTATAAAACGTGTTTTCATTTGATTTCTGCTCTTTTTGGTTTAATGAATGTATTGTGAACAAAATATCGTCAGTTGGCTACAGTAGTTAATTATTTTATAAATTTGTTGACATTTTTATTTCACTATTATCGTCAACGAGAGTTTATAATTTCGATTTAACAAAGAAAACTGAATTATCTGTATTCGTATACCCATAGTTTTGGACAACCCAAAGTCTGACTGTATGATATTTTGGCCGGGAAAATCCCTGGCCCATGTCATTTCTTCATCCTAAAATTATGTCAACTATGAATTAATAATAAATAATAATGTACAAGTATAATATAGGCAAATTAAAAATATTAGTAAAAAAACGAACATATCTGGGCACTAATAACTGAATAATTATACCATGATCCTAATTTCAGTTGATCTTCAAAGTTCTGATAGTGATAGACGGTCATTCGGAAGTGGACTGCTGTTCAAAACAATTTTATATATTTACTTAAATAATAGGCCAAACTAGAAAATATCAAATCGTTATTAATAGCTCAAAAATGTGCAAAATGTTTTATACCACATTTAGAAAGTACTATATGATAGTTTCAGGTTTTACGATTATTTCTAACCAAATTACAATAAAATCGAAAAGTAACAGTTATTGTGTAATTGTTTTAGTTTTACCCAATTATTCTGAAAACTTTTAGTGAAATCAAAAAATGACCGCCCAATGCACAAACTTAATAAAATTTGATACCAGAAACTTAAAAGACGATGTTAGCCTAGAATATATGTATTTCATATTATATTTTATAGTTAATTCATTTCGATTTTAAAAATAGGTACCTACTCGTATGATGCGTTATTTTTTTTTGTAATATTTTAATCAGTCTAATTTGATCATAAACAATTGTCTGCGAAAGTATCTATTGTGTTTCGAAAAAGTTACCCTACATTTGGTACCACCAATATTATGTTTCGGTTATTAGAACCTTATGTTTTAATTTTTAAAGTGATCCAACAAAAAACTGGTTTTAGCGTAGTCGTCAAAGAACTGGTATCGATGTAATTTGTTCTGCAGACAAAATAAATAAAATCTCATATAAATTCGTTTATAATTATGATAATATACTAGCATTAAGTTTGTTGTTTAAATTCCGCCGTATGATAAATTCCATGTCAATTATAATGTAGTGTGGGTACCACGTTTCCCGTGCATACGTGTAATCTTTTGATATATTATAATATTATATTATCTATATTAAGTAACTACTTATACGTGTGAAATGTGAAACGGTTATTTATTATGAATTCGCACTTCACAGTAATACATAATACCTATACTTAATACAAATAAAATTAATATAATCTATGATGTCTGATGTCTATGTCTTTCAGGTGTTGAGACGAAGAGAAAGAGAATTGGAACACGAGATGGAAAGACTGGCTAGGGACAAGATTTGGGCCCAACAGAGGCATGCTTCTCTTAAAAAAGAATTGGCCGCCAAGTGGGATCACATAGATTTCAGCAAACTGTTGCCGGACTTGCCACCGGACGGGATGACTAGGAAGAATGCGAGTGAGTGTCACGTTTTTTATTCTCTACGCGATGAATGTCGATTGTTAATTTTGTTTATTTTTACGATTAATTGTTTTTGTCTGCAGTAACCACCAGCATAAACGGAGATTTCGAGACAGAAAGGGACGCTAGCATGGTGACTAGCGACGCGGACGACAGTAAACTCAGTGCTCTGTACAGTAGTACATCATCGCTGTCCAGTTCCTCTCCGCCCACTCTGCCGCTTGTCTCCGACATTACTCCCCATCAAGTGAAAGTCGTCAGCACGTCACCAATGATGGGGAGCACCATTCACATAGTTCCTCAGACCAGAAACTCGTCTTCGTTACCCTGCAACACTTTGCAACAGCAAACCCTCACATTTGTCCATCACAAAGACGCTTTGAGTGAGTGAACACCCTCAGTAGTATATAGTTATAACGAAATATGTTCTATAGTATAGACGAATTAGGAAAAAGTTCAAATATTGTCTGATCATAAAACTATTGGCCAAGTTAGGTTAAAATTAATTAATACAAATAAAATAGTATTGTTATATTATTCATAGAAATATCCATATTAATTCTTTAAAACTATAAATAGATATGCATATCTTTTAGATTCTGAATGGAGCAAGGAATATATTGGTTTTTCAATACAATTGATTTTTATTTTTGTTCTTTTTATATATATATATATATATATAGAATTTTGTACAATATGTATATATATACTGTACAAAATTCTATTAGAAATCTCTCTTCTATGTTTGAAGTGAAGCATTTTTTCTGAAAGAGAATTTTATCTAGTTGGTACTTTGAGAAGATCATTTTTTGATTTTCTAAGCAGTTAGCCATAATATTGGTGAAAAACCGAGAAAAATTATAGGAAAAAAGGGCAATTTATAAAATAATGCTTTTATTATTTTCAGTTTTGTTTTTTTTTTTTTGTTGTTGTAATTCAATTCATAATGTTTGTAGACTTAAAATTTGGAGAGAAAATTTATATTGGACTTTTTTAGACTCGGAAAAATGTTCAAAACATTTGATCCATTTTTGAGTTATTTAGACATTTTTATTTTTATTCAGTAGGTACTCTGTAGATGAAATTGTTAGACCAAACAAAAATGCTTAAAAATTTTACGTAGTATTTTTATTTTTTATAAAAATTTTAATATTTTGACGAAATTTGTAATTATTATGTCCTATATATATTCAATTCCCCTCTGTATTTTCTACCTTCTCAACTTCTCACCTACAATATAGTATAGTAGCCCACCCATCATTGGAGAATATGTAAGTCTTTTTTAATTTAATTTATTTATTATTTTATTTTAAGTATGTAACCTAATATTATGGTGTTACACCAGGTCATTAATTTTTTTTTTACGATCGGATTTATTGGGCCACTATATAAACGAACCATTAAAAATTTTTGAAAGTTCATAACTAGTCACTACTTAATTACCATTATCTGGTTAGGGATTGATTTACTACTGATTTTGTCACTGAGAAAAGTAATTACATTAAACATTGATAATACATTAACTTATTGTCATCAATCTACTTTATATTGTCTATTAATTCTGTAATATATTGAATTTTCATATTTTTAAAAATACACAAAACCATAAGAATACAAATTTACTGTGATTTTTATTTTTTGTTATTTTTTTTTTCTGAAAGGAAATTTGATTAGGATGGTACTTTAGGGAGGTAATTATTTTTATTTTTCTAGGGTTTTTCATAATAAATAGGAAAAAACTTAGGAAAAAAGGAAAAATTTACAAAATTTAATATTTTCAAATCATAAATATTATGGTTTTTCAAAACATGTAAACCAAACTCCACTCAGAATCGTTTTTCCTAAGCAATGATTAATTGTTGTGTTTAGATATACATTAAATTTTCTCTCTACCTTCCCAACTTCTCATCTACAACAGTCACCCACCCATCGCCAGTATGTCTTTTTCTTATACATTGGAATACAATACCATTTAATTTTCAGATCAACAGGATAGTACTCAAGCAGTATTGACTAAGGTGTCGAATGGCTCATTTACTTTGTACGGTGACCCAAAACTAACGCCCAATCGTTCCAAAGTGTCTTTAGCAGGTATATTGTAAATTATTATGTTGGATTATATTTTGTTTAATTTTTTTTTTTCTCCTCAGGCATTAAGATAGGTACTAGTGTGATTGATCATTCCAACAACACAACGACGTCTGCACCAATCAGATTGTTGCAAAATAATATTATAGCGTCACAAACATCAGGTAAACGTTTTTTAATAGTCTTCTAAATCGACATGTGAATTGTATTGATTTTATTCTCTTTACTAATTATATTCCAGTTGTAAATAGAGGGCCGCCCACTCCAAATCATGTCATAACTCGGCCGTTACTCCTAACTCATCATACTAATTCTTCTCCAGCTCATTTAGTACTATCTACAGCTTCTTCTAAGGTATATTAATGTGGTTATACATTACCTAAAATATATCAATTAAGGCATAATATGTTTTCGTATTTTACAGGCGGTAACAATTCCAAATCAGCAATTACCACCACTCTCAAATGGCCATCTTTTAGTCAAGCCAAGTGCAATGGTGGTTATGAACAGCTCACAGCCGAAATCGCATCATTCCGGCCACAAAGCATAGCATTCACCGATCCTTATGTTTAATTATATGAACTATTGTACAATAATACTAATTTTTGGGGTTTTTGGTAATAACAGCGTATAAAAATAGTTTTAATAATGGTTTAAATAATAAAAAAAAACTATTTGTACCATGTAATATTTATATAGATTATAATGAAATTATTTTATTATATTTATTATTTCAAAAACCTGACATCTTTAAAACCTATTGTAAATACTATAGTTTTAATTTTATTTATAAAAATTGAAAAAAAAAACCACAATAAAAAATTATTATCGTAATTAAATATATTTGTCATAATGACAACTTTGTTCGTCGTGTATGTGTATAATTTTAATTACCACATTAATATTTTGATACAGGTTGTTATATTTTGATTTACTGAAAATGTATAGCATGAGATATCTCAGTTAAAGAATGTTGAGCTTTAATAAAAAGTTAACAGTTGTCCTTTTTTTTTATTTGGAATGCGTGTTGACTAAGATTAAGCTGAATTTATAATTATTATTTATTTTATAATATATTTTTACAAAAAAAATTGAAGTTATGTTTAATTTACTTATAAGCCACATAAGTCACTCAAATCATGTATATTAAAAACTAAATCAAATGTTATTAAATATTAGGCTTGCCACACTAAATTAAAATGTCAAATTAATTTTTTAAACATTTTAGTTTTTCTACAATGTGTTGTTTTTTTCTGTCTGTAAACAATTTTTACCAGAAATATTGCTCTTATCATCAACAGTGATGGTCAATGGCACAAAATTTTTTAGTGCATTTGGGCAATAATATATGATTTTCATTGTAGTTTTTTTAATAATTAGGAATAACCAGAAGAATTGTGTTATTTTAAATTTTGTTATTATTTAGTTAAAAAATAGGGACTTTAAATCATCCTAGAATATTAATATTAGCCCTGTTATAATTTTGTTATAGGAATTTGATATTCTCTAAAGATAACTTCTTGAATTTTCACTGGATGGATTTTAATATAATTTGTTTAAACATAGTGAATTTGCAAAATAAATGTCGCTTATAATATACTATAACTATTTGGTGAAGTGATCCAAAAATAAGTATTATATTTATGAGTTTACAACTCACTAATATACACATATAAAAATGAAATTAAAAATGCTAGATATACTTAGCTACATGAATGGGCCACCCCCTAACAACACAAGGAAGTCATGAGTACGATCTATTTCATTCCCGATGAGAATACGAGACTGTTCTGGGCATATCTTATGTAGGTCACAGTCCTTAAATAGGCCATACAAAAATTAATTCTATAAAACCATAAATAATAATCATCATATCTCCTCATAAATACGACGCCACTTCATCTGTATTTTATTAATAAGATTGTAAGTTCTTCAGCGACAGCATTTAAAATTATTTTAAAAATCAATATCAGCATTCAAAGTTTTTTAAAAAAAGCTTATACAACTTATGAATGTGCTACTGCTGAAGATTTTAAGTTGCAGGGAAGATATCAATTAAGTTATTTAATTTATATCTGCACACAACAACAATAAATCATTAAAAACTAAAATCACCAGAATTTTACCATGTGTAGAAAAAAATAATTTAAATAATTTTAAATGGAGATTGGGTAGACCGCAGAGAATGTCCTTTACGTTGCTGGGGGTGATACTCCTGCAACCAAATACTGCCTGTCAATAAGGTTACCAGTGAGGGCAGTCAAAGATTGTGTGCTCTGCAGTGTCCAAGGGGTACTGGCAATACAAGCACTCTTAACGCACCCCAAACGACACACGAAACCTGAAGCACCCAAAATGATAGACTATTCCTATACTTACTTTGATTTGTTTATTTTTTTCAACATTTTCTTGATAAATATAATATAAGGGGGGGTCCGAACCCTCCCCCATCCACCTTATTTATAACTATTTAAACATCCGTGCTAATAGAAGTTGTAACCACATAAAATGTTATTTTTTTTCATAATCACGAAATGAAATGTTATCATAATTGTTATAAATGGTTGCCTCTTGCTAGTTGGAAATCAAAAAACTGTAATGATAAAATTCTTCAAGAGAAACAACCTGCCTAATACCCGCTATTAACCAAATAATATACCGAGTGATCCATTTAAATGGGTACACTCATTATCTCAGAAAGTATTAATTTTTTTCGGAATTTGTTTTCTAGAACATTTAAGAAACAATTAGCTATACAATTGTATACTTATGTTATTTTTTGTCACCCTTATTTATGAGTATAAAACCACTATCTACTATTAATTTTTAAATAACAATTTATATTAAAAAGTCCATAAATAGATGGAGTATTAGTTAAAATAAATTTGAGTTTTGACATTTTTGATTTTAAGTTTGGGTTAGTCTTGATTGGCACATTCTACGTCGCACTACTTTCCATTTTACCCCAAAGAACGTTTAAAGTAGCATCCGCAGACTCTCGATGTTGTTAAAATATTTGGGTAAGCGTAGTTATTTGTTTTTTTACAGTTAATAGATTCTGATTAACTCCTTGGAGTACATTAGCAAATGGTTCCAACATAGAAGAATATTTAGCCATAACAAACAAACAAACCAAAAATGTTGAATTACTACACGAATTATATAGTTGAAAAGCACGGCTTTTTGTATTCCGATTTACGTCACTTTCCGATAGTTTCTGGAACGCTTCCAATATTATGTTAATATTTTCTTTAAATATCCTTATACTTTTATATTTGACTGTCCAGCACATTTTGCAGTATAGAGGAATGTTTGGAATGTATTTTCTTCTTAGAGGACTTTCTTGGAAAAAATTGATTGAATTTTTTATTTTTCCAACCGTATTACGAATTTAGGAAACATCACTCAAATCGTTAATAAATAAATTCAACATATGATAATTACAATGAAAAAAGTTACGTTTGGATATTTATCTTCAATTCGTTTTCTAACTATAATTATTTTTCCTATCATAGTAGAACAGCCATCATAGGCTTGACCGACCATTTTTGATAGATCAAGCCCAAATTCTTTGAGAGTGGACAGAATTTGTTCAGATATAGTTTTAGAAAATATAAGCCGTACAAATTTAAAATAATGAAATTGTTGTGTCGTAACTTGAAAATAATCATATATTTTATTATTTCCTTTATCATGAAAAATATTTTAGATATCAAAAAAACGACTCTCCGTCAGTGGCTACGTGTTTAAAACTACAAAATCGATTTCTTACGATTTGTCGATTGAAGCAATATTTCTTGTATAAAACATAAAAGTTGAACAATAAATTTAAATGAATATTAAAAACAGTAAAATCGATAATGCCGCAAATATTTACCAGTTTACCTATAAGTTTCTTTTGAGTTTTTCCTGATTATTTCGAAAACCCCTAGGTAAATCAAAGAATGACCCCCCAATGTACCAACTATAGAAAATTATATAGTCTATACTTCGGAACAATATTTCTACCATAAATATTGTTCACAGACAGAAACAAAAAAAAAAATAAATACATATTATAGACCATAGTAAAGCCAATAGTTCAGTCTAAAATATTTTAATTTTTAATAATGTTTTGTGCTATTAATAATATCCTGACCTTTATTTGATAGGCGTCATAGTACCTATGTCGTTGATATGTACGAGGTTATTGCAATAGTATTCTATACGCACTCACAGAGCAAGTCATCACCTGATTGTAATTACAAAGGCACAAACGAAAAGTGAAAAAGTCCACTTCGTGACGATTCAATAAGTACCTATGTGAATCAATTAAAGTACTACAATTTTAGTTTTGAAAAAATATTTTAATTCTTCATAACTAGGGTGCAGCTTTAAAAATTAAAAAAAAATGGTTAAAGAATTATTTAATTAAGTAGGTATATAAATTTTTAATAATTAATGAATACTCTTCTTATATCACTCGGGAATCAGTTATAATATACATAATACTAAACACAACAGTGCAAATAGTGCAATATTCAATAAATAACTTGCCGTTTTCTTTGTTGCAGCTGGCATCGTATTTATCTCGTACAATCGGTAAATCATAATACATAATACATTTTAAAAATAAAATTGTTTTTTTGTTTGAGAGGAAATCAAAATAATTGTTACCAAATTTTCTGATAACACTAAAAGTCAAAAAATAAAAAGTTTTATACATTAATTCTTTAATATATGAAACAAATTTGTGCTTGGAAGGCATTGCTTTAGGACATTTAGAATAATTAAATTTGCATTATAATCCGCACCCTATTCATAACATTTAATTACAACCCAACAACTGATGCTACATTTTAAAATTATTTTCGGTTCATTATTTCAAAATTTTATTTTTTGAAAATAATTTTAAAAATGTACTTAGGCTGACGCACCAAGCAAGTATTGAAAAATCAATATCTATTTTCAAAATTATTATCAGATTATTAATTTTTAGAGATTGATTTAGAACAAGTGGTTTTCAACAAAAACAATCACAGTTATGAGGCATCTTGAGAGTAAATTGTTCAGGAACACTGAATAAAATAACAATAAATAATACTATATACTACTAAACAATTCATATATATAATAAAAATATTTACGGTAACTATAAAAACAAGTATTAATGCGTTCAATAGATAGAATCAATCAGAGACAGATGAATTAGTTGTTATAGATTTCAATAACTTGTAACACTGCATAAGATTTTTCCGATCACCAATTTTTTCTAATGTATAGGCTGCTTCAGTTAACATTCCGGCCCTAATCCCAGGTGGTGATAGAAGTGACATAGGTAAATGTTTACAGGCCATAAACAAAGCAGTCGCATGCTCTCTTAAACCAATTGAGCTTTGTTCGCCTTTACCTGAATCCGTGAAATAATGTGATATAAGAAAAACAAAAATACAAGAAATAGAATATACCTTTGGTACAAATAACAAAATGGCGTGTTGATCTGTGTCTTAAACTGCGATCAATTAGTTGTTGAGTTTTTGTTGGTGATGCTCCAGCCATTAAACGCGCGGTCGCTTCATATAAGAAAACTTTGGCTGTAGCAAACTAAAGGTTTTCCATTTTTAACAAGAAAGTAACTACTACTTTAAAATATGCAATGGATATTATGTTTAAGCGCTGAATCAAAATAAGTACTATCTTTTATGATTTTTCCTAATTTTAGTTGGATAATTCAATAATTAAACCAAGAAATAAACTAAAAACATAAGATTAGCAAAAAAAAAACAAACATATTTTTACAGAGAAGTAATCAAAATATATGAATGGTGAAAAAACTAGTTTAATGGGCATAAATAGGCTGTACTTACTGGTACAAATTGTGCAATTTTCCGTAAGGAAGTTAAATCTTCTTGAAAGCTTTTCAAATTCGAAAATTCAATATTTACATATCCCGCTGGCATTTTTTTACGTTCTTCTTGCCACGATAACATTCTTGTCTCCAATAACCAATCACAAGCCAATAATAGTGTCATCTAAATTTAGAAAAAAAAATTAAACAATTATAATTATAAACAGATAATATATAATTAATAAATTATTTAAAATATGACTTACAATTACAATTGCTGGAGGTTTATTAGTTTGCAACAGGATTAAAGTTTCTGATAGCATTTTGCTAGCTTCTTGACATTGGTGTTCTAGAATTCTAGGATTTATTATTAGAACTTTACTTCGACATCTAAAAATACATATAAAATTATTGATTATAAATTATAACAAACGATAATTTATTCTTTACATTGTATTATAAATATTTTTACTTATAAGCTGCCAATGTAGCTTGTGCTAAAGGATCCACTAATAAACTTGGTGGAACATTTGAGATATGTTTATCAAGCAAATTTGTACCACTATCTTCTCCTAAAATCCAATATGCTCCAGCTGCAAACATTGCACCCCACCATGCTGCTTTTTCATCTTCTACAACTAAGTAAATATTTAATAAAAACCAATAAATTTATGTTCCAAAAATTATAATTTACCTACCATTTAATTCTGAACTACCAATTATAACTGGTTTCACTGTAGTTAAATTAGACTCAACAATGCGTTGTACATACAGTAAAACATCAGAAGTAACAGTTGATTGTTTGGCGTGACCTACAGCTTGAATAATTTGTCTTGTGCCTGGTGATATCAATGTTTGTAAAGATTTTTCCAGGGTATTTTCTCTGAAAAACTTAAATAAACACGTTTAGGTTTGTTGAAAATTCAAAACTATTTTAAATACATACTCTAGTAACATGTGATAATGGATCATTAGAGTCTGAAAGTATGGTGAATGAAGACATGGCCATGTATGGAGTAAATGTCCAGTTTCGATCAATGAAAAATCGGAAACCATGATCTGTTATAAGCCAATTCAAATTTGCTGGCAATCTATTATAGTTAATTACTTGATTTTGTGCTTTATGTAAATAATATCTACAGCAAAAATATATGACTATATAAAATATAAAATATAATTTTAATAACACTTAATAATATACCTTGTAAAAATTCTGGATCCTCTAAATTTTATAGTTTTGAAATTAAGAGCAATGGTTGAGTACAGACGTACACGAGTTTCAACTGAAATTACTTGATATCCAGCTGCTTCAGCCATATTAATTGAGCAAAATCCCAAGTATAGGCCAACACCCCAATGGGCGTTAGGTATTGGACAGTCAGATCCGCCAATTAAATACAATTTATGTAATAAATGATAAATTTCACTAAGCTGTGTAGCTGTATTTAAAGTATCATGTTTTTTTGATCTACAAATTAATAATAATAGTAAGTTATTTTACATAGATAAATATTATTTATTATAGCTACCTATTATTCAAAATCTCATCATACCACTTCTTTAAAAATACAACAATTTTAAACTGATGTAAACATTGTCTAATCATTTGCCATATTAATGAAGCCCAAAGGTTCTTACGGTTGGTCCATATTGGTCGACCTAACATTTCTAAACATTTAGAAAGTTCAAGAACTGCAATTTTTCTATTGCCCTATAAATCATTGAAAAACAATTCAAAATGACAATACTAATAAAAAATTTTTTTTTTCCAAACCTTATTCAAATTTTCCTCAGCTTTTTTTCTCATTTGCAAATAATCTTTATACATGCCAGAATCAGAATATATAATTGGATCACTGACAAGAAGACATGTTAAACTAATAATCATAACAAAAATATTTAATGCCCAAATAGATAGCGTAAACATAAAGGTTTGATAGTACTCGTCAGTGTCTGCTCCAACATCTTCTAAAAAATAATTGTGAATAAAATAATATATATGTTTATTAAAATGTTTACTAATATTTACCTAATTTAGCATTTAAAATTGTTCTCCCATCAAAGTTCTCTGTCAAAGAAGAGTGAGAATATGTTAAATTTTGGTTTGATAATAAATGTCCAAACGGATTAAAAGCAATAATTGCAAACATGAAGACACAAAGTACTAATCTTGAATGATCAGCCATGCCTTTTTTCCCAGATTTGTTGTTCTATAATTATTATAAAATATATATATAATATTATATTACAAAAATAATAATGTTTATGTTTATACCAGAGGTTCTCAAACTTTTAATTTCACGTACTGCTTATATGTATTATGGATCTGTCACATACCATGTAAAACTAAAAATTGAACAATTCATGTGTTTACATTTATTTCATAACGATAAGAGTATAAAACAATAAAATACTTCAATATAATATTAATATGAATTATAGTATTAAATCCATTAAAAAACATTTGTATGAATAATGATAAATTTATTTTCTGTACTGTTACCGAGTTCAGTGTACGGTTACACTGAACTCACTCAAGTTGGAAAGAGTTAGAGGATGTACAAGGATGCCAAAGAGGTGAGCCAAATTCAACTATAGGTCTTACTAGCCTGCAATAGACTTTTTAGAGAACAGGATAGTTTTGAATTTTGAGAGAAGGGTTTAATAAAAATAAGTTTTTATGAACTTACAGTTGAAGTGCTCGATGTGAGAATGGTAATCTAGGTTAGAGGTTTAACTGCAGTAACACACACAATATGTTTTTATTGATTTATTTAGTTTATTTGATTATTATCATTGTAATATTTTGTGTATTTTATATTATTGCATTAATAGACAAAATATTAATGAAAAACGTTTTAATATTGTATAATAAATACATACATTATTGTGTTCAAAATTTAAAAATAAAAAATAAATAATTTAATACTTAATTTTTCTCTTTTTCTGATTACCATTGTTACCATGCGACCTTCTGCCTACCACATACTAGCAGTTTGAGAACCTCTTGTTTATACAATAGTGTAACAATAATGATAGTAAGAAGTAGTAATAGTGAGAAATACATCTCTGTATATATCGTACCAAAATTGAATGGGTACTTATTACTATCTCAGGTGATGATGCACCTTCAGATCTTTCTGGAGAGGAAATTGAAATATTTGACTGAGGTGGTGTAAGTGAACCAATACTGTTGTATTCTTCATGTGATTGAATAGGAGAAGAACTTTGATCGAGTTGTTTTTTTGAAATATTAATTTTCAGTAATTTATTTTCTTCTTTTAATTTTTCATTAGCCATTTCTAAATATTTAATATAATCTATAGCCTTCTTGAGTATAGCTGATTTATTTAACTGAATAAACACAGAATGTTAAGCTTTATAATTGTATATACATAATAATATGAATTCAAGAATAAACATCCCCAGAGGACAAAACATGGAAAACATTTTATTTTATTTTGGTAAACTATTACCAAACTTTGGTGTTATTGATAAAAGTGTCATATATTCAATCAATAAGTTTATTGTCAACTAATAATTATTTTAAACAGTTCCAGCAATTTTTAATTATAAATATTATAGCTATTTTTAATATTAAAATCAGCTAAATATCAACATTTCATTAACCAAAAAAAAAATAAATAAGAGTTGGAGATTTTTATCCATGTATCGTCCATTTTTGGGGGATTTTTATTCAGAATAACAATAAATTTACCTTAGCTTCGGGTCCAAGAATCATATCTTTTAATTCCATAATTTTATCATTAATACTTGTACGATACCTTCTTTCAATTACATTATGCGAACTTCGAGGTTTTTCATCTTTCATAAATCTTTTGTCAAAATTATTGTTTGATGTCATATTATCTGAGTCAATAATGACTGGTATACCTAAAATAATAAATATTAAATTGTATTTCATACTTTTGTTCAACGATAGAAATTTTTACTATTGGTAAGAAATGCAGCATTGTTTAATATAATTGGTTGAACTTGACCATTTGTTGATGTATACATAACTGTGGTAGGTGTAGAGTTCAGTTGTGTACCTAAAAAAACCTATAAATAATTGTATATTAATATGCAATGGATTATACATAGAAAATAAAATAAATATTCTAATACTTGTTTCATTTGATCAGTCGGCAAGTGTATTTGTCTAACATTTTGAATTGGAACAATTGGTTTTTGTATGTACCTTATTTTTTTATCGACATTTTCAACAGTATAATTAGGTTGAATTGGCTTTTCAATAATTTTACGATTGGGTTTTATCTCTGGTTTTACAATTGGAATGTTTTTAGTTGGTGGATCAAGTACAGCAGAAGGCAAAGAAATTAAATTATTAATGGCGTTCACAGTAATTTGTGGTTGTTGTTGGGGTAGATTAAGTTCGGGAATATCCATTAAAGTAGGATTATCCATAGTATCATTAAATTCAGATAAAATACTATCTTCTGAGAACAATTTGGTATTAATTTCTGGCATTTCTACATCATAATTATTAATGAACTCTACAAAAAGTATGAAAAATTAAAATATATCGAAAAAATCTTAATCTTACTCAGTAATCTTACCATCAAGACCAGCCAAATCAATATCTTCCGTCATGTCAAATGTATCCATCATATTTATTTAAAAATAACAAATTAAACCACAAAAGCAATACGTTCAAAAGTTATAATGAAAATAATATTGGAAAAAATGTACATCTCGTAGTTTTTAAAAATCTAAACTCATCCCACAAGTTGTGTAAACTGCAAAAAGAAGAGATCAGGTACATATCAAAAATGTTTTAATGTATTTCGGTCAAACGTTACTAAATAAAAGAACTAAACAAAAATAATAAAATAAACTATTTTTCTAATACAAATTATTACGCACAAGTGAACACACAATATATCATAATTAAATAAATTAGTAATGTATGTCTTGAATCGATTTATTAATTTCTATGATAAGTACATTCAATGGTAGTGAATTCAAAGTCATACTTTGAACTCTAGTAGGCGTCAATAATGCGGGTTTTCTTCGTATCGCAGTTCAGAAATCATCGTACCATTTTGTTATAAACGTCGTACGATAAAAACCAAAGACCATAATATGATATTCTGTGGTATAAGGTTTATGTCATGAATAAAGATACCTTTATCATGGTCTATACTTACGAATATTCCGCTAGCAATAAATGATAAGAGAACCCAAAATTAAAAAAATTGCCATTAAATCTTTCTAACCTAGACTAAAATATCGGAGAAGTAAAATAGATTCTGGATAGATATTCAAATTACAATTTATCGGCTCGCGAAAACCGCATGGGCGGTAGATAGGCGGCAGGTACTGTATATACTGTATTATACAATGTGCATATGTACAAAATTAGATGTTGGTAATTGAATTATCTAACTTTACTCGAATTCACTACACATGTATTGTTAACTGTTCTAATGAGCTTTTGAAACATTGTCATATACACAGTAGTAACTAATAAATTTTACGGGTCTATTTTTTAATTAACATTTTATTCTATAATTCTTTTGTTATCTTAAATTTTTCTTCCAAAAATTTACATTTGTCGTAATCTTTTTCTTTATTAAAATCAAAATTCACTGGTTAATGATTTTTTTGTGCCCAGCAGCAGTACACCAAACTTGAGTGGAGCCCTCTTAAAAAACACATCCTTCAAAGATGACACTATAAAAAAATATACATGATATCTTTTAATCAATTTAATTTTCAGCAGAGTTATAAAAACTTTGAGGATCTGATGAGATCTTTGAGTACATGTAAAATCATTTTTGTAATATCCTACTTAAATATTAATTTTTCTGTGCAAACAGTATCACAGTTCTTTATATTTTCAATCAGTAATCCTATTTTTATCAAACCATCAAAGAATGTAATAATTATTGCTGCTAACCTTTCCTTTTTTTAATTAGACAAACCAATGATAGTTTCAAACTATTGACAAGTCCAATAGTTTCCATTCAGTCGTGCCGATCACTATGGCCTAGCATAGGCCGTCGTGCAACCATTTATATCTATAATTGTGGCTAGCAGTTATTATATGTTATGTTAACAGAGATATAAAATACTTCATAGGTTAAATAAATACTTTATTATTGAATGAAAATTAGTTAAAATGTTAAAAGGTGCACATTCATATGATATGTTTTGTATAAGTTACCTGTAAAGATTTGGTCAACACAATAAGACTAATATAATAATATATACTTATTATTATTTATTAAATAATAAATATAAGTAGGTATAAATAAATAATATAATTAGTCATATAATAAAATAATAAAGTAAAAACAAAATTATTAAAATGGTCAATACTCTTAAATAAATATAGAAAATAATATTCAATTATTATTAAATATTTTTATTTAATATTAATATAATTAGTATACAATAATATTTGCATTTTATATAAATGCAATTGAAAATTAATAATAATAGAAAAATATAAGAACCCATACTTACCTAATTAATTGAGATATATTTAACTCATTTTTAATTATCTAATACCTAATGCTTACTAGTTACTAATTGTCAGCTAACCAAATGTCTGAAGTACAATCACCTCCTGGATAGCTAAAAAATGTAAAAATAATTTTAAGGATTAGTCATTTATTTAGAAAATTATACTTATTATTACTAGCAGTAGCCCAAAATATTCATTACTGTGATTTATTTATATCTATAAAACTATGACCCCCTAAAAACAGCCAATACATTGTAGCATATTTTAAAATATATTAACATGTCCCTGTTAAAGTTAATTTGAGATCAAAAGAAAGCTAGATTAATAAAAACATCAAATACTATAAATGAAATTATATTCAGTGTTTATTTTAAACGTTCATTCCCGGGGGGAGAGGGAGACAATCGTAAATTTCTAAGAAGAGTATGCCAAAGACAAAGCCAGATCTAGAAATTTTTTTACCTGGGGAAAAAAATTAGAAAATACGCTCAATAATAATTTTTTTTTGTTTTATTATTGTCAATAAAATGATTTTTTATCAGTCCATAAGTCATTTCACATGTAGTTTACATAGTAATGTCATACATTTTTCTGCCAGAAATAAACACTGATTATATTATCTACATATATTTTAAAATATTTATTTAAAAATATAAGTACAGTAAACAAATGTTTCTTCCCCAAAATATTAACTCTAGGATTGTCCATTTGGTCCCTGGTATTATTTCAAACCAGAATTCAATTAAGTTATTATATTAACCATCTTATTTAAGATACACTAAATTACTAATTTGCTGATTTACCGTGTTTCATGTGCCATTATAGGGCCATCAGGTTCTTTCCCAAAATCCACCAAAAAATTAGGATCAAGCGATAATCCACCATTGATAGTATCAACATTAAGTTTGACTAATGTAGATCCATTTCTGTAATCATATAATTTGAATGGTTTTAATTTACTTATTATTAAAAATACAATTTAATTAATTATTAATTATTCAATTACTTTACAGATTCTGGGTAAAACTGTTTATCCCATGGTGTAAATAAAGCAGTAGTCACATAAATTCTCTTTCCATCTAAACTTAACTGGAGCATTTGTGGTGAACCATATAAACGTCTTTCTTTAACATATACTGGTTCTGGTTGTTGCTTTAAAGAAAATGAAAATTTTTATTAATTTGTTATTCTAATTTTTATGTATAATTTAAACATAAATACTTCGAGTTCAGAATCTTTAACAACAGTTAACGGTCCATCTTTCAATAACAATCCACCTAAATATATTTGACCAACAAGTTGTGGTTTACTTGTGTTTGTTATATCATATTGCCTAACATCTCCATGTAACCAATTGGAAAAGTATAGGTACTTATCATCCAATGATATCAAAATATCAGTGATGGTACCTAAAATATTGAATAAAACTATTTAACTACAATTTTAACTTTCAACTTTAAATAATTTAACTGAAAATAGATTATACCTGACACTTCTTTAATATCATCAGAAGAATCCTTTACAATTTTCTCTGGTACATCAATCACTTTTTCAGAATCCCATGTACCATCATCAGTACGAAAAAATCTTTAAAAACATGTTTATTTAATAGCTCTAATTATACTATTAAGTATGAATATTAAATGTGTATTACTTTTATTTATTGAGGCCGCATACAAAATTATAATAAACGTTATTAAAATCACAATTTTAACATAAAATACTAATATATTTATGGATATCAATAATCATAATATGAGTTGTATTGCTTGGTTTTCCTTATTAACTAATTTTGAATAAAATACATTAGTAAATAAAATTGAAAAATTTGCATGCGGTCCCTGGGTTACCAGTGCCTGTATTATTTCATCTTTCATAGACAATAGGTTTTAATAAATAATCTATACCTGAATATGTTACTATTTACTGCACAACCAACAAATCCTTCCGATGCTTTAGGATTATGTAAGAATCGTATTTCTAAAGGAGCTATACCATCTGTACCTAAATCAATAGTCTGTAATAATTTCCGCTCGGACCATGAATAAAAGTTTAAGGAACTTCCATATTTTTCTATTAAATAAATATAGTTCAAGTTATAATAGATTATTTGCGCATTTATATATCTAAATACAAAATAAAATATACTATAGTAAAATAAATACCTTTATCGTGAATATGATCTGCGTGAAAACCACTTTTAAAGTATTTTGGTGTTCCCCATTCAGATGATACTAAAACATCCCAGTATGGCTGATACCAAAAATCATATCCAAATTTTGCAGTCTTTCCTCTGGTCCATGTACCTTTAATTAAAATAAATACATAAATAGTTATACTAAGTATATATTGTTTTAAATTTAAAAAGTATACTAAATTTAATTTCACCATTTTAGCCATTTTACCTTTAACTATCCCTTCTTCAGCATCTATCAACAAAAAATCACCCTTTCCATTACCTTCAGCATCGCCCATTGTTGAAATCATTACATCACCATTTGGCAAACAGTGTGTTGTATGTAAAGCTGATACATTTAAAGCATGCACTTCCCTTGGTTCAATAATCTGTAAAATTGACACAAACTAATTATTTATTATTTATTTTTATACTTTCAACATTACTTTATGTAGTATAGGAGCTTTTTCATTGGTTACATCTAAAACATAAATACGATCTGATCCTAAAGAAGGTAAAATTATTTTGTTTCGGCTTTTTGTAGAATCTTCATAGCAACTGCTACAAGTATTCCATCCAAAGTGATGAAGCTCATCGCCTACTTTTTCTACACTAGTTCTAAAAATTACCTGTTATAACAAATTTTTTTTCTCTATAATATTTATATTAAAATCCTGGTTAGGAAAAAATATACTGTTGAGCACTTATTTCACTATACAAAACTTATCACATCAAGTTTTATTTTATTATTAGGTACTTTCATTTAAAAACAGAAATCAATGATTTATCAAAAATTCATAAAAACACATTAGTTATAACTAGGGCTCAGAAGTTATAGGAGTTGCATATTTTTCTGGATGCACTGAATTTATAGCAGACCAAGCTAGAAATACTTTTTATACGATGAAGAGTTTAAAAATTGAACATTTAAAGTTTATATTTTGTTAATTTTAGAAAAAAAATACATATTTTGTTGATTTTCGATGATTTTCACATATTATTATTTAATATTTTCTAAAAAAATTGATTCTTTTCTTTCCTAACCAATGTATTTTACATAATATTAAATTTAAAATACAATATAATGTAATGTAGTTATTTATTATTATTTCTTACCATCTCAGTTTATTATTAATGTAACGACAATGGTGTGATTCATATTTAATCTTTATCTTAATTATGCATATTAATAATGAAATCATATGCTTTTAAATAATAACTCATCATTTTTTGCATATTTAACATTTTTTCATGCATATTTTAGCTCCTATAATTTCTGAGCCCCATTTATAACTAGTATTCTGTTGAATTTAATAGAACTATTACATTGTATTATATCTGTTATATATATATATGTTACAAGCAATGTAGGAAATCCAGGCATTTTATAACAATGTCTGAACATTTTAGGCAGTATAAGAACAATTTTTCTAATAGTGACCAAATATTGTACGAGAGTAGCCAGACAAAGTGTAACCCACCTGGAATCAAGTGGTTACATTTATTACCTATACCTTCATATTTTATTCAATCTTCTTCATGACTTAATAAACACTTATTTAATTTTGAAACAAATATACATGCATTGGGTACTGATAAATACACCAGTGTATATTCCATACATAGATAATACACTTTAATTTTATTCAATATTTTCAAATGATTCATGATATGCATAAAGGTGTTTATACAGGCTAATGAGGTACCACCAGTACTAAAAGAAACAGCAAATAAATGTTCTAGTTTGGATGGTCAAGGGTACCTTAAGTGTATTTACAATACATTATATACGACAATGTAAATAAAAAATAATATATAATACTATGTACTTACCTAATATTACATTTTATTAATAATTAATTAAAATAACTACAATTTGATAGTAAATAAAATTAATTGTATTCATATCTAACTACCTTAAGGTAATAATATTAATTCTTTAATAGTAGATACGTAACAATGGTTCACAGGATAATAAATTTTAAAAAAACTTTTAATAGGAAACTAACATTTAAGGTGTTTATTGCAAGTATTTGTTTGTGTTTATTAAAATATCTAATAAGATGTTTTATTTAATCTACAATGCCCAAAACTAATTAGGCAATGTATACAATGTCCAAAAATATAAACTTATTCTAATTTTGCCATTGGGCATTGTGCACAATATAACCCATAGCATACAAAATAATATATATATATATATTTTCTTTAACTATAAGTGGCTCTCTCTCAGCTCAAACTCAGGAATCAGTGTGGTTTTATAAACGGATTGAAGTAACAAAAGTTGAGTTAATTTTATTTTTAAAAAGGAGTATTTTTTCTTTAATTTTGAATATCCCTACAGCACAACTCACCTACATCCCAAACAAAGGCAATGGAATGAAATTGTATGCATGCATGACGTTAGTACCAAGGATGTCAAGAAAGTCTTTTGGAGGTTTAACATTTTGTAATAAGTAATTAATTATTGCATTATTATACTATTTGGTGATTCATTGTTTTACAAAGGATATTTTTATAATACAAAACAGTGGAAAGGAAAATTCAAGTAATTAATCTTTACTGTTCAAGAGTGTTTTTAAAAAAAGAAATTATATTTACCAAAAAAAAAAAAATGTAAGTAAAAAATATTTAAGATTAAATAAGGAATAAATATGAATTACGGGGCTGTCCTTCAGAAGGGAGGATAGAACCTCATATTTTTTACTTAGATTAGAAACCTCCTATTCAAAAAAGATTATGAATTATAATATAATAAAAAATGAAAATATTTAAAATTTCACTCTGGATTTTATAAATCTTAAGGAGAACCCAGAGTAACAAAATAGGTTAGTACTACAATTTCTAGACTATAACTAAAACTTAGGTGTGGCTTTAGTAGTTACCTAGTTTACTTACCTACTTTATAGGTTGTACAAATATTTAGTTGATCTAAAGAAATAAAATTTAAAACTTTACCCAAAATAAATATTATTACATATTTTAAGGCTTCTAAAATTATTGCTTTACAAAATAAATTAAGATAAAATTATCTTAGTGGTGTAAAGTCACATCAATTTATAAGCAATATAAAACTTAATAGTCACTTGAGAATAAGTAGCACTAGTTGGATCAACATCAATTATGGCCAAATAATCCGACTTATTTTTCATTTGTGGATTTGGTTGAATGCAAATTGTGTATAAAATTGTTTCTTGTTTACCATTATAATATGCATCTAATGGACTTTTGTATCCAGGTCCACATTGTTTTTTACAAACTAGTAAAAACATGTACCAATCAAAATTTTAAACTTTGTCATTTTGTTTCTAATAATAAATATATTTTAATTTGTTACTTACTTGCCATGATGAACAGGCACAGATCAAAGTTATGTAGTTGTATGTTTAAAAAATTAAATCCAATATATTATATTATACAGGTACTATACTTAGATTATGAAACCTATTAACCACAAATGAATAAATTAATACAACAAACTAATGGCATTAACCACTTGATGGTGGCAAACTTCATATTAATCTTATCAAGTATTATAATTATATATAGTAGATATATTAGTATATATTAGATATATACCTACTATATTACTTAAACTTAAGGAATGTATTTATACAATTATTGTAATCTGAAAAAACAAGAATATTTGAATATTTGATAAATAATTACTATTTACTAAATAGTGAATACTATAAAACATTATAATACAAAATAAAAGATTTCAGTATAAATATATTAATTTAAATTAAAATATGCATACATTTCAATGTGATTAAAAATGGTTTACTAATTAGTAATTAATTGCCATTAAAGTTGGATACATTATTTTCAACATTAGGTACAATAATATATGTATTGTAAATTATAATTTATATAAGTTATGACCTCACAGATATTATATATTGTTAATTGTATATTTACTCATATTTATCATTGGTATTCATGATGTTTCTATAGAAAAAGATTAATAAGATAACCCTAATATTAAACATAACAGATGGTATAATAAAGTTATATTTTTATAAGTTATTCTGATACTATGTATCACAGTACACAAATAAACTATAATTTAGTATTTATATGTGTTATGTAATAATAACATAAACTATTAGGATATTTTAATTTGTGATTATTAACCATTATATATTTATTACTTACAGATATGAATATAATAGAAATGTATAATAAATATTCTATTTAATAATTTGTTAATAATAAACATTTTAGGTTCTAAACTTAAGTTTAAATAAGTACCTTATATCCCCTGTGTGTCAGTACATTCAAAATGGTACCTACCAAAATAGTTTAAGAATTTTAAAAGTATCAACTATTTAAAATTATTAATCTTAACTCATTTAGGTCTCTACACATAAATATAATATATTAGGTTAATAAATTCTTTCAAAGTAGTAAATGGAATCGTACAGTTCATTATTAAAATATACGATTAAAAACAATAAACCATATAATAAGATAGCATTAACTAAAATACTTCCTTTTTCGTACTACACACTTTATATCAAACCATACCACCTATATAATAGGTATCATCATCTCCCTCCCACCACAATGGAATCATTTCCGTTTTTGATGGGAGGGAGGAATATTTGATCAACACATCAACGAAATAATAATCACTCACAAATTAATCTCAATTTACATTTTCCTCCTTGTATCATGTAAAGACAAATAGCCCATTTTTTTTTTTTTTCAAACTCTAGATTTTAAATTAATATGGAATCTAACTACTTTAAAGACGTTATTTAAGATTATCTATAAGATGTAGGTAGGTACCTTCAATCTATTTTAGGCCTTCATTATCTTTAAAATAGTTTATGATAACTGATAACTATAAATGTTTTACAAGTCAATTTTAATAATTTTAAAATTTCAATAAAGAAAAATTTTACAATTTTTCTTTCTCCAATAATAATTATTAAAAATGTAATAAAAATGTTTAGTTGAAAACGGATACAAATAAATATTATATTATACCAAGCAGCTATATACTTTTTAATTCGGTATTGCACAATTAACATTTCGTATTACACAAAGCAAGTGAAAGTAAAAACGAGCTGACAACAAACTAACCAAGGTAGCCTATCGATCAATAAATGTTGTAAAAATAATTATTAAAAATTGACAACGCTAAGCTATCTAAGTGCCGTGACGGCACAAAGGCCATATCTCTCTTAATTTGTATTTGTATCCTGGACCGGATACAGTTTGAATCAACAGAAAATTTACCGTGCTCAATGCATACCTTAGATATTAAATACACACAGAACTGTTCTAAGGATTTTTGGAGCCTGAGTTAAATTAATTCAGGGCAAGCACGCAGTAGCGGATTTTCAACAAAGAAAATAGAGGGGTCCTGAAAAATCATATGTATTTAAAAGGTATCTCTATTACTAGATGCCTCTTTTTTGAACAACATTTTATTAAAATTATACCGATTTCTAGGGGGTTCAGGGGGTCTAGATTCCCCCGTAAATCTGCCACTAACTAAATGTTGGCCTTAGGTAGCCTGGCCATCTAAAATATTTATTGGCCACACAAATGGCAACCCCATTATAAATATTTTTTTTTTATGTGAACTCTTTTTCTAACACAAAGCACACTCCGGTGTATACGATGAAGACCTTCTTCTGTAAGGGAAATTCCTTGAAAAAGTACTTAAAGAATGTAATTTTTCGATTTTCTCAAGTGTTTTCCCAGCAAATTTAATAAAACCAGGATAAAACATGGGCAAAACGTTGGAAAACTGAGAAAATATTTACAACATTAAACAAATATTATTAAAGAAAATATTTAAAGCCTATTTAATTATTTTAATATAAAATTACATATATTGTCTACAAAGCATCACTATTAAATGAATTCCGTTCAGAATCGTTTTTTCGTAAGCAATGGTTTATCGTTACTTACAGGTACCTATATCTACATTAAATTATTTGTAACAGTGATTGCACTTGTCCCATTATCCTAGCACGTTATTTTAAGTTATAATAATAAAAAATAAAAATTATTATTATTTTATTGTTAGAATATAATATGTTAACGAAATAATTTGAAATTATAAATAATGTTTGTTTATTAATCATTTATATAGTAAACTTCAAAATTCCAAGAGTTTAACATTTTTATTTAATAGACAATAGTCAACAACCTACTCTTATTATTTATTAGACCATCTACTTTAATAATAATTGAAATACCTATAAATATAGGATTTTGTATATAATAAGCCACATCATTCACTGTAATAGTAAATAAATCGACTTTCTAGATATTATATTAAATTTTGCTTATCATTCAATATCATCTATTCAATATTCATTTATCAATCAAATTTTTTTTATATTTTAATTACCAACAATATAATATAAATAATAAAATCCTTGTCTCTGATATTGATCAAATTTTAATGTTTTTACTGTTTAAGGGATTTAGAAACTATTATTATTACAATTATTACATGTTATTTCTCAGAAAATATTTGTTAAATTTAAAATATACTTAATTTCCATTCATTTTAGAATAGATCACGATTTAGGATATCTTAGTTTAGGGACTTTAAATCGTGAAATAGACAGATGGCCCATGGCATAGAGACATTGGTGACTAGAATTATAGTTATGCAGGTTCCCGTGAGATAGCGCAGTAATATTCGACAAAATTATTTTTCCTCCCAACAATAATAAATACTTATTTACCATATCGATTCCATGACGCGGACGCGGCTTTTTTTTTTATAGTATCTAACTATAAAAAAAAAAAACAAAAATAGTAACTGGTTATTTGTTAACATAAATAAACACAAGTATAATTGTTTCCAATATTATATATATAAATAATATTACCTACAATGATTGAACAACACTTTTCTAGTAAAATCATAATTATCGGTACTTTTAATTTTTAGATAAATGATATTTACTTATTATAAAAATTGGTACTTACTTACTTATGGTAAATGGAAAAATAAAAACAACAAATATCTCAATTTATTGGAATTTAAAAATAATATATGTTGTATAATAAAAGTAATAATTAATAATATTGGTAGGTACATAATTTAAAATAATTTAGTATTACTAACTCCTAGTAGAAATGTTTTTGCTTTCAAATATACTTTGCTTTAAAGAAAAATACTACAGTATTTTAGGCTTTTTTCCAGGGTAAATTTTTTTCTTTAAGTTTTTTTTTCTTGGTTGATTCAATTGTGTTAAATGTCTATGGTTATTGATTATATTAAATTTATTATATTATGATTATACACCATAACTTTTATACTATGGAATATAAAAATTTCCTTTAATTATAAGAATGGGATAGCAGTCAACATGTCACTATAATAAAATTATAACATAAATATGATTTTTGATAAAAATAGATAATACAAATTTTTAATAAATAAATACAAATTTGAAATTGAATTGCATGCATTACAGTAATACATATTTCAATTGTCTACGTATTTGTATAATTCAAATTCACCTATCCTTACCTGATTTATTAAAACTAATTAACTACCTTAGTTCTTTTTATATAATGTATAAATAAATGTAGGTAAGTTATGTTATATATAATATCAAACTTAGTATACAGAATTTATTGTACAATTTAAGGTATACCTACTACCTACAATAGTTTTAATTGGAGGTTCAGTTGGAGTATGACACATGAATATAATGTGAGTATATTATTCAATTAAGTAATTTTGAGAAAGACTGGACAATAATTGAATAAATATTTAGTAAAAAATTAATCTGTCTTAATTAAAGCTATCTTAAAGCATAGATATTTGAAGCTATTCTAATCTCATTCAATCATTAGTCATAATATAGGCAATACTTAATATTAGTGATTCACACTTTTTGATAAAGTTAATATATATTACCTAGTACAAAAATTAACATTTTATTAGAATTTTATGTCATTTTTTTACTTGTACTCTTCTCCATCATTTAATGTTTGTGGCAAATGACAATTTTTTGTTTCTGGTAAAAGTAGTGTAACAAAACCACCAGTTATTTGAAGAATGCCCATAACAATAAGTGATAACTGAGAACCTGTTCCCTAGTTAACAAGATGAAGTATTAAATTTAATAGATTCCTTGTTTACTATACTTGCATAATTTTATTAGTACAAATATATTATTACCACATAATTAATAATTGGAAGACCAACAGGTCCAATCATACCAGCTACTGAACTAACACTTATACCCAAACCTCTAACTACAGTTGGATATAATTCTGGGGCAAATAAAGAAAGAACAACATACGATGACGAAATTCCCATTTTTCCAATACAAAACATTATCAATGTCCATTGATCATCTACAAAATATTGTCAATAAATTATAAACTTTCTATAAATGACTAATATGATAACAAACTTAGAAGATGGCATGTAGCAGCTAAGCAGGCAAATCCTCCAATCAACATACTTATATGAAGTATACTTTTCCTGCCAAATTTTTCCATCGCAGGCCATAATACTAAGTATGTTGGTAATTCAACAGCTCCAGCCAAAAAAAAGTTTAAATGTTCATCATTACTTAGGGCTGGTGCATAATAAGAAAGTCCAACATAAACAGTTGTATTAACAAACCTTAAAACGGTAAACAGTACACAACTAATTAAGTTTTTACTAAAGTTAAGATAAAATTATTTAAATTTATAAGTACCAAATAAAAGTTATTGTTATTGTTTTGAACCGTAAATTTGGAGTTTTGAATAAATGAAACACATTATATTTCTTGATTGTTTTACTTTTTCGTTTGTTCAATTCTTCATCGTATTTTAACTTTATAAAAAAAATTTTAAAAATCATTTTTTTCTTAAAAATATTAAGTTTATTCTATATTCAAATATATATATATATATATATATATATATATATATATATATATATTACATACCTTTAATTGATCCATATAATCAGGTGAAATATGTTTACCATTTACTTTTGCCATTTTTAATAAAACTGTTTTGGCTTTATCAAATTTTCCACATGCCAAAAGCCATCTTGGAGATTCAGGAAAATGCCTATTTATTAATTTGAAAATAAATACTATATATACTAATTAAATTAATTTTAATTTTATACTTACCACCAGTAAAAAAAATATACCGTAAATGGTACTGACGTTGCTAAAGCAAGCTGACGCCAATCACGGAAAGCATATAAGACTAATGACAATATAACCATACCAACAGAATGAGCAATATTAGTAAGTAGAATACAAGTAGTTCGGTAAGTAGGGCCGACAAACTCTATAGCTGTTTAAATAATTATATTTTTATATATTTTTAACAATTAATTATATATTCATCTTACGGAGCACATTAGGAGTTGTTATAATTGCTGGTACGGTAAATCCGACTCCGATTCTGAAGAATAACCACATCCAAAAGTCCTTAGCAAATGCAGTAGCAATACCAAATAAACATTCAATAAATAGATATATGAAAAACGCTGGCCGTCTACCAAGTCTATAGGTAGTTCAATATAAATACATACTAATTAATCATTTAATTGTTTATTTGTCTGATTATATTAAAGTATAAAAGTATTATAACTCACTAACCCATCTTGAATAAATCCAAATAATAACATACCAAATAAACCACTGAGACCAAATACTGTTAAAGCAAATGTTGGATAAAATTGTTTTGAACAAACTAAGTTCCACTGAAAAAAAATAGTTATAAAGTCTATATTGTATTCTTAATACCTGTATTTAGATTATACAAATGCATTGAAATAATTGTAATTTGTAATGCTTAAAAATCTGAACAAGTAATAAATAATAATAGTAATAATATATTTATACACCTAATACTTCTATAGTATCATAACTAATCTATTTAATTTGTAATAACAATAGTACCATTAAGAGTTGGTTACAACTTAATACCTAAGGGATATCAGAATCATTTAAATATTCAATATTTTAGTTAATACTACCTAGTACTTATATTATTATAGAAAAAATCTATTTAACCATGATGTGTTTCTTCTTCGCACCATTTACATATTTTCTTAATTAATTATAACTGTAGCCCGGGCCCCTGTACTGATTCAGCTAACCCTTCTCTTGTGAGGGCTCTAAGTAAGAAACTCAAATATTCATCAAAACATTCCCATTAGGCTAAGTTCACATTGACAAAGCGACAAGCCATGGAAGATGTCCATTGTATATTCTTATATTCTAATATGTTTAACACACATTTCCAAATGGGTATGTATTGTAGTCTAAGGCTCTCGGTTTAATATCTGCAGGTTGTATTAATATACATGTATTTTTGAAGTTCGTGTGCACATGTATTAAAAGTTCATCTATCATCTGTGTATTAAAATTCTATCAGATGTGAAAATTTACTTTAGTAAACATCGAAGTTTAAATAATATTAAATAAAATTATTATTATTATAATTATTTAATGCTTTTTTAATATTATTCAGAATACGGGTACACTGACTCTAAATATACGTGTATACGTGTATTTTAATAACACGCACTTTATTAATACCGTTTCCATAAAAACATGTATGTTCGTGTTCTTAAATGCACGTAAAATACCTCCAGTACCTAACAGGACCTCCAGTATCTAACTAACACCTTTGATTATGGTATGTATCTGAATAGGTAAGTATTAGTAGTATTTATAATTAATGTTACTATAATATTTTTTGTAAAATTACTCATAGGATATTTCGACATGAAACTCATTTTAACAAGAAATACAATTTTTACTATTATACACACTATTACCACTGGCCGTTATTTTTTTTAGGCCCACCACTAGCCGTCTGGGGAGCCAAAATAGTGGGAGAGACGTAGTCTCGAAACGACCCACCGGCGTCAACTTAAAACCTAGTCGGTACCACGAGTGGGGGAGCCCCACTTCACGCTGGATCGACCTGGTCACTCCGGACTTAGTGCCCCCAAGGTTGAGGAGCCTAATTCGGCTGAAACGTGGTGGCTGTGGGACTGGCGCGAGATAGTAAAGCTAATCCACTGCACCTAGTGGGCGAACGGGAACCCATTCAGGTACCTATATTATTATGTTATCATACCAATTACCCGGACTTTGTCAGCGTAGACTTTTATATAATACCTTCTTTACTGCGTGTATGAAAGATAAATAGATAAAATGTTAGTAAACTCCCAAGATGTTGGGGAGTATAGTACATATCTCGCATTCTCTTTTATATCAACATCGTCAGTAGTTTTAATCCATCACAATTAAAAGCATCAAATAACTACACGCAACCGTAATTCAAAAAATGTCACCTTCAAATCGATTAACGCCATTTACTTGTATACAGCTAACATGATTAGGTATTGTAAGTGTATTTTGTTTAATAAGTTATAATCGATTATAAAATAATATTAATTTAAAAATTATATTTCATCGATTTCAATAAAAATGATCCTCATGCCGGGTCAGCAAAATCTGATGAGGGAGAGGGAAAATCTGCCATAAAAAATTGCACTTCCAATAACATTTATGATGAATAATAATAAAAAAAAATCTAGTGCAAAAATTATTTCAAATGATATTGCAAATAGAAAAAAATAAATGAAAATTTCAAATGATTATAAATAGTTAAAAATCACCAGAATGTTTTTAAAATTTTACCACGTCTAAAAAGTGCTATTATACGTACGTATTCTGTGACAAGATTTGAAATTGTCTGCTATTAAATTTATTAATGTATCAAAAATTTGATTGTTATATTTTCGATTTTAGATATCAATTCAACTTGAAAATTGGAATCAACGGTTTCTTATGTTTGAAAATCTACTTTCATTTTTAACAAAAACATTTTGAAACTGAAAATAAGTTTATTTAATTGGTCTTTATTGATTCAGATTTATTTTAATGATTTTACTGAAATTATGTCATTAACATAATATGTCTACAAACTAATATTGTTCTATATCAATGGTCTTCAACCTTTTTGGACTCACGACCCACATTTTTAGGCATATATTTTTCGCGACCCACACAAAACCGATCGCACACCTAAAGAAAAACGTTTGTAGAAAAACAAAAAACAATCTAAAATTACTTAATACTTTGTATTAGTACTATTATAACTAAATAAATAAAAATTACATTGCTGACAAAATAAACGAAAAAAATTGTTTCAACTGATTCGTAAATATGACTAGAATAATACCGTGAAAACATTTATAATATTGAGTCTTTAAACACAGCAACAACATCGATAATGTATGTAGGATTCTTTAACGAATAACAATATAATATATTAATTGTTTTACTAGCCCGGTTTACTCGTAAATTATTTAGTCAATGTCATACTATGAAGAATTATATTAGTATATGAAATTTAACTGTGATCTGATGTCCGTTAAAATATAAATTATATAATATTGTTTATACATAATATACTACAAAAATTTGTGTACCTTATATAATTGTATAAACTTAATTTTTATTTTAAGAAGAAAACTTATTACGGCCCAAAATTGGGTCACGACCCACCATTTGAAGATCACTGTACTATATAATATTATCATAATTATAATATACAAGGTACATATTCATTATGAAAATTCTGACTATTGATATTATTTTCATGATGACCACAGATTTCCTATTTTCCCCACTACTTCGGCTCTAGACCTATAAATCAAGAATATCTGGTAATAGAAAAAATACCCATGTTTTGATTGGGTGTCAATATTTTCTTGGAGGTAAATAATGGACTTAATAAATATAATTATGACTTAGATGCCTTAAGAGAAAGAAAAATAGTAAGTGGTAGGTTTCTTTTTTTGAATATTTTAAACTTCAAAACTTTTAATTAATATTAATTTTACCTTAGGTAAAATGGTAGGTACAAACAATGCTGATTAAAACTAATAATCAAAACTAGTGATCGACTTTCAAAAGAATTAAACATGTTTTGTTTAAAAAAAGGGGGTCTTTTAATTAGGATGTAACTATAGACTATTCAAAAATAATTTAATGTACAACAATAGTTAAGGAAATGGATTTATTAAAAATTATGTTTAAACAAGTTAAATTAAATTACACATTTACTTAGCAAATACAAGTTGTATAAATAGTATTTTTTTAAAAATTGATTTGATTAAATTTAATAAAAATTGTAAGACTAAAATAAAACTAATTTTAATTTTTCGCTATTTGGGCTATAAAATGTGAGGGATATAGTCTAAAATGCTAAATAATAGTTGTCAATTTATGTAAGCTTGAACATTTAAATAAGCTTGTGTTCATAGATAATAATTCATAGTTAAAAAAAATTGTTTTTTTTTTTTTTATTATTATTTATTTTAGTATGGGTATATTGAATGGGTTATTGAATTACTTTTATAATATTTATTAATTAATCAGTAATCATAATATAATAATTTATAAATAACCTTTGATTTAAATTGTATTAAAACATAAAAAGAATATTAAAATTTACTTCAGTTACAATTGTAGATACATATCGGCTATGATCATAATCCCAATTTTTGCAAGTATTATTCACTAAATCCCAACACTGATTATGAATATTGTTTGCATTAGTATAATTAGAGAAGCTGAAAATAAAGCATAATATTATATTCTAAAAAAGTGTGTAAATTTTATTTTCTTACTATTCTTCTCTACACCAATGTTCAGGAATAGCAGCCATAAATAATTGATTGTAAGCGTGAAAACCACATGGTAAAACACATGGAAGTACAATTGTCCATATCAATTGCTTTTGATACATACCATATTCACCAAATTGTATTAAAACTTCATCAAAATCCATTTTGTAACAGTTTAAGAAGACTGAAAAGTTGTATGGTCGATGCAATAATGAAAATGCCTACACACAATGGCATACAAGTTAATTTAGCTCCCTCTTTTCCTTCTTTTATAAAGCAATTATACAGCCTACAAATATGCCATAGCAGGATTTGTATGTAGGTAGTACTTATTACCAGCGAACATTAGTATTTTGTAATTAGACAAAAATATAAGCTATTTAATAATTTTATAAGTATAATGACTTATTAAATCCAAAATATAAATATTATTTAATGTTTGACTCATATACAATGAGTATAATTTAAATTCTTTAAAAGCTTAAATAATTCATTGTATCAAAAAATCTTTAAATAATACAATGTTTGATTTTTATATTTAATGCTGTAAATAAATTTTATACCAGAAAATCTAACTCCAATCAAAGATTGACAAGTAACTTGATGAATTTTAAAACTAGTTGGTGCTTTGGATAAGTAGTATATATTATTGATTCTCAGAGCAGTTTAATTTTCATAATAATAGGAGAAAACTAGACATTTTTTGGCACCACTGCATTACGATTTTATTATTTTGAATTTTTATAATTTATGTTTTTAAATCTTAATCAATTAAGAAAATCGACAAGAGACTTTTTGTCATATTGTGGATCTAGTTTGTAAGTAAAAAGATGTGTTTCAATTCACTTATCAAATTTCTTAATATTTAGGTGAAACCTAGAAAGTTCACAGAAATAATGGTTTCATTATTTTAAATTGAAATTTTTTTTATTGTAAAATAATTATCAAGACCTGCAATTTTTAATACTTAATAATGACCTTTTCTAGAAGTGAACAAATTTGTGAGCTATTTATAGGCATAACAATGTTGTATTTATTTTTAGTTGGTAGGCACTATACTACAAATATTTATTTCGATAAAATTATTTGATTAAACAAAAATCAAGGTTCGTTATAAGTTATACATAGAAGTCAATAATTATAGTATTTTAAAATATGTAAAACAAAACTTTGCTCAAATTTATATTTCATTAACAATGTTTTATAGTTGCATATAGATAAATATTAAATAACTTTATAATACAAAGGTATCCCACAAAGATGTACCCATTTTAATAACTCCAGAGATAATAAAGATTATGCAATTTTGTTTTTTTTTTTACATTACTCACTGGGATAAGGACTACAAATATTTATGTTAATGTAATGTTTTGGATAAAATGTTTAAAAAATAACTTTATTTTAGTATTTTTGAAAAATTTGAAGATGGCCATTTTTTTCTTATGAAAAAATTATTAGAAATTAATTTAATGAAAATAAAAAGTTCATACACCAAATTTTTCAGAAAAATAAACTCCATAAAATAGCTATTTTCAAATTTTTCAAAAATAATAATACAAAAAATTACTTTTTTGAGTTTTTTTTTATTAAAGCATAAATATTTGTAATATTTTTTTCTATGTATTTCTTCATTTAATTTTGTATATGCAGTCGTATGTTACATTTGGACCTGATGATGAATTTTTAATTTCAAACCGGTCATAAAATAAACTTCACATAGTACTCCAGGCGACGCATTCACTCATTTATTTTTATAAATAAGTTTTCGTTTATATATTTATTATATTGTTTATAATAAAATAAAATAAAATTCTTAAAACCATAATCAAATTCAAATGTGTTTACATTTCTTAAGAAAATAAAAGAACTAGTTAATGCCATTTTTAAGGTAAGTAAATAAAAAAATATAAATAGTACAATATGTTTATTTTACTAACATTTTGTATAATATACAACTACAAACTTTTAATTTAAATACAATTATTTTTAAAAATAAAAATATATAATTCTAAAAATTCTTGTGTTATCTATTTAAAAATAAGCTTACTTTAAATTACCAAATTTCTACAAAATACTCTTAGATTTCCGTTTTTTTTCTCCTTTAATAAATACTTTTCCTCTAAGAGCTTTCAGTCGTTTCATTTCGTCAATAAAGTCTTGATGTTCATCTCTGAACAAACCATAATTTCGAAGTTGTTTTATGAATAATCCGGTTTCAACATGACGTGGATAGTAGTTGATAATTTTTTCTTGTTTGTACAATGGTTCTTCACTAAACATTTTTACTACCTGAATGATAATTAAGAAATAACAATAATAATAATTTTAACTTAAATTTGAATAAGTTACCTTCATAGATTTTTCATCAGTAGGCCTTACAACATCACCGAAAATACGATTACTGAGAGTCTTCATTCGATTTGCATAGTTTGTATTAGAATTAACTAAGTTGCAGTATTTATAAAATTTCATTTTAAATCTGTAAAATAAAAAATGACTTATAAAATGATTTTAATTAATAGAATTCTAAATTATTTTACATTTTATTATCAAGCACATTTAAGTTGTATTATCGTGAAACTGTTACCAAACTATTGTTACCACCACGTAGTAAATTCTATAACCATAGTTAGATAACAAAAATAAAAACGTTATTTACTTACGATTTAAGATAAATCTTTAATTTGTATTATTTATGGTTGGTGATTATACTATGGATGTAGCATGTAGCCATCCAAGGTTTATAATAAACCGTGGTTTACATTGTTTATAGATCGTGGTAGCCACAGCGTATTATTTCATTACCAATATTAGCGACGAATCTATGAATTAGGTGTTCCATATGCGCATGCGCGATGCAACTTAGCATAATTATCGATAAATCAATTAATTATGGTTAGTTAAATATGCGAAAAGTTTCGTCGCGCAAATGGATAACAAACACATAATTCAGACTCGTTGTCGGACGCCGATATCGACAACATTTTTTATATTGATTACGGCTTAACCACGGATTAAGATATATATATATATATATATATATGGTTCCATCCATGTATATAATCTATGATTAGCGTGATTTTTAAACATTTTGCTATCAGGTTATTGCTCCACAGATATCAATTTTTATCAAACTACTCTCTGTGGATGGGTAGACGACAATATCGATTCTACAATCGTGTGATAATAATTATTATTATTATTATTTAGTTATTTATACTAATCTATGGGTGTAATATATTATGCTGTCGTTTCACTACCTGATGGAAATCTGGAATTGTATCACGGTTATAAACGACCGCGAATTGAACTATTATTATTAATGCAGTAAATATTGTGTTATTTACAATAAAAAAATGATACCAGTATTAAATACAATATTAGATTCGGTTATGGATACAGTAAGATTTAATGTTTATTTTTTAATCATAATATAAAACATTTTAAATTTAAATTAAACCAGAAAATAAAATGTCTTAGTTATTAAATTTAGTACAAATATATTTTAGGTAGCCCCACCAATTCCAGCATTTGAAAATTTTATGTATCATTGGGAAAAATTTATGGTTAATTATTTAGAATGGACTACCGATGGAAAGTATTCTCAATTCCACATTGAACAAACAAATGTTCCAAGCCATCTGGAAATTGTACAACAGGTAATTTTATATTTCATTTCTATATTCTTTATAGAAATGTTTATCATAATTAAATAATTTTAGAGATTATTAATAAATACGTATATTTAAATTGAAATAGGTATATAAAACATAGTTTTGCATACAAATTTGTATGGGTATAAAGTTAACATCTTGATTTCCTTATTACATATTTATAACAAATGAATATAGTAAATGATAAAAAAAAAAAAATAATAATAATTAGATATTCAATTTTTATTAATAAATGTATAACTTAGCATGTTAGATAATTATAAAAATCGTACAAGATACAATTCCTTTTGGTTTTCTTGTTAAAAATATAATGTTTTAGATATTATTATCGGAAGACAAAAACGAGGAGATTACTACTAATTTATGTATGGAATATGTATTACAAAATAATTTATTCAATATATTAGTAATTATGGCAGAAAAAGAAAAATTAATCGGTTTAAGAATATTGATTTTAAAATTTATGACCAATATTATTAGTCAGTTAAGAAATCCAGTATTAGCACATCAATCTATTTTTGGGCCAATTCAAGTAAGAGGATTTTAATATTTACTACCTATAGTCTATATTGTTTGTTTGTGTTAAATATTTTTTTAATAATATACATTGTATATTTACATTTTATTATTTTAATTATATTTTATAAGTGCAAATTATTATTATTTTTTTTTTTTAACAATTTAATGTTACAATTTTGTTACATTTAGTATTTAAACTAAATTACCTTATGGCCTATATCTTTTTTGTTCTAATCTTTACCACTGTACTTATTACATTAAAGTCATGGTGTTTATTATGTACATTTCTTTTATTGATTGGTCACTGGTGAAATTTGAGAAATCAGCACTATATTAATAGGTTACCATTTAAAATATGGGTATGTCACATACAAAACAAATACAGATTTTTTTTTAATCTATTATTTATGCTTTATCATTTTTTTTTTTTTTTTAATTTTTTATATTATTTTATATGCTTATTGTAAATCATTTGTTTTACAGATTATCAGTTATTTTTATACAATTTTTAAAAATATATAACATAAATTTAACAAACCCTGCTTATTAAAATGTAAAATTCCTTATTAATTTTATATTTTTGTTTTGATTTTTAGAAACTAATTAATTTATGTCATTGTGTTTTTTACAATGAAAGGCAACAAGATCAGATCCATTTTCTGCATACACTGTGTGTATTATTAAATAACCAACAGAATACTGCAATTATGTTTTTTTCTTATGTAATATCATCAATTAACATTATAATAATTAATATATTATATTTATATAACTTATTTGACTAATTTATAAAATATGATTTTATTAGGAGTCAGAATTAGAAGAATCAGAATCACAAAAATTAAATACATTTAATAAATTAAATCTATTAGATTGCATACTGTCGTATATAAACACCAAGGTTTGATTATTAAAAAAAAAAAATTATAAATATAGATTTATCATTGTAAATTTAATTATTTTTAAAGGACACCGAAGTTTATTATAAATGCTGTGATTGTATTTTGTTATTGACTAAATTAAATGATGAAAATGTTATGGACTTAATAGTTAAAAACACTAATTTATGTTCTACATTTAGTACACATTTAAGAAATCTGTTTCATACATTACCACCTATACTGGACTATAAAGGACTAGAGACAATTGAATTAAATTGGAAGTATGTAGTTTTAAAAAAATGTTATATTTGTTTTATTACTTACATCTATAATACGCAAATAAATAAAGAAAATACATAAATAAATTTACACAAAACCTGTATATGATTCTTGTTCTAACTTAAAAATAAGAAAGTAGTAATTTTGGTTGAAATAACCATTCATTATTGGAAACTTATAATACGAAAAAGTTGATCTTAGTTAGCTAAACAAAAGCCTACACATACAAATAGTTAAATAATTAGTATATAGTAGCATATCAATTATTTTTAAAAATTTAATATTTTGGATTTACAAATTTTGAAGAACTTAAACACTTAATATATAATGAACAAATTTAATTAAAAAACCATGTTTTTTTTTTTATAGGAATGATTACAATGCCAATTATTCAAATGATGTAACAAAATTTTTTTGTTGGTTAAATTTTATTATAGAGGTATTTTTTAATTTACATTAATAATGTTTGAAATATTATTGATCTTTACATTTTTATTACAGGTAATACGAGATGGACAGTTAAAAATATCTTGTTCTTTGTGTGAATCGTTAAGACTTTTTTTTTTTAATAAATTATTTGATACAATCGAAGAATTTTCTCTTTCTAAAGTTTTTCTGTTAAAAAAAATGTATAAAGCATCTAATTATACACCTTTAAATTATAGTAGGTATTTTAAATTTAATGTGATATTTATTAATAGTTATCCTATAAAATTGTAAACTAAGAAAATATGACGTTTTTTTACAGCAATGAATAATTGGTTAAGGTCAGAATTTGATTGTCTTTATTACAACAAACAAACACCAATAGACATTTTAATAAAATTGTCTTTGACCAACGATGATGGTTTTGTTTTCCAAATTCTCAGTTTTTTTACTGTAAATTTATATAACATGAATACTTATAAGTTAAGTATACCACTTTGATTTTATTATAGGATGTATTACTTAATGCCGATGAAGAAATTCTAGATTTCATAATTTTACGCTTTGTTAGTAATAGAGATTATTATGAAAGATGTAAATCAGGATCGTGGAGTGATGAAGAAGATGAAAGAGAAAAAAAATTACTATCAAATAAAAATAATATTAACACCAGTCGAACTCTCGCTCCTTCGAGTATTGACAGAATAATTAACAGGCAAGTTTATGATAAAGTATTACAAATTATATTCTTAAATATTATAACATTGTTAGGTAATCCATGAAAATTTTAACCAATATATATTATAATTTGTATTCTCATTTTAAATGTATAGATTATTAGCATTAATTCCTCAAAATGTTCAATCAGACCCATCACATTCATTCAAAAACTATATACTGTCTACGAAAAATAATTATGAAGAAATATTTACTAAATTCAAAAAGTTCAATTGGCCATCTGAAGCATTAGACCCAGTTGAACAATTGGAAAATTTTGATGAAGGTCCTTTTTTAAGAATGATATTTAAAAAAATTAGCAATATACCCAACCAAGTAGTTATTAACGACAAATAATAATTAATAATTTGATTATTACATAATCAATTTTTTTTTTCAGAGTGTATTAATAACCTCCCAGATAAAGACAATTTTAATATTTTTAAGTTATTTACCTCATCCTTACCTACATGAATACTTGTTAAATTCAACATTACCATTAAAACGTAATGTGTCATCAGTTTACACAATATTAAATCATGTACTCAAAGAATTGCATAAACAAATAGTAACAATTCCAAATTATAATAATGAATTGATTCACTCAAGAAACCAAATTTTAAAAAACATCTCAAATCAATTAGTATTCAATGAAAAGTAAAATAAATTTAGTATTAATTATTTTATTTTTATTTATGTATAATTTTTTTTAGAGACACACAAGCAAAAGTATTTCATAGTGCAGTTATTTTAGAAGAGTTATGTAAAGAATTGGTGGCAGTATTATTTGTTAAGTATCATTATTCAAATTCTGTTTAATATTAATACATTTAAATTTATAATTCAGTGGTGTGGTGAAAGGCATTTCCCTAATGCACTTATTTAAAAAATAGACTCACTATGCCATTATATGATATACATCTGTTGGCTGGATTATGTTTAATTTATTATTAATATTAAATTATAATAATATACTTATCATTTTTATTGGTATTGTATTCATAGATAAACTATAGATAATCATATTATTGTACTAAAGTATACAAATAAATAAAATGAAAATGTATTATACATTTAAAAATTAATGTTATTTTATTTTTCAAATATTTTTTATTTTTTTATTTCTTAGTTCTTTAAGGAAATTTATCACAAAAACATTGACTAAAAATATGATCCAGTGTAAAACACGTGAATTACATTTTTTATTTTATTTGTTAATTTTTTTTTTGTACCTACTATACGTCATTAATTTTTATCATGAGTAAAAATTCAAAAATACCTTTGAAGGCTGCACTATTTTGTTTTACGCGAATTCAAATTGGACAAATTTTATGATAGCACAGTAAATACATGTGATAAGGACTAAAAACTACTTTTGAAAGTAATTGAAAGTGAATTTGAAAATTAACTTATTAGCGATAATTCTTATATTAGTGTTGTGCGTATTAAAATTTCTAGAAAAATTAAAATGTTCGTCTTAAAATAAAACTTAAAAAAAAACCATAAAAATCAAATTCACTTAAAATTCCCCGAAAAACTTGATGGTTCATAATAAAAGAACCACCCTGTATACTTTGTTCTGAATGACAATCAATGAAAGCTTAAATTTTTATAAACACTTAAATATAATATTTAACTATTTTAAGTAAGAATTCGGTATAAATAGAAAAAATTTTGTTTGGCCCATCTCTACAGAATATTTTAATATAATACAACAGCTGAAATCCCAAAATAAAAATTGGGCATTTGGAAACCTACAAAAGGTACAGCAACAGATATTGGTTTTTCCAATAGTTTATCCCGGTTTTTCCCAATTAATATATATGAAAACCACTTGGAAAATCAAAAATTAACATTCTTAATGCACCAACTTGATCCAAGATTCAACAAAATAAATCTTTAGGAATTTTATGTAGAATAATTTGTACAACAAATCGAGCGTTAATAGCGATTAAAAAAAAAAGTCTAAGGTGCATCCAAAATGCATTTGTATATTTTTTGTTATCTACCCGACATGGTTAAGCAAAAACATTTGTTTGGTATTCAAGATTGAACTGGCAGTTTGTTTCTAGTATGACAACAGGTATGTACCACTACTAGATTACGACAGAGATACTATAAAATTGACAATATTGAGTTATTTACAAAATAGGTATTTAATGTATATTGTAAAACAATACATTATGTTACTATAAAATATCCGCATTATATCAGAACTTCAATAGGCTATAATTTCAATACTAAGTCTGTCCGTTCAATTCTGACTTCATTATCGTTCTTAAATTGGCAATATACCTAATATGTTAAAACAAAAATTGAAAAATTTGCATGGAATAACTAGATTTGTTCCACATGATTTTTTACTCAAACCATTTTCGTTAAAATTTGTTATAAAATTTTTTTTTTATCACTAAGTACGTCGTTTAAGAAACCTCCTATTCAATTTGTAAGCATTTCTGTTTAGTCTAACAATTTTATACACTGAGTACCTACCAAATAAAGATTACGTACAAAACCCGCGAAATTAAAATATCTATAATTAGCTCAAAAATGGATCAAATGTTTTGAAAATGTTACTGTGCCTAGAAAAACTAAATATAGGTTTTCTGTAAAAATTTAATTTGTGAATATACTAAACTAAATTACATTAAAAAAACAAAATTGAAAATAATAAAATAATTACTTTTGTACATTTTTCTGTACTTACGGACATTTTTTGGTTTTACTCGATTATCAAAAAAACTACAAAGGAAATCAAAAAACAACTTTCTTGTTCACCAACTAGATTAAAAGTTCAACAAAAAAAGTCTTTTGTCGTTTATCTATTGGAGCAATAATTATGGTAGAAAACATAGGAAACCGTAAAAATTATTCTATTATTATAAGAAACAAAATTGATCTCTTGCCATTTTGTGATTGGAATAATATTTCTGATAGACAGCATACGGTGAACAATGAACATTTTAAAATAATTTAATTGGGACACTCTACGCTGCCGTAAATATTAATCACTTAATTTTTTGGTTTGCCCCAATTATTAGGAAAACTACTTTGGACATCGAAAAACAAATTACTCAGACTAACAAAATATTGTAAGAAACAAAATAGATTTCGTATCATTTTTGGCTTGGAGCAATATTTCTAGTAAAAAACATCATGTTAACATAATAAAAACAACGCCGAGTTTTGCCGTAAATATTTGCCGTTTTACCTATAATTTTCTTTCGGGTTTTCCCGATTGTTTCGAAAACCTTTAAGAAATCAAAAAATTACCTCTAAATGTACCAACTCGAGAAAATTAACTTTTAAAAGAGGTGCTACAGTCTATACCTTTGGAGCAAGTTTTTTGGTAGTAAAGTTGTTCAGACGGAAAAAAAAATACACACATTATAGTGAAACCAGTATATCCCTCAGTAATCTCCGAATCTAAACTAAACATCATTGTAAAACAAATGTATTCCTGGCTAATCGTTTTCCGTAAGGACGTTCGTTCACCTGATGTAGGTAATCTGGGATCATAACACGTGCACGCATTAAACACAACACACACAACCACTTGTAGAGAATAATATGTTATGTGTGTGTGTGTGTGTGTGTGATTCTTTCCAATATTGAACATGTCATTACAGGTTCACGACAAAACCTTGGATGACTCACTATATTGTAACCGGGTCCAGTTCTCCAGTAATACACTACAACGGTAGACGTCTATAACTACGTTCCCGATTAAAACCGTACCGTAATCGGTTTACCTAGAGTAAATGCGTGTTTTTTTTGTTTTTTAATTCTTTTAAATTCAATTTATTGTTTATATCAATTACCAATTAAAACATATGGTAAGAAAAGAGTTCTGTATTAAATGCAGACAGAACGGTTTATTACATATTATTACTTAAATAAATATATCTATGTATATAATATTATGATTGCATTCGAATAATTTTATTACAATTCATAAAATATCGTTTGAACTTTAAAATAAATAATTATTTCGTGTAAATTAGTGTATACTATTTTTATAAAAATGGAATTAGGTACTCATACCGTATAACATAACATGTATTATTTTTTTCTTGTTTTAGTTTTATTAATTTGTTATTGACATATTACAAATCCAATAATTGTATTTGAAAATAATACGGATATTAATAGAATTCAATGTTAATATGGCACACATAACAACTGGATTGATAAGTTCACTAATGGTTTTTATCTTGGTGAGTATACCTACATTTTATTATTAATACCTTAATTTGTAGGTGGTTTTCTAATATTTATTTCTGATATATATTATTGACACCTATGTACTATTATGTTACTATACCTAGTACCTAGTTATTTAATGAGCATTATTGGACGAATATTTAATAATTTCAAACAAATCAAATAATTTTATTTGTACATATATATTTTAAAATATCAATAAAAATTAAAAGTGAATGAACAGATAATAATTATACCTATATAGGTACTTTTTATAATATTTTTTTTATTCCAATAACAGGAAAAGAAATGAATCAAATTAGTAGTTTCAGAGATTACATTGGTGTCATATCTAATCTCCATTTTATCTATTCATTAACAAAATATTAAGAATGTAAAAAACACCTGTTACCCTTTTGATTATTACCTTAGAAAATATAAGTAAAAGTAATAATGTTTCATTTTTTCTGTTATATATATATATATATATATAATTATATTCAAATTTGAATAATCTTTATATCCCAAAATTATGTGAAGAGATAACAATATTAAAATTTTTAATTATTTATTTATTACAAACTTATGTAGGTACCTAAATACATTTATATATATTTTTCGTATGGGATACAAAGGGTATGATAAAATTATTTTTATAGTAGCGCAAATTACAAATATTTTAACCATAGCCCTCCACAGATTTATTAACTTGTATTATAGAAATACAAATAAATATACATAGAAATCATGCCTAGTAGTGAGCCATTATACATTTTATTCCATAGGGAACTAATATTCATACATTTATTACAAATAATATGCAATGTAAAATTGTTGAACATATTATGTTAACCAATTTTATATTCTAGTGAAATTGTTATTTATCATTCTCAATTGTTATATTATTAACTTATATATTATTATTTAGTATTTAACAACCAATCATTGTTATTAATAAACATTTTGTTTATGCAATTAATAGATAATGCAAGGAAATGTTTCTCGATCAATACCAGAAGGTGCTATTAATACGATCACTGATTTTGAATGTCAAACAGATAATGACTGTTTTGAAAAAAATACTTATTGTGATGTCAGTTTAAATTTGTGTTCACAATGTTTGAATTGCAGCATTTATTTTAGAACACCCAAAAAACATATTGAGTGCCCAAAAGATTTATCGGGTTGCAGTAATTGTTTAGATGGGTGAGTATTAAAAATGTTAAATAACTACATATAATAACTATATAATTTAATTTTGGTTTTAATAGGTACTGGGAGGAAATATTTTTTGGGGGAGAAATTCGTGATATTTGCATTCCAATTAATACTATCAACGTTCTACCGACTGCAGGTACCTATGCAATTTTATTATTTTTATTTTATTTATAATTTTATAACATATTTTGTTTTATTCTATCAACATAAAAATGACTAATAAGACTTTCTGGCTTTATTTTTAAGTGAGAAGATTATTTATTTTTTCTAATTTAAAAACATATCTACTTAAATTAATGCCATGTTTTTATTTATTCATCACCTAATTTTTAATATAAGTAACATTTGTTTTAATTAAAATTTTAATAAAATAAATTTGTTAAAGTGCATCATAATAAAGATTAAAGTAGTTTTTTGTTCTTAAAATTTGGTCAAGCTATCCTTGAAATTTGTTCTAAAAATATAAAAATAAATTGTGCACAATTTTGTAATAATTGGTCAACCCTTAAATATATGACTCAAAACGGTTAAAGTACAGAAAAAGGTGTTCTCAATTTTTTGAAATTACATCATCAAATATAATTATTATTTTTAATAGTAAAAAATGCATAAAATAATATATTTCTTTAATGATTGCTTTTATAATCAAAGTGAACTGGATAAGTTTTTAATTATTGGCTTATCCTTAAATATATTTAAATATAAGGTTCTAATTTTCACACATAGTCGTTTGCCAATAATCACTTTTATAATATTTTAGATTTAGATATTTTACATGCTGATAAATTTGTAATTGATCTTAGTTTTAAGCTTACCATTTCACTTGATCCAAAAACACATGATGAAATGGTTTATTGTATGTTTTCATCATACAACTTATTCACTTAAAGAGTGAAAAGATGGTTTTCAGTACTCATTGTATTATTTTGTAAGTGAATCAATTTTTAAATGAAAAAATTAGAAGTAATAATTGTTTTAGAAAATTTTATTTAAAACTATTTTACTCTTTAACATTTTTGTCTATTATAAATATTACATAGTTTAATTTCTTTGATGCACCCCTCTTAGAGTTAACCAATATTTTTGAAATTTGACATAAATTATATTTTACAGTTTTTAAGAAATTCTAAAGGTTGCCTGATCAAAATTTGAAAAAAAAAATCCCTACCTTTCGATAAAATAAATATCACTAATATATACATGTTACCAATATATTTTGAAGTATGTTTTAAAACTCACTAATCAAATTTTCAGAAAAAATAAGTTCAAATTTTTACTGGCAAAATATTGGAATTGTTTTCATAATTGTAAATATGGTTTTACTTTCTCTATTATGGACTTACCATTATAAAAGTAAGCAGAGTCCTTATTTAATTAGTATTTTTAAGAAATTTAAGTTTAAAATAATGTTTATTATGTAGGAGTTTTCGGAAATAATTTAAATAGTATGTCAAATAATTCACAAGCATATGTTGAAAATCTACCACCGCCATATAATAGTTGCATGAAATTAGACAACTATGTGACAGGTAAAACCAATTTAATATTAAATATGGTTTTGTATAAAACTATTATTATTTAAACAAAATATAATATAATAATAACACTTTCTAACAATTTAGATGATACTCAAGAATTTCATTTGTTTACTGGTGAACAACCTCCCAGAAACGAATGGAGACACCAAAATGCTGTGCCATTTCGTTTAGATTCTCCAGAGTATGTATACAGGTGTCCCATAAATATTTAAAATGGGTATATCTTTGTTAAAGATAAACAAATTCTTGGTTTTTTTTCTTTTTTTAAAAAAATTTATTATAATCTATTATTAATAGTCAATTAATTTTTTTAACTTTTGGTGAAAAACTTAGAAAAATAACTTTATTTTATTGTTTTTAAAAAATCTAAAGAAAGCCATTTTTGTAGTTTATTCTTATAAAAATGTTGATTTATCAATCAGTTCAGAGAAAACAACATAATAATAATAATAATAATCAGTTAGCAAATTCATTACAGCCTGCTACATAATTATAAGTACTTTTCTCTGAACGTTAAAAAAACACAAATTTTAATGAAAATAAAAATTGATCAGTCATAATATTAAGACGAATAAACATTATAAAATGTTTATCTCCAAATTATTTTACAAAAACATAAAAATTCAATTAAAATATAAATAGTTTTAGCCTTTATACCTGACTGATAGCAAAAAAAATTTGAAAAACAGAATTTAATTATCTTTATTATCTCTGGAGATATTTTAAAAGGTTTATCTTTGTGGGACACCTGATATAATTTATAAATATTGATAAACAATTGGTTAGTAATTAGGTATTTTATTTATTAGAAATAATAATCTAATGGATGAAAACGAAAACACTGAAGAAGTAAATGATACTGCTATGAGAGGTAGATATTTTTATATAGAAATTTTTATTTTTGCAAATATAAACAATTGCATAGAAATACTTCATTTTAATTATTTTAATTAGATGTTGAAAATCTTGAATTACATGATGAGGAAACAATGCCAAGTGAATGGACTCCACCACTACCACCTTCATCACCGGTTGTTGAGCCAGAAGTGTAAGTTTAAAATAAAAAATATTGAAATAGAAAATTTGTTCAATAAATTATATTCTTATTATAGATTAAATTTTCGAAGTAATTTTCAAATTAGCTCACCACCACCCAAACGTAGAAGACTTGTTTTACAATCATCTAATGAAAAGACTGATTATGAAGACGATGATAATGCATCAGATATGTCGCAAGATGAATTATAAAACTAAAACTATTAGATTTACTAAGTTTAATTCAAATAATTTGCATATTTTAGTTTTTTAAGTTTGTATGTTAATTTAAATTAATGTTTGTACATAAGAAATATTTTTAATTAAAATTTAATGTTAAACTAGTAGTAATTAAGTAATTTGTAAGACTTAAATTTTTTTTTCTGAATTTGTTTTACTTATTTTTTTATAAATTAAAATGTAAATAATTATTGGAATTATACGTCTATTTTCTTAAATATTTTAAAATAAAAACAATAATATCTTTTACTAAGTACCTATTTATTAGGTATAAAATATAATATTAAAAAGTTTGTTAAATTAATTATTAATTAACTTAAAAGTATATAATTCCATTTTGATACAATAAAACAAATACCTATAATAATGAATATTATTATAGGTATAATAATTGTAATTATTCCTATAAATGTTATTCTAAAATCTTAAAGTCAAGTTAGAGTCTGAACCAGATACAATTAATTTAATTTAAAATTGTATTATATTACAATGAAGGGAACAAATCTAGTTCAACTTTTCTTTTTTAAAAAATGTGTTTTTTTTAACTGATTCTAATTTGAATTTTTTGTGGAAATTATTATTAAGGAAGTTATGGCAAAAATACTTAAATAACATCGTTTTGGGAATAGACTGTTTTATATGTTGAAGATGGTGGTATAATCAGAATTAATTGGAAACTATTATTTTAGAAGTTGTAGATGATTTTAAAACTGTATATCACAATATATAATCAACAAAACATTGCTGAAGCGACAGAATAGATGATATATTCTGTAACTACGCATACCAGCTTTACTCATAAACTCAACCTCCAACTAGTAACCAAGGAGAGGAGGGAATAGTGGCTAGTAACCTAAATCTCCAATTAAACACTAGGTATTACACAGAGGATTGTGTCTTCAATGTAAATTTAAACCTTGCTGCCAGTTCAGCACTAGATTTTGTGATGAATTGGACAAATACTTTAGTATAATTGATAATTATACACAATATTTCAATAGTAGTATGCTGGATATTAAGTCCAATTTATCCTCTCTTAGCTTAAGCACTGCTATTTAAGCCCGGGCAATCACGAGCTTATGTTATTGAATTTTAATGTTATATATCTATGAAATTTTTGAAATTTATGATATAAGCAATGATTTTGGCAACGAAAGACCGATTAACTTATTTAATAGGTCCTATAATTAAACCAGTGTATATTTAATTAATTTTTAGTTTCAGATCCATATTTTTTTTTTAATTACAATATTGAAGTTAAATTACCTATTTAGTATAATAATATATGATACCTAATATAGTAGTCTTTATCTATTACAGTTAATATTTATTTATGAATTACCTATTCCTCGTTTTTCAGTAGTTCCTCGTTGTTTAATAATTTGTTGACCTCTTGTCTAGCTTTATTTCTTTGGTCAATTGGTACAAATAAAATTTCGTAAGTTCTTAGCATAAATACTCCTGTTGAAATCACAGTTAATCCAATGGCAGCACTCACAATAGTTTTGTGCACTTTATTCAGAACTCCATTCATAAATCTTGACATAATAATTACGTTAGCGTTCCCAAAAATAAAAATATATATTCATTAAATGTGTAACTGTTTTTATTATTTAAATTTCCCAATAATTTTTAATATTAAATTAATAATCAAAATATAAAATATTATAAATTATAAAATTACTTCGAATAGTGAAAACTGCTTTATGAAATTTTAATAGTACGTACAGTAAAATGTATGGTTATACCATAGATAATAAAGAATTGAAAGGACCAGTATTTATGTTCGGTATATATATATATATATATATATAGGACTTTTGTTAACCGTGATAAAATAAAGAGGTATGTCTATATTAGCAAGATAAAATATTATTTTTTCTGCTTCACGTTGACATTGATCGTGATTGTACGTGATTGTACATTCATGTAATCCATGAATAAAGTACCTCTTTATTTTATTATGATACCACGATTAATACAAGTCTGTGGTATAAGGTGCCTTCACAGCTCACCGTGAAATATTAAAGGACTGTGATTGGTTGAATTGTATGATTATTATATAATTGTTAACCAAATCAGTGGTCAATCATCATTTTTGATATTAATAATTTCCCTATATCGCTTATACCGGAGAGTTGAGTTCAATCCTGTCGGACCGTGTAGACCACAGTTTAATGATAATGGTTCAACTATTTTAAATTGTATCAATCATGGTGAACAAATTGTAAATTATCATGTTTCACGTATCACGGTGATTTGTGAAGACACCTTTAAATAGATTATTTATCGTGTATGGTTATCGTGTACCATTGTACCAAGATGTATTGAAATTAGTTCTAGGATGGATGGAAAAGAGAGGTAAACTGGTCCCTCTCTGGCCATGGGATGAGGATTTACCATAAATGAGATAAGAGGCGATGATCAAATATATAAATATTTATACAAAATATACGATTTAATAAATATCTCCATGTGGAGAACAGAATACTCCCACGGTACCTCTACAGATTGGCAGATTGGTCTTAGATGTGTGCTGTGACAACATATGAGAGAGAGTATCGTGGTGCATGTTTTTCAGATGATATGGCTAAAACTCTGTATGGGTTTGGAGAAACAAGACATTTAATGACAATAAGCAAGTATAGGCGAGGTTGAATTTTAAAGTATCTAAGATCATTTGTATAAAGGAATGATGGCTTTCATGAGCATATAAAATATATAGTTACATGTGCATAAAGTGGTTGAAAAGTTTTAGGTGCTTTGTGTTTTATGTGACAAGGGATGAAGGGAATTTCGATGAGACTCAAAGTTAAGTTCTACAGAAGTGTGATTAGACTGATTGAGTTATATGGTATTGGGCGTAAAAAAACAGAGAATCAGTGTAGCAAAGATAAGAATACTTAAGGAGATGAGTGAAGTGACAAGAAAATAGGATAAGGGATGAGAAAATAAGAGATAGGTTAGCTTAGACGTGGCTTCGATAGCAGACAAAATGAAAGAAAATAGACTAAGATGGTTTGAGTATGTTATGGAGAAAAATGAAAATAAGGCAGAATTATAATGAAAATAGGAGGCAATAGGTGGAAAGAAAAACTAAAAAAGAGATGGTTGAATGCAATAAATATAAGGGTGATATGAGGGATATCCGGTGTATACGAGGTGGGAGATTTTGTCATGTGGAAGTTTAGAACGTGGGTGACCGACCCCATATTGGGGTCAATTATTGTTGATATGAAAGTAAAGGAAAAGAAGTTATAAACATAGAACTTATAATAAATATATAAAAATGGTATACGGTATTAACATAGAATATATTTTCATTTATTCTGTGGTATATCAGTATAGTTATAAAATCAAATATTTTCAGATGAAAATGTTTTTCTATGGGGCACAAACTACAGTTCTGATTCTATCGTCCTTGTTTGTCCATTATAATATTATATCATAAGGAACTGATGTTATCAACAAAACATATTACTTTAATATGATGTTAGTAACAAATAAATTTTGACAACTGTTGCGCAGGAATATTAAACAAAAATTGAAATATTAATAAAATTATTAAAAACTTAAATTGGTAATACTGAAATTGATTGATTCTGTATTTCTGTGTTCTGTGGTAGGCAATTTTGTTTTTCCTATTGCATTATACATTAATTATTATTGACAACTTGCAAGTTGCAGTACCAATAACTTTTAACAATACGCGCAAACATTAAAAACACAATTTTTTTTGTTTATGATTGAGGCAATTCTGTTTCATTTCATGGTAGGTACGTAAATCAAGCGATGTATATTGATTATATAAACCTTTTGAGTTGAAAAGGATAAGTGTTTATTAAAAGTCTTTCTGATTATAAGTAAGTATAAATATCTATCAACCATGTTTTTAAAGAACATTTTTTAAAGTTATTTGTATGTTATCTGTTCCATCTCTATGTTTAATTACAGTGTCTCCGATTACAGCTTGGGAAAAAATACAACAGAATTTACCAGGAGAAGACTTTCAACAGATTTATAATGATCATTTACCCATTGAAGTGCGTCAGTTGTTATCCCCGTGGTTTGAAACTAAAGCTTGGTATGAAAATATTGTTTTATATTTAATTGTATAGTAATTTTTCTATATATATATATATATATATATATACCTAAAAACAATTGCTTGGAATTTAATAATCAAATCATAATAATATGGTATAACATATTTTGAATATTATTTTAAATGAAATAATGAATTTTAATTATTGCCATATGTATTGAAATCTTAATGCTGATAAGTGATAATGCATCTCAGATATTTTACGTATAATAAATATGATTAATTTCATGGGTGCGTAATGCTTAGAAATATATGACTAGTGGTCAGGACATTGCTGTTTTTTTCGTACTGTACAAACGCTAAAGCTACTTCTAAAAAAAAGTAGCTGCCGCTACTGTAATTTTTTTTAAATTAAATATTCTAAATATATATATAAATAAAAAATGTATGTATAAAAATAAAATTAATTAATTAATAATTGTGTCGCCTGGAATATTATGATAAGTGTATTATACGACAGGTTTTAAATTAAAAATTCATCAGCAGGTATAATACAGTCAAAATGTAAAACACAACTTTTATTAACAAGTATTAACCATTGTAATAATTTTGTTTTTAATTTTAATTTTATTATTTTTTAAATTGTAGTGCGCTATTTAATAAAAACATTACTGTTTAAATAAAGCGCCTTAGTTTTTCAGTACATTTTTATTTAAGCTTTTTCCTTTTTAGAGTCTACACTCATTACGAATATTTGTTTTTTTTTTTTTAATTAATTATTTCTTATTTGAACATATTACTTATTTAACATAAAACAGTACTATTACTTGATAAAACAAAATTATGTGTCACTTATTATGTTATTATACTCTTAAGGTATTCAAAAACTAAAAATTATCTTAATAAAAAAAAATAAACTGGTACAACTAATCATAAGCTTGAAGTTACTCAAATTAGAATTTGAAAGTTTATCATAGAACATTTAGCCTTCAATTATTATTGAGTACCTATAATTTTCACTACACTACTTGTGAGATTTTTAGCGTGCTATAATATTTTATTATATTCTGAGTACTATGGCAACACTTCATTCTTCTTTTTAGGCATCTTGGAGACTGTTAAGGTCCATCACAGCAGCTACAACATTTATTCATCTCTCCCTGTACCTTGATACTTTCTCTGCATTTTCTACCTCAACTATCCTGAGGTTTTTCTTAATTCTATCAGCCCACTGTTGTCTAGGTCACTCTCTGTGTCGTTTTCTTGTTTAGTCTCCATGTTGTTGTGTTCCCCAATATTCCTTCTGATTTCCGCACATGGCTGGATTACATACTCTTCATGATTCCTATAATGTAAACTTCTTCAAATAGTCTTCTCAATTCTTAATTTGTCCTAACTTCAAATTCATCGTCATCATTTTTTTTTTGGTTTAAAATTTTTTCGCAAGATTTTCCTTTCAAATACGCCCAATTTATTTTCATCCGATTTAGTGGTTGCCCGTGTCTCACACGCATATAATGCTATGGGTCTAATTACAACTTTGTACGTTATCTTTGTTCATCATGAGAGTACTTGATGATTTGAACAATGTTGATAATCCAAAATAGCATCTGTTTGCTGTTATCAATCTTTCTCTTATTTCCTCATGACTATTCGCATTTTCATTCACTCACGCTCCAAAGTACTTGAAATATGCTACTTTTTCTTTGAGAAACCTTTTATTTTGAGTGTTCTAGCTGTGTGTTTTTTTCTGGATAATATTAGGTATTTTATTCTCATTTAATTTTTGATAAGACCGATTTCTTTCCCTATCATTATTAGCTCTTTTGTGGATTGTTTTAGGCTCTCCTTATCTTCCGAAATTATTATCAGATCATCAATACGCTCCAATCTGTTGGTTATCACTAATTTGTATTCCTTCCGCCTTACTATGAACTTGCCTTGCCACTGACGGAAACGGGGCATTTCCTTGTCTGAGACCTGTTGATACTGATAAATCATTTGAGTAAGCTCCTAAAATTACCTTGCATTTAGATTCTTATACGCACGTTTTGATCATTCTAATAAGCTTTTCTGGTATTCCCAGGTATTAACTTCTGCTGTGGTCCTATATACTAGTATGTAGCGACACTACATTGATCGCTATAAATAAAGTAGCGTGCTACTGTAGCAACATTACGATTAGCCCACTACTCTCGGCTAATGTAAATAACATCTATGTATGTAAAGTATGCTAGGTACTCCTACGGATTTGCAGTATGTAGTATACTTTACGGGTACCCTGATTTTCTTTGGGAAGGATAAAAGATAAAATTGAATGAATTGGTGTCAATAACCAAATAATATTTTATTGAGTGATGGGGTTATAAGCATTTTTTTTCTGGAATATTTTCACTCTATCTCTGCTGTAGACTAATTAGACATCTAGGTGTTGTCAGAAACCAATGACTTGATTTATTCCTTTCTTATCTAATAGAAGAATGGTAGAATAGAAGGTATCCTATATAATATGCTTTTAGTGCTAGAACTTGCATTTTTGTCTAAAACGATGTAATTTAGATTACTACAAATTAATTAGTATGTATTTTATTTTAAAATTTGATGACCAATTAGATATTTTAATGGTTCATTAGCTTTATTATAAATTATTCTGATAACGACGAAAAAACTGATATATAAAGCTGTGTTCTCATAAAAAAACAACAGAACATGTATTATTGAAGGCGTATAAAATATTCGAAAATATTTTGTCGGAAAGTGTTTTGTTGGAAAGTAGGATAATAATTTTTACTCTAAAAATATTTGTTATATATATTTTAGTGGCTGCTTATTAGTGCAGGTAATAAAATTTATTTTCTGACAATAATTTTGTGATAAAATAATATTCTGACAAATTTTTTTCTAAAAAAATACAAACCAGAGCAGCAGGGAAGGGTGTTAATTGCATAATCATTTTTAGATTATAACCTAGAATTGCTAGGTAAAAATCAAAATTTAATCCTTATCTGGAACTACATTTCTCTTGATTGTTTATTCTAAATTAATCAAAAATTTAAATTTAAAGTTAAGATTAAGCCTATTATATTTAATTTTAAAGAGTTATTATTGTCAAAACTTAAAAAGTATATATTCTTTTAAATAATGCTTTTAATAATTAATATTTTAAAAAAATTATTTTGCCAAAATATTTGCTTTTTTAATGTTTAATTCATCATTAAAATCAAAACTTAAAGTTTGATACAAGGGCGTCAGCAGAAGGTTGTGAGAAATGGCAAATATTCATACAGACATTTACATTTTTATTTGTATCATGCTACATTATGGTAAAAAAATAAGGTAGACAAATGCTTTTGAATGTTCCCCCCCACACCCCCGAGGACGTTTGTGGGTTTACTGGTAATGGATGTGATGATCACTCACTATGCCTACTGATACTGCTTAACAGCTCAGGTGCCCACATGGAGACACTTTGGTTGACTTCATATACTAGCTACTAGCTACCGGGTTCCAATCTGACACTGGTATAACAAAGTTAGTGCTGCACATATGCACTTAAATCTTGTTAAAGACAGCGAGACCGAGTCATTAGTAGAATGTTAGGATTTTTACTAAAATTGTACTCCCAGGAACAGGAAAGAACATTTTAAATGTGTTTATGGTATAAGGTACAATTTTGAAATTATTATAAACAAAATCATTAAACAGTCCAATAATTATAATCTTTTTTGATTAGTCACTGAAGCACTATTAAAAAGTTATTGACAAATCTTGGTTTATTTATGTATCAATAAACCATTTTAACTCTTAAGTATATTTAAACTTCGTATTTTTAAGTTATAATATTAAAAAATAAAAACTATTATTATTTTATTGTTAGAATATAATATGTTAACAAAATAATTTGAAATTATCAATAATGTTTGTTTCTTATTCATTAATATAGTAAACTTCAAAATGTTGCCCTAGAAGGGCAATAATCTTATATAATCCAATAGACAATAGTCACTCATCTACTCGTATTACTCTATTACTTATTGGACCATTTATTTTAAAAGTAATTAAAGTATAAATATAGGATTTTGCGTATAATAAAACACATTATTTATCATAATAGTTAATAAATCCACTTTTTAGATTTTACATTAAATATTGCATATAGCTTTCTATCATTTAATTTTTTTATATTATTTTTAATTACCAACAATATAATATAATTAATAAAATCCTTGTCTCTGATTTTAATCAAGTTTTAATTTTTTTATTGTGAAAGGGATTCAGAAACTATTAATTTTACAATGATAATAATTATTTTTTTTTCAGAAAATATTTGTAAGAATTATATACATAGTTAATTAAAGTTATACATTAACACTGGGTATAGGTAATTGAGCAATAATAATAGGTGATTTTTTAAAATTCAATTACTAGAGGAGTGTCCTATTCTGGAACCATTGTTGTTTCATTTTTAATTGTTATCTTGACAATTAGTGTTCATAATATAATTTATGATTAGGACTAAAAACTAACATAATAGAATTCTCATTTGCTTTATACCAATTATCCACAAAGCTTGTATGAAATTACTATTTCCTGGAACTATTAAATTATGTTGTAATAAATTGATGAGATAAGAATTTATATACTGATGTACTAAAACTATATTTTTAAATTAATGCATACAAATCAATAATGTTATCATGCATAATTTGTCTTTTTGTTTTTGTCAGTTTGTCACTCTTATATTACAACAAATATTTTTAACAAATAATGTGAAGTAGTATGGGTAAAATATGTATCAAATATTTTAATAAACATTGTTTTTTTATTTAAAAATATTTTTAATGTATAATTAATTGTTTTTTAGGAACGAAGTTGATCCAGATAATTTAGAACACGAAAACTATATTAAAGGATTATTTGTTTCTTTTGTTGATGAAATAATATCTAAAGCTAATTCTATGGTAACTAATGAACAATTTGTCAGTAAACTAAAGTTAATTGATACAGCAAAATTGTATAAAGTAAGTGTATATTACTTAATATTAATAATTAAGTAACAAAAGTAAAATAAAATGTATTACCTACACATTTTTGAAATAGGAATAATATTTAAATTATAATATAATATATATACACCAATTTGTATAATTATGTTTTAAGTTGTAAGATCATCCTTTATGTCTAATTAGAAGTCATTAAGTAAAATTTCCTTCTTCTTCATCACTACTCATTAAGTTGTCATCTTATTTACGTTTATTTCATATCTTTTTATTTTTATTCTCCATAAGTATTCTATAGTTTAGGTATTGGTATTTGAATCGTTTAAATGTTAAATAAATTTTGTAACTTATGGTTTACACCAACTTATCACTATACAAATTTAAAGATTCAGTATTATCAATTGTTGATGTAAGTTGCACATTAGACCCATACTAAAATTGTTTCATCTAAGATTTTTTTTAAATAATTAATAAGTAGAATATTTTAAATACCCACATTTCACAGAAAAATTTGATTACATATTATCAAATATATTTTAAATTATTTGTAATTTATTTCATTTTAACTTCAATCAGTTAGTTCATAATATTCTGTTTAAATTTATTACTAATTTGATTATAATTTTGTTTTACAGGACAAATATTCTCAAAATCCAAAAGAGTTGATAAGAATTATTAAAAAGTGCTTGGAATCAGAAAATTTAGTAGCTCAACAAAATAGTGTATGTATTTTTTGTTAATTATTTTATATTTATATACATATAGGTGATTCTTTTAGCATACAATACTCATTATTTCGTAAAGTATTGACTTAAAAAAAAAAAAAAAAATGTACCCTTAATGAAACTATCGTCAATCAGATAAAAAAAATTCCAGAAGAATATCCCCAAAACTATATTGTCAAATACAATAATATTAAAAAAACAATTTTTTTTAATAATTTCTAGAATTACTGTGCAATTACAAAAATAGGGTTCACTAATGACGATCATCCAAAAGCTCTTAGACTTAAAATAACTAATTTGTAGCAAAAACAAATTACAAATATCATATTTGCATATTTGCCAAATGTATAACTGGTGGTTCCATGGGGTCAATTTATAAAAAAAATTAATTATACACTGATAAGAAACAGTTTAAAATATTCTTATTGAAGACATACAAACTGTATTTTGGATTGAAATGTATAAAAGATCATTAGTAGCAGAACTTTGCATAGATATTAAAGAAATAGGTTGACCACTTTTATTACAATTGTATATGAGGTGATGTTCCCTAAGGGGTGGAAAATTGATGCAATTCATCAGTTACTACCATAGATAACATGCCTCACTTTGTTTATCAATCTTGGATTAACTGTAACCATTTTTTAGGAACACTGATAAGGTGTTATATAAGGTGATAGATAGTTTATCCATATCTTAATTAGTTTGGGACATTTATCTCAACTTGAAAATAAATCAAATAACAAAATAGAATTAACTGATATAAATTATAAAGTAACTTAAGGCATTAAATAATTCTTATTTCCAAATTTGGAAGATAAGATGTTTAAAATTAATTATGGTGAACATTAGAGGGGTAGTGCTGACCTAACAAAAAATAACAAAAAAAGCCACGAACATTATATATTATCCACATGAACATTTATTAAGACGTCTGAAAAGCAAATAGATAAAACTAGGTAATTGATATTAGGCTACACATTGAAATTTATCAAAAAATATTTAAATTGTAGTGCCAATATGTAAGATTAATAATAATAAAAAAAAAACCTAAAAAATTAAATTAAATTTGTCAAATAGTCCTGTTACATTCTGTATATTAGTATATATTTATTTTTATTTTATTGATATCAAAATTAATTATAGAATTAATTAAACAATTTAAAAAATATTGAATTTATATTAAAATCATATTTTAATTTATTAGTTTATTATTTTTAATTTAATTTATTTAGTCTTTAATGGATGTTAACGTAAAAACAAATCAGGAAATGGAAAACATTGAAATTATGCAGCAAATGGAATTGATCAGTCATCACGTTACACATACAAATGAAATTCGCATGACAATTCAAACAGACATTGATTCTTTTAATATTTTGTACTCAGAATGTGCAAAATGTACTCGTAAGTTTAAAAAATCAAAACAAACATTTATTATTTACTATTTAGTATTAACTAGAATTCTTATATTCTAGAACATCTACAACACATGAGAAACCAAAGAATGAATATTCCTCAAGCTCAAGGTCCTGAAATTGAACGTAAATTGAAACAAGAAAAAGAATTGTATGAAGGACAGTTAAAGACTCAATCATTAAGTCTCAATAATGCTATTTGTATTTATATTAATAAACTAAACGAATCGTTAAATTTGCTCAGCCCTGTTCAAGCTCATATTATTGATAAAGCATTAATACAGTGGAAACGTGAACAACAGTTAGCTGGTAATGGATATAAATACATGAAGGATATTGATGTCATACAAACTTGGTACATATGAGCATTCATGAAAAGTTTATTAAGTTTTATTTAATATTTTTTTTATTCTTTGCTAGGTGTGAAAAATTATGTGATTTAATTTGGATAACTCGTTCTCAAATTAAAGAAGCTGATCGCTTCAGAGTGAATTTAGGTCGTTATTTCGAGTTGCCACCATCTTGTGAAATTATTAATACTCTTCTTGACATGACTACACAGTATCTTTCATCATTAGTAGCAAGGTAAACTTTTGTACACATCTGTATTTTGAATTCATGTATACTTTAATCCCTGATTTCAAAGTATTGATGTGAAGTATATGTTTATTGTTCATTTTATTTTAAATATATATATAGATAAAAAAAATTATTATTTTCGACTATTTATATAATTATTATATTTGAAATTTTTAGTACTTTTGTGATTATAACTCAACCGCCTCAAGTTTTGAAAACAAATACAAGATTCGTAGCTGAAGTGCGTCTATTAATTGGAGGAAAACTCAATATCCACATGACTTCACCTGTGGTAAAAAAACTACATACAAATTTCTTGTTAATTTAAAATTTAAAAAAAATCCAGATATATTATGTGTGACACATTCGAATTGCATCCATAAATGATATTTTGCATCCACAATTTCTTCATGACATACAAGTTGCGTCCGCAATTTTATCACAACACATCCAAGTTGCATCCACATTAATAATATATACATATTTTTCTTCCCACTTTTACAGACTAATGAGTACTATCGTGTTGTGGGTTGTTGTTAAAAATGTATTATATATTAGGTATTTTAAATTACTTTTATTGATCTAAAATGTATATTTTATTAAAAATAATACTATGTCCAACCTTTGTAAATACTGTAATACGCAGATACCATGTCAATTATTATTATTTTTTAACGAACACAATAATTGATGGATAAATATTAATGAGTTAACTATCAAACATATAGAAATAGAATAACAATTATTCTTGCGAACGCTACTCTAAACAGTCGTAGAAAAACCATGGACGCAACTCTGTTGTGGTGGCGTATATTTTAGTTTTAAGGAATGCAATTCGTATGCAGCCCTTTTATGTATTGCGTTGATCACTGTTGGTAGTTAGTGGTAAAGTAGAATATAGGGTAATATACTGATATATTTTAGTTATTGAAAGCATCAATAAATGATACTTAATAGAGGTGTGTCAAACATAAATTTTCAATAATATATTAATTACAACAAAATAATTAAAATTGATGAAAAGTTATTATTTTTGTCTATTGTTCCATTTAGTTTTATTGTTTTATGTTTTCAATGAAACTAATAACAGTTATTTACAAAAATTATTATTCATATAGTGAATCAATGGTTGAAATTGAATGTAAAACAATAAAAGATAAACAAATGACAATATATTAAATCAAAAAACCTAAAGAAAATTATTGATTAAGTGTTTAAACAACCAATGTTGTCAAAGTTTAAATGTGATATAACTTTTGTAAAATGTCTATAGATTGCTTTTTTAAAATCAATAGTAGGTAGTTTTATCATCCCCAAAATATGTGTGACAAATAGTAACATTAATATAACATTTTATACTTGTTTCTTAAATTTTCATTAAAAAATAATTAATATTTTTTGTTATAATACATGTCTTAAGTTATGTTGATCACTCTGTAATTGTATCTATTGTATATGTTTTATGTATAAATGATTTATTTTACTAGGTTAAAGTATCCATAGTCAGTGAAACTCAAGCTAATCAAATCATTGGAAGAAACAAGCCAGATGGTGAATCTTGTGGTGAAATATTAAATTGCACTGGAAAAATGGAATATCAACCTGTCCAAAGACATTTGTCAACCAATTTCCGGTAAGTTTAAACTAAAAATTTCTTTATAAGAATTATATAATAAAATAAAATCTTAAGAGCAGCACACCTCTGTAACTTCAAATTTCCCCACTTGTTTTTGTTACAATAATAAGTGTTTTTTTTTTTTTTTTTTTTTTTTTTTTTTTTTTTTTATGGTTATTTTTAAATTAGTATCTGAATTTGTATTTATTTATGATTTATATTAACTTAACACCAATTAACAACCCTCTTTTCCTACCCTATTTTAATGACTACTATGAAACGGTCTCTATTTTCGGGAATAATTAATTAATAATTTGTATTAATGTGCTATAGAAGTATGCAATTGAAAAAAATCAAGCGCACAGAAAAAAAAGGAACAGAATCTGTTATGGATGAAAAATTTTCAATTTTATTTTCATCCAAATTTTTTATTGGTAATGAGCTTCAATTTGAGGTAAGTCATTTTGAATTCAAATATGATTGTGTAATAAACTTAGTATGCATTAAATATAAATTTTTTTATCTTTCTTTAAAAAGCTAACCTACTGTTTAACATTTTTGGGGGGAGGGCTGATAATTTTAACTGATTACCTTTTTTACACTAATGTAGTGGAAAACATTCATTTTTGGGGGGTCTATAGCAACTGTAGAAGGAGACAGTCCCCAGCCCCTTTTATTTGCATAGATGATTATTGCATGAGGGAAGATATAGGATTTAGTGTAATTTAGTTTATATTTTTAAATCAATATTTACTTATTGTGAAGGTTCAGATATGTATGCACATAAAATAACTGTTATATATGTATACATTCATGTACTAAAGAATTACCAAATATATAATAAAAATATGCTCAACAAATTAATTTTAACTTTTGAAATCAAAAATTTAAAATGTATTATAGTTTATAACGTATAAGTATTTTATTTTTGTAGTAGTTTTTTTTTATTAATTACTTTTTTGATATTAGTAGTGGTAGTAGTATTTTTTTAAATTTTTTTTTCCTCGTGTTATCATACAAATACATTAAGTGGAGATTCTAATTTATGTAAATCTATCTATTCATATATTTATATGTGTATAGGTTAGGTATAATTACTGAGCTTTAATATATAAATGTTGTTTTGCCAATTGCATTATTCAGAGTATATTTTTTTGTTTCTTCATAACAATTGGTTTAATAATTTTAAAGCAAAGTTGAGTCATTTGGTATTTCTTCACCTATATATTCTATTAAAAAATATAAAATATAATTTTATTTACTTTGTGGAAAGGAATATTGGCTCATACAAATACTTACATATTTATGTAAATGATCATTTTTACCGACCACGTTAGACATTTATTGTTGTAACTGAGTTTCATTTGTTATTGTCAATTACCTATGCAAATATATTTAACTGTTTTTAAATTTTATTCAACAGTAAAATTGTTTATTATATGATATTTGAGACAAACAAAATATAAAAATTGTTTATGTGTAGGTAAATGATAAATACTAGTATATATGGTATAAACATAACATTTATATTTTACGTTAGTACGTGATAGACTGTATTTACACCAATGATAAAATAAACATTGTAAAATTAATTTTGTTTTTGGAAAATGTACTGAAATGTTCACTTATATTCTCAAATTTCAAATTATGCATTTAAAATATAGAACTATAAAATATGCAAAATAAAAATAATATCATTTAATTTAGTAGAACATGAATAAAATTTGTATCCAGGCCCAATATTATTTAACTTATTATAATATATTTGCTATGCGCTATTTAGTACTTAAATTACTTAATAAATAATATTTAAGTAATTGATTGGTAAGTGCTGAATAAAGCAACTTGCAGGTTAGGTTAAAATTATTAAAATAGTGTCCATTAATTTATTATTTTATTTTCAAAAATCTTTACAATCTTTTCATTACAATATTTAATATTCTAGGTATGGAATTTATCATTACCAGTAGTAGTTATTGTGCATGGAAATCAAGATCCACATGCTTGGGCTACTGTTACATGGGATAATGCTTTTGCTGAACCTGGACGAGTTCCATTCAATGTTCCTGATAAAGTACCATGGAGAAATGTTGCAGAAGCATTAAACATGAAGTTTTCAGCAGCTACAGGTCGTGGTCTCTCAGAAGAAAGCTTAACATTTTTAGCTGAAAAGGCCTTTAGGTTAGTTTACAAATTAGGTAAAAAAAAAATTAACTTTTAAACTAACTTGTGTATTTTATTTTTAGAATGCAAAATGTGGATTTTAATCATATGGTTTTGTCATGGTCACAGTTTTGTAAAGAACCATTACCACAAAGAAGTTTTACATTTTGGGAATGGTTTTATGCTGTGATGAAAATAACTAGAGAACATTTAAAAGGACCGTGGACTGATGGGTAGTCATCCTTTTCTTTTTCTTTTTTTAATAACTTTGTATATTAAAACTTTTTTCCATGACAATTATTTTGGTTGCATGATTACATGCATCAATAACCTTTTGATTTTTAAATTTCTATAGAGCAATCATGGGATTTATTAGAAAGTCTGATGCGGAAGAGATGTTGACAAGATATGCTACTGGTACATTTTTATTAAGATTTTCAGATTCAGAACTAGGTGGTCTAACTGTTGCCTGGGCTGGATGTAAGTTACTTTTTTTTTTTAGATAGATATTTAATATTAATAATTACATTTTATTATTATTATTTTTTTTTTTTAGCTAATGATTCTGATGCATACAGTTTGCATCCATTTTCAGCTAAAGATTTATCTATTCGGAACTTGGCTGATAGATTATTGGATTTACCATATCTAACAAAATTGTATCCTGATATAGATAAAAACCAAGCTTTCGGAAAATACTACACTCAGCCTCCAAGTATTTACATAATATGTGTCTTTAATATTATATTTAGTTTATTTCATGTTCTGTGTACCTACATATACAATATATATCTGTACAATAAACTTGTAAACATTAAAATTAAATAATACTTTTTTTTAATTAATTTTATAATTTAGATATTATCACTCCTGTTACAAGCAATGGTTACTTAAAACCATTATTAGTTACACATGTTCCTGGATGGGGAGGGCCTGGAACTAATGGCCAAGGAATGAACAGTTACCCTAATACTCCACAAAACCATATGTTTCATGTAAACAGCCCTGGAAACTGTAGCAATCGAGAAACGTCTTCAGAGCATGGTGAACAGGCAAATAAGTAAGAAAAATACCTTGAAAACATTTTTATGCATTTTTAGCTTGAATTTAGTTTTGTTTGAGTATAAAAGAGATAATACAAATTAGAAGTGAGTGAGTAGTTTTATAATTAGACATTAAGTTATATTTAATGTATAAATAAACTATAATTTAAATATTTTATTTGTACTAATTTACAGGTTGTTAACTATATGCATATCTTGAATTATTGTTTTTGAGTTTTCACAGGCAATATGATTTGGTGACATGGGTCGCAGTGGTATCATGTGTTTGTTTTGTTTATGTGTATCTTATTTTCATTAATAAGATTTATATTTTTAAATAATGAATTAAATTTAGTTTATGCGATTAACTTAATAAAAAAAAACAAATTTATTAACAATCCCAGTGCATAACATATTTAAGTGTGGATTGAATCAAATCTGTGCTTGCATTATTCATAAGTATCTACAAATAGGCCTATGATATGCCTATCTACAAATAGGCATATCATATATAAAATATCATCAGCCATTCAGCCAAATGTTTAGTTAATTAAAAAGCTTGTGTAGATTTAGCTTATATTACCAATATTAATTAGCTTATATTTAGTAGAAACATTTGTTATTATATTAATTTTTTTTTAAAATAGTTTTATTTGATCAATTTAAAATGCTCGCTCACTTCTAATAATATTGCCTTTATTTTAAATGCTTTGAAAGTGGTGTACATAGAATTTATTAGTTTAGGTCTAATAGAATATTATATAATTTCATTATATACCAAATTGTAAATTAAATAAACTAAGCAATTATATATATATATATATATATATATAGGTTTTTTTTTTCTTCGAGTGCTATGTACACTACTACTTATTTCTTCTTGCCAATTTCTATAAATGTAACACATATTTATACTAGATTTCTATCAAAAATTGTTTTATATTAATATATTAACATTTTTTTTTTTTTAGTATGCATGGATTATTCTAATTTTTTAGTTTTATTAATTATTATATGGAGCCTTTGAATTCAAACCATGTTAAATATTTACATTTATAGACAAATGCATAATTTGATAATAATGTACCATTTTTTTGAAAAATGATAAAGAAAATATATATATTCCCATTAAAATCTTTATCAAATATATTTAATACAAAATACTTTTAATGAATACTATATTCTTAATAATTACTTAAATTTGAATTCTTAATACTTTTTAAAACTTTATAATTTACAGTAATTTCTATTTAGCAATATAATTATATGTTTCTTGCATTATTCATTATTTTATTACCTACAGTATATCAAAACTGTAAATGTTAATATTTTAGTACCGTATAGTTAGTATGGTTCTTTGCCTTTTTTCTCAAATTTTAGAGTTGGCCACCATGTTTTTTTCCTGAATATATAGGGCTACAAATTTAATGACATCAAAACTAAATTCCTTTTGAAATAGAAAATGAAAAATGTTTTATTGATATCATGGTATATTTTGTATTTTATTACAACTAAACAAATTTATATATTGATAAGAAATAATAATACTATTTATTTGTGATGATTCTTAAATACAAAATAATTTTTGATTAGTATAACATAACTAAATAGAAGTAATATTAGAATTAATAAAAAAATATTACTAGTCAACAAATAATAATGCCTTAAAATGCCACAAATAGATGGTGTTGAAATTTTTGATTTCCGTCAACCCATTGATGAGATATTCCATTTTTAAGTTTGGGCTGAAGAAGAGTAGTGGAGTATCATTTGTGTGGCGGTACAGCACATGGCATATTAATAATAATAAAATTGTTTTTAAATAATATTCTATCTATTTAAGGCCTTTTCAAAATAAGTTGCCATTTGAAAATTGAAAGTAGGCAGTTATTTCACTCTCAAAATTAAGGGGTACAAAAAAAATTAAAACATAGCACTTTAGAACTATTTGATTCTTAAGTTTTCAAAACAAAAATTTTGAAAAAAAATTAATACCTTCAGAGATAATTAGTGTTTCCAGTTTATTGCCCAAAAAATGATAAAGCTTTTATAGAACGTCCGGCCATTACAAAAACTGCCAAAATTATATATTTTGCCCATAGCATAATATATATATATCCCCATTACACAGGTTGTAAAAATTATTTTAAAAAAAAGAAATGGTGATTCGATTGATATGATGTAGTAAAAAATTATTTAAACTAAAAGAAATTTTAGAAACTTACTGATTCATCATTAGCTAATATTTGTTATACCAAAAATTTGTTTCATAATATATTTATAAAATTTCAATCTTAGGTTTGGAAAAAACATTTTTTCTTTTTTTTAATTTTATAAAAAAATATAAAATAGAGAAATTTTAAAACTACACTTAATTACAAGATCAAAAACTTTTAAAAGTTTCCTATGTAACTATTTAAATCTTTTTCATCTTTATCATAACTATCCTTTTTCAGGTTTGCCACTTTCATCTAAACTTCCACTTGACCCAATTTCCTACATCATTACCATTATACCATTACTTCCAATTCCTCTCTCCTTATGACATATCCAAATCATCTCTGTTTTTTTGATCTCATTTTGTCTATTATTGAAGCAATTTTTATATTTATATTACAAACCTTTATATATATAAGAAAAGGTTCTTACATACTTGTTCTTTGTTCTATATGTATATCTATCCCTCCCCAATATTAAACAATATGATATATTGTTATGTATGATCTAATATAATATGACACAATAGATCTCACACCACACTCTTATAAAACTTCTTTTAAGTCTTATTTGAATTCTTTGTCACATAAACATCTGGCATTTACATCCACACAATTCTATGTTTCACATTTTTGTTAAAAAGGCAAATTTTTTAATCAAAATATCCTAGGTACTTTAACTTTCAATCTTGCTTTTCAATCACTGCTTATTGTCATTACTTGTCTTGTTCTGTTAACGTCTTATCATCTTTCTCCAAACTCATATTCTGTATGATATTCCTTTTCCTTCAAGTGTTACTCTTTTACATTCCTCAAGCATATCGCTAATTACTTCCAGATTTTCTCTCATTAAAACTATGTCATCTGCAAACATCATGCACCATGATACCCCTTCTTGTATTTCCTTTGTAACTTCATCCATTATAACAGAAAACTATTATTGTGTATATTATTAACTTTTTACTATTTAAATAATACGTACAAAAATAACCCAATGTAAAATATGAGTGATCATATTGTAAACTATTTCACAATGTATTAAAAAGTAGTATCATAAAATTTGCAAATTTTTTGTTTTGATAACATTTTTAAATGTATCAATCCAAAAATAAAGTGATTTTAAAAAGCTTTAAATTAGGCTGATGTAGTTTTATTTTTGTGATTTTGTGTGGCCAGCTGTATCTTTAATACTATATTGTAATAATTGTGACATATTAACGCAACTACATAAATTAATAATTGAGTTTATACATTAATTAACATCATTAGCATTTAATATGCTTTCATAATTATTTGGAATAAATTTATTTATCTAAAAATAATTTTAATTTAATATTATCTGTAATGGGGAAGATTATATAGATACATTTTTGCCAAATTCAAAAAAATATTTATATTTTATTTTATTTTATCTTAAATTAGATTTTTTTTTTTTTTACAAAGGTTCCAAATATTATAAACAATATGTAGTAGTGTAAAATATATTTGTATTTTTTTAAAAAATAATTTTTAATTTTTCTTTAACTCAACAGTACATCTGAAAAGTACCGCCCAGGGTCGTTTTTTTCAGCTGCAATCTTATGATGGGATTTAGGAATGCCTGTACTATGATCCGTGATCAGGTATCCAAGAGAGTTGGATGTTAATTTTTTTTATTCTATTATTACTACTAGTATTATTAATATTATTATTATTATTATTATTTTTTTTTTTTTTTTTTTTTATAATTATAACAATATGTTACCTTATTTTCATCAATTCTTACATTATATTGTATATTAGATTGAAAAATAGTATTTTTGTAGTATATTCCAACTATAAAAGTGTAGTCTTATTAGATTATTTATGCTGCATTTATGTATTAACTATACTTTAAACATAATTATTATTCAAGTGTGTATGATTTAATACAAAAAGTAAGGAACTTAATAAGAAATATTTAAAGAACAATATTGACTTGGAAAGTATACTTTTTGATTTTTCAAGTTATTACTAAAATAAATATTGCATATATGTGTATAATGTATATGCATTTATAATTGTTATATCTCTAAACATAAATACATATTAAAGCATTAAGTTTTAGTTTTTATCACTTTTAAATCTCAAACACAACTGAAATTTGTTTTAAAAATCGCTTTAAACCTATATTATTTACTCATTTTAGCATATATGTTTTATTTAATTGATTGGCTTAAAAAAAAAATTGTTTTGCTTATTTAGTATGATGGCCTTTGGAAATGACTCCTTAGAAATGGATTTTTCTTCGAACTTAAATGACATATCGCATGTGGATGAAGCGTTTTTAATTTAAAAAAGTAGTTTAGATATGTTATCTTATAGTTTAGATAAGGTGAACCATTATTGTCTTTATAACTTGAAGAGTATACATTAAACTGCTCATATTTATGTAAAATTTTAATTATGTTTTACTTAATTTTTTTATAATTTGTACTACATAAGAATGTTCAGGCACACATACTGAATTATCTTGAGTTAATACTTTTAAATTCAATTTTAGTATTTTATTATTATAAAATTAATTATCTCCATTGGTTATTTCTATTATTTTAAATATGCATTTATTATTATTATTATTATCTTTTATAAATAATTATTATGTTTGTATATTATTTTAAACAATTTTTGTGATCAAGTCCTTTTATGGTGCTTAGTTAACAAACTGCTTCGTTTTGCTGTTATTACTTATTTTTATAACATTATTATTTTTATTATGTTTAATTATAATTTTATTTCAAAACCTCATTTTGGGTAACTTTTGGTTTTATACTTCTTAATGCAGAGTATTCTACAAAGATATACTCCTTGCAATATTCCTTGAAATAAAAAAGATAATTAAATTCTGTTTTTTTAGTATAATTCACAGAGATAAGGATAGAAATATCTATTTTATTATTTTCAAAAAAAATTGATATTTCAACTTTTTATTTTCATTAAAGTTCAAGAAAAAAAGTACTGATAGTCATGGTAATAATACACAATAAAATGGCTATCTTCAAAGTTTTTGAAAATAATTAAATATTGTTATTTTTTTTATTTTTATACTAAAACATAAAAATTGAATTCAAATATAAAAATGTGTAGTCCTTATCTCTGAGTGATATAAATAATAATTACAAAAAAACACATTTGATTATCTTTTTTATCTCAAAAGATATTGTAATGGATATGTCTTCATAGGATATTCTGTATATCTTTTCTAAGTAGTTATAGTTATGTTATTTACATTGTTGTATTCTGCTAAATCATTAAGGTTTTAAATAGAGAATTTAATTTAGATAAATTATTATTGCCAACTATTTTATTTTCTATTAATATAATACTCTGCGATTTTTTATTGACCAATCGTAGTTATAAATATCTGTAGTTTATACTTTTTTCATTTTTTGACAATTTTAATGCATCTTTTAAAAATTTTAAAATAATATAATTTTTAACATAGTTTATATTACTATATTAGTATTTTAAGTCAAAAAAGTGTCATATATTATGAGGTAGAATAGACGTTCTTAGTGATTATCTGTGTTTAATTAGTTTAGAAAACAATAATGTACTTAATACTTAAATATTTTAACATTATACAATTTAGAAAAATAAATATGCATGTATTAATTATAGATTTTATATTATTATAATTTATAACTATTGTGTATTTAATAGTAATTACACTTAACGTCAAATTATATTCTGAATGATTTTCTTACATTTCACATTGAAATATTCTTTTTTTTTAAATTGTATTCAAAGAAATAATCAATTAACTATATAAAATATGTTCTCTTTAGTTATATTCATAATTCATAAGTAATATTATTCAAGTAATTCTGTTGTGTTTTAATTTGAGAACTTTCTTTTAGTCAGATTCAGAACAATTTAGTTTTATCTTTAATAGATATTCTTTTTGATGTATTACTTAATAGATATTCTTTTTGATGTATTACTTAATAGTTTTTCTTTAAATATTTAACTTTAATGTTTGTTATAATAACTGGTATGTATACTTAAATATAAATAATTATGAAAGTTGTTTTAATGTTTTTTTAACAATGATAAAATATCAAAATAAAAATGGGTATTTATTGAATTATCATTTTAATCCTTTGGTTTTTAATTTTTTTTACATATATGGCCCGGTGGATATTTGTAAATGATTTTAACAAAGTGTTTTTTAACTTGTGTTTCTGACTGTTTACTTACACATAAATTAATTTTATCATTGTATATATATGAATACTTGTGGATGTAAAATATTCAATTCAGTTTAGGCAAATTTTAAAAAGCTAAAAAGATTGAAATTTACATTTACGATTACCCCGTTGAATTAAATGAACAGATTTAAGCTATAAGATAATCATCAAATTGTGTATGGGGCAAATCGCAAATAAAAATTAATATTTTTCACTTTTTTCAGCCAACTTTTTATAAATGATAACAGAAAAGATGTAACCTTTAAAATGCTGCAGTCAATATGTTTCATAGAAGAAAAAATATAAAGTAATACTATTATCAAGTTCAATGGTTATAATTTGTTTTATTATCAGTATATCACCCTCATTTACAATTATCTCACCAGATCTTATACATAAATATAGACAAACATGGACTGCATATGAGCTTGCCTTTCATCCTGGTTTTTTTTCGGGCGTGTCCTAAGTAATAGAGGCTGAGAGAAAATAACATTCTTAAATTGTATTATTTAATAATATATAAATAATATTGTATATGTATTGTAGTATCATCAGGTGTTAAAACTAAAAAAAAGGTCATTCAAATATCATATCCCGGTTTGGGAATTTTAAAATTAACTCTTAGCCTAATATATTATAAAATATAACAATCAAATTTAATTAATTCAATTCAGATTTTATATTTGATGCTAGCCTGGGTTTCTAAGAATCCTTAGAAACTATTAGTTTTACAATACATTTTTCTATCAAAGATAGATTTTGAAATAAATTGATTGGTGATTGATCATCAAGTCCAAATTAAGACTTTCAGTAACCTAGGGGCTGATACTTGATTGTGGGCTCTATCAATGTAAAAAAAAATACACTACTCTTTTATAGCTGTATTGGTACACACTGCACATACATTTATAATTACTTGTTAAGAATAAATACCATTGATTTGTACATTGATTGTTTACATATATGTAGCACATCTATGGGTATCACTAATTACACATTTTATGTCCTTGTAATTGCAATAACTGGGTTAGATAATCAGGGTTGTATTTATACCTTACTCTAAAATAACATAATATGATCAAATAAAACAATAAAATTTGTTGTACATACACAATAATAAGTATATTATAATTCATAACCAAACAATTAACTTTTCAAAACCAATTTATTTCTAAATTTTATCATTTTTCTTATGAAATTTTAACTCTTGTAACCCAATAATTTAATGCATTTAGATACATATTAACCGTTCCAGACGATTTTGAATCTAATAAGTAATTGAACCTTTCATCTGTGAGTCTTCTAAGCAGTGTTTATCATATACAAATATAATAGGTATTTTAATTTTTGTTTTAGATTCTGAGCGGAGCAAGGAATTTATTGGTTTTACAATGAAGTTTCTTTTTTATACAAAGATAAAACTGTGAAAATATTCTACCAGAAATCTTACTCCGAAGTATCAAGTGTAAAACATTTTCTCAAAGGGAATTTTCCTGGGGTGGTACTTAAAGGTTAATTTTTGATTTTCCCAGCTGTTTTTATAATAAATGAGAAAAACCGAAAAAATAGGTATAATACTATACAAATATTATTAAAGAGAATATATTATAACGTATATGTAATTATTTTACCTTAATATAATATATATATTAAGGTGGTCCTTAATTTTTGATTTTAAAATATGTTTAGTCCCACCCACTAATATTGTGCCTATATGTATAAAAACGAACTACAAAAAGTTTTGGTTCGATCAGATAAGGTTAACCCGTGCCGACTTGTGATTTAAGTTTGAACTTACTACATTTTTCAAAATTTTCGACATTTTCGTAAATATAATGAAATATTTACGAAATTATTAAAAATATTTGATAATCACTTCTCAGTTTTTTTGACATTTTTTTATTTATAATAATAAAAAACGGGATCAATTTGAAATCATACAACGACAAACGACGGTAAATGTTAGATCTTCACTAAACAGATATTACGATCAAACTAACATTAATAATAAGGTACAAGACTTATCTTGCTATTAAAACGTAATATCAAAATAATTAACCATACGAATAGGTACTATCTAATCTATTGATATTTAATTTTTATGTACGGAAATATAGAGAAATAATTAGGTGAAAGAGATTGGATTAATATATTATTATTGTGAAAATTATATTTGTATTGTGATTGTTATATTACCAGCGATAATATGAAGGCAAAAATACATAAAATANAGTATTAAAAATATCGATATTTCTAAAGGTTAACGAAATATTTACGAAAATGTCGAAAATTTTGAAAAATGTAGTAAGTTCAAACTTAAATCACAAGTCGGCACGGGTTAACCTTATCTGATCGAACCAAAACTTTTTGTAGTTCGTTTTTATACATATAGGCACAATATTAGTGGGTGAGACCAAACATTTTATGATATTTTTTTCTCATCATCTATAGCTAAGGAACACCCTAATATATATATTATATATTATTGACAAAGCAACACTATTGACTGAATTCTACTTAGGATTATTTTTCATCAATGGTTAATTGTTGTGTACAGATACACATTCAATTTCCCTCTACCTTCCCAACTTCTTATTTACAACAATGACTCATCCATCATGTAAAATATGTCCATATCATTTTTAGTTTATGTTAAGTTGTAAAATATTTTGCTGTCCTATATAATACCCTGGAAATAATTTTAAGAAGAAATACAAGTATTTAATTAGGATGTGACTCTGAAATGTTAAATTGTATGCAAATTAAGAATATTTTGTTCACTATCCAATACTGGATCAAGTAACCAATACTCAACTATATATCTATTTTACTTTTTTGATTGTTAGTATAGCGAAGAGTGTATTGGTTTTACTCAGATGTTTATTATTTTTTTTTTTATATACTGTACAAAAATTCTAAAAAAAATCTTGCTCAGATATATTTGCACGGCACCATTTCTGAAAGGGAATGTTGTGCAGATGGTACTTTTAAATGTTTTTTTTTTATTTTCCCGTCGGTTTTCATAATATCTGAGAAAATTCAGTATAAAACATAAGAAAATCATAAAATTTTATTTTTATTTTTAAATTTTGTTATTTGTTGTAATTCAGTTAAAAATATTTGTAGACTTCAAATTTCGACAGAAAACTTATATTCGCCTTTTTTAGACGTGGTGAGTTTTCAAAAAATTTAAGCCATTTAAGATATTTGTAGACATTTTAATTTTGCAAGTTTTGTACGTAATTTTTACTCTGTGGTAAAATTGTTAGACTTAACAAAAATGCTTTAAAATTAAACAGGGGGTTCATTAAGTCTTAATTTGTGATCAAATGAAGAAAATTCAAATATAATGTGGTATTTTTTTTATAAAGGAATTTTAATATACAATTTTGACAAAAATTGTTGAGTAAAAAGTTATGTGGAACAAATTCAATTTTTCAATTTTTTTCAAACATATGTATATTGTCAATTTTAATAACAATAGTGAAGTCAGAATTGAGCAGACTGACTAATTTTCGAAATTATAGCTTTTTGATATTCTGATATTATGTGGATATTATTTGTTATATTAAATAACTAAATGTTGTCTTCTCCAAAGTATGTCGTAGCTGAATAGATACCTGTTTTCATAATATGGTCCTTATACCTCAACAAGGAAAAACATGCCTTTTGAGTGTACCTAGAGAACCAGGACTATTTTAATCACAAAATACCCCTCGATTTATTGTGCAAACGTTCTATCAAAAATCTTACTCCAATTGTATCAAGTATAGCTAATTTTCTAAAAAGAAATTTTATCTCCGTGATAACTTAGGGTCATTTTTTGATTTTTCCATTTTCCCAATAAATTGGAAAAATCGTGAAAAACGAGAAAATTTACAAAATACATGACAACTTTCTACCAGCAATTTTGCTCCGATTTACAATGATAGCAGTTTTTTCTAAAAAGAAATCTGACCTAGAGAGATTCTTTAGAGATCAATTTTATTTTCACAATAGTTTTTTCAGCAAATGTGAAACGTTGTACAATATTAAACAAATATTATTTTAGAAAATATATAATGCCTATTTAATTATTTTACCATAATGTAACATATACATTGTTGCAGTTAACTATAAAAGCATCACTATCAACTGAACTACGTTCAGAATCGTTTTTCGTTAACAATGGTGTATCATTTCTTACAGATATACATTAAATTACCTATAACAGTTGCTGCACCCTACTCCATTATCCTAAGACGTCTTTTTTTTTTTTTTAAATGCTATTTTTAAATTTAAAAGTTTGTCATATTTGTAGAACACTTAAAATTAAACAGAAAAAGGATTCAAGATTTAGTATTGATTAAAAATATACTTTTATAAAATGATTGTGACAATATTAATTTACTTGTATTCATATTCTATATTCATAAAACAGATTACAAAGATATTTTCTATTATTTTCTTTTTATTATTATTATTATTATTTTTTTAGATATTTAAAAATGTATTTTTTGTATCATACAAATATATTTCTTGGTGATTATAACAATTTTGATATTTTGATATTGTTATTATAAAAATAAAAATTGCTGAACATATTTTGTCTTGAAAATTATGATCAATTTAAGATATTGATTTCTAAAATTCTGTACCATTAATTAATAAAAGTACATCATATACATTATACTTTTAAGTAACACTATTAATATGCAAAATAAAGATGTAGTGCAATATGGAGAAAAATGGAGTGATTTAGTTAGTGGTGATGGCAAAAACATAATAGTAATATATTAAAACATATTTTTGGAAAATAATTATTTATTTACATATTTTTATTTAATCTACTTTAATTATATGCTCTTGGTTTTTAGTTAATTTGGGTCTTTGCTAATTCCAACAGCAGCTGCTCTAACAATACGATCATGCAGTTTGTATCCAATTTGAGACACAACAACCACAATACCTCCTTCTTTACCTTCTACCACCTAGAAAAAAAAAAAATTAATTATTATGTTTAACATTATATTTTACAACTAAATTGAAATATATGTTACAATATATGTTAAATACCTGTTCAAATAAAGCTTTATGAGAGTTTGGATCAAACTTTTCATTTAAAGGATTTATAGCAAATAAACCATGTCTTTGAAAAATCTAAAACAAGTATTTAAAATTAGTAAAAATATGAAAAATTAAAAGCTCTTTCTCAAGCCACCAAAATCTACTTTACCGGGGAATCACAACGGAGAATTAGTTGATCCCAGGAGAGCTTGTTGTCAATGAGATTTAATAGATTAAGATTCTCATGGTAAACTAGACCCTCTTGGATATATTAGTTCTTTCAACTAGCTCCCTTGGGTCATCTAGATCAGTAGCCCCACTACTATGCTGCCCTTTAACAAATTTTACGAGACCCGTATTAAAACATCTAAAACTGAATTGTACATTCTACACTTTTAAAGAGTAAATAAAATACATGCAATTATACCTTTTTATTTTAATTTTATTATTCTTGTTTATTTTATCTGCTTAACTTTAACTGAATTACCAATTTGGCAGATAATTAGGTACGAGTAAGAATTTATTTAATAAAAAAAAATACGCTAAAGAAATTTTTTTTAAGGTTAACATTGCAAAAAAAATGTATATTGATTTATTGAATGTGGCCCGTTAGTAATTTTCAACTATTATATGTGGCCATTTTCAGAATCCTAGTGGTGACCACTGATCTACATCTATGAGTATCAATACAGATCTCCAAGATCTAAATAACATAGAATTATCTAGTTGAGAGGTGAACTTAATACTAATTGACCAAATGTTACCTCATTTTTTAAAGGAGCTTAATAATTAAACTAAATATATGTCATATATATTAAACAAATTAATTTTTGATTCAGATCAGTGACAACTTAAGCAAAAAATAAATATCTACCAAGTCTTTACTATAGTTGTAATTAATGTGATAATATAATATTAAAAGTTAATAGAACATTTTGTACTTACAGTTTGTAATTGTGACTCAGTAGTTACCAAGCCTTCATATAAGTGTTTTAAATGTGGATTACTATCACTTACTTCTTCTTTTGGTACACACTCAGTAGCTTTACCTAAACTGTCGGCAACCTAAACAAAATAATTTAACTTTACTATAGCTATAATATTGATATAATCAAATTAAATGTCTATTCTTACATCAAGTAAATCTTTGCAAAATCCTTGAATTGCATAAATTTTAGCATCAGCAGTTTCTTTAATAGTACGTTTACGAATATTTTCTGTTTCAGCTAAATACCTCATAACTTTATTCTAACAAAAATAGGTTAACATTCAATATTTATTAATTAAGTTTCATTATAAAAAATATACAAATTTACAGTTAAATTTAGATTTTCCTCTTGTAATTGTTCATTTTTCTTTACAAGAGCTTCAATATCAATTTTTTCCTTGATTTCCTTTGATGGATCTTCTAAATTGTCAACAGCATCTGATACTTTATGACGAAGACTATAGCCCATTAAAGCATTTATCCTACATAATATTAATTTACATTTTGAGTTTAGAATTAATAATTATGATTTTTGAAGTTGGGTAAGAAATACTTTTACATTTTTGTTTACAAACAAACAATGCAAAATATTTTCAAATTAATCAATATAACACTTATATCTTCTATAGCAAAGTATTTCTTCTTTTTCCTCCTGAAATACTCAAACCAAGAATTTCCTTTTGTGAAATAATCACTCAATGTTCAAAATATTTATTTAAAAAACTTTAGTATATAAGAATAAAGTAAATTTTCTGCAAGTAATATTAGATATCTTCAAAAAAAAAACCTGATGGGATTGTTCAATGGGTATCTTGATTACTTAAAATCATACTATTTAACTAAAAAGGTGTATCAAAAAATGTAATGTACCAATTTAAAAAGTTGTTATAGTATGTAAATACTAAATATCCATTTTAAATCTAAATTTCCATTTTCTTTAATGTTTAGTTTCTGTTTGTACCTGCAGAGTTTTTTTTCTTATTACCTATTACAATTTCAGGGTGAACAGTTATTTTCTATTAACTACAGTTATTTAGTTGATGTATTGTAGTAATTAGTAATATGACTATGATTAAACTATACAAATTATAAACTACAATTTTAATATAAAACAATAATACAATAACAATATTAATTTTTTACTGCTTAATTTATATGATGAATGTTTTGAATAAACAATAAAACCAGTAAACAAATTTAATTAATTTTGAATTAAATTTAAAAAGATATGGCTAATACAATTCACAATACACTGTATGAGATGAAGTGTATTTTTAACGTAGATATAGATAAGTATAATTAATAAAAATAAAATCCAATACCTACCTTTGATTAAATCAGAAAATACTAGAGATACATACATTAATACTATTTATTTTCTATCTTATTAAAAGCATATTAAATATAGTGCATTATATAAACATGTTTAATATAAAAGGATCACATAATACTTTATACAGTAAAACCACCTTATAATGAAATCGCCTAGTACCTGATTTTTCAGTTATGGAGTTTCCATTATAAGGAGACTAAAATATATGGAACATAGGTTATCCTGAACTGTTGTTATTTTCTGTTTTAAGGATATTTCCGTCTTATAGGGGGTATATTATAAGGTTTAACTGTACGTATATGATAGATAGGTACTTTTGATGTTTTATATTATTATTGTTTTTTTCTGTGCTTTATTAATTCTTTTCTTTCATTCAATGTTTTTTCCCTAAATTTCTCTAAACTTGGATAATGAATGAGAGTCTGATAAATCTTAAATCAAAATTTTGACAACTGAGATGTTACATTATTAAGTATTGATGTGCCAAGAAAATTGAATTTCACATATTATTTAAAATATTGTACGTAGAAATTTTAATCATAATTCATAACATATTACAAAGAAAAATTATAATAAAATAGTAGATTTAATCTTAGTTCATGGATTTAATTTAACTTACCTACTTTCCTTTACAAAAGAAGTAGTCAAAAATGGTCGACAAATTCTGAATGAAATCATAATTGAATAATATAACAGACTGGATGAAAATTAGGTAATGAAATAAAACTATGACTATTTCCTTATAGATAGTCTATGATAATACAATTTTAAATGTATCCGTTTTCACGCTAGGAAAACAAATTCAGCCAGATTTAACACGGCAAACTGATGAGTATTAACCATTCAGTAATGGTACAGATAGAAATCCTTCTTTCTTTTTTCTATGGAGATACCTGCAATCGTGGTTACTGGAGGTTATAGTTTTAGGAAAAATGATAAGGAGCCGTCACAATATTTCAATGTTACCAATGTATACAAAATAAAATTGTAAATTATTGTACGGTATTCGGGATGGAAAGGAACTATAGGTAGCGCTCTTGTCGATACTAATGATACCTATGATTCATACATACTAAACGATTCTTCTGGAAAGATAACCAATAATCGAAGACCGTACCAATTACTAAAGATCTATTAATTGACCCAATTTGTTAACCTCAGAAGTGAATGTGTATGACACAATCACACCGACAGATACTTACACTAATGAAAGTTGTTTATAGCTTGGAAGCAGTGGGAGTGCGAAAAAAAACAAAAATTATTTCGGCCTATCCGTATTTATCTAAGTAACACACTTCTATGTTTTTTGAATTTTTAATCAATGAAGTTAATTGTAAAATATATTGGTTTAGTTTTGATAATAAATACAACATGAGGATGTTTATCTACACTTGCTTAATTTAATTTAATTTAAATGCTTATAAATGGTTGAAATTAAAAATAATAATATTTTAAAACTTAATTAAAATATATATCTTTTTATCATACAAATTTTCAAAATGCTGTCGTTTTATTATTTTTTGTTTGTTCAAAATTGTGTCAGAGTTATAACTTAAAATAAGCACATTCTTTCAAATTTTTCAATTTTTATTCAAAATATCGACGTTCAAACTTCCAAGTTTTCTAATCAAAAGCAATGATAAGAAATGTAAAAGTTGATAATTAGTAGTTTCGAAGAAGACGGCTGAAATATGTTCGGTTATATAATTTTCGGCGGTTGTGGCGTATTTCATCTATGATCTTAAGAAATGCAACTGCATGGGTTGTCACAACTTGGGGTGGGTAGAGAGCAATGTATTGTGTTTTCGATATTCAAATTAAAATTATTTATACTAATTATACTTTATATTTATATAAAAGTAAACCACTAGAGTAGGACACTAGATAAAGAATTGAACATCTATTGTTCATACAGAACAAGAAAAGCACAAACCCATGCCTACATAATATTACAAGTTTGATATGATGATATGTGATTTGGTATGAGGCAGTGAACCTAGCGGCAATTTTAACTGCAGTAATGTTTTAAATCAATTTATCTTAGGCGAGCTAGTGAAAATGATTACACTTTATTAATCCACCTAGATTTAAACAATTAAAAATCAAATTCATCAAATTACAAAACGAAGTTAACTATTTTAATTTATCTAAAAATCCATTCGATTGACTTGAAAATATGTTCACTTACAATATACTAACTAAGAGTCAATAGCAGTTTTTAATTTAATTTTGGATCATATTAAACCTCGGTTGACTATCCACTTTCCACCTATTAGTTTTCATTAAATTCTAACACGGCCAAAACTAAAAATGAATATGGGTAAAATAATAATAATAAAAATTGGCACGGGCAACGCCGGGCGCGGGACAACTAGTCAAGTTATAAAAATATAGTGAACAATTTTATAGCAATAACTCCTCAGGGAGTAATATCATTTATACCTCAAAGTTGGGGTGAGAGAACCAGTGATAAACATACAACTGAAAGTTTCAATTTACTAAACAATTTATTACTCGGAGATATAGTATTGGTCAGACGCGCCAGGTTTGGAAAATGTCATGGGGGGCTCACTATTTTATAAGCACATGTACAGTTTTTTCCTAAATCTTACCATATATTTCCTATTTTTATTTTCCTTAAATTGTTTGTTAAACTATTACTAAAATATATTTATTTGTTGTTTTGTATGTTATGAACTTCTAACATTTTAATAGTATTAGCATTATGAAAAATCATAAGACAAACATTTAAAAATACTAGACACCAGACACCGAGTACATCAACCAAGACATCAAGAACCTGGTTAGTTATCAAAATCTACACTTTTTCTCTTCTATCAATATCAAGAAAACGGATTTTTTACCATATTTTGGATGAAATAGTTTTAGAGTTATAATGCTTGTTTTAAACTCTTTCCGTAACTTCTTTTTCCTTTTTTTTATTATGAATTAAGCTAGAGCGGTTTTGTTTAGAACATTATTTTTATTGTGTATAGGTGTATCAGACAACTTAGGATTTATTATTGTAGTTTACAAAATTACTGATTGATATTTCTGCTGTTGAGGTTTTTATGTAAGCTATTGTTTTCAATATTTGTTTTGGTCGTTACGTTGAATTTTAGTTATTTCATTTTCTATAATATCGCTGAAGGTTTAGGTTCGGTTAAGTTCCCCTTCACCGTCAATTACCTTGACGTGGTGGGAGGGCTCAGAACGGTCGTGCTAAGCAGTCTCATAAAAAATGATGGTTAATAACACTAGTTATTGAACGAATTGTATTACCTATTTACTTGCAGCACCGGTCCTTGTATCTTATGCTATTTTGGACCTACGGTTCGGTTACCCAGAAATAACCGTACATTTGTTTTGCAAAAACACGTCGGGTTGGTTACAGAGATAAAACAAATTAATTTCGTTTCAAAAAATAAAATTAAGTGTAATGTAGTTTTATTTTTTTAAGTTTTAAATTCAAATTTTAACGATAATCGTTAAAATATTATGGCCTTTCAAAACATGTATAACTGAACTTCGTCCCGAATCGTTTTTCATTATCAATGGTTTAACGTTGGTTACATGAATAAATTTAATACATTTTTGTATCCCACCTTCCCAACTACCCAACTACAAAGTGGCCACACCCGTCACCATTATCGACTCTTTTTTTTTATTACAAATGGTAGTGTAGCAAAATTGTACAAACGTGGTTTTAAGTAGTTTTACAAAATTGAAATAATGTGAATAATGAATTTATTAATTCTGTTTATGAAATTATGATTTTTTTTCGTGAAAAGTTTTAGTCGTATTTTTTTTTCATCCATGATATTATGATCATTAATGCTCAACTAGTATATGCCTCTTCTCAGTTCTCAGCCAAAGGAGTACACACAACTTCACAGGCTCATTATGAATAGACGAAACGCAGGTCGTGTTGATAGTTGACCCCTCAATCCATCTTGTCTAATTGCCTCAATCTATACAAGAACTTGATAATGTTATTATGATAAATTAAAAAAAACAGTGCATGAATCAGTGTATCCAAAATTAAACTACTTTGTTTTGTCGACTGCGGAAAATAGGAGTTTATCTTTTGATATCATCGATTTGTATTTTGTTTGATAATAATAAATAATTCTAGTACAAACGTCCTATTACTACCTTTAAGTTTGGTGTTCAAACCTAAAAGAATATTTATTAGGTAAATGTTTCAAATGTTGCTTATTCAAATGTTTTATAAATTAATTAACGTACAATCTATTAAAATATTGCTAGACTAGAACATCTAAACGCAGTTCTAATTTTCAGTGTTCTTGTGTATATATTATAATAAACAATTATTTTGTCCTCACCAATAATTGTTGTACATATTATATTTAATAATTATAGTATCTATATTATAGGTACTTTACTATGTAAATTACACAAAGTATATGTATATATATGTATATGTATATATATATATATATATATATTTAAAATGAACAGTCAAAATTTTACGTTGGCTGAAAATCTAATACCTTCATCATATGTCCAACAAGCAGCTAGTGCTTTGAGAACAAGAGAAAATTTGGCTAAAACATTAATGGAACAGGTATGTTTTACTATACAATGAACAAATTATATTATATTTTAATATACCTACAAACTCATTGTAGACTATAAAATATTTGTAAATTTTATTAGTTAACTACTTACAGACTTCAAAATGTAAATAATTTAAATCATCCATGTATTTCACATTAATCATTTGTACATTTTTATGTAGGTTGTCATTCACAAGAAAAATTTATTATTTTTTCTAATGAACTTAATATAAATTTCAATTAAATTATTAATATTGATATTAAACACAATTTATTAATATGTTTATTAAGTTTGCTCTGATTTAATATTTTAAAAATTAATAGTTTAATTATACGTTACAGAGAAAATGGCCGGATAATGGTTGGGATGATGCAACAATTGAAATGTTTCTATCAAATTTAGCACTAATGGATAGCAATAATTTTAAGGAACATGCTGGTGTTGGTGAACGAGAAGGACGTATAGCATGTAATTTAGTTGCAAAACGACATTTCTTGATGACACATGGTATTGGCAGGTCAGAAAATATTGCTGAAGTTCAACCTAATGCCACAGGATCCAGTTTAATGATAAAATTAGTCAATGCTATGCTCTTAGAGTCTATCCGTTTTATGGGTAAAAATAAGAAAAAATTATTTTATGAATTTAGTTTTGTATTTTTTCATTTATGATATTTTTTTTTTGTTTTTAATAGTTTATTTTATTTTTTTATGTTTTACACCTCTTGATCTGAGAAATTATTTATGCTTTTGGCAGATTTTGTTTTAGCTTCTTAGAATTTGTATCTGATCACTTACCTAACCCCTCACTTAACCCTGACCAAACATGCCTAGTATAAGGGATAATAAACTTTCTTTACCTTGATTTTCTGAAGAAAAAAAAGAAACCCCTGTAGGTATCCAAGATTTAAATTATCAAAACTTGCAAGTGTTCCATAATATGATCCTATAATTCACCTTTTGGTAGCACATTTAAATTTTGTAGTATGAGTTTGGCAACTGTAATCCAATTGGGCTCTCTGACAATTTTAATTTGCAATCTTTCACTATTTAAAATAGGTTCCTTATCTAAATTATTAATAAGTGTTCCCAATAAGATAGCCTCTCAATGAGTGAAAATAGAGCTTATTTAATCATTGTTCTCAAGTTAAAATCCAACAATCAGAACTAACTTTATTTTTGTTATGTTAATACAAATAAAACCATAGAAGACTTAAAATTTACTGCTATCCTTTTCTTATTCTCAGCTTACCTCTCCACCTCTCACTATTATAGGTTGACTCAGGTCATATTCTGGTATATTTCTTTCAAGTCTGGCTCTTACATAGGTCCATCGGGTCATGGATCTTCCTAGATATCTGTTTATTTTTTTTTTTATAATTGGCCATCTGCTCTTCAAGTGTGTCCAAACCATTTAGTCGTTTATAATAATAATAATAATTTATTCAAAAGAAGAATAAAAGAAGCAGAAGCTCAATAGTATAAATAGAAACTATTTATTAAGAGATAATAAAACTAAACTAAAATAAAGTAATTTTGTATTACCTAGTATCATATATCAATCAATATTTAGGTACAAGTTTAAAATAACTATTAAAGGTGAAAAGAAAAAAATCTTAAATGATTGTGAATCTTTAAAATTTGAAAAGTGATGCTTAACAAAACTTAATACACATAAAGATATTTTTACTTTGCACTCAATGCGCTCCTGAAAATGTAAATTGTTTGTTTAAGTTATTTCTAATTCTTAAATTGAAATATCTGAATTGAGCTTAATGTTGTAAATAAGTACGTATAACTTATATGATCATAAAATCTGTAAAAACACATTGAGTAACATTTACTAATTTTAAGGCTCATTCCCCAGTTTCTGCACCAGCTGATAAGATATTTAATTCCTCTGGAAAAATTAAACAGTAGTTTATTAATGAAATAGTGAACATTTTTAAATGAATTCGAAGACAGATCATTAAAACCGAGGAGAGTCCATTAATAAATAAAATAAATAAGATAGGCGATAAGTGACCACCTTGAGGAGTTCCTAAAGAAACAGACCTATTAGTGAGATAAGAATTAAACCAAGTTGGTCCAATGCAATAATCAATAATTTATGATTGACTTGATCAAAGGCCTTCTTAAAATATGTATACATTCCAATTTTCTTTGGAAGAATCAAATATAAATAAAATTTATTGGTAGAGATAGGTTACAGGTTTTAATTGATTTTCTTGACATAAACCCATGTTGTCTAATATATTATAGACTGGTGTAAGAGCCAATTTTTCAGTTTGTCAATTTGAACAAGTCTAAAAATCAGTCTATAATTTTAATGCCAGATGTCATTTTATTTTAAAAACCGTGGTAATAATGCTTATTTTTCTTTGAATAATTTTTATACAAAAATTGGATAGGCTTGCAAAAAAGTAACTTGAAACTCTGTCAGGGCTAGGAGACTCAGGCTTCCTTAGTGAGCATCAGCCATCTTATACTTCATGTGTGCAAAAAGTTTTAAATTTATTTGAATTACCAGGTGGCAAGGGTTAATAAGGATTAACTGCTTATCCTGAGGATCGACAATTGATTTTTGAAAATTAGAAAATTTCAAAACATTTTCAGACAGGTTAATTAATAACCATATTATTAAATCAGAATAAATGTAACAATGAACAACTAACAATAAGAAAACTTCCTACCTGGGTTGAAAGGAAGTTAACACAATTGAAAGCTATCTTATCAATTTTCCAGGATAACAAAAGAATTTTAAAATTACTTTAAATAATAAATTTATAATTTGGAATGGTGGATTCTGTTGACTTAAAAACTGATAGGTATTATAAATAAATCAGTAAATCGATAATAGGTGAAATATACATAGCACAAAAAATAATTACAAGATTTATCAGAATAGAGAATAGGTTTAAAACTAGAATTATTAAATAAAGTTTTTAACTTTTTGACATTATTACTGAGCTTAGCCCTCATACTTAGTTTATTTCTAATATATTATGTTAAAAATGTTTGGTCTGTTGTACAATATCTGTAGTTCTTCATTTCTTCTTCTGTCATAGGTATTTGTTTAATGGTTGAAGTATGGCCCATATACCTAACCTATTGAAGTATGTTTTGTTAAAATATTGATTTTGGTTTTATTTTACCATATTAAAAACCTATACTATGACATTTAAAAAAATATTTAACTTTATAAATTGCCTGGTGTTGAATTGGACCTGCAGTGAATTGTCTGCGATCCCTTAATATATATTCAGCTTTATAATCCAGTGTTTGTTATCATACTAATTTTTGTTTGAACATATCTAAACCATAATTAATAATTTTATATATATTAAATTAGAATGTTATTTAAGTTTCATTTGTTTCATATGTGATTCCTTAATTAAAATTGAATAGAATTCTATCAAATATTAACTTTTTACAAAGAAAAGATGTAAATACTTAATATTTTTGTATTAACAAATATAGTTAAATGAGTAAATAATTTAAAGTTTTTAATAAAAAAAGCATGAATATAAATTCAATGTATTTAATCTATCTATTTAATTTATCCATATGTTATTTGTAATTTAGGTGTAGCAAGTGCAACTGGTTGTTTTATGGTGCCAATGGCTACTGGAATGAGTTTGATGTTATGTATGTTAACATTAAAACAAGATAGGCCTGGTGCTAAATTTGTATTATGGTCTAGAATTGATCAAAAATCTTGTTTCAAGTGCATTATTACAGCTGGTTAGTGATTTCACAACTATGAAGTACAATTTTAGTATATAGAAATGTAAGAGATGTTTTACATATATTGATACAGGGCTACAACCAATAATCATTGATCCTATACAATGTGGTGATGAATTACATACAGATGTACAAGCAATTGAAGCGCAACTATCAACTCTTGGATCTGATAACATATTGTGTGTACTAAGCACAACTAGTTGTTTTGCCCCGAGAGTTTCAGATTCACTCGAAAAAGTTGCTTGTCTTTGTCAAAAATATAATGTTCCACATTTAGTTAATAATGCATATGGTTTACAGTCTACCAGACTGATGCACTCAATCCAAGATGCATCCAGGTATATATTTTTTATAATATATTATGGTCAACATTATCACTGTAATTATTATATTAATTGGTTTTCTATATTTAGAAAGGGGAGGATTGATGTTTTTGTTCAAAGTACTGATAAAAACTTTTTGGTGCCTGTAGGGGGTGCAATTATAGCTGGATTTGATAAAACTATTTTAGATAAAATTACTAGAAACTATCCAGGTACTCATTAGTATATTATAATTTATTTTATTATTAATAATTTAACTTAAAATAATTAGGAAGAGCATCATGTAGTCCTGTTATGGATATTTTTATAACATTATTATCATTGGGTACTAATGGTTATAAAGAGTTAATAACACAACGTAAAGAAGTACATCAACATTTAAGAAAAGAACTTGGAAAAGTTGCTGCTAAGTATGGTGAACGTTTATTGGATATACAAAATAATCCTATTTCCATTGGTAATCTAAAATTGAATAACTGATTATAATCATCTAATAAACTATTAATTTTAGCTATGACATTGACATCATTGAATATTCCAAATGTCACTGAAACTGATACAAAAAAATTAAGTCAACTAAGTTCAATGATGTACATGCGCCATGTTACAGGTTGCAGAGTTATATCATCTGTTGAAGTCAAAGACATTTGTGGATATAAATTTGACGGTTTGTTAATATAATAAGAATTACTAAGAAGTAAATGCTATCAAGCAAATAATACAATTTCGATTTTCAGGTTGGGGAGCCCACAAATCAAATTACCCTTGTCCTTATATTACAGCAGGTGCTTCAATAGGTGTTAAAAAGTCTGATGTTGATTTGTTTATACAAAAATTGGATAAAGTAATTGCTAGGTTAAGGAAGTCATCACCATCCAATCTGGAAACTCCCTCATCATCTGAAGGTAATGATAATACGTCAATACGACGAGCAGTGACTGGTGCATCTAGCTATCGAAGCCCAGTTAATGGAGTCTACTCCACTGGAGATGGCAGTACATCAACATCACGCACATCTAGTGTTGATAACCTGCGTAAACACTGATAATTTTGTTTACAATTAGTCATAATTTTGACTACTTATGTATGTTCTGTTTTAGTCAATTTTTGCTTGTAGAGCAGAAAAGGGATCTCTGAACCAGTAGTAATAATTTAAAATATTTAAAATTGTATCTTAAACTTTTATTAGTTGGTTATTTTATATGAATTTGGTTAAAAATTAGTTGTTACCTTACACCACTGTGATGTGTTAGGTTTTATAGTAAAAAACAAAATACTATAGACTAAATGTATTAATAATACAGTACATAAAATGAACAGCATGGCCTAATATTTGAGTTTAATTAAGTAATATTTAGATAATAAAATAAAATTCTAGTCATAGAATAAAATTACAATAAAACTTAAAGCATCTGTCAGCTTACATTTTTATAAACAAAGAAGAATTTTTTTTTAGACTAAAATATTATAATTTCGTATGAATCTGACTAACTTAAGTATTTTTTACATAATATAACTATAAATTGTTCAATTTAAATTCCAATTTTAGAGTACATCAAATAATAATTTGTGAATATATTTTGTTAATATAGATAATCATCAATCATTTAATGTTGAATAAAAATTGGGTTTATATACATACACTATTGACACCAAAAGTACTTATACTCTTGTGTTTTATTTATTTTCCTTTAGATATTTTGTATACAATTTAATTTAAGATATATATTTTTTTTTAATAATATCAAAAAAAGAGAGAAATACTAATATTTGATAAATTGCTCTAGTCATTAGTTAATTATTGTAATCAATTAAATCTGATGTATGCCTTCATATAACTTGCAGAATTCAAAATATAATATGTACGACATGCATCTAAAATAGGTTTTTGTATTTTTCAAATTTGAATTACTTTACATTATTTTAATTCAGTTTTCAATCTTTAAGATTCCATGATTAAATTTTAATTAAAACTATATTCAAAAAATGAATGCTTTGGAGCTTATTCAATTAATAATTTTAGATAACCAGAAATCATTTGAAATAAAATTACTCAAGTATTTTTAAGAGTAAAATTATTGATACTTAGTCCATTTGTACATTTTTTTCTTTGTGGTGTTGTAAAAAAAAAAAAAAAAAAAATTAAACATTATTTAATTATTAAATAAAGGTGCTTTTATGTTTTTAGAATAATAAGTACATTTTTAGATGAGTTTTCTTTTAATTTTAGTCAATCACATTGCTCAATATTATCTAGTTAATACTAGTAAATTAACTAGTTATACATATTGTAGACTGGGGGCCTATTCTTAAATCAATTGAATAACAATTTTTTTTTTATTAAGAATAATTAAAATAAATGTGAAAGTTGATCAAAATTAATTGAAAATGTACCAACTTTTAATTGATTTTTATTACTTTTAATTTGAAATACTTTTTGATTCATTTAAGAATAAGCCTCCCAATATTCTGAAGACACTACACTTGTATGTATTATTTTAGTCTTACAAATTTTGGAACCAATTTTGCACTTTTAATTTTAATATTAAAGTTAATTGTTTATATAATCCCTCAGCCTCCACACGAGAATACTCGGTAAGGCCCAGTATTTTTTTTTGAAAAATAAATAATAATAATTACAATAGTGATATATAAATAAACTTAAAGGTAAGAATATTATTTGTGTTTATACATTTGTTTTTTTAAATGCGACAAACATCTTAAATTACTTATATAAATATAAATTACTCTATATGCCTTAAAAATTTAAATAAGCAAAATATAAAAACACAGATAATGCTTTAACTTTTAAGTTTGATGATAGGTCACAATTCACTCTATTATTAAAACAAATTATACTAAACTGATTTTGCCGAGTATAAATTGGTTATATCGTGTTTGTAAGATCAAGATAACACATAAAAATGTAGCTTTCTCACAATTGCTTGATTTCTGATAATTTCTTAATATTTCATTCAATATTTTTGAGTTAGGCGAGTACTTATTCATACTACCGTATTATAATATACTTAATGTATCATAATAATTATTTATTAAACTCAATTTAACATTAGAAGATAAAAAATTATTGTATTTGCTTGAATATTATTTTGTTGATTTACACTATTATTATTAGGGCTCAGAAGTCAACTCTCTTTAAATTTAATTAGTAATAAATATACACATATATATAGAAATATAACCAATTTTAAAGACATTCATAAATTATTTTGTTATCACACTTAATAGATTATGATTGACAATTGTTAATCAACACCGTATATCCCTGTGAAAACTATTAACTGTCTTACTAACTTTATACTAATCCATCTACTCTCTATCCAAGCATTCTTGGCTCATACATTGTAGAAATCCACTCATATGACTTCTTTAACAAGTAGGGATATTTTTTTTTCGTATTCACCTAAATTTTTGTAATTTTCTACACTATGTTTAATAACTAGTTCATGATCTTGTTTTCCAGTTTACACCCTCACTTTATCCGAGATTATATAATATCAGATTGATGTGCTGTAAGGCACGTAAAATTTTGTCCAGCGAATTTGTTCTGAATTTTAATTTTGTTCCTTTCTTAAAACTATTTTTTACTTTTTAGTTTGTGTGTTGTTTGAATATTGATTCATAATCTGAAATCTGTCCACTAGCAATGATTCTAGAATGGTTGAAAGAGTTCAAACTTTTTAAGATTTGTCTTTTATGCTTTTAAAATTTACTTTCCTCTGTATAATTACTCTCCTGTCCTACAAGCCCTAGATTTTTTCCTCCCTATCAGACTGTTGACAAACTGCTGATTTAATCTTTTCATCTAAGTTTCTTACCTATGCAATTGATTTCTATACACTTCTTTTCTTTAATATTTTTAGGGTTCCAATCAGTCTTATGAGATCTCATTTCCCTTTTTCCATTTCTATTTTTTCCACTAACTTTCAAAGAAATTTTCATTTACATCGCATAATACGATTGGCAAATGAGGATCCTTACTTTTTTATTCAACTTTGTATTATTATTTAATTTTAGTTATTATTATTATTATTACTGTCTATATTTTTTTCTGCTTTTTGAACTTCTACTCATACAATATGCAATAACTCGGCAATTAATGATAAAGTATGTGTTTGCATATTAAGCTTAGTGGGAAAGGAATTGTCCTGTTAATAATCCAACATCTATAATTTAGATATTATTAACAGTTCGAAAAAAAAGTAAAATTAAAATAATAATGATTATTAAAATGTATTTTATAAATATTAATAAAATTAGGATAATATTATTTATTTTTCTGTGTTTTGTTAAAAATAGAAAAAATATTAAATTGTAATAGTTAAATTATTAACTATTATTAAATTTCATAATTTGCTAATTTCTAGTTGAAAATCCAGGCTATCCCATCTACAGTATTTAACAAAAATATACCATAATTTCATAATGTTTGTGTTAAAAATTAATAATTAGTTATTTTATTGACAATTAACTTACCAAAATTTTCTCTGAAAGAAAATTCTATTTTAATTATTCACCACTATTTTTAATTTAAACAATTAATAAACCATTCTAATTTTAAACAGGTTGGCCTTATATTTATAACTGTAAATTAGTATAAACACATTCAAAATTCAATTTTATTACAAATTATATCAAGTAAGTATACTATAAACAATTAATTTTATTAGCCAACCTCTTATATACCCATTAATTCATTAACTGTGTTTATCGTATAATAATAATATTAGTAATTTATCTATTATTCAATTTTGCATTTTACAATTAGCTACAGTTGCTAGTTTACTCATGAAATATTATTTTACTGTTGAACTAAATTTCAATGTAAAATTAATATATATATATATTAATTTTTAAATAATGTTCTTATACAATTCTGCAATTTTTTCCTAACTTAATGAAATTGTATTTACTTGAACTTTGAAATAAGAGGAAGTCCACTGTCTATTTATTATTTTGTAATTGAACTCCTAAAATTTGACTCACTTATGATGTTTTAATCAATTGTTTTGCTTATTTCTGGATTCCTTGAATGAAAATAAAACACAGTTATTATTATTTAATTTGCTTATCATAGACAAATTCAGACTGGGAAATTTTTTTAAGCAGGTCCTTTTTTCAATGACTACAAGACTGTAACTATAGAAATGTCTATGTGGGGGTGAAATATTTTTTTTTCTTACTGAATAAATGATATTTTAGCATTTACCTTTCGCATTTTGCTTAAAAGTATTCAATTTTATACAAATATATATCAGGGGAAGCCCAGAAATACCCAGTTATAGTTTTGATTGCCTACATTTTTACATTATAAAAAAAAAACTCAATAGTAATATACTTTATACTAATAACTTTTCCTGGGTCTCCACACAAATTGTTCTCAGTAAGGCCCAGTTATCTTTTTGATATTAATTAAATATAAAAAAATTTATAAAAATAACTAATCAAATATAAAATGAATTTATTTTGGTTTGATTAAACATTACTTGCTGTAAAATATCATACTATTATAACAAAAAATTTAAATAAATTTAAACCATCTACGCCAATGCATTAGGTCACTGGGACTTTCTTGGTATCATGGTGGGAAAGGTGTGATTTTTAACAATTATCATTATTTACATTATTTTGTATAAGTATATATAAGTAGGTAATTAGTGGACTTGTAATAAATATGGATATTATTAAACTTCTGAGCCCTATTTATTTTTTAATTAGTGATAATTTACAATAATAATGAATATATTCATTTTAGGATATTAAAAAATGCTGTGGTTAAAAATGAAGCCACCTAGATATATTAGTTTTAAGGTCTTAATTTTTTTTTATTGTATTATTAAATTATGTCAGTCAATGTAAATAAAATTATTAACGCCATTTTTTGAGTAGTCAAGTACTTCTTAACACTAAAAACAAACTCACCTAAGAATTCCAAACCTTTTGTTTTTCTATTTTTTTAAATTTAAATATTAAATGTTAAAAAAAAATACACTCTCTCTTAAAGTTTTTTTGAAGGAGAACTTGGTCAAGTTTTTATATACTAAAGTGGACAATGATTATTTATTTTACCGAATAATATATGTTGTAATAATGATATACCTAACTATCTTATTGTGCATTTTTAGTATTTATTATTTATTTAGACTTAAGTATTTGAAATTTTTCAGGTGCTTATTTTAATTATATTTCTAATGTATCTTGATGTTCTCCTTAATTATATAAATTTGAATTATATATGTATTAATTAGTGTATTTCTAGTCAAATACAAGTACTCGCCAAACTAAAAAATATATATATATATTTAAAGAAACAAAAATAATATATTAGGTAATTCATACATCTGTTTTGAATTATTAAAAATATACTAAACATTTATTTTATAAGCAATTGATAGAATAACACTAATGGAGGCTGAACTTTTGTAATATTACTAAATAATTCTTCCATGAATTAAAAGTTTTAATATTTGTATTTTATAGTTATCTATTACTACTGGATAATGTTTAAAATATTTAGAGAATTAAATTTATTGTTTTAGACCTTATATACATTATTGGTTCAAGTTAATGCATCTAAAACATTTTTCATTATTTTGTTCCACTTACGTACTTATTTTATGTTTGTCATATAAAGTAAATAATATTTACTATTTTTATTGGACAATCAATTAGTTTGAAATTATTTTATGTAAAACATTCCAAGTTAATTTTTTGTTTAATTTGCATTAACTTGGTCAGCTAATTTGTGTTAACAAAAACCATAAACAATGTTGAGAAAATGTTGTAAATATATTAACTAATTTGCTTGTACAATTTTTTTATAACACTGTGCAATGTGCAATAATTTAAAATCTGTAGTATCACATTATTTATGTTCATCTATATTAGTATTACATACATTTTGTCCACGTTAATTATTAGTTTGTTGATTTTTAAAGTGACACAAAAACACTTAAGTAAAATAAAAAACATTTTATTAAAATAAAAATGGTTTTTTTTTTTTATGATATTACCTCCAATAAATTTGAATTTTTTGTTGATAGGGATACACATAAGGAGTGGGAAAGGGGGTCATGTAAAAACTCTGGTAAATATTATTTATGTTAAAAACAATTCTATTATGTACTCATAGAAATATTATACCTGTAGCTGAAAGTGTATTTGCATACAATCATACAATCAGAAGATGGGTCACTTCCTGTTTTGAAATAGAATTTGATGTTCATACAACCATATACAGAAGATACATTATAAGAAATTCTCCATACAAAAAGCATTCAATTCTCTTTACATACTTATTCATCTTCATAGATTCTAAGCGTAACAAGGGATCTATTGGTTTTATTATGATGTTTTTTTTTTTCACTTGTAATCTTGTTCCTCTGAGAAAATTCCAAAAAACCATTTTTTGTTGTATTTTGGATCTAGTAGGTTACTCAAGTAAGTCGTTTTTTAATTTTCCAAGCAGTTTTCATAATAAACAAAACATGGTGCAAAATAAAAATGACAAATTTATAGTTTTAAAATTTCATTATTTTGTATTTTTACTGTTGATGATTTCTACAAGAAATATTATTCCAATTGAAAAACAACTACACTTTTTTGTTGCATTTTTAATCTTATTGGGCAAATAAGAAAAAAATTGGAAATAATTGGAAAGTTTATGGAAATAATAGTTTTATTATTTTAAAATTTATTTTCATTAATACTAAAAGAAGCGAGGAATGTATTGGTTTTACAATAATGATTATTTATTTAAAAAATCTTGAACCGATTTTAATTGTAGTATATTTTCTATTTTTCAATTTGTAGAGATTTGAAATTTGGACAGAATCTTATGTTTGCATTTTCTAGACTCGGTAAAATTATCAATATAATTTTAGTCATTTTTGAGCTATTTCAAGCATTGCAAGGTATTTATGTAATTTTTATTTAGTAAGTACTTTTTTGGATAAAATGTTAAGACCAAATAGAAATACTTGAAGATTTAATAGGTTCATCATGTGTCGTTCTTTGTTGTTAAAAAAAATAAAAATAAAAATATTAAATTTCTGAGCATAGTATTCCAATGGAAGCATTAGTAAGAAAAAGTTATATTGACGATATTTTTAATTCTACTTTGAAAATATGAAAATGTGAATTCGGCAAAATAAAATTTGGGTGTCAATAGATGAAACATGTGATATTTATATAGTCAACGTTATAGTCGAAATTCTTAGACAATTTTGTCCAGGACGTATATTTTTTCTACACTAAGAAGAATTAGATACCTATGGCAAATTACTAAACTATTTGATAAAGCGTATTATATGGCTGGATCACCAAGTCATATAATATGATATAAAGTACAATAACGTTTTATTATTTTTATTCGACGTGGCACTCTAGATGGTGAAAGCAGGCACAGTTCTAAAAAACGTTTAAACATAAATGATATACATTACTTGGTGTGCGCATGAACGTCATAAAATTGTTGAAAAAATTCTCAGACAATTCGGTACAGTTGATGAATTAATATCTAATATGAAAAAGACGTTCTAGGATAATGGGGATGGGTGCAACCACTGTTATAGATAATTTTATGTAAACCTGTAAGTAACAATAAACCATTGCTTATAAAAAAATTTATTCTGAGCGTAGTTCAGTTAATAGTGATGCTTTGTCAACAATATATATGTCATTTTATAATAAAATAATTAAATAAGTTTTATATGTTTTCTTTAATAATATTTGTTTAATGTTGTACCGATTTTCCTAGTTTTCCTACGTTTTCTAGGTTTTTCCTTGTTTTATCCCGGTTTTTCATATTTGCTAGGAAAACTTGAAAAAATACCTCTTCAATGAAATTTCCTTTTAGAAAAATTGTTATCATTAATAGTTGGAGCAAAACTGCTGGTAGAAAAGTTGTCCACAGAAAAAAAATCGTAATATTATATTTCGTAAATTTCCCGGTTTTTTTTTTGGTGTTTCACATTTGTTGAGAAAACTCTGGAGAAATGGCCTCCCTAAAGTAACTCCCCACGCTGATTTCCTTTCAGAAAAGACGCTACACGTAGAAATTCGAGCAAGTTTTCTGTTAGAAAAAAAAAAATCATCTTTGTAAACCTTAAGCTTCTTCGCTTGACTCAGAATCTAAAAATATTTCGTCAAGCTCTTTATCGCGTTGAAATATTTGAATTATAAAATTACTTCTTGAATCGATTATTATACTCGTTATAAGTCATGGATCGAGGATGCAATTTCCTATTGCGAAAATTTTTTAGCAAATGTCACGTTATTAAGTGGCCTAGATGATAACGATGCATTAAGAAGGTAAAACTGTGCATAGTAAAACCTGGTTTAGAAATCTATTTTGCATAACTTTTTAAAATTAATTTTAAAGTTCTTACTAAAGCCATTATTGAACCACAGAAAAAAATGTTTTATTAACTGATTCACTTGATGTGGTTCAATGTGAAACAGAAATTGTCTTTGTTAAGAGAAAATCACGGAAAACCATTTCTAAGAAAACTTAAAAAAAGTTTTTGAAAAAAAAAATTGCCTCAGGGTGTTAAAGAAAATATTAAAAATACTTGATCGTGAAGATGGTATAGTTAGTCAATCGACTTCAGCGAATTTCCCGAAGACTATACTCCAGCGACGATATTGTATAATATAATACGCGTAGAAAAAAATTGTGATAGTTTTTGTCGTGCTATTTTTGCTTATTTTAAAATTTCTATGTGCTTATGTGCTAGGTGTTTAATAGCTTTTTTCAGTGTTTATTTTGATGGTAATAAGTGCTATGAGTCCCGAACCCTGAATTAAGGAGAAATGGAAATGGAATAGTAATTAATAAATCGTGAGTAATTTTTAATACTTTGTTTAGTGATTCACGACATGATGTAATTATAAGAGAAAAACTGAAACAACGTTTTTGAGATCTTTCAAATAAATATTTAAACAAATAATAGATAATTAATCAATAGTAATTAAAACAAAAGTTAATAAAAAAAAACTTAATAATTGAATGAGAATATAATATGTACCCGTTGACGAGATATTTCACTTTTAAGTTTGGTTAGGGAGAGAGTAGTAGAGCACCTTATTCAGTAATCTCTTTCAAATTTAATTTAACACATTTGTTTAACACAATTTGTAAAGTGACCTCCACGTGCAAAGTTTGTTTGATTTTTTTATGATATCAGTATGATGTAGGTATGTTAATTTTCCAGCATAAATGGGTCACAAACAAAACATTTCAATTTTAAACACGTTTATAAACTCATATTATCTATACTTTGTATAGTTATAATAAATCACCAAGAAACTTTTGCACGATTGAAATACACATACAAAAAATAAAATGGGGTTACCATATCTACATAAGTGTAAGGTATAAGGTACAATACTACTATGAAACATTTACATACAATATAAAAGACTAAAGATAGATAGGTTTAAGAAATACGTTTTACATGTAGACAATTATTTCAATTTAAGCATTAAAACACAAATCATAATTATTATTTAAGATTTGAATAACTATGTTATTCTTAATAATATTAATATTTTTTCCATACAGTGAACTGGTAAATATAATAACGTATACAAAATGCATTAAGTAAAACAAAAACATCTTATATAAAAAAAATTTTGTGTAATGTACCTATAGAAAAGTCTTAAAAAGTATGAAATATCAGAAGAAATTATAGAAGAACCAGTTAAAGAAGATATTAGGTGGATGTTGTTACCGAACGGACGAGGTGACCCACAAGTGGCCATTCTATCAGGTCTGGAAAGAAGTGACATTGTAGACCGAGCAGACCCATTGATAGATAATATAAAATTTTATTTATATACCAGGTATCAATTTTATTTATTGTATGATTATGAAACATCGGTTTTACTAGTTTATAACAGTAATGCAATTATTTTGACTAATTAAGTAATAGTAGATATTTAGGTGAATACTTTTATATTTTCTTTTAAATAGGGCGTACGCAAGGGGGGAGGTTACATCTAAGTATCTAACCCCAAAACAATATCTTACTATCTACTATAATCTTACCGCGAAACAAGATACAATTTGATAATATATGTAGGTACACATATTATATGCAATGGTATTTACGATTCATTCAGAACTAGGAATTTATTGGTTTTACTATGATATCCATGTGCTTTTTTTTTCTGTATGTAAACAAATTTTGAAAAGAAACCTTGCTTCGATGTATCATTTATAGAGTGTAGATAATTTTCTCTAGTTGGAGCATTAAACAGATAATTTTTTGGCTATCCAAAGAGTTTCCAATATAGTTGGGAAAAATCCGAAAGAAAATTATAGGTAAAATAGCAAATATTTACGTCCCACCTCGGCGTTATAGTTTTCGTTGTTTTTAATTTTTTCAACTTATGTTTTCTACCAGAAATATTGCTTCTTTCAAAAAATGCCAAGAGATTGTAATTTTGTTATTTTTGATATAAAGCCAGAGACTAAGAAATTCATTTTTTGTCGACTATTCACAGTATTTTTCATAATAATAATAACGATTTTTTTAAAATTACAACGCCAGCATTCCTTTATTTTAAATGTATACGGTTTATATTTTCTACCAAAAATATTGCTCCAATAGAAAAAAATCAAGAGACGTTTTTGTTGAATTTTTAATCTAATTGGTGACCAAGAAAATTGTTTTTTTTTTTTTTTTTTTTAATGATTAAGCAAAACTGAAAAATACGTAGAAAGAACGGGAATATTTATGAAAATAGTTATATTACTTTTTTAAACTTTGTTTTTTCTTTTAATATAATACAGTTAAAAATATTCCTAGAAACTTGAAATTTTCAAAACTTTTGAGCCATTTTTGAGCTATTTATAGACATTTAAATTTTGCAAGATGTTTACGTAATTTTTATTTGGTAGGTACTCCGTAGATAAAATTGTTAGGCTACACAGAAGTCAGAAGTGCTTAGAAATGTATAGGTAGCTTATTATAAGTTATACTTAATGGTAGAGAGAAAAAATTGAGTATTGTAATATTTTTAATATTTTTTATAAGAGGTTTAAAATTAAATTTAGACGAACATCGTAAATATTAAAACATGTATAGCCAAACTTCACTCCGAAACGTTTATCGTTGGACATTGGTTACAGCTATATTTTAAATAACTTTATGTGTCTCACTTTCCCAAATACAACAGTAGCTGCATCCGTCCCCAAAGAAAACCAAAGATAAACAATTGCTTACTAAAAACGATTCTGAGCGGAGTTCAGTTGATACTTTGTAAAAAATATATATGTCATAGTTTAGTAAAATAATTAAATAGGTATTATATATTTTCTTTAATAATATTTGTTTAATATTATACTATTTTTCTATGTTTTCCCGATTTTCCCATGTTTTTCCCCGGTTTTACACAATTTGTTGAGAAAACTCTTAGGTAACCCCAGTTAGATTTCCTTTCAGAAAAAATTATCTACATTAACATCGTATACATCGGAGTAAATTTTCTGATAAAAAAAGTGTTCACATTAAAAAAAAAACATCTTTGTAAAACCAATACATTCTTGGCTATACACTCAGAATCTAAAATTAAATTAAAAATAACGGAAACCGGTGTTTCGTAAATTGTTCAGTTTTCCTCCGTTTTTCTCTGGTTTTCCCAATTATTAGAAAACTATATAGAAAATCAAATTTTATTTTGAATATCGTTTTTCGATTTAAAAGATTTATTGATGTCTCAGTATAAACATTTATTAACCTTGTATTCTGTGACTTTAAACTTCCCACCTACTACAAGGCCTGTACTCATGGTTCAGGTAAGTCTGGCTTTTTAAAATACCTATTTATTTAATTTGTTTATTATTTATATATTCTTTAATTCCACTTTCGCTTTCAGTATACCTGTATTTAACTATTAGTTTAACTAATAAGTAGTATTTTGATAATTGTTATAATGTATCTCAGAGAAAACCCAACAAGAGCTGAAATGCAAACTATGGATAAAAACTGTTTGCCTGTATTTAAATATTTTCGTCCCCAAAGAAAATCTAAAATATTAGTTCATGGATTTGGTGATAGTGCAGAAGATTCTCTGATGTTTCCATTATTAAGAGATGGTATGTATGTTACTTATTCAAGGTAGTGGAGTTCAGCTTTTTTTGAAATTGAATATGTACAATGTACATATGAATGTGCATTGTACATACATAGTATGTCTGAAAAGTTTCCATACAAAAAAAATTTACAAACAAATTTACAGATAAATTAATTTATTCACATCGACTTTCTATGGTAAGTTTTTATCTAGTTATATACTAGTTGCAGCGTCGGTAAAGCTGTTCAAATGCTCTGGAGAACTTGTTTTATGGAATTGCCTTTAACTGATCTGTACAAGCTCTTTAGATCGCCAGAATGTAGTAATTTGCTCAAATTGAGTTTTGGAAATCAAAAATAATTTACAAGAACCAAATTGGATCAATGAAATCTCTGCTTCAAAAAAATATATCGGTTTTTGTTAATCGGTCAAAAAATGTGGAACAGAACGAGAACAAGTCTTTCGATGGTTTATTTTTTCTGTTCAAATTTTACGTGCTGTGTCTTAACTGATATTAAGCTTTTCTGCTATGATCTGCTAAAGGTAAGATGCGGTTGTTCAAGCAGCAGCATATGCACTAACAAAACATTTGCATCGTGAACAATTGCTAATGGCCTTCCACTTTGTTCATCGTCACCCAAAGACTCTCGACCATTTTTAAATTGCTCCCACCATTTATAATTTATAGTACGATATGTAACTTCATTGTCGAATGCTTGCTGTCTCATAGAATAAGTTTCTGTAAACGATCTTTGAAGTCAAACTCAACATTTTGTTGCGTTTGTTTGTTCCATGTTGCAAGCTTGTACAAGGTACCTCGAACACATCGTACAAAACCAATCATAACTCGAGAAGTCAAGACTAAAGAAACCAAATGTGCTAATATTTTGTACACATACTCATAAGATTTAGAATTATGTGATGCATTAGTTGTATGAGAGATAACATTATTTATGTTCCATAAATAAATTTTAGTTCAGAAACTTTTCAGACATACTGTGTATATGTGTACCTATAGGTACTGTAATTAGCTGATGTGCTTAGGTTGTTATTTGACAAAATTAAAGTCAAATAAAATGTAAAGAAATTATTAAACTCTTTCCTCAAACAAATTTTAGCTTTTAGCTGTACCCCTTCAATACAGACATAAATAAAATATAAAATAAACAAAAATAAAATCAACTATATTATTTATGTATTCATTTTAGATCAATGTTATTTAATAACAAAAAAATTATTAGCTTATAACATTTATTATTAAAGTTCCAGTTTATAACTCTTGTGAGGTTTTTCTTTACTATATTTAACCTATATTTTTTATCCAATCTATATATTTATAGAAAGATTAAGTTGGCTTAAGAAGATTTTTTTTCATAAGTTTATAATTTCTAAATTGACTAAAATTTAAATTAAGTATTCAAATGTCTAATATAAATATAAAAATAAACTATGGAATAAGTATATTGTATATATGATATAATAACATAAGTAACTAATAAAGTAATAGGAACCTAAAAAGATAAAAGCTGGGACTAAAACTGTTAACAATTTTAGTTTTTGAAAATGATCGGTTTTGCCTGTTATAGTTTAGTATTTAGTTTTAAAGTTTTAAAAAAATGGTTATTCAGTAAACGATTTTAGTACTTTGTGAATGAACTTCATCTTCTATACAATATTAATCCATTGATATATATATTCTTTATTTTTTATTTTTATATGACCTAAAATGAAATTGTTAATTTCAAACGCAAATATTTTCCTAGGTAGTGGGGTGGAATGATAACTCTTTTATACTCTCTTATAATCAGTAGTTTGGTTTCTGTATAAGTTCATTAACGTTACAGAATAAACTTCGATAGTTAGTTCATCTATAGTTTGTGTAATCTTTCGAACTGAATGTAATTTTAAAAAAAAAACTATGTTGTTCATGATAATAAATAAATCGAAAAAAAAATATTTAATTCTAGTATTTTAAGTACAAAATTTACGTATGAACCCTGAAGAAGGGATTGAATTCCAGGATAAAAAGTAGCCTATGCATATAGGCCTACATTTGACCCTGAAGTTTTTTTAAATATTGGTGAAAACTACATAGAAATCAGTTCAAGATTATCAATATTGTTGCTAATAAATAAACGTTTATGTTCAATAGATATAATCGTAAGATTATGTCGATTTATAATTTTATTTCTTAAACCACAGTTATAAGTGATTTGTCATCTTTGACTTTAATTTATTTTTAGCGTTTTTAAATTACAATGATTATAATATATTCACTGTTGATTGGTCCGAACTGGCTGCTGCTCCTTGGTACAATACTGCTTCGAAAAATACTAAACACGTATCAAAACATTTAGCGTCCTTCATAGACCATTTAACATCATCTACTGATACACGAACAGAAGATTTTCATTTGATCGGTTTTTCATTAGGAGCACATATTGTTGGCCTCACAAATAACAATTTAAAATCTGGAAAAGTTAAACATATAACAGGTAAAATATTATAATATAATGTCAAAATAAAAGTTATACAATATCAAGAACATTTTACGATTTTTAAATTAAATATTTTTCAGGACTAGATCCGGCAGAAGTGTTATTTTATTCGTCTGGTCCCGAAGATCGTCTTGATTACAGTCAGGCTAAATTAGTTGAAGTTGTACATACGTCTGGTGGATTTCTTGGATTTAAAAAACGTATTGGGCACAGAGATTTTTATCCTAATGGCGGTGCATGGCCTCAACCTGGATGTAAAATTGATTATGCGTGTAATAAAAACGAAAAATTTATAAGAATTATTGATAAGTATTTGTTATACAATAATAATTAAATACATTTGTTTTTTATATAGCGGTATGTAGTCATCGCAGAGCGTATTATTATTATGCAGAAGCAATAAACAGAAGCGAAGGATTTGTCGCTATGCCGTGTTCTTCTTATGATGAATATAAATCAGGAGCTTGTTCAAATAACACAAATCTTGCAGTGCAATTAGGAAAAGCACCATATGATAAATCGTATGTATAAATAGGGAAAAGAAAAATTTAAGTCATAATAATCAGTAATTTTAATTTACAGAAAAGAAGGAAGTTACTATTTAAATACAAACTCGGATGCTCCATACGGTAAAACAAATAGACATGGACCATAGATAATAGTGTGAAAGAGTAACATATTAGAAGCAAAAAACGTATATTAAATTATTATATTTTGTATTTATTAAATATTTAAACATTTATTAACTGTTATATCACAGTTTATATACTAGGGTAATTTTTATTTTTAACTTACATTTTTTTTTCGAATCTTTCTCCATTTGGAAAATACCTAAACAAATAAATCATACTAAGTTTACATCAATTGTTCGATTTAAAGCCGTGAGAGCTAGTGATTGTAATTGTAATTATAATTTTTACGAAGAAATCTAAACATTGTATTGTACTTTTTTTTAATCAAAAAACATTTAAATATTAAATATCAGGTAATTTTATTGAGATTTCATAAATAAAAATGTCATTGATGACATTATTACATCATATATTACCAACTTAGTTACAATCGAAAAACGAATCCGGTTAAATGGAATTAATGGTTACAAATACATTAAAATTACATGTGTACAAAATTATTTTATATTAGATTTTTCATGACAATAAATTCTGCAAAATTTTAGGTTGATACGTCAATATTTTATTTTAAAAATATTCTTAATTTGTTAATTACGTACAAGTTATTTAATTAATTATTGCTCTGTATAAGTCTTAAATATTGTTGTTTAAAAATTTAATTTTTTTATTTCAAATTTTGGAGTTATTATTTAGTTCAGTATTAACAATGGAAGGATGTCGCAATTTCGCAAACTGTAAAACAAAAAAATAAATGTATGGAACTAAGCTAAGGAGTACGAGTAAATCTAAACCTACCGGCTACCAATGTTTTTTATTTTAGTGAACAAAAATATTACAATATAATTTTTGAAATAAATATAGTACTTACCTAATTACTTATTTTTAAAGTATGTATACAGTTTTATTTTAATCCTAGGATTGGTTAAATGATTGATGTTTCTTTCCATCTATTCCTATCCCATTGTCTCGTTTTTTTAAACCCTGTATTTTTTTATTTATTCTGATGTCTATTACTTGTTTCACGAATGGCGTCCTTAGACATCATCTTCCTATGTTTCTATTATTGGTTTTCCTTCGATTATCTATTGTTGTTAAGCGGATAGGCCCACCAAGATTCTAGGTTTTTTCTGACGAGTTTCACAGCATAGTTGAAAATTCATGACAATTGCGATGTTTCCGAATTGTGAATGAAAATCATCTTTACGTGTTATGTTGAGTTTTATGTGCGGGATTTTTTTATGCTACATAGCAAAGTTAAAAATCAAAAAAAAATTATTCAACTTAAAAATAAATATATAACTTAAATAATTTCACCGTTGTCATTTAATTTAAAATAAGATTTGCACATAAGTTTTGTGCATGCCTATTTTTAAATATTATTACCCGTCTAAAAACCGATTGATTTAATTTAAATGTATAGTCATCAAATATGTATTTGTAAATTTAATTTTTTTCACTGCGCATTACAAAAATTTAAATTTTTTCTAGTATAATTGATCTGGATACAGGCGCGTGTATAAGAGAGGATTTTAGGGGTTCAAATCCCCATACCAAAATTTCATGAAAATTATGATGAAAGTAGATTTTCAATAGTCTTAAAAGTGGTTTCGATTAATGAGAAAAATAAATACAATTTTGGTTTTATTTTTATTTTATCACTAGATAGTAGGTATAGGTATATATTGTTATTATTGTCATTTCTAATTTTTGTGGTTTTCCTGCTTTTAGAAAATTATAACTGATACGGTGATATTGCATCCCTAGTCCGCATTATCATCACAATAATATGAAGTAGGTACGTTATCATTTAGGTTTCATTAAAAAATATATTAATTGTAAAATTTAGTAACAAGCCTAAAATGAATGTTATAAAATATTGATATTTTTAATGAAAAATAAATAATTTTACAGTTTACAGTATGTAAACTAATTTTTTATAAAAGTATGAAAGTGTATCTTATCCCCCCTCCCGAAATATTTTTTTGTAAATGCATCTGTCTGGATGTCTATTTTTTTACTGAGCGTAGTATATAGGTATAATTTGTGTACTTTTAAAATTATAAATATATATTTTCTAATTAATATTCCTTAAAGAACTATCCCAGTCCGATTTCCTTTCAGAAAAAGTGCTACAAAGTTCTTGTAAATCGGAGCAAGATTTCCGGTAGAAAAGTCGTTTACGGATAAAAAAATAAATAAATAAACATCATTGTAAAATTATTTATTTCTAAACTTTATCCTCGAGGGAATATCGTGAATTTTCAAGGAAATATGCAAAAGGCAGAGCCGGATCTAGGAATTTTTATTATTATTATTATTATTATTAGGAAAAGGGGAAAAAATTAGGAAAATACGTTCAATGATGACTTTTTTTTTGTAGTTTATTAAAATACGGTTATTTATATAGATAACACAATATTTAAATGTCAATAAGATGATCGGCTCATAAGCCATTTCTCATGTAGTTTACATTAGTTAAGTCATACATTATCAGGGGGTGGTATACATTTTTCTGTGAGGAGGTAATATCTTCTTGGTCACCTTCTTAAAATAAACACTGAATTTAACTTTTACTAATCTTCGGTTATGAGTGTTTCGTGTATTAATATATATATTTTTTTTTATAATGTTGTGTCTGTTCATATATTTTTTTGTCTGTAGTTTTTATTTTTCTCTACAGTTAATATTACATTAAATTATTAAAAAACGAGTGCACTGTATTAGGCCTCTCGTAAATTTCATATTTTTTTCCAGTTCTCCAATAATTTTGAAACCATAACCAATGAGTTATCGTAGATTTGTAGTATATAATATCACTCCGCTAATTAAAATCTAAAACAGTTTCTATAGGTACTTATGATATACGTATGGTGACGAGACGTACACTTTTTTATGCATTATTCTACGACCTTAAAAATATTGTTAACTACATGAAATTGTACACTTTTTAGAAAATATTATGGGCTAATACATGTTTATGAATTTGTATAATTTAGTTATTAATTTTTATTTTAATATTTTATGGTTTTATGGCAAGTGACTGAAAACAGTAGCCACAGCTGGAGAACCACTGTTTGACGAAAAAAAGAACGTTAACATTGTAACCACCATTTATTATAGTTTTACCTAGTTTTTATAGTTGATAACAGAAAAATAATAATAGAGTATCAGATTAAAAAATAAAATGTATATAGATGAATATGAGCTACAGGTATGAACAAAATAGGTTGAAAAGTACACACATTGGCCAATTCTTTCAAGGAGGGTTTTTTTTTATAATGAAGGACCTATATTTTAAAATATACTTTTTTTTGAAATTTTATATCTGGCCACTGAAGATATACTGCACATAAAATAATATTAAATTTATTTTCAGTTAATTTCCTCTAGGCAATCACTTGTTTATATTTGATTCCTGTAATGCCAACGGTCCCATATGATCAATTTTACGATTAAATATTTTGGTATTAATTTGGTTTTCAAATATTTGAAATTTAAATAATATTGACAAAGAAATTATTATATTTTGGGCCGTTATCATTTATTCTTATCGTTCTTTACCTTATCATTTTTGGACGACTGCCCCTATACCTATTTATTTTATCATGATCATATCAATATCACTGTTACTGGTATATTTTTAATCAGTATTAATTCTGTGAGTATACCAAAGTCTAGAATACGGTCTTAGAGTATATACCCAATTGCCTGCACTACACTAATTGCTCAGGAATTGGATTATAATTATTGTCTGTTTAAGACTGTATTGTAGTGTGTATTCGAATAAATCATATTAATATTATATTATACCTATTTATAATAAATTATAATAATGGTGAAATTTTTTGAAAATAAAAGTTTATTTTCATTCAAATGGGATCAGGTTGTTCATGGATTTTGGCATCGTTATCCAAACCCGGAAAGGTAACATTTTAATTTATTATATACAATTATATTATTATAGTACTTACTAAAAATCAATCTACCTTTTATGTTTCTAGCAAACATGTTTTGTCTGAAGATATATTGCATAGAGAAGTGATAGAAAACAAATTGCATTCTATTAGATTATTCACAAAAACTAACAAGTTGCCTAAATGGGGAGAACGTTTTATACACACCAATGATGTGAAAATTGTTGAAGAATCAATTCTTGACCCATCTAAAAAGACATTAGTTACATATACAAGAAATGTTGGATATACAAGTGTTATGGTAGGAATTTTATTTTCATTACTTTTGATAAAATATCTATACCAATAAATAATGTGGTATTGTATTTTAATAAATTATGTATGTATTAATTTACTGACCATTTTAATTTTTACCTTTTTAGGGGGTGACTGAGAAAGTCATTTACAAGGTGAATGAAGAAAACCCTAATACTACTATTGCAGAAAGATCTGTATGGATCGAATCAAATGTATATGGTATGTCTAAAGCTATTCAAGCATTTGGGTTGCAACGATTCAAAGTTAACAGTGCTAAAGCAGTAAAGGGATTTAATTATGTACTCAATAATATGTATGGTACTAATACAACCAGTTCATCTGGTGTATTATTACATCAGAAAGAAAAATTAAAAGATGCTCTTAAACAATCAAACTATAAATCTGAGATTTTATATGTTCAGTAAGTACAAATATTTATAAATTATTTTAGATTATACCTACCAGTTCCCCTAAAAATATCCATGGTAAAATTAACTGCTTCAAAATATCCCTGTTAGGAATATCTCATATATATTATATATATATATATATATGTAAGAAATTTTAAATAGTATATTTTGAAATGCAAATAAAGAAAGTCTGTTGAGCTTTCTATAAAAAAAATTCCATGAAAAATTCGAAAAATGGTTAATACAAGTAGTTATCAAGCATGCAAATTTGATTATACCTTCTAGATTAGTTATTTAAAAAGAATAGAGTCAAATTTTTCTTTATAGACGTATAATTTTTTATGAATAATTTTGAATTTTTATTTTTTCAAAATATTCTGTTTAGAATGCATTTACTGTAATATATTTTGAACGGGAATTTGCATACATATGGGATATTTCGAAAAGGTTATTTTTACCATGGGCTATTTTGAAGGTGCACCATAGGTACCACTCAATAGTATGTATGTATTTTATTATCCTTGTTATGTCTAACTATTTGTTATGCTATTGTTATCTATTATTTAGGTGTCTTTATTGTATTATACTAAATATTATTTAAATTTATCCAAGGTAGTTTTTCTAAAAAATTTAAAGTAATTATAATAAGTAATATAATACTAAGTAAGAAGTAAAAAGAAAGTAAGATAATTATAATTTATAATATCACTAATTTAAATAAAAATAATAATAATATTAATGGAATTTTATGTACAAAATTAAACTGTCATAGTTCAGTTCATTTTCACACAATAGATACCAATGGGTCAATCTGTTCAATACTGAGTCTAATGTACTTGTATTTTTATCTCTTGATGTCCGAGGGAATTTGTCTCCTTTACTTTTTTTATTGTTTGTAAATAGTGTCTGCTCTTCTCTTAGGTATAGTTGGCTCCTTTGTTTTGTAGAATATGAAAATATTTATCAAGGTCAACTCCATCAATTGCTTTTTACTTTATGACGATATTATTAGTTTTGTCACCTGAGTGAATACTGAATACACTTGGTTTTTCTTAATCATAATTTAATATCATCAAAAATACTTGAAATGGTGTTTTTTCTTGTTATATTTAATTTGTACTTTTTCATTCTAAATTGTATATCTGTAAATTTGTATATAAATATTATAATGGTACATAGTACAATAACAAAATGTACTTTATTTTTGGGTATCAGTCCATTGATTATTTAAATGAAGTAAAATAATAAATAGACCTATTAATATATTTTTGTTTTCATATTGTATTTATTACATTCTTAGACATTTTTATCTTATTTATTAAATAGTAATGTCAACTGAAACATATTAAATTATAAATTAAACTAGGTATATAAAATTAATCATTGATTCACTTTAGAATTTTAAATTTATAAATGTTATATCAGAAATTCTTGTAGTAGGTGCATGATTTTTCTTAACTGTTTTATAATTTGATATCCTTTAGTTATTAGTTGTATCTGTATAAATGTAAGTATTCAAACATTAATTATAACACATTTTAATATCTCTATTTTACTTGTAATTAATACTGTTTATACAAATGATGTTTTAGTTGAATTTATTTCTACCAGAGAAAAATAAGAAACATTTTTGCAACCAATGAAATAATGAAATCTAGTAAGTTTTTGTTATTGTTCAATTTACTCAAATTATTTGAGTTACTAAATAAAAATAAAAATAAAAATATTATTAATCGGAATAATTTATTTATAATTTTGTTTTATTGCTTTTAAATTTAATTATATTATAATGGCTCATAGTTTCATAAATCCATATTTTTGGTAATCATTATTATAACAAACAATTTCTAATATTGTTACAATATTCTTTATGTATGTTTTAATCAAATTAAGTACCAATCAATTAATTTAATTGACATAAATAATTGTACCCAAAATATTCTTTAAACATTCAACACTATAACTGTTTATATATATTTATTTTTAGTTCTTTTAAAATTAAATATTATACATTGTGACATGTTTTAATATTGTCCAAATTATTTTTTAGATTATATTAGAGAATATTTTTGATTTTTTAGTTTAGTTTTAATTTTCAGTCACTGTTGGTAATTTCCTGTGATAAATTGTTGTTTGTCGCTATTGACATGAAATATAACCATAGACATAATATTATAGATTGGTAGGAGGTAGGTATATTTTATAGCTATGTTTATAATATTTATATACCTATGGATATAATAGATACAATTATAGTGACACTGACTATTAGGTACACAATTGCAGTGACTAGGTTTTATTGTTTTAATAAGTAATATTTTTTAGATAAGAATATTTTGGAAACATTTCTTCAATTTTTTCTGCATGTAAACATTATATTTCAGATGTTTAAACAGAATAATAATCCGGACTATCTATAACCTCTTATAAATCAAAATATATTTCCTTTGTGTCATTAAAATTATTACCAAGAGTCGATTAAATATTGTCAGAGCTTTAGAGCTGTCAAATATTTTATTTATTTATTTATTTATACATTTATCATGGATTTTACAAAGATTCAATAAACCATTATTTATTAAATTTTGTTGTCTTCGACCAATTGTTTTGCCCGACTAACTGACTTTCTACACTCCCTTATTCAGTGTTCTGTGCAGCAAGATGCTTACAAATTAATTATAAGTACTTTTATCTTACTTGTTGGATTTTTTTGTATTTAACTATAATTTACAATAAAATAGTATATTGTAAATTACTTTGAGGTACTAAAAATCCATTAGATTATTTTTAAACTATTATGGCCCTATTTATCTTTATATCACACAATAAGTAAAAGATAGTTAATTATTTTACACACGTTATTTTTGTGTTTCTTGATTTTTATATTGTTATTTTCTTTTATTAATTATATTATAATTTATAATTCATAAGTGTATATTTAATAAAATGTCTTCTATATTAATATTGTTTACATAAATACATTATGTTTAATAAATTAAATTTAAAGCATTGATTATATGTTATCAAAATTAAATTTTTTAAATTAAACCTAACCTATTCCTCAATCTATTGGTTGACAAATCGTAGTTGTAACTACGAAAAATAAAACCAAAATCGTCATCCGGTGTCACAAATCCAAACCTATACAAAAAATGTCGCCAATTAATAATACGGCGTGAACTATCTATGTATTTATATAATCAATTTTAAAAGTATTTACATTATTACCTATAACTATAGGTGTATCTAGCTCTAAAATTCTGATGGATCAAGAGATGTAGGCTGATATAAAGTCTAATGTGAAAGAGAGCAAATTTGCCCTCTGAGGACAATTAAAATACTTCGTTTGTTATATCCCATATTTTCGTTTCTTCAAAATGAAATTATACCTACCAGAACGCGTTTTCATGATGAATGTTTTGTCTACATGTATTATTCTATATGTAGCACAAATATCATCAAGTAGCTTAAAAATCCATGGGGACTAAGCCAATGCCCCCTACATTTTCCTAAAAGCTATTTCAATTAAACATTTTGTCATTTTCATATTATGCACAGTGGATTTTGCTTAATGTTGCCACTAGTAAATAAGAGTAGCCACCTAATAAAATTTGTATGAAATACATAATTAATTAAAAAGCTGTCTTAGAAAAATAGAAACAGACGCAGCCACTGTTGTGGGTGGGATATTGGGAAAGTAGAATACAGAAGGGAATTTAATGTATCTGTAAGCAATGATAAATCATTGCTAACGAAAAAAACAATTCTGAGCAGAGTTCAGTTAATAGTGATACTTTGTCAACAATATATTATATGTCATATTATGGTAAAATAATTAAATAGGCATTATATATTTTCTTTAATAATATTTGTTTAATATTGTATCGATTTTCCTGTTTTTTCTATGTTTTCCCCGATTTTATCATGGTTTTTTACATTTGCTGGGGAAAAAAAAAAATTACCTCCTTAAAGTACTTTCCTAGTAAGATTTACTTTCAGAAAAAGTGCTACTATTGTAAATCAAAGCAAAATTGATCCAAAGTCTATATTTCGTATATTTTCCCGTTTTTTTTTTTTTGGTTTTTCACATTTGATAATAAAAACTCCTGAGAAAATCAAAAGATGACCTCCTTAAGTACCACTTTAAGAAGATTTCCTGTTTAGGATCTTTTCTAAAAGGGTCTATATTGTATACATCAGAGTAAGCTTCTGGTAGAAAAAGTGTTCACATACAAAAAAGAAATAAATAAACATCTTTGTAAAACCAAAACATTTTTCACTACACTCAGAATCTAAAATGGATTAGATATACCAGCTTATTTTAATTATTTAGAATAAAATATTACTGACTACATAAGTTATTAATTGGGAGCACTAATAATGAACTTGAAAGTGCTAAGCCACCCACAAAATACACCAATGAGTACAAACATTGTCAAATTGGTAGTTTGATATGATAGGTAGATTAATCTTCCAAAGATGTATAAATGTGACCATCATGGTGACATGGATGATCAATATATTGATCATCTCTGCTGTTACGGATGGCATCTTTTTCTGTAAGTATTTGTTAGATTATAACAGACTCCAATTTCCTGACTATTAAAAATGGAAGGGATATTTTTCAGCTAGTGGTTTCTGATGTAAAAATAAAACATACAAAATCCTACCTATTGTGATTTGTGAAGGTGTATTCATTAGCTATAACTGCAGTCCTCTACCTTTTTTGGACGTCCCGCATGGATGTCTTATGGGCGATTTTTTTTGTTAGGGCATAAATCAATAAGTGATATGGTAGTTAAAATAAGTATAGTTATGTACGTCTTATAATACCTACATATAAATGAAAATATGAAATGTACTATTATATATATTTTAGAAGTGCATTTCATGATTGTACAGGCGAATATTAACAATGCCGATTAAACAAAATAAGTCTAGAATACAACTTATAAATAGCATAGGATTGGAATGAGGTCAACTACTGTAGAACGTAACTGATTTGTGTTATTAAAGACAATAATATTGTTTGTGGATTATACAAGATGACTTATCATTGCATACTCAATATTTCAAAATTATTAATTTTTTTCAAAATAATTTAAAGAACAGGCACGTCTAAAATATTACATTTCCATTATTTTTGTGAAAGAAAGGACTACCTGCTTATGATTTTCAAATGACCACCTATATTAATAATTGCATAAATAGATGGAGAATTAGTTAAATGTTTGATTTCCGTTAAACCGTTGACGAGATATTCCACTTTTAAATTTGAATTGTGCTCCACAGCTACTCTTCCCCAAACTATACATAAAAGTGGAATATCTCAGCAACAAGTTGATGAAAATCAAAAACTGTCTACAACAAAATTTATTTAAATTAATAAGTACGTACTATATTTATTTAAATTAATAAGTACGTACTATATTTATTTACGCAATTTTTAATACAGGTTGTTATTTGAAAATCAAAAGTAAGTAGTTGTTTCACCTTTGAAAAATTACGGAAATATAACATTTTAGAGCTACTTGTTTCTTAAATTGTCAAAAATTCACGTGGATGACACAAGAACGACTTGACGTTTTAGCACTTCAAAAGCCCTATACATCCCGTGGTGAGGTCCGAGAACTAGGCTCGGGTGTCAAAGTGGTCTCGAACGGCAATTCGACAGATCCGACTTCTGGGGCCATCATCGTGTTACGTCCGGGGTTACATGTGAAGAGTTTCATAGCCACTCTGAAATTGTCTGCCTAAAATGTTACGTCAGTGGGCAAAAGGCCCGCTCCATTGGGGTGACCCGGTTAATATTACCTACTTGCACTTAAATAACTTATTAAACTAGCTTCCCATTCAGATGTCCGAGTGAGGGCTACACTGCAGAATATAGGCTCAAATGATAAGCTATATAAGATATGAACTTGGAATGTACGAACCATGCTCCAAGGAGGAAAATTAGAGAACATTGAAATGGAAAGGAAAAAAGGACGTCCTAGGATAATGGGGACGGGTGCAGCAACTGTTATAGGTAATTTAATGTAAACCTGTAAGGCTACCTTTGTAGTTGATAAGTTGTGATGGTAGAGGGGAAATTTAATGTATATCTTTACGCAAAGATTAATCATTGGTAATGAAAAACGATTCGAAGCGAGGTTTGAAAGACTAATATTTACGATTTTCGTCAAAATTTGATTTTGAAACTTAGGTGTTAAAAAAAATAAATACTACATTACACTTAATTTTATTTTTTGACCTCTAAATACGCCTTATAATGAACAGCCTCTCAAATTAGGTATCAATCAATCAATTAGTAATCAATATGAAAAACCTCATTTTCTGAGGCAATATAAATTACATCAATATAACAGTTTCTTATCACGGGGCGCTTCAGGATATTGTACTTGGTCCTTTTTATTTTATTATATATTAAATGGTCTGTTTGTCTGTTTAACTTAAACATTCCTGCCAAAATATTCTGCTTTGCTGATGACATGGTTGTACTTTATAGTAAAAAAAAACATTATTCAATTATATAAAGAAGCAAATAGAGTTTAGTTTTCTGTTTCATTAAGTTATGGTTTGACAATAATGGCCTTGAACCAAACATAAGTAAATCTAAATATACAATTTTTATTTTCAGCAAATAACTATATCTTATAAGTAATAATTTAACAATCTGCTATCATTCTGTTATATATATTTGATTTTGAAAAACTATTGAAACTAAATTTACTCCTTCTATCTTTCTACCTTCTACATTTCTTTTATTATGCCCCCATACTGACAGTGTTAGATTTAAGAAAAATCTAAAATGCTACAAAAATCTTTCTTTTTTTTTTAAATTGAAGTAAAACCATATTACATTATATATATATATTGTTATATCTACTTCTGGAGCTTGTGTTGCAAGTAGAGAATTATATACTACAAATTATAGATTTAATTATAAATAGTTACATAGTTAATATCTTTATCTTATAACATTAGGTTAAGTTACTATTTTCAGTTTGTATTAGGTATATTTATTGTTAATTTTATTTCCAGGAACACATCATCTCCAATACAAACTATTGCTTAAAGGAGATGTTAAATCTTTAACAATTATAATATATGTCATATTTCATCTTATAACTATTTTGAGTGTTAAAAAATAAACAATAAATAATAGTAAATGGTGGTATACTGTAGTCAGATATTACTGATCACTTTTTCAACTTGCGTTTCTATACCGGTAAACATTGTTTTGACAACAAAAACTAAATATGTCTCTTTATGGATCATGATAAATTAAAAAATTTACTCTGAAAATAATGGATAAAGTGTACAAAATTAAAGACGCAAATGAATCCTACACCGAGTTTTAAAAAAATAATCTCTAATTCTATTAGTAAATCAATTTCTAAAAAATTAACCTCTAAATATATGCGACCAAAAGATTGCATGTCATTTGGTTTTTTATGCTCCATACGCCATAAACAATATCTATCTTTAAAATGTAAAAAAAAAAAAACCGCTATAGTATAAAACTAGTCCAATACTACAAAAAATATTAAAATACTTAGATACACTCGTATTTTAAGAGCTGCTAAAAAGAAGTTTTATAAAAGAAGTGTTAAATTCAAAAACAATGATAATATCATAACAATAATTTATAATGGCCAGCATTATTATACTAACGAGGATTTATAAGGGATATCTAACATAATAATATCTTCAACAAAACTTTTTAAATGTAGAAAAGATATTATTTGAATTTTTAGTTTTTATATTATTATCTAATATATTTACCTCTGTACATTTCAAAAATATTACTAATCGATAATGATTATTAGGTACCTAATACCTATTTAATGTTTTACAAATCGTAAATGTATAGACTAGTAAAGCCTAATACTGAGTAGTTATACATATCATCTTCTCAATTACCAGTAGTTTTCCCTACTTTAAATCTAAATAAATGGCGACATATTTAAAACGACAATACAATGGATTATAAATAACGTTTTATACAATTTTGTCAAAACAAACAATTTCTTGGCAACACTCATTACAGTGTACTACGCGACACAGAAAAAAACATGTTCAAAAACATATTAGTTTTGAAATGCTTTAATTTTTAAGATTTTTATCAATATTTGAACTCAACACTTTTTAAAAAAACTACTACATAACACTTAATTTTCTTTTTTACCACACAGTACAATTTATGAAAAACCCCATGTAATAACTTTCAAACATTTCTGCTCGATCAAAACAATTTCATTTACATAAAGCCAAATGCAAACTTAAAAATTCAAAAATGTTAAATACCTACAATAAGCTAATATAAGTATTGTGTGAAAATTTCAAATCACTACGGTTATTTTTATTCACATATTACAATAAGAAAACGAAAATAAATAATAAAACTATTTTCGTAAATTTTCACATTTTCTTTTAATTATTAAAAAAAATAATCTATACTACACCAACTAGATCAATTTTTCTTTTAGAAAAGATGCTATACTTAAAATCAAAGCAAGAATTTCGGTAGAAAAGTTGTTTGCAGACACTAAAAAAAACACATCATAATAAAACCAAAAATACCTTATTTGCTCCTCTCGGAATCTAAAATAGTGTGAACTATCTACTTATTATCGATACAAATACTATATGAAAGGTACTTACACGATTTTTAGGTAGTCGGGCTATTTTTGAGGAAGTTATGAAGTTGGGTCTTGTAGGACCCATTGGTACCCAATTAATATTAAATTACGCATATAATTATAAGATTAATAGATTAATAGATATTTATTAAAAACAATCTTAATAAAATATTTTACTGTTTCAATTTAAGTTTTAATTATAGTATTTGATTTAAAAAAAAAAAAAATTACAAATTCTATTATAACTGTACCTACTGTATAACCTTACTGTATTATAATTTTATTATTATGTAATATATTATGATTTATAATAATTGATAAAACAATTTTTTTTTTGTGTACCACAAAACACAAATGCACGTTATATTTTCCACAATAAACGCGTGTTTTTGCACCATAACCATCTTTTTTACATTGCAGTTTGCTGTCATTAAACATTGGGAAATGTACAAAACATATTTGTATAATATTACGATTTTTTTTTCTGTGGACAACTTTTCTACCAGCAACTTTGCTCCGATTTATAATGATAGCAATATTTTTAAAAGAAAATCTAACTGGGGAGGTACTTAAAGAGAAATCATTTTTCGATTTTCCCAGAAAATGCGAAAAACCGGGAAAAACGTAGGAAAGCAGGGGAAAATAGTACAACATTAAACAAATATGATTAAAGAAATTATATATAGATACATATTATACATATATATTATTGACAAAATATCATTATCAACTTAACTCCGCTCAAAATCATTTTTTGGTTAGCAACAATAAACCGTTGCTTACAGGTTAGGTATACCTACAACCTATAACAGTGGCTGCACCCGTCTCCTTTACCCTTCGATACGTCGTCGGACGTCTTTTTAATATTTACTTTTATACCGAATGTGAAATTTATTTTAATTTGTAATAAATTATATTTTGTATTAACTTTTTAAAAATAAAATAAAATTGAATAAAATAAATAAAATTTTATTTTTGTCTAAGTATAATTTATAATGAACCTTCAGTTACATTTTCAAACATTTCTATAAGGTCAAACAATGAAATACAATAAATCCACCATAATTATATTAAACCCACAACGGCATCAAAACGCGATAACAATAAAACTTTTTTTTTTATAGCGATAAATTGTATATAAATATTGTAAATTAATATTTGGTTTTTACGAAGCATCAACTTAGGTATTTCTTCATCGGCTATTCTCGTAGTATGTTCACAGTTTTTAAAATTAAATATTGGAAAATTATATCCCAAAATGGACAATAATTTTAATGGTAAGTTTTATTTTTCCTTTTTTACAATTTTCACTTGTAAATAGTAAATACTACTATACATAATCACTACTATAAACGGCTATTTGTTTAGAACTTCAATATACATTGTCTGAGAAGAGATCAAAAATTATCATTCGACAATATATAGATATTATTTTACAATTCTTAGCTTTTCAATGACATAATTTTTGGCCGCATCAAGCTGTGTTTGTAACGGGTTTTTTAATAAAATATTGTATGTTTCTGGTTGCGTAGTTATAATATTTTAATGTCTTCAATATTTAATGTATATGTATCATAAAATCAAAGTATTTTTGTGAAGGAAAATTGTTTTTAGGGTTTCATAATAAATGCACACAGGGGTAGTTCAGGAGTCATAACCCTGCCCCTTCCTCCGAAATTTCTTCCTTCATACAAATTATTTTACTGAGTTTTACGATTATATTCTTATATTCTTATCAGAATATTAGATTCTTATGGCTTATATTTTATTTTTATAATCCTCACTCTGAAAAAAATCCTGTGTACACTACTGCCTATTTTTTCCAATTTTAAATATGTATTCCCAAATTTGGTCGTTTAAAATTTATTATTGTTACATTTCAATTGGTTATACATGTAACATGTGCTTGTATTATTGGATTCTTACATTTCTAGTCTAAGAAATATTAAGTCAAAATTCCTGGACGATGATACCAGAGAGTTATTACTATGAAGTGCAGTAGACAATAATAGTGACAGTTATGGTGACCATGGTAACGGTTAAAATAATAATAATATAATAACTATGTAAATATAATAATTGAAAATAAAAATCCTTTTCAAATAATCTCATAATATTGTCTATATTTAACAACGTTATAATTTCATATAATTTCATATTTCGAAAAATACTTCGGAAAATTTTTGGACCAAAAAAGAATGAAGGAGGTGAATTTGAAATTAGGACAAATGAGGAGTTAAGAGAATTATTTGGAGAAGCCGATATTATAGGAATTATGAAGAGTAGCAGAATAAGATGGGCTGGTTATGTTTGAAGATCTGAAGGAGTACTGGGGAGCATAACAAAATGGAAACAAAACACAAAACGGCCTCGAGGAAGACCCAGACAACGGTGGGCTGATAGAGTCAAGGATGACCTCAGGATGATTGGTGTGGAAAATGCGGAGGAAATGTCAAGAGACAGGGAAAAGTGAAAGGATGTTTTTATTGCGGCAATGGACCTTAATGGTCTTTAAGACGCCTTAGAAGAAGATAATTTCATACATTTAATCAAAACAATAATAGTAATAAATAAAATTTATGCTATTCAGGGATAATGCAGCATTCTAATGGTGAATGAATTTTTGAAATCAGTCCAGTAGTTTTTGAGTTTATTCGTTACAAAAATACACATCTTTCCTTTTTATAATGTTAATATCTATATATATCTATATATACATAATATAATGATTTTATTTTTATTTTTCATAAATCTCGTTTAGGTTCATTGAAATTTGTCATTTATATGTACTAAATCCATAAGAAAATACCAACATTATCGTTCAATAATACAATATATTTTTTAATAGTCCGACGTATTATTAACTTCGTATTGTTTGTGTTAATATTTTTTCTTAGAATATTCTGTCGTATGTATTTCAATTTTTATTTTTAAATAGCGAACAAAATAAAAACTAAAAGAAAATAGGTACTTACATTTACTTTCTTGCTATTTTTTATGGCATGAAATAACTCGTATGATAAGGATTCTTAGGTCATATTATAGCCATTAGATTTTCAACATTTTTCTGGGACAGGTTCTGAAAAATAATTTGTATTTAAAAGGTATTTTAATAGATCTATTAACATAGGTGCCTCTCTTTTGGACATTTTATTGAAATTATATCAGTGTCTGAGGAACTGGAACCCTCCCCCTCCCCCCCTCCCGTAAATCCGCCACTGATTATAGCGCATAATAAAGTTATTTTTAGTGCTATAACATCCGAGCCTTGCTCACACACATGCGCGCCCGAAAGGTGAACAAGACGCGATATCTGCCCCCCCCCTAGTCTTTAAAATTTCAAATTTTAATAAATAATTAACATGATTTTATTTTAAGTACTTTTTGATGTTTGTTTTTATTATACCCCTCCCTGATGAACTTGCTACGGGCGCCCATGTACACACATTAAAAGTACCACATTATTGTCGTTAAAACCTTGATGGCACACGACGTAAAAACACGTCGATTAAATTACTATAAAAAACATAGCTAATTAACATGTTATTATGCAGAAAAAACAAACAAATAAACCGCATTGACTTTTGACGATATTATCAAATGACAAATATACATATTACATTAAGTACGCCGGTTCATTGTTTTTGCATACCTAGTGTTTTTGGACCAATGGCGCGACGAACTCACTGCCGTCGCCGCTGCCGCGCCGCATCGTCCGATCAGCAGCGCACTTATGTTTATGTTGTGTGGAACAGCTGTTTACCAACAACAACAAAGACTCGTGCGACAGCGAAAACGATCGTCGTATTACTATTATTATTATTATTAGGAATTGCGTTAGGTGAACAGTTTGTGGATGTTACGGCTATGCAACTGCGTATAACACAAGCGCCGTACCGATTTACGAACATTCTTCGTCTTTAGTCATTTTTCTATGGTCTTCGCTTACTGGTTAACCTATCGTCTGTGTTTTGTGACTTGTAAGTAATTTTAACACAAAAATATAGATAATACGTACGTGCGTTTCGTATCGTTTTTGCACACCACTTTCGCAGGACGTTTGGTCGTTGTCCCATGATACGAATGTTACTGTCGGCAACGACGACGACGACGACGACGACGACCGCGTCGCTGTTCACTTCGCCGTTGTATTCGAAGACCGTGCTATTATTGAGCAGCAGCAGCCAAAGAACGGAGACGATCACGGAGGACCCTGTCTCGTGATGGACTCTCAGTGTGATGTCGAACGACGGACCGAGTGCCCGATAGCGGAGGAACGGCCGGACGAAGATGACCGGGTTCGGTGTTCGTCCAACGACGACTTGCATATGTGCGAGCGGATCATCGTCGTCTTTATACAGCTCAAGAATTACTTGGGCGCGTACTGGCTAGCCCCTTGGTTTTTCGTTTATATTTACCCCAGCATACTAGCATACGAGTAAGTACAAGTGTACTCCTAAAGGTGACTCCATTTCATTAATTTGAGTAAAGTACAACTGTTGGTTGATGGAATTAGATTCTAGTTCCTCGTATTATGTGTATCCAAATATTGACAGTTTACTATTATTATAGATTATAATCTCTTTTACTTCTACATCTTTACTTTTTACATTTATAAAATAACATTGGTTATACCCGTATCAATTGTACCCATTGACTATTATAATATATGAAATCAGTTACGTATTGACTATAACACCATTCCTGATATCTTGTATTTCTTATATATTTATATAATTTCATAAGTCTAAACTTAAACAATCAATGCAAATTTATTACTTGCTCATTTTTTTGTATGTGTAGGATAAATAAAGTGTTATTACTTATTTGGATCAAATCCAAATTTTATACATAATCCAAGAAAAATATCCCTACGTTCTATTATTACAGTCAATTAATTAAATTTCAGTGGATCGACTTTTAAAATGAGTGTTTTTTTTTGCGTCATCTAAAAAATGCACAATAATAATAATTACCCATTAAAACTCTTAAGTATCTATACAAAAAATAATTATTATTTACTAAACTACGCTATCTAATTATTTTCCAATTTTTACTAAAATGTATACTATAATGTTTTTGTTTTTAACTATTTAGTTTTATAATAAACAATTAAGAAAAATTATATTAATTAATTTGAACTGTTCATAAAATATGTAATATTAGGTTGTTTTTTTACATTAGTTTAACAATAATAAAAAAAAAAGAAATACGTAATATACGTATTCCTATTTTTGTTCCAATATTTTTAATAGTTAAAAATTTTGTTTTGTTTTTATGATTTGGTTGATAACTAATAAGTTTACATTTTGATTAAGGGGTTAATTTTTTTACAATATCTAAATAAAAATTAAAACTACAATTAAGACTTAAAATATTTAAAACTCTCTATATAAATATTTAAATGTTTTGAATAAATACCTACTTAGGTACAATTTGGTGATAACAAAACAAAAAACAAAATACATCATTAATGTTTGACCTAGACTATTCTATGGGCGTTTCCCAAAGAAAAGAAATAGCTATTCGAGGTAGATTGGCAAGTGGGGTTAAACTGAATAATTGTCCCAAGGCCAAAGGCCAAATATTGGCACTAATATTATTATTACCTACCTACCTAAAAAGAAAAAACACTAAACAATAAATTGAACTCTAAAACAATAACTATTTAGCTATGCCATATATTTTTTTATAATACAAACAAGGACAATTTTTTACATTTTACAATCATATTTGAATAGTTTAACCTATAAAAATATTCCTTAACTATTGTATATATCTATCAAGTTGTTATAATTATTTGAGATTTAAAAAATAGTAATTTCTATTAGTTAATGTTCTTTTTTATATAATATATATATATATATATATTTTTTTTTTTGTAGTTTTTAACGATTCTCTGTATCAAATAATGGTTTATAATAAATACAACGTATATAATATTTTGTCTTTAATGTATAATTAATCTTCGTAAACAAATTAAATGATCAGTTGTACATTTTTTTTCCTTCTTTAAAATTTGCTCTTTTTAATTGTACAATAATTTTATAAATTATTAACATGGGCAGATTTTTTTTGTAACCAAGAACATTCATTATCTCAAAAAAAAAAAAAGAATAAAAACAGCACTTGAAAGAAAGAGAGTGTGGTAGAACTTTAAACATTTGAGATGAAGTCGAAAAAGAAGAACTTATTTCAAAAAATATTCCTTTTTTTTTTTCGTTAACAAAATTTAGATTGAAATACTTATTAGGTATTCAAAATGATACAATATATTAAATTTTCATTAATGCAACATGCTAAAAATCATTGATTTTCTGGATATCTAGAACAAATTTTAGGAAACTAAGAATAAATGAATAATACTTTACATTTTTTTCTCCTAATTAAAGTAGCTCAACCTTAATCATTATATTTCAAGATAAAAAATTTTGTTAACTTTTTATGTCTTACTTAAATAAAATTCACTATAAAAGAAAAACCAATATGTATTTTAAATGGACATTTAACTTCATTATAGGAGGATAAAATAATTACCCTAGGAAGCTGCAATAGGGCTAAATATTTATATATATATTTTTTTAAATTGGTAGGAGTTGTCAAAAAAAAAATTACACCATCACTCAAATAAAAACCACCCTACTATAATATATATATATATAATCCAGAATTAATAATAATACAATATACATTTTACGTTTTTTTTGAATACATAATACAACATGAAATTTGCTAAATTTAAATGTAAGATCATAAGTGGTAGGTATTTTTCATTAAATCTGAATTTGTTGTTGAATTATTATAAGGCAAAAATCTCAAAAATAATTCTGTTTTTTAAAAATTATTAACTAAAATACAGATTTACAATAAACTATTAATGTACATTCTTTATAATGTATTTTACTATTTTGATTATGTATTTGATTTATTTTGTATAATATTATATTTTCAATTTGTATCTGATAAATAAGTTTTTTTTTAGATCTTATGGTTTTGTTGGGTCTTTTTTTTATTGCAATATTATTCAGATATTATTTTTTATTGTATTTGAATTTTGGGATGAAAGTTTTAATTGGACACCATTACATGATACGTAAGTTATAACATTAATTTTAATATTATATTAATGTACTCATATTTTGTTTATGATGTGTTTATAGTGTAAAAACATATTCCTTGTACATTTTTGGTTCTCAGCGATTAACAAAGAGTGTTGATGAATTGGTAATTGTTTATTATGTAATTTTCATTCGTAATTAATTACTAAACTTATTTTGTTTAGATTTTGTTTTGGGTTTGGGTTTTTTCTTGGGCTGCAGTCCCTGTTACATGTTTTATAAATGGACATTTCATTGAAATACCCACTGAACGCTTTGAACGATTAAATACATATGTAACTATAATGACTACTTCATTTATAACATGTAAGCGAATTTTATTACAATTGTGTATTTAATTAATATGTTGATCATTTTATTAAATATTTGTACAGCTTATATAATAATTTTACTTTGGATTGACATGTATTTATTGGAAGTAAAGTCTAATATTAATGTGGAAAATCAAAATGCAAATAAAAACATTTCATTATCTAATCCAGAATTTATAGATGATTCATTTGAACCTGGTAATATAATTAACTATTATTTAAATTATTATTTAAATTGAAACTGAAATATTTATTTTAAAGATGATCTACCTGATTTGGAAACAGTTTATGATGAGATTTCTATTACCAATGAGTTCAAAATTGATAATTTATTACCTGAGTTTTCTGAAGCAATAAATGAAAGTAGGTTAAGTTAATAATAAAACAAAGAAAATTTAACAAAATGTAAGTTTTATTTTATTTATATTTATATTCTATTTATAGACACTATTGCAAGTGAAGAATCTTATAACAATTTGAAAATTGAAAATGATGAAGAATCTAAAGAACAAGATATAGATGTCATTTCTTTATCATCTAGCACAATAAGTGACTTTGATGTTATAACTGAAGATGAAATAAATTTGCTTAAGTAGTGTTATGATTTTTTTTTTTAACATTCATAACATGAAAATTAAAAATATTTTTTGATGAGCAAATAAAAAAAAAAAATTAATTTACACATATATGTATATTTATTTATACATATATTGGTAATTATATTATAGATGAAAATAATTTCTCTTTAGTTTTAATCTATTTCACTTGACGCTTATGACATACATTGATATAAGTTCCTATTTTTTATGTTTAATAAAAACATAAATGAAGAACTTTTTTCCTTTATATTGGCCTTGTTTGTATAAACATCTAGCTCAAATATTGTATTTCATGTTACTTTTAATTATTAGGATGACAAATTTTAGGTTATTATTAGTTTTCAATTTGCTCCTATAAGTAAACAATATATATAACATAAAACCAGTCATTATGTACAGTATTCTTATTTTTGGTTTTTAATGAATATTATGTTATTAGGTATTAAAAAAATTATATCAGTTTTTTTTTTTATCAAAAAATTGATTACTACCAATGTGAATTAAACCATTGATCTCAAATTTTTTTAAAAAAATTGAAAAAACAATAGTGCCATTTTATGATCAAACTTCTATTATTGGTGTATTATAGTATAATGAAAAGTGGTTTTTTAAATTCAAACATGAAACTAATTTCATATTTTTGATATTATTTGAAGTCATACCATAAGTACTTTATTACAATGCTAATTTCAAAAATAGTTCATTTTTGTATTATTATATTAAGGAATTAGGAATGTTTATTTATGACTATTATATATTCATTATATTTTTCAAATAAAAATTTTCTTTTTTTAATCCTAAACCTATTTATAGTTCAAAGAATCTATCTTATAACACATAAATGTATGTAATGTTGGATTAAATATTTTTATTTTTATTAAAAACAAAATTATTATATGTTAGAACATAGTTTCATTTTGTTGAATATTTTACTTATAATTTAAAGTTATTGCCTTTCCATATATTATATTTGTTATATAAATATTAAAGTATTTATTTTTAATTATAAATCGTATATATATATATATATATATATATTTACTGTTGAAATAATGTTTTGTAACAGAATATGAAAAGTAACAGTAAATAACAATATTATATGTTGCACAAGTTACACTGTGAATATAAATTATACATCATGTGAAATATATTTCACTATTCTAACATTCTATTACTGTTAAAGTTAATTTTATGGTTATTTTAAAAATATAAACTTCTTAATTTGTTTCAGAATAATATAATATAATTGTGAGATATATGAAGTATGAATACTAGGTTAACTTAATAGTTCTAATAAATTTTTGTTTTTTACAAATATTTGTTTGAGCTTTTACCATTTTATCTTATATATTCTTCGTAACATAATTCTCCGGATAAATTGAACAATTTTAAAAAGGAACATTAGAGATACAGAGACTAGTTGGTTATCACTAATATCGCTAGGGCTGTTTTTGACAGAGGATTTTAAGGACACTTGCCCTGGGTAGCAGATGTTTGGGGGGCATCCGGATGCCGGAATACTATTTGAAAAATTTAAAACTTTTTGACCTTTGGCTTAAGAAATTTATAGAAAATTATCAATTTCAAAAAATAAATATTGATTTGTATTCATATTATGGTTTTTAGCTGCAAATTAATACGTCAAGATTTCACTAGACTATATAATGACAATGGGACATCCAACGAACATAAAATATTTTTATAAAATATATTTTAGTACATAGGTATAAACGTTTAATTTATTTTCAAACAGTGCTGTGGTAGTACCCGCCGCCCAGAAAACCCAGGTTTGAAAAGGCATAACATGGATTTCTATCTATCATTGTACTATATTATAACAGTGCAGACTGTTGTGTTACTTTGGTTTTACGTCATTATCTTCAATATAATTTATAAACATTAAGAGGACTTGAAACGACGAATTTCTGTCTTTGTCTAAATACTTGAAATATAATTAGACTTTTTAATTGTTCTAATTTAAGCGTACCGATTGATCTAGTGAATTGATAAGAATTCTATATATATTGTAGACCCATTTCAGAAAGGAAATTTTCTTGAGGTGGTACTTTAAGGAGGTATTGATTCTTTCATCAAATGTGAAAAACTGAAAAAAAACGAGAAAATATAAGAAATATATTAGTAAAATATTATAATTTTTTTTCTGTGGACAACTTCTCTACCAGAAATTTTGCCCTGATTTATAATGATAGCATTTTTCTGAACGAAAATCTGATTGGGAAGGTACTTTAGGGAGGTTATTTTTCCCAATAAATATAATAAACCAGGAAATACGAAAAACTGTACAATATTAAACCAATATTATTTAATATTAAAGAAAATATATAATGCCTATTTAATTATTTACCATAATATGACATATATTGTTGACAGAGCATCACTATCAACTGAACTTCGCTCAGAATTGTTTTGAGTAAACAATGGTATTGTTGCCCATAGATAAAAATTAATTTCTTCTCTATATCCTACCTTCCCAATTTATCACCAACAATAGTGGCTGCACCATGCAAAGTATGTCCGCTTTTTTTTGTTTTAAAATCATTAATGTTATAATGTTAAGATTTGATTTTAAAATTGTAAAAAATAAAATGTTATGCGATTTATATACTTATTTTTACTTTTAAAATTATTTTAATATTGCTATATTAAAATGAATTTTGAAATTTATGATGCATGAACAACAGTATTTCAAACTTGAAATAAACACATTTTAGATAGATAGTTATTTGGGGCCTCTAAATATAGGGCTGTGACTCATTGCCCGTTATGTCACCCTATCGGTACACCACTGTTATTTATATAATATCCATATATTACAATATACATTATTAAAATATAATACTATTATAATAATATAATTGGAACTTTATATAATTTATACAATTTTTCTTTGCTAAATGTTGATTAATATTGAAATTCTTTCTAAAAAAGTGTTTTCTATAAATTTCTTATAGGTACTTTACTCTAAAATTAAACTAGTTTCACTTATTTATTTATTTCCGTACGAGTTGAAAGAATAATATGAACTAGTGAACAACGATAAACATAAAAATCTTAATCTAATATTACATATAGTAGGTATAGCATAATTATTATGTCATGGTATTGCCTATTTAGTAATTTCAGTATCTGGTGGTGTGCCACCATCGTCAAATATCCAAATACAGAATATTAATCCAATCCATGACTCCTTTGGTTGCGTTGAAAAGGTCATTTAGTTCACCTTTGTATCGTCTTTGGGGGCATTCTTAAAGGATATGGTACATGGTCTGTTCCTTTCCGTCGTCACATTTTTCGCTATCACAGAGTTTACATTTATACATTAGGCTATTGCATTTTCTTTTCTCTGTACGAAACCTGTTTAACTTTACATCATCACTCACAGTTTTTTAGGCAGGCCCATCCTTGGTTGAGGTGTTTGAATATTTTTGACCAAATTTCCATTTGTTGGTTTACTCTTATTTCACTCAAATTCCCATGGCTAGGTGTCTGTTCACTCTTTGTTTTTATTTCTTCCACTCTGTGTAGAAATGGCTTACAGGACTTCAGTCTTGATTTACACACCCCATCTTTATGCAGCGGTAAGTCTGGAATATTATTAAGCTTGTTATGCAGATTTAATGTTCCTTTTTGTCTTCTGATCTAGGGAGGCTCTATGTTAGATAGCACTAATAACCATGCAGTGTTCGTTGGTAGTAACGTTACTGTAATTCGAGACCCCATATATATTTATATAAATTTTTCTATATTTATTTATTTTATTTTCTAACGGACTTACTTTATTTTTATTTTTATAAACTTTAAGGTGTTGGTAGAAATATAAATTTGTAATTAAATATATATAAACTAATAAAATCAAATTTTTATTTTTATATTAGACACACAATTATTAAGATACTTTGATATAAACAATATTTTATTAACTAGTATTTGTGATAGCTATGTATAATTGGTATCATTTTGATTTTCGTCCATAACAACCCGTGTCCTAACTCCTAAAAAAACCACATGGCTACACGGATCGCAATTTGCGTACTATTAGAACAATATTATTATGATTCTGAGAGTGATATTTGGAATACATAATTTGACGGGCCTCTATACTATAGTGTTTTATTAGTTTTACTTAGTTTGCAAGTTTGCGTAAGCATTGTTTTTACATGTTCTCCGGTAGTTAGACTTGGACAGTAGTTGCGAATATGGCATCCTTTTAAGTGAATTTCTTATTTCAACCTGCTGCATACTTAAGTAGGTACAGTTTTTATTTTCAATTGCGTATAAGGATGTAAATGTAACGAGTTTAAAGTCATTAATAGCTTAGTGTGTTTTGACATAAACAAGATTAATATTAATTAAGAGCTAAAATTCACTATCGGTAAACATAAAAATTTAAAATTATAAATGAACAGTGTAAAACTGTTAAAAATTAAAAAACCGTCGTTTAAAGACGTTCTTTGATAAATATTACTATTTTTCCGTAGCAGAATTTTGGCAAGAAGCCGACTATATTGAGTGTATCTATTATATATAACTCAATGTTGTCTATTATTTCAGCATGTTAATCGTAATTTATATAATAGTGGTGATATGTACTTGTCGTCATCCTAGAGTTCCCAAGTTCGAATGAACCCGATTCCCGGTAGTTTTTTTTTACAAATTTTTCTAATATTTTAGATGTTTTAATATGTTGGTTTGATCGATTTTAGTAATCAAATTGGAAGAAAAAACCCTGAAAAAATTCCTAACTCAATTTTGAGTTACTTTAATATGTAAACAAATCCAAAATTATATCTAAGTAGGTAAAAAAATACTAATATTTTAATTTTTACAAAAATACGGTATTAGGGTATACTTTTTCTGCATAATTCAAAAACTAATGATTTCAGAAAAAAAAACGTCCGGTACCATAATTTTTTAAACATTGAAATACATAAATTTCCAAAAGAAATTCAATTTTCGAGAGGTTGCTATTTTTCTTCGATCTTTCCCAACAAATGGAAAAAAACGTAAGTTAGGGGAAAATAGGTACAATATTACACAAATATTATTAAAGAAAATATACAATGCGTTATGCTATTATTTTACCATAATAATAATTTCAGGTATATAATATATATGCTCTCTAGGTTAATGTTATTTAATTTAAAAAATTATATAATTTTGAATTACCGCATTTTAGCAGTGTGACCAACGTTGTTAAAAAAATCTTTGTTGACATCATTGAACAAAATGATAAGCGGTAGCGGTATAAACAAATCATGCGGATATGTTCCTTGACTGTTTTATGCGTGTGTTAATCTTATTTACAAATTGAAATCTAAGTCTACGCTTGAAACGTTATACTTATTTTAGTGATGATGTTTAAATAACAAAAATAATTGATACATTAAAAATAACTATACGAATCTATTCTGTGTAATTAACAAAAAATAAAATCATTTAATCATGGCTGATGCAGCTGCTCGGCAGCTTCAATATGAATACAAAGCGGTTTGTAAAAATAGGGTTTTAATATAGGTTAAACATAATTAAAGACTATTATTTAAATCAATGCTATTATTATTATTTTCAGAACTCAAATCTTGTGTTACAAGCTGATGTGCGTCTTATTGATCGACGAAACCGCGATGAAGCCACCGGTGAAGTATGCTCGTTAGTTGGAAAATTAGATGGAACCAAGATGGGTGATCGTTTTCAAAGAACTAAACCAGTAAAGGCAGAAGAAAGAAAAGCCAAGTTAGTTATAATTTTTATTAAATTGGTTGGATAATATTAAGGTATTTGTTTTTTTGTATTGATCAGGAGACAAAAGCGTGATGAAGCTCAATATGATTTTGCTCGTATGAAAGGCACTACACTGTTATCAGAGGGTGTTGATGATATGGTTGGTATAATGTATAGACCTAAAACTCAGGAAACCAGACAAACATATGAAGTATTATTAAGTTTCATACAAGAAGCACTCGGTGATCAGGTTTGAATGTGTTTTTTTTACTTTATATTAATTAATAAACGCACATAAAATTAATAAATTATAATATTTTAGCCAAGAGATATTCTTTGTGGTGCCGCTGATGAAGTTCTAGCTGTATTAAAAAATGATCGCCTTAAAGATAAAGAAAAAAAAGTAGATACTGAGAGTTTATTAGGATCATTGGCTGATGAACGTTTTGCACTTTTAGTAAATTTAGGTAAAAAAATAACTGATTTTGGTACTGATGAAAAGGGTGCAACTAATACAGGTAACAAATTTTTATATTATTTGTATGGAGATGTTATCAGTTTGTTAATATAACTTTTGTTTAGAGGATAATATTGACGAAACATACGGTATCAATGTTCAATTTGAAGAAAGTGAAGAGGAAGATGATGAAGATGTGTATGGAGAAATCCGCGAAGGTGATGACCAAGAAGATGAAGGGGAAGAATCAAAATTAGATGATACTATCCATGCAGAAAGTGTAAGATATTTTTCATAATTGTTTTATAATTGAATTAAAATGTTATAGAATTTTAAATGGTTTTTAGTTGGATAAACAAACTTCTGGTAAAAAACTTGTCGAACAAGCTAAAAAAGAAAAACAATTGCATGCATTAGATATTGATGCTTATTGGCTTCAACGGAGTTTATCTAAGTATTATAGTGATGCTATGGCATCACAAGCTAAAGCTGCAGAAGTGTTAGCTGTATTAAAAAATGCTGGTGATGATCGTGATTGTGAAAATCAACTAGTCCTCTTACTTGGTTATGATTGTTTTGATTTTATTAAAGTACTGAAAAAAAATCGACTTATGAGTAAGATAATTTTAATAACAGTTTCAAATTAATATTTCGTACTTAATATTTTATCAATTATTTTAGTTCTGTATTGTACATTATTGGCATCTTCACAAAGTGAATCAGAACGTGTAGCTTTGCGTAAAAAAATGGAATCTGATCCATTTTTAGCTAGAATTTTACGTCAAATGGATACTAAAGAAGTTGATGACATCAGAGAAAGTAGTGCAAGTGCTGCTAATAAGAAGAGACGAGCTGCAGATGATGATGATGATGATTTGAATTCTGGAGATCTCAAACAACAAGTTGCTGGTACAAGACAAGTTTTAGATTTGGAAGACTTGATATTTAATCAGGGATCTCATTTTATGTCTAATAAGAAATGTAATCTTCCTGATGGATCTTTTAGGAAACAACGGAAAGGTATTTAATGAATATATTATTTTATTAAATGATATTATATTTAACATACATGTTAAGGTTATGAAGAAGTGCATGTCCCTGCGTTAAAACCAAAACCATATAATCAAGACGAGTCATTAGTACCCATTGATAAGTTACCAAAGTATGTACAACCTGCATTTGAAGATTTTAAAACTCTTAACAGAATACAATCAAGGCTTCAAAAATGTACATTAGAATCTGATGAAAATTTGCTACTTTGTGCTCCTACAGTAATTATTTATTTATTGGACATATATTTTAAAAATAAAATTATAAATGTAAATTCAATTTAAATTCTTTGTAGGGTGCTGGTAAAACAAATGTTGCACTTTTATGTATGTTGAGAGAGATTGGAAAGCACATTAATAGTGATGGTACCATAAATGCTGATGAGTTTAAAATTATTTATATAGCTCCCATGAGATCATTAGTACAAGAAATGGTTGGAAGTTTTGGAAAGGTTAAAAACAAAAACAGTTTTACTCATTTTTTTAGTTATTATTTTTTAAAAATTAATTTTATAACATTTATTTCCAGAGACTAAGTAGCTATAATTTAACTGTATCAGAATTGACTGGTGATCATCAACTAACACGTGAACAGATACAAGCTACACAGATTATAGTGTGTACACCAGAAAAATGGGATATTATAACTAGGAAAGGTGGTGAAAAAACTTTTGTATCACTTGTTCGACTTATTATTATTGTAAGTTTTAATGTACATTATGTATGACTTAGTATTTTTTATTTCCTTATTATTTGTATTTTAGGATGAAATACATTTATTACATGATGAACGTGGGCCTGTCCTTGAAGCTTTAGTTGCTAGAACAATTCGAAATATAGAAACAATACAAGAAGAAGTTCGTTTAGTTGGACTTAGTGCTACATTGCCAAACTATCAGGATGTTGCTACACTTCTCAGGGTCAATCCTAAAAGTGTATGTGAATTTGAAAAACAAAAATATTCATACGGTTAGATATTTATTATTAATTTCAAATATTTACGATTTTAGGGTCTTTTTTATTTTGACAACTCGTTTAGACCAGTCCCACTAGAACAACAGTACATTGGTATTACTGAAAAAAAAGCTGTTAAACGTTTTCAAGTTATGAATGAAATTGTTTATGAGAAAATTATGGAACATGCAGGGCGCAACCAAATTTTAGTATTTGTTCATTCGAGAAAAGAAACAGGTAATTTTTGTTTATACATCTAGTATTTAATAAATGTTATTGATGTATTTATAATAACCCAGGTAAAACTGCAAGAGCTATAAGGGATATGTGCCTTGAAAAAGATACTCTAGGACATTTTTTGCGTGAAGGATCTGCATCTATGGAAGTTTTACGTACAGAAGCTGAACAAGTCAAAGTGAATATTTAAATGGCAGTGGTATATTATTTTTTTCTTTTTGGAACTAATTATTTATAATATATGCTCTAGAATCAAGAACTTAGAGATTTACTACCTTATGGGTTTGCTATCCATCATGCTGGTATGACTCGCGTTGATAGGACTTTAGTTGAAGATTTATTTGCTGATCGTCACATTCAAGTTTTAGTGTCTACAGCTACCCTAGCTTGGGGTGTAAATTTACCTGCACATACTGTAATTATTAAAGGTACTCAAGTTTATAGTCCAGAAAAAGGTCGTTGGGTAGAGCTTGGTGCATTAGATGTTTTACAGGTAAACTATTCTGATGATTCTCTAAGTTCACTAGTTTTATTTTTCATAAATTGTTCAGATGTTGGGTCGAGCTGGACGTCCTCAGTATGATACAAAAGGTGAAGGTATACTTATTACAAATCATAGTGAACTACAATATTATTTGTCTTTATTGAATCAACAGCTTCCAATTGAATCACAACTAGTTTCAAAACTTCCTGATATGTTAAATGCAGAAATTGTACTTGGTTAGTATTTTAAAGCTATTTAGAATTAAAATAAATATTTTCAGCTTACAATTATTGTTTTTATTAGGTACCATACAAAGTGTTAAAGAAGCTGTAACATGGTTGGGTTATACTTACTTGTATATTCGCATGTTACGTTCCCCTGCTTTGTACACAATTACTCAGGAAAAACTAGAAACAGATCCTTTATTAGAAATACACCGAGCTGATATTATTCATACTGCTGCTATTCAGCTAGAGAGAAGCAATCTCATTAAATATGATAGAAAGTCTGGTTATTTTCAGGTATCCAACTTTATTTATATTATTTTCCATACTAAATAATAATAGTTTACAGACCTATATATTGTATAAACAATTATTATTACAGGTAACTGAACTTGGGCGTATATCTAGTCATTACTATTGTACTCATGACACAATGGCTACATACAATCAGTTATTGAAACCAACTTTGAGCGAAATTGAATTATTTAGAGTATTTTCATTATCCGGAGAATTTCGTCATATAGGTGTAAGAGATGAGGAAAAATTGGAACTACAAAAATTAATGGAAAGAGTACCAATTCCTATTAAAGAAGGGATAGAAGAACCTAGTGCCAAGGTAAAAATGTTTAATTATAAACATTTATTTTAATTTGTTTGCGTTATTTATAATAATTTTCATATTAGATAAATATATTACTACAAGCATACATATCTCAGTTGAAACTTGAAGGATTTGCTTTAATGTCTGACATGGTATTTGTTACTCAATCTGCTGCTCGTTTGATGCGTGCTATTTTTGAAATCGTATTACATCGTGGTTGGGCACAGTTAGCTGATAAAGCCATTAGTCTTTGTAAAATGATTGACCGGCGTATGTGGCAAAGTATGTCCCCTTTAAGACAATTTAGAAAAATGCCTGAAGAGATAGTAAGAAAAATTGAAAAAAAGAATTTTCCTTGGGAAAGATTATATGATCTTGGGCCAAGTGAAATTGGTGAATTAATTCGTGTTCCTAAACTTGGAAAAACTATTCATAGATATGTTCATCAATTTCCAAAATTAGAATTGTCTACACACATACAGCCTGTCACTAGGTAATTATATATGATTTAATTTACGTTAAATAAATTATTTAAATTTTGTTATTTTGTTTTTAGATCTACACTAAGAGTTGAATTGACAATTACTCCAGACTTTCAGTGGGATGAAAAATTGCATGGAAATTCTGAAGCATTTTGGGTATTAGTTGAAGATGTAGATTCTGAAGTTATTCTTCATCATGAATTCTTTTTATTGAAAGCTAAATATGCTACTGATGAGCATATGCTTAAATTTTTTGTACCTGTATTTGAACCCTTACCTCCTCAATATTTTTTGAGGTAAAACAAATATTAACTTAGTAATTCTGTAAATATATTCTTAATTAAATTAATCATTGTACTATTTTTACTACAGAATTGTTTCTGATCGTTGGATTGGTTCAGAAACTCAATTGCCTGTTTCATTTAGACATTTACTATTGCCAGAAAAAAATATACCACCTACTGAACTTTTGGATTTACAGCCACTTCCTGTAAATGGTTTTTATTTTTAATATAAATAATAAGTATATTTTTTATTTCATTTTTTTGTTTTTAATTCTAGGTATCTGCTCTTCGTAATAAAGTATTTGAAACACTTTATGCAGAAAGATTTCATCAGTTTAATCCTATTCAAACTCAAGTATTTAATGCTGTGTATAATAGCGACGAAAATGTATTTATTGGTGCTCCAACTGGGTCAGGAAAAACAACTATTGCTGAGTTTGCACTTTATCGTCTTTTAAGTCAAAATCCAGATCATCGCTGTGTTTATTTAGTGGCTAAAGAATCTCAAGCCGAACTTATTTATTCAAGTTGGCATGTTATATTTGGTGTTGGCCTTGCCCGAAAAGTAGTACTATTGACTGGAGAAATTGGGACTGATTTAAAGGTTTATACATTTTTTTTTATTGTTTAAATTAGTTATTTTTAAAAATATTAAAAAAATTGTAAACTTTTGTTTTAGTTATTAGCTAAAGGACAAATAATAGTAACAACTGCAGAGAAGTGGGATGTATTATCACGAAGATGGAAACAAAGGAAAAATGTGCAAAATATTAATCTTTTTATTGTTGATGAACTTCAGGTAATATTCATTTATAAAATAAATAATTTAGTATTTCATTTAATTTTTATATATATATTTTAGTTAATTGGAGGTGAAGATGGACCAGTTTTGGAAATAGTTTGTTCTAGAATGCGGTACATTGCCTCACAAACTGAAAAACAAATGCGTGTAGTTGCTCTTTCAGCTCCATTAGCTGATGCCAAAGATTTGGCATTGTGGTTAGGTGCTCCAGCTACTACCACTTTTAATTTTCATCCCAGTGTTAGACCTGTTCCATTAGAACTTCACGTGCAAGTAATATATTTTGTTAAATTCAAACTATAAATATAGTAAAATTGTACTGGTATAGTTGATACTAATAGGATATTTACTTTTTAAAGACCAATTTAACAGTAAGTAAGAATATAAGACAAACCATGTGATGATGGTACATAAATAGTATAACTAACTGGGATTATAAGATGTGTCAAACTAGGTCCCGCTTTCGCTAAGGGGGCCTTAAGTAATACAATGTTTTTCTTTTAAAAGTACACTATTAAACTATTAATTTTACAAACAATTAATTATAAATTTTAATAATTCAAAATTATTATATTTTATTTTTATTATATTATGTTGTAGTCCATATGAGTATGAATCTTAAAGTGTGAATATTATGTTATTAACATAATGTTCATAAGTATGGTATCTGTCCTATAATATTGAAAATTCTAGCATATTTTATTAATAATAAAATGTGTATTTAATAAAACATACAACAATATTAAAAAAAAAAAAAAAATGTTTGACATAACTTCAGTAAGGGGAAACACTTCTCTCAGAATTCCCTATACAGTAGAATCTGCTTAATGAGACATATCGGTCGGTAACTATGCCAATTTGTCCCCATTAAGCTGTTTTCCTCATTATGCAGTGTCCCCTTTAAGTGGATTCTACTGTATATGACTGTATGGAAGAGTGGGGGTGTTGAAAATTTACTTCTAGTCCAAAATTTTGCAGCTATACCACTGGTGTACATCAAGTGTGTTATAAACTAGGATCAAAATTAAAATTACGCAGGGGTATATGTTTAAAGAAATAGAAGATTAAAATTGTATTTAAACTAATATGTTATATTTGCTGAAATTAATGTTAAAATGTTTAAAAAAAAAATGTACCAATATTGTCCATTTGTCAATTGTACCTTGTATATCAAATTTATGGTAAACAATTTGTAATAATATAATGAACACCCGCACAATTTGGAGCCCTTGTTTTATCAATTTTGTCAAATAGATAAAAATGTTACAAGTTTTTTTTTAAAATTTATTCTCAAATAGAGAACAATTAATATTTAGGTAAAAGTATTGTTTGTATCGAAATAATTATTAAAATTTGTGTAACTTTTTTTTAAATTGCGTTACTTTCAGAGTTGAGACTATATAGAGATCTTTGTTTTAGGGTTATAATGTCACTCATAATGCTACCAGATTAGTAGCAATGGGTAAACCAACATATAATGCTATATTAAAATATAGTTTAGAGAAACCAGTAATTATATTTGTACCTTCGAGGAAACAGGCTCGACTTACTGCTATTGATTTATTAACATACACTGCTGCTGATAATCAGCCTAATCGTTTTATACATGCTGAGGAAGATGATATCAAGCCGTTTTTGGAGAAAATTTCTGATAAGGTAATTTTATGAAAATGTCAAAAGTATTTAACTAATTTAAAATGTGTTAATATAATATTGGTTTACAGACATTGAAAGAAACTCTTCTACAAGGAGTAGCCTATTTACATGAAGGCGTTAGTGCTCAAGATCAGCGATGGGTTCAAAAATTATTTTTCACAGGAGCTATACAAGTAGTTGTTGTTACGAGAAGTCTTTGTTGGGCTTTGAGTATTACATCTCATTTAGTTATTATTATGGATACTCAGTTTTATGATGGAAAAACACATACGTTAGTATTATTTTTTGGAAACATGTATTATTTTAAATTTATAATTGGTTTTTACTTATTAGCTATGAAGATTATCCTATTACTGATGTTATTCAAATGGTAGGAAGGGCTAATAGACCATTAGATGACGATGATGCAAAATGTGTTTTAATGTGTCAATCATCTAAAAAAGATTTCTTTAAGAAATTCTTAAACGAACCATTACCAGTAGAAGTAATTTTGTATTTAATACATATCTATATTATATTTTGATAAATATACTTAATTTTAATATTTATTTTTAGAGTCATTTGGATCATCGGTTACATGATCACTTCAATGCTGAAATTGTAACCAAAACCATAGAAAATAAACAGGATGCAGTTGATTACATGACTTGGACATTCCTTTATAGGAGACTTACTCAAAACGCTAATTATTATAATTTACAGGGCGTTTCTCATAGGCATTTGTCAGATTATTTATCTGAACTTGTTGAGGCCACATTAAATGACTTAAACCAATCAAAGGTATATTATTATTATTTTTAGATTCTGAGATTAGTGGGATGAATTGGTTTTACTATGATACGTGTGTGATTTTTTTTCCTGTCTCTGAACAAGTTTCTTACTAGAAATCTTTTTCCGATTACTGATGAGGTTATTTTTTTGATTTTGCTTATAGTTTTCTAGACAATTAAGAAAAAATAATAAATGTAGAAAATTACGCTTAGAATTTTTTTGTCATTTTAAATTGTATATGTTTGTTTGAATTTAGTTAACAATTATCATAGAGACATGTAATCCTCACTAAATAATTATTAAGAATGCTTAGTTGGATGAGTGGATTGACAAGAGAAAAAAAGGAATGTGTTCATATTAGGTAGCTTATTTGTGGCTTTGAGGTAGACAAAATGATAGAAAATAGACTTTGATGATCACAAGTAGAGAAGAATCTGAAAGAGTAAGAATTTTAATGAAAATAAATGTAGAAGAGGTAGAGAAGAAAACTAAAATGGAGATGGTTGGATATGATTGAGAATGTTATGAGGATAGCCAATGTATGCGAGTGAGAGATCAGGTCAAGTGGAAATTAAGGACAAGGGTGGCTGACCCTAAATAGTTTGTAGAAAGTCAGAGAGAAGAAAAAGATTTATAATGATGTTATGAATTTGAGTATTATTTTTTAACAAGAGGAAAAGTTAGATATTGATAATTATTTAAAAAGTTTGTTTTATTGTCTCAAAAATACTGCTGCTGTATACGTTTATATAATTTGTACATAAGCCTATTAAGTGATCTATTTAATTATGTATACTTAGGTATTTTAAAAAGTATTCACTTATTTTGGAATATTTGTTCGGACAACTTATGAAACCAGTACCTCTATAAGGTTACAATACTGTTATTTTTTGTCATTTTTAATTTTGAGGATGAAATCATTATACATTTTTGATTTTAAAAAATCAATCTATATTAAATATGTTATAAATAGATGACGTTTAAGTTAAAATAAATGTTGGTGTTTAAATTTGTCTTTTTCTATCAACCCATTGACCGGATATTCTACTTTTAAGTTCAAGTAGGTGGAGCATCATTTGTGTTTCAGAGCAGCATGTAGAATTTGAATAGTGCTCCGTTACTTGTGCCCTACCAAAACTTATAAAAGTGGAATATGTTGTCAATGGGTTGACGGAAATAAACAAATTTAAATACAAAAATGTATTTAAACTAAAACTTTATCTATTTAATTTAATAATTTTAATAAAGGTTGCTTTTTGAAAATCAAAAATGGTTAGTGATTCCTAAAAATAAGAGTTAAAAAAAAAAATATATTTTAGAACCACTTGTTTTAGTCGTGTTTAAGATATCACAAAAAAAAATTCTGAAAAAAAAGTAATTACTTTTCAAATTATCGAGTGTAGACACTTAAATGGATCACTTGGTATATAAAGATGTAACTTTTAATGTTAAACTAACTAATTAAATTAAAAACACATTTTATATTTACTTAATTAAAATTAATTTTTTTAGTGTATTAGTATCGAAGATGAAATTGACTGTATTCCATTAAATTTGGGAATGATTGCTGCTTATTACTATATTAACTATACAACTATTGGTAATTAGAAAAAAAATATATATATAATATTTGTTATTATTAGTTCAGTATATTTAAATATATTTTTTAGAATTATTTTCTCTGTCGCTTAATAACAAAACAAAAATTCGAGGACTGTTAGAAATAATTAGCTCAGCTGCTGAGTACGAAAAAATTCCTGTAAGGCATCGTGAAGATACTCTGCTTAAAAGTCTTGCCCAGCGTCTACCAAACAAATTACAACCAGCTTCTGGTCAAACATCTATACGATATAATGATCCACATGTTAAAGTTAATTTGTTACTTCAAGCTCACTTATCACGTTTACAACTTGGTGCAGAGTTACAAGGAGACACTGAACTCATCTTGGCTAGAGTAATGAACGTGTATTATTATAATAATTATAATTATTTTTAATAATACTTTTATTATTGATTATTAGGCGATACGTTTAATCCAAGCTTGTGTAGATGTTTTAAGTTCTAATGGTTGGTTATCACCAGCTGTTGCTGCTATGGAATTGGCTCAAATGATTACTCAAGCAATGTGGGCTAAAGATTCATATCTAAAACAACTTCCTCACTTTACGTCAGATATTATTAAGAGATGTACAGATAAGGTAGTTTTTATTTTTTTATTTTGAAGTAGTGTAGATTATTAAATAGTAATTAACTTGGTATTAGGGTATTGAAACTGTTTTTGATATCATGGAACTGGAAGATGAAGATCGTATTAAGTTACTACAGCTTGCTGATAGTGAAATGGCTGATGTTGCAAGATTTTGTAATCGTTATCCTAATATTGAATTGAGTTATGAAGTGGCTAACAAAAATCGTATATCTGCTGGTTCTAGCGTAAATGTCACTGTAAATTTGGAAAGAGAAGATGAAGTAGTGGGCCCAGTTATTGCTCCCTTCTTCCCGCAGGTAGGCATTATGATTTAAACAAAAAAGAAAATTAATAATTTAAAAATGACTGCTGCAAATGTAAATATAACATATAACATTTTCATATTTTATTATATTTTAGAAACGTGAAGAAGGCTGGTGGTTGGTAATAGGGGATCCAAAAAATAATTCTTTACTGTCCATCAAAAGATTAACACTACAACAAAAAGCTAAAGTGAAATTAGATTTTGTAGCACCCAACCCAGGTGAATTATAAATATGTTATTTGTATTTTTTAAATAAGCTATAATTTAATTTACTTTTGTTTTAGGAAATTACTCGTATACATTATATTTTATGAGTGATGCTTACATGGGTTGTGATCAGGAATATAAAATGAACATTGATGTTGGTGATTATGATTCTGCTGAAAGTGAGTCAGATTAAACTTAATAAAACATAATTTTAATTAACTACTTTTATTATTCATGTATATGTCAATAAATATAAGAGAACATACTTTTAAAATTTGAATTATGTATCACTGAAAAAATCACTTGACAAGAATTTACTTGTTAATATAAATTTTTGTTTGTTGTTTATTTGTTGTACATTCAATTTTATATAATAGAAAAAATAAACAAATTACTAAAATAAAAAATAATTTATTGTTATTTTATCTTGTATTCTTCATCTCTGGTAAAATGATTATAACAATAGTAGTCCTGGTTACTCCTCTTTACTCAGCTTTTTCAATTACTCAGACAGCAGCTGCAATTGAATACAAACATGGATAATTATTATTTATTAGATCATTACCTCGGGATAGTATCCCAACTATATATATATCATATAAATGTAAGTATTCAGTCAAATCGTGAATAATTTCCTGTTATCTATTTTATGAGTTTCCAGAGAAGAGTGTAATTACATATGTAACAGCCGTTTTAAGGCCCTACCTCGAGGTAACCAACATAAGTTATATATTTGTTAAACATGGATGTCCACTGGTATGGATAATTTACCCTAGTAATTTTATAAATATATTAAATAGTTACCTATTATTAGGGCTTAGATTTGAAGACTGAAACTTTTTTTTATAATGATAGAAAAATAATTTTTTTATAAAAAATTTGTTTAATTTAATATCTATGAAGATGGATATTTTTTTGGTCTTTTTTACTTATAAATGCTTTTTTGCTTATTTTTTACCTTTCTTAATTACATTGCTTCTGTGCTTTTTTGTGTATAATTTTTGATTGATTTGATAGTTTTATATATGTATTAGTGGTGCAAATCGAAAGGAGCTTGTGAAGACGATATATTGTTGATAATATGTTTAAAAGTATTTTTAACAGATTTTATAATCTGTGATATTTCTCGATATCGCTAAATACATTATTGAGTATATCTACTTTAAATGATAATTGATAACTCTTCCCCACTCCTCCGATCTAAACTTTAAACAGTTATAACTCATAAATGGTAAATCTTATATTAGTGTTATGCTTATCAAAATTTCTAGAAAAATATACTCTATTCGAAGAAGTGTTTAAAAAGAAGGAGGGGGTTCCCATTGTAAGAACAAAAGTATATTTTTATTTTATGTATATGAAGTAAGGGTAAAAAATTAAAAATGGTTTTAAAATAAAGCTTAAGCGATTCTACAAAGATAAAAAAATAGAAATCAAATTTACTTAAAATCTTTTGAGATAATTACTGGTTCATGATAAAAAAATTATTCTGTATAAATTAATGTTCTTTTTCTTTATGCCTTTCGTAGCAAGTCATTATGACAAACCATATTTTTTCTTCCTGGAGGGGGGAGGGAGGGGCGTCGAGACCCGAGATTCGAAAATACGCTACTGTCTATATGCATCTATTCTTTTCTATATAACTTATCAGTAGGTAAGTATTATTTTCCTGTGGTTTATACTAATTTATGTTAATAATATTTATTTCAAAAAAATTAATTATTATATTACCTAAGTATTTCCGAGAATTTAATTTTAAGAAAAGGGCTTAAATGATGATGTTGATAAGAATAAAATCCACGTGAAAATGAAACTAATTTTGGTTTGTTAATGTTAAAATCTATTGTGAGCGTACTCGTGTATATTTTGGAAATACTCCGTTACTTCTTACAGCAACTTCTTATAAGTAGGTACTTACCTATAAAGTTAAACAAATATGAATTATAAATTAAGTGTACATTTCCGTAGTTTTGGAATTTATTTACAATATATGTATTTTTCTTACCATTGGCTATAAATCCGGTGAGTCTATTTCTGGTTCTGCAGGTCTGTGGCTAAATGGTTTAGCAATAGTTTTCTGAAAATTTTTAGCTCGATCCATATCTATTGCCGGCGTTTGGTCTACGTATAATTTCACCACCTAGATATACCATATAATATATAGATGTATAGATCATAAATAATTTAAATGTTTTGTGTATATACAACTACACTATTATAAGTGGTTTTCGCTCTGAAGGGAAAGTAAGTTCTAAAAATAATCTCAAAGTTTTATTTAAAAATATTTTTTGGTCCAAAAAATAAATATCTAATCATGTTCTATGTTTAATTTCATGATTATATTTATGATATTTAGTAAAAACTGCTTAATTGGGGAAATCGCATTGTTGGTAATTAGTCGATTGAAAAAAAAATGAAGAAATTATGCTTGAACAGTGGGAAAAATTGAACAACAGCAAAAGTGGACCTATAAACAGAAAAAAAAAGCGAGAAGGCAAAGATCCCGAAGTGGACAAAGCTATAGAACGAAGGGTTCTCTGCTGTTACTGAGTGGTATTCGAATTTCAGGTCCCATGTTACAGCAGAAGGTTAATTTTTTTGTTAAAAAATGTAGACGTATTCAATTGATTTTTTTTATAAAAATTATTCGATTAATCGGACAGTCGGATAATGTGGACAAATAGATTACCGCCTTAAGTGTCTACATTACAGCCGATTCTACTGCACGTAGAGGTAGAACCCGGGGTCCGTATGCACTTTAAAGTCGGATTTACGAAATGACTGGCTCATGATTTTACATAGGGTTTTGGGTATTTTTATAGCGAAAAGTTTAATTCTTTTCGGTTATTTATAAGTTTCTTTGGTGACATGGATGTATTGATTTCATCGTTGATTTTATAATAGTCAATTTAATAATATTACAAGATCAATGATTTCACTATGATAGGTTTTTTTCATTCTGTGAACAACTTTTCCACAAGGAATCTTGTTCCAGTCAAAAAATGACAATAACAGACATTTTATGTTACATTTTGGATCTAGTTAATGAATTAAGGTGGGTATTATGTTATTATCGAAAAATTGTTCATAACAATTGTGAAAATCTTGGAAGAACGTGTAGAAGAACTGACAAATTTATGACAATACAAGTTTTACAATTTTTTATTTGGTTTTTCTACTAGAAATCTTGCACCAAAATTCAATTGTAGTATCTTTTCTGAATGAAAATATTGTCCAGTTAGGGTATAAGAAAGTTGTTTAATGATTTTTGTTTTTTTTTTTATAATTGGAAAAAAAAGTTTACGGCATTACCAGTTTAATTAGTTCTGATTTTGTTGTAATTCAATTAAAAACAGCCGTAGAAGCCTGCAATTTTACAGAATACTTATATTAGTCTCTCCAAGAGATAGTAAAATGTTTAAATGTTCGATTTTTGACCTATTTTTATATAGGCATTTGACATTTTCGAGTTAGACCGAATGCTTGATATATATTAATTATTAATACGAGGTTTATTATAAATTTAACTTTAGTGGTGGAAAAAAAAATATGAACGTAATATAATAGTTTACTCTTTATAATTGTGTTTTAAGATCAAATTTTAACGAAAATCGTAAGAACTACGACATTTAAACTCATGTTTATAAACGAAATTTGCTCAGAATCGTCTTTTGTTATTAATGGTTTATCATAGCGTACAAATACAAATTAAATGACTTCATACATCCTACTTTTCTATTAAATTATTACCTACAATAGTGGCACACCAATCCCCAATAAAATCTTTTTTTTACATGTTTGTTCAATAAGTACTGTGCACGGGAAAACCGAGAACTAGATAATTGTATAATAGTAAGTATTATTATAATCATTACATTGTAACTAAACTTTTTTATAATCGGACGTTGTACGGTTCGTAATGACTGCGTATACGTTTTTTACGTTTCTGTGAAACCATTCGAAAAACCCTTCGATTGAGGCGATATTATTATCTAGCGATATTATTGTACAAAACGGCGGCGGTACCACATAGTATAGACGGTGTACTTTGTTCTCGAGGACTCCGGAGTTGGCGATTAAATATTTAACAAATAATCTCGGATGAGCTAAGTTGTTTAGATTTATTTGTCGTTTACAGTGAACGTGTATTGTGTCCATTTCGGAAAAATACTCGAAAACAGCCAGTTCCAATAATCCAAATTGCCGGTGTGTCCCGTTATAAGCCATTATAATATAATATTATAGTCTATACAATACCGTGACTGATATAGTAATAAGTTTACAAATAATACAATTTTGTATCTATGAAAACCAATTATAAACGTGTAAAAGTTCGTTGAAAATGTGCAGTTTTCATAAAATATATCATCATCAATATATTATAATATCGATATTACACATGGTGATGAATATAACTTAAGACACACATTATCTCGGAAAATATTAATTTTGTTCGGATATTTTTTTCGAAACGTGGAAGTGGTTTCATTCCAAGCATAAGAGTAATTTGAAATAGGTATTTAATGTAAAATTTTAGAGCTAAATAAAGTAAATATATATATAAATAAAAAATGTATACATAAAAATAAAATAAATAAATGAATCAATGCGTCGCCAACTTTTCAAAAAATCCTTCTTCTTTTGAAAATGCTGGTATACGTATATACGTATATAAACTTTAATGTAACTGCAATACATTTTGTATACGTAAGACAAATATACATTTTAAAATAAGATATAAAGCACACATTTCTGAAATAAAATTGAAAAAGACTGTCCCTAATTCAAATTTCGCATGTTTTAGAAAATAACAATAAGATAAATATAAGTTTTGATATTAATACAGACTTAGAAATATTTAACGCTCAAAATAACATTTACATTAATTCAGTTTTAGAAGAATTACATATACACAATGAAATAAAGAAAAACTAATTGGAATAATATTTTAAATGTTGGTACCTATTTTAAAAATAATACTTTATATCAATACATTTTAGATAATAAATAATAACCAACTAATTAATTAATTAATTATCATATCTATGTGTGATAATAACTAATTTTAAATAATCTCTCTTATTAAAATAAATTATTTCTATATTCTATGTAAAATGATCAATTTGTAAATATATTTTTTTCTATGTAATCCTTCATTTAATTTTTTATATTCAGTTGCGTTTTACATTTTGACTGTGACATACCTGATGATGAATTTTTAATTCAAAACCGGTCGTATAATAAACTTATCATTATAATACTCCAGGCGACGCAACGATTCATTTATTTTATTTTTATACATACATTTTTTATT